AATATACTGATGTCACTCATTTATGATGCTGATGAAGAAGAAGAAGATGAAGACGAAGAGTTGTTGTGTTGCAAGTTGTGCGAGAGAGAAGATTAAATTTTCCTGACTTAAGGTTGACTTTGTGAAACAAGACACGTGCTTGTCGCGTGACGCATGTGACGCGTCTTCTTTTTCTTGGTCTTTTCTGGTCTCTTTTACAAAATTTACTCCAGTGCGAGATACATCATATCTTATATTGGGTCTTGTACATTGCGGGAAAGGCAAAAGGGTAGAATGACATCAACGATCCCTGTTTATCAACAACTACGACCAGATGCCAATTACACTTACAAGTTGATCCAACTTCCAAGAAACATCGTATCACATATAAGCAACAGCAACCAGAACAGGAGTAGCAGTGGATCCATCTTAAATGGGGCAACGACCCTCGACTTGAAAACGAAACCTAAATTGAACTCGGTGGCGCTGTCATTGCATGGTGTTGATGACGATGGAGAGAATGATACGGTTGTGGTGTGTACTCGAGATGCGACTTTTAAATTACGACAAAATAACCATTCCAATTGCGTCTTGCTTATGAACCTGCGTCGTATTCGCCATTTTACGGAGTCGGATAGTGGGAATGGAGATGCCAATTGCGGTGGTGGTGAAGATAGTCGAGCGGGAAAACAGGATGAGCATGATGTGTTGATGGGGTTTAGTCAATGCAACTATGTTTACGAATTGACGCAGATTGTGGGATCCATATTGGACGTGGTTCCCGAATACCACGACAGCAACAACAAAAACACTTCACGTGTACAGGTTGGCAGGAAGTACATGACAAAGAACGAGTTGGCCGAGTTGAGTCCGTGTTCCCCAATTGAATTTGAAAAAATATACACCGAGTCATGTCTTTGTGAAATTGCAACAAGTGCAAACCAAAACTTCACCACGAGCAGCAGCAGCAGCAACGATAATGACAACGATAACGACGATTGCAAATATGTGTACAAGTTATCATCGGATGTGGTTACGCAAATCTTGCATACGTTGATCACGTTCCTCATTAGTCAATCTAAACACGAGTCTAGTTTCGCAATACCGGAATTGAATTTGGTTGATAATGGGCACGTTTTTGCTGAGTGGCAGGTATCTATGATTGAAGCTGTCATTCACAAGTTCACCATCGCCGACACCGAGACCACCAGCAACAGCACCAGCAACAGCATCGGTGCAACTGATGATGATCAACAGAATACAAATACACCAGAGAACTCTAAAGACTCTCGACATTTACGATTAAACAATCATGCCATTACTAACTGGTTTGGTGTTCAAGAATTGTCGAAATTAGACCACGGTTGGCAATCAGGCATGACAACGGTGGCTGATTTCCTATTGAGTTGGAAAACCGCATTACCATCATTCTACAACGTCCCCTTAGACATTGCCCAACTAGGAGGTCACTACTATACTACAACATCAGCAACATCAGCAACATCCGCATCATCAGCAACATCAGCAACATCATCATCTTCTTCGTCCACGTCGTTGTTGATCCACTACGTTGATCAATCTTCGTTAAGTCAAGACATCCCTACGCGGTTCAAACAGTTGCTCCAGGTGCAACCTAGTTGGAAATACAATGAGTTTGTCGCTTGTCTACAACCCGTGTTGGAGTCGGGCAAAAAGGTTGATTCGGTGATTTTGAAATACGGGAAAAAGAAACGTATCAAAAGGGATCAATTCCTAGTATGTGCGAGATAAAGAGATAGAGAGAGAAGAGACAGGGAGACGGGGAGTTTACACTAGTTTGCATTAGAGGTATATTTAGTTTCAAAATGATACAATACTGTTGCTTAGTTTCGCGTTGCATTTGTATGTTATTCATCATCTATATCCTCTCTTCTCACCTGTCTTCTCTCAGTCAGTTTTTCGGTACGTCGATATCCATGGCATCCTCGCCATTACTGCCGTTGAAATCGCCATCACCCAACTCCGTAATCTTGCTAGATGTAAAAGTCAAGACGCTCTCAGTAACAGACCGGTTACTCAGACTTAATTGTCCAGGTCGCAACAATCCCGCAGCTAATGTGTTAAACAACCCGTTCTCAACACCGGTGCCACTGGTGCTTCCACTGTTACCCGGAGCGTCATGGTTGTTATTGCTGTAATTGTTGTTTGTCGTTGATGATGATGATTTGAACGGTGAATCTTTTGAGTTGTTTGACGTTACGTTCAACGATGGCGACGATCTTGACTGGTTGAATGCGGGTGGGTATTGGTACTGTTGCTGGTACTGCAGATAGCCACCACTACCACCGCCACCAGGGGATGATCTAGACGGCGAACTGGTGTTGGATGCACGCGGCGATACCAGTGCGTTGGAGTCGGCTCTCGATCTCCCACCACCTCGACCACCTTCACCACCACCACCACTAGATGTTGACGATTGGATGACGCCCTTTTTCAACTTCTTTGCGAAATCAGTATTGTTATTCTGTTTCGACAACTCCTTCAACTGATTGATATTATGAATACATTTGTTGATTGTTTGCATCAACAACTTTGGTTTCAATGGCTTTGACACATAATCATCCATTCCCTTAGCCAATGATTTTTCACGATCTCCCAACATGGCATGCGCAGTAAGGGCAATAATTGGTGTCCTAAAAGTCAATGAATCAATAGGGTTTGATTTCTTTTCCCATTGTCTAATCTTTTCCACTGATTCAAATCCTCCCATAACGGGCATTTGCACATCCATCAAAACAACATCATATTTATTCTTTTGAATAGCCTCAAATGCCTCTAAACCATTTTCAACAACTTCAACATGGTGTCCTTGTTTCTCCAATATACGCACTGCCAACTTCTGATTCACCAAGTTATCCTCAGCAAGCAAGATGTTGTACTTGACGGACTCATCAGTGTTTTGTGAAATGGAACGTGATTCCAAGGCCGGTATCAATGCACTGGCTAAATCAGTCATTGAGCATGGCGTGTTTCCATACGATGAGATTCCCAAGTCGATACACACTCGCATGTTTAATTCGGGGATAGAGTGATGAACCAAGACTAATGGAATGTATTTCACTTCCGATAACAAGCGTAGTTTCTTTGCAGTATCAATCGAATCAATCATGATGATGTCGTACCTAATAGGTTCTGATAAATTGGCATCCTCTATATTGTTGACAATGATTGGATTCAATCCCAACTCAACTATGGCATGTTCAATCTCAGCCAATTCCTCATTACTATGCTCGGTAGACACAAACAACACATAGTGGTTGCTAAATGGCAACAACTGTTCTGTCTGTCTCGTGTATCTAATGTTTGATGGCGACACAGAAACAGTAAAGTAAAAGTTTGAGCCCGATCCATATTCAGAAGTGACCCAAATTTCACCACCCATCAAATGAATCAATTGTTTGGAAATCGACAATCCTAAACCAGTACCACCAAATTTTCTAGTGGTGGACCCATCAGCTTGACAAAAAGTATCAAAAATCAACCCCAACTTATCCTTTTCAATACCAATACCAGTATCAGAAACACAAACTTCCAACAACAATTTATCAGAGTCGGGAACAGTCTTGTCTGATTTCTTAACACTAACACTAACTTTACCTTCCTTGGTGAACTTGATGGCATTACCAGCAAGATTCAAAATAACCTGCCTTAACCTAAATGAATCTCCAATTAAATTATCTGGGAATGACGAGTCACACTGATATGTCAAGTCCAAGTTCTTTTCAATAGCCTTCACTGCCAATGTCTTTAATGCACCAAAAACGGTACCTCTCAATGAGAAATCAATTTGCTCAACCGTCATTCTATTGGCTTCAATCTTTGAAATATCCAAAATATCATCAATAATCGTCAATAAAGAATTGGCTAAATTGTGCACAATCGACAACATTTCCCTTTGGTACTGAGTCAATTCGGTATCCAAGGACAACTGAGTCATACCAATTATACCATTCAATGGCGTTCTAATCTCGTGCGACATATTTGCCAAAAACTCCGACTTGGCACTATTTGCCAACTCGGCAGCCTCTCTAGCAGCCGTGTTTCTTTGAATCGATTCTCTCAAATTCAACACCATCTGATTGATCTTGGTTTTCAATGCATCCATCTCTCCTGAAGCTTCAACGGTAATAAAACGAGTGAAATCACCATCGGTGGCAGCAGCAGTGATCTGGGCAAATGCTCTCACTTGAGATGTCAAGTTTGAAGCCATGGTATTGACATTGGATGTGATTTCTTTCCATAACCCATCAACATCGCTAACTTGGGCTTGAATACCCAATTTACCATTTATACCAACATCACGAGCAACTTTGGACACTTCCGAGGCAAACAATTGCAACGAGTCCACCATCTTGTTGATTGTGTTTTTCAATTGCAAAATCTCTCCTTGGGCATGAACATCAATCTTTTGTGATAAATCACCATGGGCAACAGCTGTGGTAACAGTGGCGATGGATCTCACTTGGTTTGTTAAATTTGTAGCCATTAGATTAACATTTTCCGTTACTGCTTTCCAAGCACCTTCGACATCCTGAACATTGGCTTGACCTCCCAATATACCCAAAGTACCGACTTCTCTTGACAATGTCGTCACTTCGGAAGCAAACTTCAACAATCGATCCACCATCTGATTGATGGTCAACTTCAAATTCAAAATCTCTCCTTTACAATCAGCAGTAACTTTCTTTGACAAGTCACCTTTAGCAACCGCGGTGGTGACATTGGCGATATTTCTCACTTGAGTAGTCAAGTTCAAGGCCATGGCATTTACATTATCAGTCAATTCTTTCCAAATACCTTCGACATTTTCAATCAAAGCTTGTCCACCCAATATACCCAAGACACCCACATCTCTGGCAACTTTGGACACTTCAAACGCAAAAGTTCTCAATTGATCCACCATTGTATTTATAGTCATTTGTAATTGCAAGATTTCTCCTTGGGCATGGACATTGATTTTACGTGACAAGTCTCCTCTAGCCACAGCTCGGGTAACGTCAGCAATTTCTCTCACTTGATTTGTCAAGTTGAGGGCCATAATGTTGACATTATCAGTCAAGGACCGCCATATACCAACAGAGCCTTCGTTTTTCGCCTGTCCTCCCAACTCACCATTGGCAACTTCCGTGGCAACTTTGGTGACTTCATTGGCAAAAGTTTGCAACTGATCCATCATGGTGTTGATGGTGATTTTGACCTTTAAAATTTCGGGGTCACTTTCAACTGTGTGGATTTCCACTTTTTTCGACAAATCACCCATGGCAACAGATATGACCACGGTACCAATTTCAGATAAAGCTTGTTTAAAAGCCTTGTTGGCAGTCTTGCAGACTTCCAATTCGTTATTGTAGTCGTTTATGACGAGGTCCTGTTGTCTAATCTGTTTGATCAAGTCATTTCGAATTTCCATATGTTTCTGTTGATACAAAACAGGGTCCTGTAGGATTTTGAGAAGGTCTTCCTGTGAGTAAGACGAAATCATTTGTTGTTGTTGATGATAACGATGGTGTTGTTGTGTTGTTGTTGTTGTTAATGAATCTGTATCTGTAGGAGCTTCAGGGATGGTCTTAGTGGCTATGCTATTGTTCAACTCGATGGGGTATGACGATGCTCTGGGCGTGAGAGGAGAGTCTAAATTCAAGTTGGTTAAAAAGCTGCTTTCGATTGGTGAAGTAGTTCTTGAGTTGTGATGTGGCGATGCCGGTGTAGATGAAGGTGAGGATGAAGCAGCTAACTTTGGTTTCTTGATTGGTGGAGTAATCTTGGAAACGATATCTTTTGGAGTAGTTGTGGTGGATGAAAGAAAAGGCAGGGTCTAGAAGTTGGGTTATATCGATCGTATATCTAGTGGGTGTTGCTGTAGTTGTAGTTGTTGTTGTATTTGTAGTTGTAGTTGTTGTTCTGCAGCCAGTGGAACAGCAGTGAGGAACAGACAAAAAAAATTGAATCACGAAAGGGCAAAGAATATAATTAAATGATGTGTGGAAAACGATCAAAAAAAAAAAACAAAAAACAAAAAAAAACAAAAAATCAGCACACCAGTAGAAATATCTGCCAGGTAGTAGCTTCTGAACTGTTGTTAATGGGGGAAAGTAGTAGTAATGATCAACAAACGAAAGTTCAAAAAAGAAACAGAAGGTGTAGGTGGTGGTGTGTACTTGATTAAGACTCTATTACTCCTGTGTTGTAAGTTTGTAGTTGTGATCTCTCTTGTTCTGTTTTTCTTTTTTTTATTTTTTTTTTGGTCCCCTCTTACTACTAGTACTGCTGCTACTACTGCTGCTGCTGAGTGAAAGAGAGCAGAGCAGATTGATTAACAGAGATTTGTTGTTTGTGTTTGTGTTTCATGTTTCATGTTTCTTTTTTTAGTTCAAACTAATAGCAACAACCCGCCCAATACAAGACACACACACACACACACACATATACATATATATACACCCAGTCTATCTTTTTCTCTACTGAGGCAAAATACACTTGACTGAAAGAGTATATAAACATCCCAAGGCACGATCTTGCTGTAGAAACACCTGATTCTCTGTGTGTATGCGTGGGTCAATCAATAGAAAGATATATTACACTGTGGTACCTCAAATATAAAATCTATGTCGTAAATTGATATTATGCAGGGGACGCGAATTTCAATTATCTTTCTTTCTTTTTTTGTTTTGTTTTGTTTTGTTCTGTTTTGTTTTTTTCCTTGACAAAGTATAACAAAGTGACGTCACTTGTTGTTATATTTTTGATTGATTCTGCCCATCTTGGATACACATTTCTGTATATATATATATATATGTAATCAGTAGTGTCTACTAACCAAACCAAACACTTCACTAGTAAGTAAACTAGAGACTGTATGCTGCTCAGCTTTACTCACCCAACGAATGGTTACTGTATTGTGCGATGATGATAAACCATCCCCTACTAGAGCCTAGCAATCCAATCTAATTTAGCACTGAGCGTCTATTTGTGTAAATAGACCAGATGCAACGTCTTACACAGGCAGTCTCTGTAGAGAGTGCAATGCTTGTTGTTTGTTGTCCCTCAGTGATTACACTATCTTATCGCCTTGTAATTGAAATAATTTTAGGACCCCAAAAAGCACACCATTTGGTTCCAAATGTTGGATGAAATGGGGACTATCTCCGCGGATGCTCCTCTGCAAGCCAGAAAGTGGGGTCTATGCGTAAATGCTGTCCTTATCCCAACTTTATAACTTGTGAAATTCAGCCTCGTAGAGTTGATCTGAGAGAATGTCTTGGTTTATCTGTTTTGTCCCTCCCCCTTCCTCCAATAAAAAAAGTACACCCCCCCCACAAGGTTGTCCCTCTATATGTCATCCCTGGTGAAGCAATCACCATTAATTGACAATTTAACATTATGGTTTTGCAACCAATAGAATAAAGTGTTAGTCGTGTAAACAACTACAATCCAGAGGGTAGTGCAATATTTACAAAAGAAAAAAAAATCTTTTCAGAGTGACGAAGAGAGAGGGAGATTCCATCAATCAGAACATCTCTATATACATACATACATACATACATACAAACGCACACACACACACAGATAGAACATTATCCATAATGGCTCCAGAATCTACTCCATCAAGAAGGACACAATATCAATTAACCTTATCCGATGAGTCAAAGGAAAGAATCATCAAGTTGTTGGATTACTCCAAAACCATTGCTCATTATGGATTCATCCCATTTGTGTTGTACTTGGGTTGGGCTGCATCTTCAAACAAACCATCGATCTTGAATTTATTGTCTCCTTTCCCATCTGCTTAGAAGAAGCAGAAGCAGAAGCAGAAGAAGAAGGGGAGTGCTGCCAGAAGGATTAAGAAGCTTTTGTATCCATTCTGATATCAGAGTGTGGAAAGATCGAATAAGAAAGTTTACCAGCACTAGGAAGAGGAAATAAGGATTTTTATACGAGGGATGTAAACCTGTATCGGCTGATGTTAGGTCCCCCCCTTTCTTGTTCTTAAATGTTGACGTGGTTTAGAGAGTTTCTTTTGCTTGTACATATACTTTAAAGATATACATTTGAGAATGAGGATATAAAAAGAAAACAGTAGACACACATAAAATCTCGGAAATTCTCTTGACATATCTTTCCTTATGTTGTGGTCTCTTATTTTAGACGTAGAACCTCAACAGCATTGTTCCCACACTTTGATCTGCAAAAATTGTGACTGAAAAATTAAAAGAAAAAGAAAAAGAAAAAAAAAAAATGCGAGATCTTCGCTACTGTCAAAACCAGTAATACTCCACAACCTACACACATGTTCTAAAAAGAAAGGCTTTGCTAACTTCATATCCAATAATCCCTTATAAATGAGTAGAAAAGATGCTGAAAACGGTCAAATTCGCACTTCAGCTGTACGATTTTCCCCGCGACAAGCTGAATCGATAGCAGGACTATGTGCAGGGTTCGCAACGACTGTAATTACTCATCCCTTGGATGTAATCAAGATACGACTACAATTATCTCATAATGTGGCCACGAACACTAAACACAAACCTTTTCAATCAGTACTTTCCGTTATACGTCAAATAAACCAAGACGCGAGAGCTCAATCAAGACAACAACAATCAACACCCGCCAAACTGACTTCATTTTTACGCAACAACTCCATTGGCGGTAACTATTTAATCCAGTATTATCGTGGCTTGGCTCCCAACTTGATAGGAAACATATCGGCATGGGGATGTTATTTCTCCCTCTATGCCGAGTTCAAAACCCACGTACACACGTCCAACTTGACCATCAACTATTTCGCCAGTTCCGTTTTAGCTGGAATCACAACGTCCATCATAACCAACCCCATATGGGTGCTCAAGACGAGAATTATAGCCAAAAGTAACTATGAGCGTGGTGCTTATAAGTCGATTCTTGATGGGATACAAACAATGGTTCGCAGTGAAGGTGTGGCTAGTTTTTGGAAAGGGTCGATACCAAGCATGGTTCAGGTGCTTCAAGCCAGTTTACAAATCACAATCTACGATCATTTGAAAAATCACCTACGCCGAAGCGCCAAAGCCACAACCACGGCCACAACCACGGCCACAGCCACGACAACGGCTGGCTCTGGATCTAGAGCTGGTGATGAATTCCGTCTATCCACAACACAATACTTGTACTCATCAGCAGTGTCCAAGATCCTCAGTACATTGGTAATGTATCCCACACAAGTTGTCAAGTCGCGACTACAAAACAACAATCAATCACGACACACGACTATAATGCAAGTGGTTCGTAACTTGTATCTTCATGAAGGAGGCGTAACTGCATTTTATAAAGGGTTGAGTGCCAATATAGTGAGGGTTGTTCCGGCCACCTGCATCACTTTTGTCGTTTATGAACACGTAAAGCGGAAACTAATAGAGGGTATTTAAAAAAATAATACGTTATAGAGAGGACTTAGAATTTTGGATCGATCTCTTGTGACTTTAATTTGTCATGTATGAAATCTTGGAGTCTTTTGATCACGAAATCAACAACTGAATGTAACAAACACTAGATACACAAGATACACAAGATACACAAGATGCGACGCAGTGTGATAAAATAAAAACCAACAAATTTTTTTTATAACTTCACTATATAAATGGGCTCTACTTAAGAAAAACAAAAGCAAAGATTCCAAACGTGTATTCCAGTAGCCGGAAGCGGTGTGTGGGAAGCACGTATTAAAGAAAACCAAACGTTACGAACAACCGACGAGATTCACAAGTCAACTTTTTTTTTATTTCAATCTCCTCTCTCATCTTCTATTACTAGCCTCTCACTCACTTACAACAAAGCAGCACCGACCAAACCAACCAAAGCACCCAAACCAACCTTGTTGGCGCCTGCATCACCGGATTGAGCAGAGACAGCAGGAGCTGTTTGAGCAGATGATGGTGATGATGATGATGACGATTCAGCAGCGACTGAAGAAGTTTGCAAGGTAGATGGGGCTTCAGCTGATGATGATTCGGCGGCAACGGTTGATGATGGAGCAGCTCCTGAAGATGATTCAGTGGCAATTGCTGAAGAAGATGGAGCTACAGCTTCGGAGGAGGATTCAGCAACAACGGTGGATGAGCTGGATGGAGCAGCAGCGGATTCAGATGAGGATTCAGCAGCGACAGATGAAGATGTTTCAACTTCGCTCGAGCTGGATGGAGCCTCAGAAGAAGAAGAAGAAGAGGCAGATGAAGAAGACTCCTCGGTGGATGATGAAGATTCAGCTTGAGAGGAAGAGCTGCTTGATCCATTATCATGTCCCGAACACGAGTTTTCAAAAGCCAGCTTAGCAGCATCGGCATCACCATTGGGGCAAATTTTATCCAAGCAGGATTTGACATCGTTTCCTTCATTTGAACAGATGCATGACAAATCATTCAATCCTGAGCATTGCGAAGACGATTTTTGGACTTGAGAGACACAGGCCAACAAGCATGCTGGTGGTGTAGCAACTGTCAATTGTTGCAATGAGGCAATGATTGCGACGAAGGTGGAAATTTTAGTGAATGAAGCCATTGTATTTAAAGAAAGGTTGTAGTATATCTGAAACGATAGTGGTTGAGTGGTAGTAGTAAGTGATAGCGGTGGCGGTAGTGTGTGTGTGCGTGTGGGAGGGGGGGTATCCAGTGAAGTAAAGAAAACGAATGAGTTTTGGTTTGTTGTTACTGATCAGTTTAAGCAAAGACAGACAAAGAAAAATATTTACCAAAGGGTTTTTTTTCGTTTGTTGATTGTCGGGGCTATGGACTAACAGAGAAGAAGAAGAAGAAGAAGAAAAAAATCTCACCATTCTTAGTTCCTGTATATAAGTTGATGTTTATTGTTTATGTTTATGTTTTTTTTTTTTTGTTATTCCCATTTCTAGACTCACTTAACTACATAGTTCTGATAGAAATGTATTGCAGTTTGGATCTCTTTACTGTTTAGTCGTGTACTTTTGTCCATTTATTTCCTCATTCAAGAGTTGATCTATCCCAATTGGGTAATTGTTATGGCATATACACATGCACAATTTCTTACTTCAAATATACTGCAGTATGGATGTATTTGTATTTTTGACAGAGTTTGGGGGACCGCCTGGTCCGATTGCACCCCGATTCTAGACTCAAGTCTTTTCTACACAGGAGAGACATACCAACACACTATGACATTTCAATTAACAGACAGTATTCTTCTCTCTTCCCCACCCATCTCTCTTTACAATCTAATCTTTGATACCAACTGTTTCCCCTTGTAAATCAATCGTAACTCAAACAATCCAAACCCTACATTCACATCAGCCATTACATCAATACTCAAATCCCCATTCAATGCCCGTTTCAAAATATCAGAAGCAGCACCATTCTCAATCTTTATTGGTATTCGTGGCGTCACGTAGAACCCCGGTTGTATATCAATAACCTCACGCCGACTCGTGTAGCCAAGCACAACATCTTCGTGTTTGGCAAATGCTTGAAACACTTCTAGCCTTACTTCAGCGTTGGAGATGGGATTGTAGATTTTCAACTCAATTTCTGAAGTGAATAGATGGATTGTAGTTTCAATGATGAACGCGCCCGCATCTTGCTTCTGCTGCTGCCGTTGCTGCTGTCGTGGAGACTCGCGTAACAGTACAGTTTTCTTCTCTCCCACACTATATTCAGGGATTGTGAATGACACATTGGGCATGGTGATATCTTGCACCTTAACCTGACTCATGAATGCATCAAGGCCAGGATTACCAACGACTGAATTATTGGTTAAATCAATTGATAAGTCCTTGGTGAATGACGATATATAAACACTAACAAAGTCTTGTAAAAATAATTTATCAGAATAACTTTGATATTGGAATTTAACATTGACTTCCAACTCTGATCGTTCATGCTTAGTTAATGAAACCTGCCCAAAACTAGCATATCCAAACTTGGTCTTGTTTTGGCCAAATCCAACCATAATTTGTTGATCAGGTACAGGCGGGATTTCCATCGATATGTTGAAGGGGTTATACAAGGACACCAATACTTGAAACTCTGCTTCATGCTCACTAGAACTTAAAAAGTAAACTTCCTCGATTGAAACATCTAGTTCGTGGATAACCGAGCCAAATTTTAAACCACTGACTTCTTGTAATAGGCTTAGTGCTTTCGGTACTTTGACAAATGGAACATTCAAATCTTTCAATGTGGCATTTCCAACAATTGGCAAACTCATATCCACTTGAGACAAACTTATATTGAGATACACATCGTCATTGAGGAAATTGCTCTTGTCCTCTCTGTTGATTACATCATTCACAACTCTGCCAAGAAACACGGGGTCAGTTATACTCACATCAAAGTCCGACACACTTACATCGGCACTGACATGATGTTTTGTGTGCTCAGTTCGAAGCAACACAAAGTCTCTTGACCAACCTTGCATCAATGTGGCGTTACTCGACCCCAAGCTGACATTAAACTTTAACCTCTCAACATCAACTTCTAAAGAGGCAGGAGCGTTGGCTTTTATCGAAAAGTTTCCCCTCACATTTCCAGCAATCGCAAGACCGTCTTGCATTAGCCATTCTGCACTTTTACCACCTGTATAATTCATAGCCAACTCACTTAACTTGACACTTATATCACTAGCAAGGTTGATTCTCGGTAGTAGCACGGCTAATTCAGCCGGCGGTATGCGTTGCAAAGTGTCAAATATCCAGCGCAAGTCATGAGGCACATCATCAAACGTCTGGTCCAGACTCAATTGTAGGTAAAACTTTATCGGTTTCTCCCTCAAATATTGATCAATCAATGAATTAATAGGGCTCACCAGATCTCTACAATCATCCATTAATTCAGTCGGCACATCCATAACAACTCCCTCAACATTAACCCTAACTGGACAGTCTTTGCCCACCTGAGTAGGTAATGTTCTCCACTCTCCAACTCTGAGCAAATTGGAATCGCAATCACTAAACAAAATACCCCATTTCAATGTTGGCAAGTCCAAAGACACTCCAAATTGGTTTGGTAGTTCCAATTGAGCTGACAAGTTTATGGTATTTGCTTTCGGTGAAGTGACACCAAATTGATTAATCTTTAATCCACTTTTCAAGTCCTTTTTGCTAATCGTCAAATAATCACTCACTTCCACATTGTACAACTTCAAATTCAATAGCCTCAATGTGTTTACATTGACCTCCTCTGCAATCATTTTAACTCTCAAGTTTATATCATCACCAGTCAACTGATAATAGTATTTCAAGAAATCCAAAAACTCAGTATTGCCAAACGTACACTCAGTTACAAAATTCAACTCGGTTTTAGCTCTGTTTCCAACATGTATCGTGATCGGCGGAGGGCTCGTATCCGCCAAGTAAAGAAATGGGCTTTTCAAATCAACCAACTGGACATGTAGTTGTACCGGTTTCTTCAGCAGGAGCTTCAAAGCCCCCAACACAAAAGCGCCAGTTTTGATCATGGCAACTTGCACGAAATTGGTCCGCATCAAATGGTACTTCATTTCAACTGATCCTTGTACATGGACATTGACTCCCTGACTCGTAAAATTGGCAAATGTAGCATTATGCACCCGTAGGTCAATGGCATCGTTGACTACTGATTGTATATTGTTGAATGTGATTACGGTCAAGCCAATGAATATAATTGTAGCAACGAAAACGGCATGAAGCCAATGCGGAATAAATAGTTTCCGAAAAAGAGACGATTGCGGCACTTCTCTGGCGCTGAGTAATGGTGTTAGTTCATTTGATATAGAGCTGCATTGGCTGACGGTGATGGATGTGGGTACACTCTCTTGATCAGTATTGTTGGATTCGTATCTCACGTGGGGTGATGATTGCTGCAATAACGGCGATGATGAAGACTCTTGCGGCTGTGCTGGATCATGGGAAGCAGGATCTTTCCCTGACTCATTGTTTATGTTTGAGCTTGGATCAGACATGGCTCTCACATTAGTCGATACGAGGGAAGGACAAGATGGATGGTAATAATCGTGAACTTGTGTGTGTGTGTGTGGAGAGGAAGCCGAGGAGAAGAGAAGAGAGTAACACAAAGGAGGGGATCTCCAGTGTCGCAAAAATCAAAATCAAAATCAATGTCGTAAAACTGTTTCTTGGTTTATGACACAGCAACACGCGTCAATGAAACATCACCAACAGCACAGCACACACACACACACACACACACAGACACACACAACATCTACACACACACACACACACACACACACACACACACACACACACACATACACACACAGACACACACGGACAATTTCTACATAGCAGCTACACCAGAAACCCTTTTTTAGCATCTCTTGAAAAGCATGTCATATTACGACATCGATGATATTCTAGCTGACGCTGAGAAACTACCTTGTCAATTCAACCACACAATCCCGGGCCTAGGCTATCTCGAAGGAAACCCAGGCAAACCTATCCAACAGAACACCAAACTCGAGCTCCCATTCTGGCTAGCCGAGATCCTTGCTGTGCTCGAAGTGCAGAACTCCGACTCGTCATTCATTTCACTCATCGACCCCGACTTCATTAATGACAAGGTGCTCAATGCCATCAAATCGGATGCGTTGTCTCTCGATTTACATAAATTGTCCGGTCAATATTACTCAATGATTGAAAAATGGGGCAAATTGTTTACGGAACCACGGTTGATTGAGCAGATTATGGAGATGTTGAAAGTACGCAGTTTTGAAATTAATAATTACGCAAGTAATATCCATTCAAAGCATTTCAATACTGAGTTTATCTATACTTTGGATGAGTTTGAAAAGAAGTTGTTTAGGGATACTAGTGAGAGTAATAAGTTGATGAGACAATGGTTAAAGGAATGATGTATAAATGTTTTTAGATTGGAATTAATGAGTTTATGGACATAAGTACGAGATAAAAATTCAATACTCTACTCTGCATCATCACCTTTCTCTTCCTTCTGCTCTTCCACATGCTCTTCACCTTGTTCTTCACTCTCTTTCTCATCCCCAAATAGATCATCGTCTTCCAACTCTTCATCACTATCCTTGATGAACTCATTAGACAAATGCAGCGTTTTCTTTCTTTTTGATCCATTCGAAACCACATCGTTGCCATCACCATCTTCATCATCAGAGACACGTTGTCGCTTACCATTCGACTTGGGCTCATCATCGTTGGAAAATTCAGCTTCTTCCTCTTCTTCTTCTTCACTATCTGAAACAACTTTTCTACCACTCTTACCTTTCTTTGCTTTACCTTTACTTTTGCTTTTTCCACTTTTATTTTTCTTTTTACCGTCTCCGCCTTCCAACTCCTGTTCAAACAACTTATCATCATTCTCCTCTTCTTCATTGGCATCCACATTCATTCTTGCTTCTTCCGCCCATTGTTGCGCTTGTTCCTGCAATGCAGCTCTCTGTTTGGCCAATTCAGCTTCTTTCTCCTTCATGGCATTGATCCTCTCTTGCTCCTTTTGAAGTTGAGCAACCTTCTCCTGTTCTCGTAACTGCTTAGCTGTCTCAAGTCTGTGCTCAACTTCAGCAATATTTTCCTTGGTTTCGTCAAGAGCATTGGTCAATCGGTTCAACAATGTGCTTGAACCCAAATTGGCTCTTCCTCGTAACTCGTCCTTTGGGTAAGGCGGATGTTTCTCTTCATCTGACGATAATTGAATCAATGTCTCTATTGCTTCGTTTAATCCAGTTATAGCATCACTTATATCTTGTGGCTGTCTCTTTTGAACCGGAAGTTTGGTGATAAAATCGGCAATTTGGAATTGGATGTAGGAGATGTTGAATAATAACGCCGATTTAGACCCCTTGGTCAAATTGAATGCTTGTTTAGTATAGTCCAAAGCAGTCTTGAAAAAGGTCAAACTTTGTTCATTGATGGCTCGAAGAGTCCAAGCTCTACCCAAAAACGTCAAGATCTGCACGTCCTTACCGTCAGTAAATCTAGTCAATGCGAGCTCATAATTCTCAATAGCCTTTCCGTATTGCTTCACGTCACATAAAACGTGTCCAAGGTTCAAATACACTGATATATCATTAAGTGAGTCTCTGATCTTTCTCAAGATGTCCAATCCTTTTGTAGACTCTTTGTTTTCAATATAAACAATCGCCAACCCTTGTGCAGCATAAACATTCTTTCGGTCGACAGTCAAGACCTTGGTGTACAATTCAGTGGCTCTTACATAGTAAGTTCTCTTTTTCTCTTCCACACTAGAGCCTTTCAAATCTCTGGCCAAAACGCAATAAATATTAGCCAACGAAAGCAAAGCATAGCAATCGTGTTTATCGTATTCCACAAGGGTCTCTTTCTGGAAAGCGGTATCTGCATCCGGTTTCATGCCCAACTTCTTGCCAAAATTCTTGGCAAACCAGCCATAAAATGACCTAACTTCCAAATCGGATGCATTCAATTTCAACAATTCCTCAATCTCAGATTGGATTTCCTTTGGCGTCAAGCCAGTCTCCAGGATACAAGACAAGAATAAGATACGCAACTTGGCAGAGAAATAATGAGGACACTCCAACAACAACGACTCGTAAGTTTTCAACGCTTCTTGCTCATCCGAAAGCTCCTTTGTTCTGGCAAAGTTAAAGGTCAAACTAACTTTCAAATCACTGGGCAAATCAACCAACACATCGCCATCGGGACTTAAAAATTCGGCGCCATCCAATTGATCAACCGCCATTTGGAAATTCTCCAACGCTCCTTTGAAATTTTGCCTTGTGAATTGAAAAACTCCAATATTGTTGTAGACTTCCAAAGGCACGTCTTTGCCCACTTGCTTTCTCGCTTGGACTGCCTTGTTCAAGTATGCAAGTGCTTGAGTCAAGTCAGTATTTTCATACAACTTGCTCAAAGTTAAATAAGCATTTAATGCGATTGGTTCTTTGTTTAATGAAAAATCGTTATCATTCTTGCTAGATGATAAACCCCTACTGTTGGAAAGTCTAATATATCTCTCCAAATTCTGAACTGCAAGTTCCTTCTTCTTCTTTGAGCTTTGTTTGGCATAAATAACACCAAGAGAGTAAATCGCCTCCAAACAATTGGCATTGCTGCGTAGAATTGATTCAAATGTTAATGTTGCCTCCTCTACTGAGCCTCTGTTGTACTGTGATTGGCCCAATCCTAATTTGGCCACAATGTTCAAATCGTTCAACTTAATTGCTTCTTGAAAGTACTTGGAGGCCTGAATGAAATTACCCTCACTAAATTTTACTCTTGCTAACCATGTCCCACACTCGGACAACACAGTTGAGTCGTACTTTGATGCTTTAGAATGGGTGGTGAGTTTGGTCAAAGTATCATCACCGGTTATATCCTTGACAACTTTTTTCAACAATTTCTCAACAGTTTCAAAATTGGCTTTGGAGTAGTAGTACGATGCTAGAACCAACAACACGGTGGAGTCATGTACATTTGCCTTGTGGATCTTTGACAATTCATTCAAACAAGTCACGTAATTGGTGACAAAATCTTCATCACTCCAGGAGCTATTAAATGCATTGTGGAAATGTGCCAAGTTCAAAAATATCCTTGCTTTCAAATTACTTGGGTCAAGTTCAAGGGCACGCTCCCATGCTTGGACTGCCATTTTTTCGTCATTCAAAAACCAACAGCACAACCCAATCCCCAATCTAGGATCTGGTTTGGTAGCCGGATTCAAGATCAACACTTGCTGATACAACTTCAACGCACTTGCATAGTTTTTCGATTTATTCAACAACGCCTGCGCTTTACCCAATAAGGCAAATGTATTATTTTGATCTCTTTTCAATATCTTTTCAAATATCGTTGATGCTTCATCATTGTGACCCTGATACAATGCCATCACTGCTTGAGCCAACAAGTTGCTCGCACTATTTACGGCCGTAGTTTGTGCATCATTCTGTACTTTGGAGGCCAAGTCGGCAATACTAGTGCCCGCTTCCACTAAATGGTTACTCTTGTCAATGCCCATGGAAGCATATTTGAAATGCAACCATATCAAAAAAAATTCTAGAGTCTTTGTATCTTCATTGCCAAAATGCTTCGAATCCAACGCCGACTTGATGATTTTAACTGCATCCTCCAATTTCCCCAATTGCGCATAAGCTCGAGCCACAATGATCCAATAGTTTTTACCACTTTTGGTATCAGCGAGAAACTGAGTAATCTCACTGGGTTCTTGTTCATCGATGCTTGCCAAATTGATGGAGACGACATCACCCTCTTCCAATGGAACATCAAGTGCTCTCAACGCCTCAAGCCCATCTTTTCCAATGTAGTATGATATGTCAGTAGCCTCCTCCATGTGCCTTATTGAGTTGATGGATGATCTCTGGTATTATCAACCTTTACACACACTGTATTCCATTTTCCACCGAATCTCAATCCTTTTTTTCTTTTTTCTTTTTTTTTTTTTCTTCGAAATGGAACAGACAGACAAATTCGTCACGTGAGCGTATTTTAAAACAAGTGACACTACACAAATCTATTTACAGAAATCTATCACTAAGCACTCTTACGACTAGAGCAACACCTTTTCTCGTTAGCATGTACTAGCTGACTGGAATCGACATAGCTGGGATGCAAACTTTGTAGTCCGGACCAGCCATCACTGCTTGGCAATTGCATCTGTGGATATCGTAATTTACCATAATGGTGCTCCTCACTGTTGCTTGTAGGAAATGCATTGCTAGCTGGCACGGGTTTGGGATGCTCATTGGGGCCCGCATTCCCACCCAACGACATAAGAGTATTGAAATCAAAATCAGAAACCAATGCATTCAATAATTTTTCTTGATCAACAAAATATTCATCCAACTTGTGACCATCAATTATACCGTGCACTTCGCAGTTGGCACAGTCACATGCGTCGGGGGGACATAGACACATTGAAGGGGAAGCTGGAACAGTCAGTCCAGTATACGGTTCGCCAAGACTTGGAGTTTGTGGGAGTTGATCCATTGGCGTCACCCTTGGGAGGATATTGTGGGTTGCCAATGAGTCGAAAACAAGTGTGTCAATCTTCGAAATAGTATCCATGGGCAATTTGCTTTGATGGGATGAGTCTAGAAAGTTTTGTTGAGGAACTTCTGGTGTATTACCATGAACCACACACCCAGCGCAATTGCAATCGCTGGCGCAACAACAAGTACCTGGAATAGAACAGGAAGAAACAGGAACCACTTCAAACACAGGAGTTTCGCTTCGGGTATTTCCATTATTGGTATTGCTGCTGACCTGTGGACGAGGTGTCTCTGAAATAAACTTTACTTGTTTTGGAATCGGTGGCATCATTTCCTTATTTAGCTTCTTCTCAATGTATGTTTGCAATATTTTTGACTTGTTCACATCCTTCCTTTTGTTACCACAACAGCCACAGCCAGACCGTTTAGTTACTTTTGGAGCACAGCATCCTGAAGATATTATGAAACTCTCGTCATTGATGACTGGTTGTTGTGGTGGTGGCTTTTCAACCATGCTCTTGGTAGTTTTTGACTCGTCGTAAGGGCCAACGATCTCTCCATTAGTCAAGTCAATCACCTGCTTTGATGAAGCTTTTAATATTATAATTGGTTGCGATTTGCATGAATTTGGTGGTGGTGGTGGTGGTGGCGAGGTTGATTCTGCAGATGCTACTTCCGAGTCTGCAGAGTCAGATGCTGTTGCAATTTCCTCGGCAAAAACAGCCACTCGATGGTTGGGGTTACCGTTTGCGTAAACACCAGGTCTGCCCTTTGATCTAACTTGTAGTAGTGGTCGGTCATGGTGTTTGCATGTGGAGGACCTATGACCTCGTATACACTCCATACAGGAATATTTCACATTATTGATCAATATCATTTCTTTCACGTGTGTTTGTAGTTGTGCTATACTATATCTGGCTATTGTGGCTGTTATTCATGGCAGTTTTGGGACTTGAATGAGACCTCTCGGGATAGTTTGGTTGTAAAACTTTCGGCTGACTAGACATGAATGCTATGCGTTGTGTCTTGTGGCTCTGTTCCTCTACAGCTTAAAATTTTTTTTTTTTTTTTGTGTGAGCAATTTGTTAATGTACAAATTGGGAATAATAAGCACAGGGTTTGTTATGAAGGGTCAGTCACCTGATCTTTAATTAGACAGATCTTGGGGTGTGTCTCATTTGCCTTTTTTTCAGACATCAAGCACGACACACAAACACACACAGAAACTTCAACTCTCCTTTGATCTCATCTCATGCATCTTTACAGCAGTCACTTAATAAGCAGTCAATGCCAGTAAAACAATACCCAGAGGATATAGAGGTAGATACCAGCATCGTACCTGACTCACAGATTAACTACGATGACGCCATATCGTACTGGTCATCAGTCCCAGCTTCAGTAAATGGAGTACTTGGTGGGTTTGGTGAGCAAACACCAGTTCCCAAAGTCGATATAGTGGGATCGCTCACATTTCTACGCAAATTGTCGTCCCGCATGAACAGTGGTGATCATCCTAAATACACAATTGATATGGGAGCGGGAATTGGTAGAATCACTCGTGATCTTCTTTGGAAAGTTAGTGACAAAGTTGATCTACTCGAACCTGTCAAGCCATTTGTTGAACAAATGCCGGTTGAGTTGCAACAAGTTGAGTCACTGGGCAAATTGGGAAGAGTCTATGATATAGGTATGCAGGAATGGGTACCCGATAAGCAATACTGGTTGATTTGGTGCCAATGGTGTGTGGGTCAATTACCCGATGATGTCTTGGTGGAATTTTGGAAAACGTGTCGTGGTGCATTGATTGAGAATGGAACCATTATAGTGAAGGAAAACATTGCTCCAGTAGAGGATGTGTTTGATGAAACTGATAGCTCTGTCACAAGGACTGATCGGAAATTTAGAGAATTGTTTATTAGAGCCGGGTTGAAATTGATTGCCAGTGATGTTCAAAAGGGTTTACCAAAGGAATTGTATCCTGTTAGGATGTACTGTTTAAAAGCGCAGTAACTTGAGAGGAAGTTGCAGTATTCTAATAGATATTAAAGAAATAACTGAATGTACATACAAACAAACGAGTCTACCTCTATCAAGCAACTCTGTGCTTACTTGGTTCATATGGGAACAACAACGCGATAAACCCAACAACACCAACAAATGCACCACAGATCCATATTGGTGCGGTGCTTGACTTGTTTGAGTAGTAAAAAATCAACGGCACAATAACAGAACCAACTCTCGTACAAGCGATGGCCAATGAGTTCCCAGTGCCTCTTGCAGCACTAGGAAACACTTCTGGTGTGTAGGCATACAATGCGGAATAGTAGATATAGATAGTTGCATAGGATATTGACGAAAGTGCCACATTTTGAGGTCTGCTTTTGATTTGCGTGTAACCGAATAAAAATGCCATTGATGTAACACCACCTATGAACAAGACACCTCTTCGTCCAATAATTGGGAAAAAATATAATATACCACCCGCAATTAATGGCCCACCCATTGATACCGCGTTTGAGATTAAATTGTCTCGGTACACTCCCTGGGTCGTAGATGCTGATATGTTGGCACCCCTGGTTGCCAAATACTGTGGCAAAAACGACGAGTACAATGGGTATGAGATTCCCAACAAGAACCAGGAAAGAAACACCAATAATGTTGACCGTGCCATCTTTTTATTGCTAAACAAGATTGACAAGTGATGTTTGACCAATACCAACAATCCTTTCCAATCAATGTGCTTTCTAAAATCATCATTCACTTCAACAGTACCCAACAGCTCCAATTCTTGCAAAGTTAATGAACATGTCCGGTTATACTTTGTAGCAATGTGGTGTAAAATCTCAATTGCTTCAGCATCACGATTATTTGATACAAGAAACTTGGGTGTTTCCTTCAATCTCACCACCGTTAATCGCAACACCGCCATTGCCAAAACTATAGATCCGTTAGTGTAGTACACATATCTCCAGCCACGATTGATATGCGAGGGACAATAATCAGCAGAAGAACACGAATTATTAGGTAAGAAAGCATACGCCAAAGCAGTGGCAATAACTTGTCCAATCCCCCAAAAGAATGCAAAAAAAGTCAATAACCATTGGTTCTTGTGAGGCAAGTATTCAAGAAACACGCACGTATCCAACACCAAGTTCCCACCAGCGGCAAAACAACTCAAAAACACAAAAATGCAATAGCTTGCCATCGACGACATTGTACCCGTGATGATTGTGAATAATCCGCTAAGCAATAACGAGATATTGAATGCAACCTTTCTTCCAATCAAATCGGCGGAAAACCCCCAAAACAAAGCGCCAACAAGCAAACCAGCAGCCAACATTTCATTACTGATGGGGAACTTGTAACCAAACTGGTAGTTGATAAAGGTACGCACCGAACTTTCTATAAATGTCAATTGCGTATCTGTCCAATATCCCATCCCGTTCAAAAAGAATAATTTTAGGTGATATGGCGTGAATCCAATCTCGTCAATTGCGTCATTAATCAATTTCATCTTCTTGGTCAAGACTTCATCTTTCAACTGGTAGATTTCGGTTTCATCGTGTAACGTGGCTGATTCAGTAGTCAGTTTGGGGGTTATGGCTTCTTGTTGTTGTTTTTCAATATCTGACATGGCTAACCTACGACTTCGAAATTTGGAAAATGTGAAAAGGGACAAGAAACTGGGTGTAATGCAAACTGCAGTAGGATGGAAGGAAGGTGGGAGAGAAGTGAAGATATGGGAGTTTCAAATCATTCTTTTTTCAAATTTGTTTCAATACATATATATATAGAAGTAGGTGCCTCATGGTTAATTCCCAATCACAATCTCTTGTGACTAAAGTTTTTCAAAAAGACAATAGGGTTTTTAGAAACACCAGATAAATATTAAAGATGCAAAGCAGATTAAAATTAAAAATTGGGTTTTATTAACAACTCAGAGATGGAAATATTGCCGTTTTGAGTAATATTATCATATACTCCATGACATGGAGTATTTTTTTTCATTCATTTGAATTTGACATGAGATCGTGGACTTCTAAATATAAAGAGGGCCCCACGATTTTCTTGGGAAGACAAAAAATCTGTAAAACCTTTAGTCTCGGTATTCTCATACCCCCCCCACACTGCCTTTCACTTTTACTTCTTAACCATTACATTTGGCAAACTTTGAGAATAGTAACTGGTCTTATGACTCTACCGCTAGCCAAATGTGACAGGTTATCTTTTTATTCTGTATGCGGTTGGGTTGTACTAATTTATTTTGGAATTTACAATCCACCCCACGTGCGCAACCGACACGCGCGCACGACTAAAAATTGATTTAGTATAGAGATACGGCATCAGGACAAAAAGAGAAAAGAGGGGAACACAATTGACGCATGCAGGAGAGGGCCACGAAACGTGTCAAACGCGCAACCGAACAACTCGATGGATAAACCTGACCATTTCAAAGCCTCATGGATAATGTCGCACAAGTTGATGGAGTCCAACTCTTACGATGTAGCGGGTGTAGTACCCCTTTTTTTTTTCATGTTGAATGTAATTGATTTATAAAAAAATGTAAAACTATTCACTTTGTATAATGTACACATAGTGGATGCGAATAAAAATTGTCCATTTATTTAATGAACACGAATTGAAAGAAAGACTAAAGTACAAATATGTTGAATAGTTGATGACGTAAAATCCACAAAGATAAGGGTACTTGTCTCCAAAGAGCTCACTGATGATTCGCAACAGAAATGAAAGGTAAGCGGTTCCTCCAATTAGACAACTCTTTGTTTACTTGGTTCAAATGGCAAAAACAATGCAATAACACCAATGACACCGACAAAAGCACCACAAATCCAAATTGGCACGGCAGATGACGTGTCTGAATAATAAGCAATAATCGGTACCATTGCAGTACAGATTCTTGTGGCAAACAAACATAAACAGTTTCCGGTTGCTCTTGCGGCACTAGGCATGACTTCTGGGGTGTATGCGAAAATGACTCCGTAATAAATATACAAGGCAACGTACACACTTGATGTGAATCCGACATTTTGAGCCCTAGTTCTAACCTGAGTGTACCCAAACAAAAGGGCCATCGTGGCAATACCACCGATGAACATGACTCCTCTTCTACCTAATTTAGGAATGAATTTCAACATTAACCCAGCAATCATTGGGCCGAAAATTGAACAAGCATTGGCAATAAGGTTATCACGATAGACACCTGATGTAGTTGGGGCGGAAATGTTGGCCCCTCTAGTAGCCAAATATGTAGGTAAAAAGGAAGAATAAAGTGGATATGAAATACCAAGGAATGCCCACGATATAAACAACAACACAGTTGATCTTGTTGCCTTTGCAGTTGCAAAAAGTATCTTCAAATGCTTAAACATGAGCTGCAAAGTTCCCTTTATATTGAAATGGTTTCTGTAATCTGAATTACTCTTGATTTCACCACATTCCAACAATTGATCCAAAGTCAATGAACAAGGACGGTTGTATTTCGTGGCAATGTGTTGCAACACGGCAACAGCTTCAGCGTCACGGTTATTAGCCACAAGAAATTTGGGTGTTTCCTTCAATCTAATAACAGTCACACGCAAAACAGCCATTGCCAAAACAATAGATCCATTGGTGTACCAAACATACCTCCATCCCCTATTTATATGCGAGGGACAATAATCAGCCGAGTCACAAGTATTATTTGGCAAAAAGGCGTACCCCAAAGCCGTGGCAATAGTTTGTCCAATCCCCCAAAACAAGGCGAAAAAAGTCAACAACCATTGATCCTTGTGAGGTAAAAACTCAAGAAACACACAAGTATCCAACACCAAGTTTCCACCAGCGGCAAATGCAGACAACAAGACAAAAAGGGCATAACTGGCCATATTGCCCATCATCCCAGCCATAATTGCGAAAATGGCACTCAATAAAAGCGACAAGTTGAATGCCAATTTCCTACCAATTAAATCGGCACCAAATCCCCAAACCAACGCTCCCAAAATCATACCACCGGCATACGTTTCACCAGTGACGGGGAACTTGTATCCAAATTGGTAGTTGATGAATTGACGTACGGTACTTTCCAAGAAATTCAACTGATTATCAGTCCAGTATCCCATACCATTCAAGAAAAACAATTTCAAGTGGTACGGAGTGAATCCAATCTCATCAATGGCGTCATTGATGAGCTTCATCTTAGCATGCAAAATTTCATCGTTGGCTTCTAAATCAACCATGTCAAACTCCAGTGAAGTGCTAGAGTCTCCGTAGTACTTTTCTTCTTCTGTAAGACCGGCCAATTCTTCATCTTTGGAGGGAATGTCCTGTGACACTCTTGCAGTAGTCAAAGCATCTTGCTTAAGCTCTTGTTTATGCTCTTGCCCATGCTCATAGGCTGAGGCTGCTGCTTCTTTACTTGACATATCTGTATGGAGACACAAAGAAAGATTGAAAAAAAAAAAAATTTTTTTTTTTGAAGTGATAAAAAGAAAAAGAAGGACTAATTCGTGGGGGGTGGGGGGGGGAAGTCAGAAACTTACTTTTAGTTGGATGTGGAGTAGCAGATGTTAATGAGTGTTGAAGTAGTGTGTGGAACTGGATACATGTATTTGTATTTAGTGGTGTATAGTGGTGTATCTGTCTACTTTGTTGTTTTTTTTTGTATTGAAAATTGTTAAAGACGTTTTTAATCAGATTGGTGTCTTCCTCTTTCGTTTTTATGGGGGGCAGAGAACTAGGTAGACAACGAGAAGACAAGAAAAGAGAAATTTTCTGTTTTTCAAAACTGGTAGCGTGTACTTATGTCTTTTTAAAAATTGCAATTTAGAATTTAAGATTCCAATTTTAAAGATCTCAAAGTAAAGTATGGGGCAGTTACTAAGTACTAAAGTCTTTTCTTGTGTAACAAAGTGTACACATCCTCTTACTGTATTTGATTCTGCTTATTTTTTAGACGACATACATACACAATAAGATCCTGTGTCCCCCGCCTCATTCAACAGGAACAAACTTGATTATTAGATTGCAGAAATGCGACAACTTTGTAACTCGTTTGTAATGTCAAGTTAGTGAGAGAGGTATACTCTGAGAACTCTACGACCTTCTCAAGTGTATATTTAAAAGCCATTATAGTACTTGTGGCTTAAGTCACTTTTGGCTTTCGCTTAAAAAAAAAAAAATGAAAAAAAAAAACAAAGAAAAATAGTTGGACGATGAGATTGCGGAGTTTAAGAGACAATAGAAACCGGAGTTAAAGGAGAAGAAAAAAAAAAAAAAAAAAAAAAAAAAAAAAAAATTGAAAATTTAAATTGAATTTAGCCGAGGTTGATTACGAACAACNCGATAAGATTGCGGAGTTTAAGAGACAAAAAAAACCGGAGTTAAAGGAGAAGAAAAAAAAAAAAAACAAAAAAAAAAAAAAAAAAAAAAAAAAAAAAAAAAAAAAAAAAGAAATAAAATTGAAAATTTAAATTGAATTTAGCCGAGGTTGATTACGAACAACACAATAGGTACATCTCATCGCTAGTTTTATATACAGTATGTAGAAAGCGATTGAATATGCGCTATTCCCTAAGCCAAACGCATATGACACTCATAATACAGCTGGAAATGAATAGCTGAGAGTCTTGCACTACCTCTATTACCTCAATTCCTAATATACAAAATGTAGTTTCTGCTCTACTCAACATACACAACCCCCTACCTTCCTCCTCTTATCTACAACTTGTCTCCCATTACACCAAACTCCGACACAATTCCGATCATCACCACTGAAGACCCATTTGCCCACCAAATCAACCATCTTGTCATACTTGACACCGTCATCATCATCACCAGTATTCTCATTCACACTTGGTACTTGCCAGGAAAATACATCGGTTGAAGCACCAGGACTAGTCAAATCAATCAACTGACAATCGAATTTCTTACCCTTTACAAAGGATCCAATTTGATCTTGTAGTCCAACTGCTCTGGCACCACCCATGGTTGACATGTACAACCCTTCAGCCATGGATAATTTACAATCGAAATCTGCAACCGCTTCCTCATTTTCTTTATCTTTGGTGGTTGCTTCCTTCATGGACAAATGATGACTAACCAAAATTGCATGCTTGACAATTTGTAAAATACTCGAATCGAATCCACCACTTACATCAGTACCCAAAGACACATTGATATTGTAATCATACAAGTATTTCCGTATTGGAGCTTCACCACTCGATATGAATGTGTTTGAGGTAGGACAATGCGATACCGAGCACTTTTTTTCTGCAATCAACTGACATTCCTGCGGTGACAAATGAATACAATGGGCTAATATGGTTGATTCAGTCAACAAGTTGTACTTGTTGTAAACTTGACTATAGCTATCACAATCGGGAAATAACTGGGCCACCCATTCAATCTCCAGCTTATTTTCACTAATGTGAGTTTGTATGGGCAACAGCCTAGATTCACTTAGCTTGCCTAGATAGGCTAACATCTCTCTTGAACATACTGGTGCGAATCTCGGTGTTACTATAGGTTTCACCAATGTTTCCAACTTGGGATTGATATCATCTAAGTGCTCAATAATCTTGTTCATTGAATCAACACAAGTATCCAAACTTTCTTCATATTGGGGGTATGATTCATTACAATCCATGCAAACTTTACCAACAAATCCACGTTGACCAAACCCCAATAATAAGTCAGCAAAGTAATTGGTGGTTTCTGGGTCAATAGTGGTGAAGTAGGATGCACAAGTAGTCCCATTCAGCAATGTACGTTGAATTACTCTAGAGTACACTTGCTTTACAAATTCCAACCTCGCTTGAATCTCTTTGTCATTGATGCTGCTTTTCGCATTCTCATTCCCACCGCAAAATTGACTCTCAAGAGGGAATGTATACTTGTTTAACCAGTCCAACAAAGGTGTATCTAACCCAATACCAATATTTGGAAACTGCGAAGCATGGATATGAGTATCTATGAATCCAGGAAAGAAAAACTTGGTACAATCTTGAGACACATCAACAAAATTTACGTCACTGGCATCAGCATCACCGTTGGAGTTTGCATTGGACGAGACCGACTGATTATGTTGACATTGAAAGTATTCGAGTGGGGATTGACCGTCATGATCCAGTGGATTGTAATTCTTGTGCATATAATCAATAACTCCATTAGAGTTTACTCCGACCATGCAATTGAAATGGATCTCCAACCTGTCTAATGAAGGTGTATGTATGAATGTGCCATAGTATAATGTGTATGGAATTGGTGCAGTTGCTTTGATATGTACCTTTGGTGAAGCTGTTGTTGTTGTTGTTGTTGTTGTTGACTCATTTGTGTGAGACGGCATGGTTAATGACATGAATTGGTGGGGAAAGAAAAGCTAAGGGTGGGAGAAGCTATTATATATATATATGTGTGTGTGTGGGTGTAAAATGGTAAATTGAGGGTATATATGTTTCTTTTATCAGTAGCAATATCGTTCTTAATTTGGGTATTTGGTATATTTGGCAAATGTCGGTGTTTATCGCGTGAACACTTATCTTTTTACGGTCCTCCGTCGGAAGAGCCGAAAGTACCACACATACAAAATCGGCAATCACCAATAAGTTTATGATGAGCTTTGGTCAATTCACCAATTACAATATTTGGTGGATCATTACTCTTTTAATTCTCATACTATGCAATTATCAAAATCCTGTGTAGTCAAATGGTTTTACTCTTGGGCTTAAGGGTTAAGGGTCTCTTTTCAGTTTATGAGAAAAAACCCTGTACTTAAAGATGGATCTTTTTTGGAGGAGGGAAGCGGTTGCCAGTCAAGAACCGGTCTTAAGGTCGGACTTTGAGAAGTACAGTTTACCTTGACTTTCAAAAGGTAACATATGAAGAGTAGCTGAAAGTGGGGTGGGTCTTCGATTGGAGCTACCGTCAGTTTTGTCTTAGAATTGATGCACAATTCATTTAATTGTTGAGTTTACTCTTTTACTAAACCAATCAAGACCTCCCCCCCCCCCATTTGAGAACAGAACAGCACAGAATTATGAAAATTAAAACTGAAAATATGTCTAGCGTCGTTTGACTTCCCAATCTCAGCTTGTATTGTTCAGTTTTGTAAAAAGTAGACGCAAGAAGAGTCTGAAATAATTAATACCTTGTATATTCATCAGTTTTTACTTTTGCGGCACTCAAAGAATTATGATTTGACAGCAACTGTCAAATACGTTTCAGCCGTACAAGTTGTTCAAGTATACAGGGTAGTAGTTGTTGTGATAGTAGGGATTAAAAGAGTATCTTAGTAATCCATTAGTAATTTTTTTGTCAGCAATTGGTAGCACCACTTAATTCTTTTCAAATCAGTACACAAAAAGAGCAATCTGATTACATCAGCAAGAGTTACACAATACCACCAAAAAAGTGTGGAGCGGAAGAATGTAATACCGTGTATGTAAGTATAACCCATATAGTGTGGCACCATGCACATACATACACATTTGTAATAAAGAGCAACCACAGTCTTTTGCAAAGCAAGGGGGAGGGGTACATGTTAATTTGTCAGCAAGTAACCACTACTCCCAATTGTATATAAATACACCAGCGAATTCTCCATTTCGTCTTCCACTACAACCCACACTTTCAATCACAACAACAAGAACTACCAATCACTACTAACTAATCTATACACACTACATAACTCAAACAATGTCTAAAGTTTCAATTGCAATTATCGGTCTCAATGGTTTCATTGGCAAACACGTCCTCAATGCCATCAACTCTGGTATCTTTGACTCCAAGATTCAATTCCCCGTCAAAGCAATCACCAGAAAAGAAGGAACCAAATCAAGCGACAAAATTGAATACATTGTCTCTGCCGAAACATCTCCAAATGACACCAAGTTGATTGACGCACTCAAGGGCGTTGATGTCGTTGTTGAGTTGACTGGTCCCAACCCTGAATTGTTTGCCAATATTGAGAAAATTCTTGCACAAGTTAAACCAAAATTGTTTATCCCATCTCAATTTGGTACTGACATTCCACAAGTTGACACTTATGCACCTGGATTTTTAGCATTAAAGACTCAACATTCGGAAAATGTTCGCAAGATTGGTGGTATCAAAGTTGTCGACATTATTACTTCATTGTTTGCTGTGCCTGGTGCTTTTCTTTACGACTGGGTTGGAGCTGTTGGTATCACGGAACAGGGGGTCAATTTGATTGGTGACATTGATCAAAAATTCCATATTTCCAAATTGGAAGATGTGGGAAATGTGGTGTTGGCTGTGGCTACTCATGATTCTATTGCCAAATTGCCCGATTTGGTTCATGTCGCAAGCGACGTTGTAACTGTTAAAGATGTTATTGACAAGTATTCCTCGTCAAAGGGAGTCAAATTGGATGTGGTGTCCAAAAAGTCTGCCGATGAAGGTAGGAAGGAGTTTGTCGAAAAGTTGAATGCTGGATTCAACCCCAATGATTTCTTGTTTTATTTGCAAGTTATTATTGCGCAAGGTTTGGATAAAGGGTTGTATTTCAGTCATTTGGATAATGAGTTGTTTAACCCAAATGAATCCTTGTGGAAATGGGGAAAGTTCTAACTTGTTGGGAGGGGGATCTACAATATTTGAATAAGCCTTTATACTAATTTGAATATGGAACAAATATTATATTGCCAAAACTTTTCTGCTTTGTATATCCTTGTATTTGCGTAACTTTCAATTAAACGCTAGTCTTTGTAGATTCTCACCTCATATACTCCACACATCCGTGTACTCTGCATAAGTGGAAGAGACAATTAATCATACCCCTTTAAATGAAGTGAATTTATGGGAGCTCCCCACTCTCCGTCAAATCAAGTATAATGTCCGTTTATCTATATATATGTATATAAAAATCTGTCCCATAATCATAATGAAATTGGTCTAAATTATCGTTCTTTTTTATTATCCCTTTAAACAGAAGCAAGCAATCGCTACACTCTCCCAAGCTGTAGTTTCACCACTTAGTGATTCATAGAGTCAACTAGACTCCTCAACACCATCTTTTCCTCCGAGGAGCTTTGCATCATCGAAGCCTCATCCACGTTATTTCCACCTCCACCAACCACTGTTCCATCATCACATCCTTGGTTCTTCCTGCTGAACTGATCTTGCACCTGTTTCTGTGCTTGCTGTTTCACCTGTTGAGCTTGTTGCTGTTGTGGTGTCAATGGCTGACCGAGTGGAAATTGCTGCTGCCTCAATTGTAGTTGCTGCTGTAGTTGCTGCTGTGTAATCCAATAACTTTGCTGTTGTAGCTGTTGCAATTCTTGACTCAGTTGCAGCAGTTGTGGCACCAGCAGCCATGGTTGTGGCTGTTCAGAATTGGATATTTGCCGAGGTACAGCATCAAACTGGCAATCACTATAATTAAACTGCGGTTGAAGCAGTGCTCGATGTTGAAGTTGACCAGTTGACCCCCAAGAGCAATTCACTGATTGTGGGCCCTGAAATTGCACCAGAGCTTGATTCTGAGAGGTGCTACTTGTTTGCTGAAAGCTCAGTCTTCGATTGAGCCCAGGTTGTTGCTGGAGTTGCTGCAGTGGAAGAAGCATTGTTGTCGACCCCTCAACCTGACCATGTTGTGACATCAGCATGTTAATTGGTGGTCGTTGCAGAAATTGCACTGGATGCGGTGCTTGCTGTTGTAATGATTGCTTTTGATTCTGTGATGATTGATCGATATCCACAATATTTCCAACAACACCGGCACCTCCTCTCCCTCCTACCCCACCCACTACTGCTGACCCCACACCAGTGCTTAACGGACTCAAACTTGTTCTTGACGCTTTAAAGGGCACTCCAGTCACAGCACACATCCAAATCCTTGTCTTATAAATACGAAACAACTCTCTAACCAAATCTCTAAAATCAATTCTCTTTGATGTAGAATAATAGAAAATCAACTTTTTCCGATCAAATTGGTACTCAGCATCAATCAACTTCATTTGCAACAAGTCTTGCGTTGCTGGCGATATAGGTGCCCCACTTAGTAAACATCCGCTTGTTGCGCTTGAAATCTTGGCAAGACATAACCTACAAGCCTTTTCTTCATCTTGCTTCTTATTCAAAATCTGAAATGCCTCATTGGGCTGTGCTAGTGCCAATATAGACTTGGGAAATTGTAATGTTGGTGGAGCAACTGAACTTGACTGACTGTGCATGTGTTGTTGTTGTTGATGATGATGATGATGTTGTTGTTGTTGATGAGGAGGAGGTTGTGAGGATGATGTATGTTGCGGATTTTGACCTGAAAGTCCACCTCCTCCTACTGCAGGCACGTTATCCAACAAGTTATTCTCAACTGGTTCATTCAAGGCTGCTTGTTGCTCTTGAAACTGCAACAACTTCAACAACCGTGCTTCATCGATTGACACATTCAACTTGAAAACCTTTCCCAAATCGCGTCCACGATCAGCCTCAACAATAACTAAATCGCCAACCTTCACTTCAAAAGAGTTTTGACCAATGGAGGCCGTTGCAGGTGCTGTTTCTGTTGGACTAGTCATGGCTGTCATACACACACCATTTGTAGAAGGGAGGTAAAACACATCAATCCTTCCCGCCTTGAATCCAACCAAAACCAATTGATAATTACGCAATGACGATTCAATAGGAAACTTGGGCAACTGATACCCGTCATTCAAGTACCGCTCCTCATCAAAAAACCGATCATTCAACAACTTCATTGTAACTTTAACACGTTCATGAGGATCCGATTCAAAGTAATCATCAACCATTTGCATTGTGGCCAAGTCATTCATAGATGGTTGGCGCTTGGACAATGTGGGAGATACATCTAGTGTCTGGCGCTTCTGGCCAAGCAATCCCTCTGTGTAAGAGTGACGTCTCATTGATTCAAAACTCACTGGCGGCGAAAAATTAACAGAGTCTTCATTAATCAACCCATTAGCAACAGCAATCTCCTCCATCGATGGTGGAGTAAACGCGCTAATGGACGATGAGCGGTTCTCATTAGGAACAGTTGATATATAGTTTTTAGCATTTGATGGGAACAAAAGTGTGTTTTGAAGTGCAGCAGGTGGTTGTTTTTGTGAAAAGTACTGCAGAGTAAAATTCGGTTGCTGTTGTTGTTGCTGTTGCGGCTGCTGTTGCGGCTGCGGTTCTTCGTGTCCGCTTAGTTTCGTTGGGGACCATAAACTTGACGTGATTGAGGCTTGTCCAGTGGAAGTGACTGAGCTTGGCAGTCTCCAAATACTCGAATCAATAGAGGACCCGCGATATTGTGAATGTGAGGGTCCTTCAGCTGCTACTCTTGCTCCCACATTTGCACCAGACAGGCCAGACAAGGGTGTATTCCAAAATGTACTTGATCCATTTGAAGCAAACTTACTCAAACTTGATCCCAACGGTGGTGGAAGTGTTGAGAGATTGCTCATTGACTGAAATGAAGGAGAAGATACTTGAGCGGTGTTGGAAATAGAAGTTTGCTGATCAAATTGGGGCATATGGAATAAATTTCGACCGTCATCTCCCCTCGTTGCGTCGTTGACTTCTGTACTCAACTGTCGATGCAGGAGTTGCTCATTCTGGTGGTGTTGATATCTATAATCTTCTGATTGATTCCCATTATCCCGACCCGGTCTTGCTGTAGCAGTTACTCCAAAGTTATGCGCCATTGCTTAACCAAATAGACTAAAACAATAAAAGGAATTCTCCCTCCCTCCCCGGAAAAAAAAAAAAAAAAAAAAAAAAAAAAAAAAAAAAAAAAAAAAAAAAAAAAAAACAAAAACACACAATTGAAAATGAAAACAGTCACAACTCTCTCTCTCTCTCTCTCCCTGGTGCAAAAATAAGAAATATCAAAAAAAAAAAAATACTCAAGCAACCCAAAATTAAATACGGTTTTCTCAACAGTGACAAAAAATGGTCTTTGTCTATAATGTGTCTTGTTTTGAAATTATCCTTTAGCTTTAAAAGTATATTATGGATAATGAGATATTTCTGCTCGTGATGCCAGTCTGGGATTCTGGTCTTTTTCCTATTTTGTCTGCACAGTTTGTGTATATCTCCAGTTGTCGTAGCCTTTTTCTAAATGAAAGTGATTTGATCTTTTGGAAAAACAAAGGCAATCACACGAAATCAAATGGTATATACAATTGTAGGGAATCTCAAACAAATGGCCCGTAAATAAAGAATGGGTATTTGGAACTCGTCAAAAATTTAAAGGAAACTCCACTGGGTATATAAAACCTCCTTTCAGAAAGCTTTGGTTTCTCAAATCTAGTTATATTGATTGTTGGGCAGTGATTTCTTGTACAAGCTCCCCACTCCGCAATTACCAAAATGATGATCTCTCTGGAGTACTTTAGCTTCGGGTTGTTGGTTGTAGTACAACGTAAAACGTTTGTCAAACTAAAAGGGGAAAAAAAAAATAAAAACAAAAACGCTCTCTAGCGGGATCTGATGATCTGACTTTGTGTATAATGCGTCTCGGCTTAAATTCTGCTAAGGATGGGATGATCCAAAGTGCTGGGTGGGGGAGGCAGTGGAACAAAGAAGTTGGCTCAGGAAGTTGAGATACTTGAATGATACAACTAGACGGCCCAAAGTGAAAAAAAACTGACCTCCAGGTAGGAGCTGCGCCAAGAGACCCCTGATCAAAACTAATTTAATCTGTGAAAGCAAAAAAAAAAAAAAAAAGAAAAAAAAAAATTAGGTGTTGTTGCTAGACTTGTATAGAAGCTCAATTGTGCTAGAAGCTAGTTCTTTGACTGCTTGTGGGTACCGGGCTAACTTTTATATGACTTTCAATAACCGGTTCTTCAATAACTTTTCTTTGGGACTTGAGTCTGGGATTGTCGGACGTCTTAAAGTGGTTCTTCTTGATCAATCTATTCTCTCTAGAGAGGAGTGTGTGAGTGTGTGAGTGTGTGACCCCTTTGTCTGAAAATAATAATAATAATAAAAAAAAAAATTGATTTGTGTCAGAACTTGTTTCTTTAAGCGACACACAAAGCTTAGTTGTATTTATTGTGTAGTGTATTGTGTAGTATACAAATCCTCACGTGATGTTATTCTGTTGACAACACTCGTAGACGATAGGTTGATGCGAACAAAGATACTTGTTAATGTAGTTGGTTTAACTGTTCTTGTTCTATGTCAACAAGGTATATGTCCAATATTGTATCTGTCTTGTGTATGTTTCAACTAGGGTAAGTGTATAGTACTATGTCTTTTCTCAGGTATAGTTTATTATGAAAATGATCTTCTTCTCTTCAAGCACAAGTCTAGCCCAAAGAGAAGTGTTACTGTATTGTGCGATAAGACGACAGCGTCTATTGATTGTACTGGTTTTGGCACCTTCTCTTGGAGTAGTTGTCAGATGTATGTGTGATAAAATTGTTTATGATTGCAAAGTCGGGTGTTGCAATACTATTTTGCTCCGATTGTCAACTGTCACTGGTAAATGTAACTGTTATTGTAAAAAACTGTTGATCTATCGGTTTAGTTGATGAGGTTTTGAAATTGATATGAATGTAAACCACTATAACAAAGGCAGTCCCTCCTTGCTCATTTATATAGAGAAAATTTTCCTTTGGTTGAGCAACAATCAAATTCTGTAAAGGAGTCAACATCCATCTGTATCCTCATGTGGGCAATTCGCAATTTCCAATTTATCAAACTGACGTCAAATAACGTAAAAGAGTTTTGCATGTGGGCTACCTTGACGTTTCTTTTTTTCTGTTCCCTCAACTTTGAGGCGATGACACATCTTGATAAGAATGCTCTTTCGAAAGGAACCGGCAATTAGAACGAGAAGACAAGACAATATCGGAACCTACAGAACAGTAACAAACAACTGTATAGAATCAAACACCATGACCCTATCTCTCGTATATTATCGGCTGCCTTGATTAGCTAAAAATACCTCAACTTTCCTTTTGAGTGGTCATTGCTGCAAAAGTATGCATCCAATAAAGAGCAATTACAAATGCAACCAAAGGTAAAAGTAATTGAACAAATAATCTGAGGAGGGGAGTACAAAATTTACAGCTCATAAATGTATGGTGCGGTGATGTGGGAACTTATATGAGGAGAGAACCCCAGCAATCAAACACTTACTCATTTTCCTTTTGATGTAAGGAGGTTTATCTCTGCCATTGAATTCAGCAAAGCAAACTGCCTCCTTCAAGGTGGGTGTGGATCAAACAACGTCTAATAGTTTCAATCAACAACTCATGACAGATAGTAAAGTCTGTTCCATTCAGTTAGCAGACACAATTCTGTGTGTTCTCTTTTTGTTTTTTTCTTTCTATCCTTTGCGCACCAATGATCATTTCAAGTAATTGCAACTACTTGATTAGGAATTCCTCAAGCCACTCGAATAACCCGTTTTAGAATACTTCTCACTACACACACACACACACACACACACCACAAAACACCACCTTCTCAATTGGGCAACTTGGCTGCAAAAAAAATGAAAAAAAAAAGAGAACATACAATTGACCATCTATTCGTGTAGGCAACTGTCTGGGGTGTAAGTTCAAGTGCGGTGAAGGATGGAGTGAGTGAAGTGGAGTGAGAACTATAGCAACTTGCAATACTTTTTTGCTGAGCGAAAATGTTGTGCACTCTTTGCTTATTTTCAAAAAACGCAATATATTTCAAGAGAAAAGACTATACAGTTATAACGTAAAGGAGGTCCTGGAATTGAAAGTGTAGTCAGAAACAAACAACCAAACAAACAAACAAACAAGAAAGTTTTGCAACTAAGTTGTGAAACTCTCTTCATAAAGAGATATCACATCCACCACCCATTACTTGAATCCCCCTATTGGTATTGTTGTTGATTAGGTATGTTGCTATTTTGCATGTTTGAAAAATACGCATAGTCACCATATGGCAAATTACCAGGTTGACCTCCCGGTTGACCCGGTTGTCCTGGAGGAGCACCTCCTGGATTACCGCCATACTGAGGAATACCGTGTGGACCTCCAGGACCTCCAGGACCTCCACCAGGTATTGGTGGCTGCGGTTGTTGTTGTTGTTGTTGCTGATGGTGTTGTTGGGCGGCAGCGGCAGCAGCTGCATGCTGTTGTTGCAATTGCGCATGTTGCTGTTGAACTTGTGGCTGCTGCTGTTGTTGTTGTTGTTGTTGTTGTTGTTGTGGAGCCACGGGAGGTGCAGGGCTTTGTTCAGGAGAGTCAGCTTGCTCACCATCACTTTGGTCTTGGTCGCCACCAAGCCCTTCCTCTGGAGCATTCAAACATGCTTGAATCAAGTTCTTACCTTCTGGCTTGGTAACCAATGGTTGCAATTTAGGCGTGGTGAAGGTGTAAACTAACCCAGTTTCAGAAACAACCAACAAAAGAACTTGGGTTCCTGTCAACACACTCAATTCGTAAGCTTTCTTCATTATACCGGCTTTTCTCTTACTAAATGTGATATGACGTCTGCTCTTATCTTGGATAAACTTGATCTCTATCTTTCTTCTCTCCTTTTGAGTCTTGCCAGATGATGGAATGTCATCGTCGTCGTCATCATCGGGTGGATTGGCTTGGGTAGCGTTGTTGATTGGGTTCCCATTGACGCCAGTTTCATACTCGGCAGTTTCCTCAATTTTGGTTGACATCTAAAGTAAATGTTAGTATCATCAACTTTGGTCTATTGAGATACAACAACGGTGGCGTACAAAGAGTGCGCTGTAGCATGAATCTGTGTAGAAAAAACTTCACGCAATAACGACCTTCCTAATCGGGGTAACTGCTTGATTCAACTGTTGAAAATCAAAATTTAATAACAAAGTTGTTTACAATTTGAGAATCAGTGGCAGTTTTCCCATGCACACTCCCTCAAGACTTCTCATATGCGCACTTGTGTTCCTGTTGTTTGCTTTTGGAAATTTTATACATACGGCCACAGTTGTGTGTGTATATAAATGTATCTCTATGACTGTCTGTGTTTATAAAAACCAATCTTGTGTATATATATTTTTGGATGGTTTCCTAGTTAGTCAAAGAGAGATTTTTATTTTTCCCTTCTGTCTCTCTCTCTTTCTCTCTCTTTCCCTTATTTTGGTTGTTGATTTTATTGCCCAATTGGGATTTCACAATTTGCTTAGTATGTGTGTATGGATGTGCAACATTTACGAATTTACTTGCACTAATAGTGCAGAAGTCGTGCTTGGTTCAATTATAGTCCTATACGCAATCAAACGGCGATAAGGGCGATGGGGCGATGGGGCAATAGGGCGAATAGGAGGAACAAGTTCTACTAAGGACTGCTTTGAAGAAAGTGTTACATTGCTAGTATGTTCTGAGAGATGAGCTACTTAGTTTCCATTGATTTGAACTTCGTGTTTCAAAGGCGAGTCCACTGGATTGACAGTTACCCCATCCACTTTGACCACAACCTCTTCCTTTACCGGGTCTACCGGTTCTACTACTTCAGGTGTAGACTGAACTGTGCTGGTGGGTGTCAGTTGCGCAGAAACTGCTTCACTCTTTGCTTCAAAATCCTCCTCTATATTCTCTCTTACTTCGATCCCCAATCTTTTCAAAATCTTGCTAGCCCTTTCTTTGAATTGAAGTTGACCTTGACCATCATCATCCTCACTAACTTGTTTTCTTTGATCCACAATAAGTGCTCGTAACAATTTGCTCTTTGATATTACCGATCTGGGCACTTTACTAATCAAACTCAGAAATTGAGTCAACAAATGACAGAGTTCATCGATGTTGGGTTTTTCAGTCAACAATTGCTCAAGAACATCCTCTTCAATCTGCCTGAATTTTGCAATTGCCTTTTCATAGAGCTGCGAGAACTCGCTGGCTTCGGGTACTTTGGCAAAAACAGTCTTTTGTTCCTCTAGACTATCGTAAATATAATTTCCCTCTTTGATACTGTACTTGTTAAAGTCCTGTACTCCCCAGTCGGAGTCATACTGAGCTAACAACTCCTCTTCTTCTCGTTTCTTTGCCTCTGCTAGACTTTTCTTGTCCACAGCCAGTGCAGGTGCAACCACTTTTTGTTTTTTACGAGGTGGAACCTTCACCACGACATCCTCCTCCTCCTCCTCCTCTTCTTCTTCTTCTCCTGTGTCAACAACATCATCACCCGCATTAGCGTCCACACCTTCTGGTGCTCCCTTTGATCCATATTTAATAAACTCCTTCATATCCAATGGATCTTTGGCAAGTTGAAAAGCTTGATCCAAAACAGTATCCTTTCTCCTCTTCTTGGAGCTTTGAAAAAAATGCGCAGCTATGTCTTCTTGGCTCAATGGTTTGATATCAGTAGACTTGATCCATATATAAGTATCATCGCTAAAGAATTTTATGGGTATGATATTGGGCGTTGGTTCGTGTTGTTTATTCATGGGTCGTTTGTTGAGAATATGTGATGGTAATAAGGATACATCTAACACCATTGCTGGCCATGCTGGGTATCCTTTGACTTTAGCTAGAACAATGCTTTTAGGTGGGTATTGTTCCGACATGACTGTGCAAATAAGGAAGCTTCTTGGACTGCTCTATGTTTGTTTGAGACGTGACGGGCAAAAAGAAGCGAAATTTTTCTGAGATGTCGAATTTGTTGTCTAATTTTTCTTTCAAAACTATTGAATGAAAGTTTTGCGACACGACACTGATTAACAACTGAGAGCAGCTCGATTTCATTACTTCAAATACATAGAGACAAATTGAGAAGCCGCTGCAAAGTCAGTGTACCATACAATCTATGCTAGCAATAGTAAGCACCGTGATATACGGACTAATAAGAAGGTGATAGATACAATTGTTGCTGTATTATATATGTATACACACACCCAAACACACCCAAACACACACACACATATTGCGCAAAATTGCAACAAACAAAAACAAAGACAAAACAGAAAAGAGAATGAAAGACGGAATCTCTCTCTTTCTCTCTTTCTTTTTCTTCCCCCCACACACACACACGTTCTTCAAGCGCTCAAAGCTATTCTTTTTTTTTTTTTTTTCTTTTGTACAATATACACTTAAGAGCCACAGATATAGTTTGTTTTTTGTTGGGGGGTAACACACACAACGCATCGTTCGCATACAAAGTGCTCCTACATCTTATTATTCAAATGGTTAATGTGCTTAGTTACATTGTTGCTTGGTGTTTAGAGTTAGACGATAGGGTTAATCTTGCTATTTGTCTACTTGTAATTATCGGATGATCAATTTTTTTTTTTGTATCAGTTGATGCACTTCTTGTCAGGAAATGTGCCAGTACACTGGATTCTCCTTTTGCAGCGGCTGTGAGCAGTAGGACTGAACGAGAGGAATCTTAACAGGAAACTATCCCAATGATAGAAGTAAGCTTTCGTATAACACTGTTCCGAATGCATATATTGGGCACTACCTACTAAACTCCGGCATTTTTTAATCCTCCCTACCCTCTATTAATAAACTATTGACTTACACAAAACCTCCAAAACTAACTAAAAAAAAAAAGAACTAGACAATTCTCTTTGAACCCCCTTTTACTTTTACTTTTAAATATTTAAGCATTCATCACAACTTCTTTCAATTGAGCTCATATTGTGTTGAACTTCCTGTCCTTCCTAGCCTTCCGTCCCTCTTTGCGCAAATGTCTCAAGATTACCTCACTCCATCAACTTTACCACACCCGCCCTTAAAGAGAACCAATACTGGGTTCACCCCCAACCAAATTATTGCCTTGGATGCCGAAATTCCCGCCTCGGCAAAAGAAGCATGGTTCAAATACTCCCAATTGGACATCTTGGACTCAAACTACCGAGGCCCCCGCAACAAATCGGACAATGTCCATACAATTGTTGACAATCCCGACAAGTTTGAAAAGGAGTTTGTAAACCATGTTGAAATGTCGTTGGGTAGGTCCATGTACAACTGTGACGAATTGGCTGCGTATCAAGCTGCTGCAAATACGGTTAGAGATGCGTTGGTGATTGATTGGTCCAATACGCAACAGAGACAAACCATTCAAGATGGGAAAAGAGTTTATTATTTGTCGTTGGAGTTTTTGATGGGAAGAGCCATGGATAACGCTTTGATAAATTTGAAATGTGAGCAGAATACTAGGGAATCGTTGAAGGATTTAGGCTTCAGCTTGGAGGATGTGTTGGAGCAAGAGCCAGATGCTGGTTTGGGTAATGGTGGGTTGGGTAGATTGGCCGCGTGTTTTGTTGATTCCTTGTCTTCGAAAAACTACTCTGGTTGGGGATATGGTCTCAACTACCAGTACGGTATCTTTAAACAAAAGATTATCGATAGCTATCAAGTGGAAACTCCAGATTATTGGTTGAGATACACCAATCCTTGGGTTTTGGATAGACATGAAATCCGAATCCCCGTTGACTTTTACGGGTATGTTTATCAAGAGCAAGACCCCAACACCGGCAAAGTGAAGAAGAGCTGGAGTGGTGGTGAAAGAATCTTGGCCGTTCCTGCAGATTTCCCAGTTCCAGGATACAACACCGACAATACAAATAATTTGAGATTGTGGAATGCCAAGCCTACTCATGAGTTTGATTTCACTAAATTCAATGCAGGTGATTATCAACAATCTGTAGCTGCTCAACAAAGAGCAGAAGCTATTACTGCTGTGCTTTACCCTAATGATAACTTTGAGCAAGGGAAAGAGTTGAGATTGAAACAACAATACTTTTGGGTGGCTGCTTCTTTGCACGATATTGTTCGCCGATTCAAAAAGAATCACAAAACCAACTGGGATAAGTTTCCTGATCAAGTTGCTATTCAATTGAACGATACGCACCCAACGTTGGCAATTGTTGAATTGCAAAGAATTTTGGTTGATTTGGAAGGTTTGGATTGGGATTATGCATGGTCAATTGTAACCAAAGTCTTTGCATATACCAATCATACAGTTTTGGCTGAAGCTTTAGAAAAATGGCCAGTTGACGTTATTGGTCATTTGCTTCCAAGACATTTGGAAATCATTTATGATATCAACTATTTCTTCTTGAAAGACGTCGAGCATAAATTCCCTAAAGACCGCGACTTGTTGAGAAGTGCGTCCATTATTGAAGAAGGATATCCTAAATCGGTGAGAATGGCTTACTTGGCTATTGTTGGCTCGCACAAGGTTAATGGTGTTGCCGAGTTGCACTCAGAATTGATCAAGACCACCATTTTCAAAGATTTTGTCAAGATTTTTGGTCCTGATAAATTCACAAATGTTACCAATGGTATCACTCCAAGACGGTGGTTGAGACAAGCCAACCCTGAATTGGCGGCATTGATTGCCAAGAAGTTGGATGATCCAAATTATGAGTACTTGACCAATTTGGGTAGATTGAAGAAGTTGGAGAATTTCATTGATGATGAAAAGTTTTTGCGAGAATGGGACGCCATCAAGTTCAACAACAAACGTAGATTGGCAGCTTTGATTAAACAAGAAACTGATGTTGATGTTGACCCTACTTTACTCTTTGATGTTCAAGTCAAGAGAATCCATGAGTACAAGAGACAACAAATGAATATCTTTTCAGTCATTTACAGATATTTGCATATCAAGGAATTGATTGCAAAAGGCGTCTCTATTGATGAGATCAAGGAGAAATACTACATTTCCAAAGCCTCCATCTTTGGTGGTAAAGCTGCGCCAGGTTACTACATGGCCAAAACTATCATTCACTTGATTTGTAAAGTGGGTGAGGTTGTCAACAATGACACTGGCATTGACAATCTTTTAAAAGTTGTTTTCATCCCCGATTACAATGTTTCAAAAGCTGAGATTATCTGTCCTGGATCCGACTTGTCCAACCACATTTCCACTGCAGGAACAGAGGCTTCAGGTACATCCAATATGAAGTTCGCCTTGAATGGTGGGTTAATCATTGGTACTGTTGATGGAGCCAATGTTGAAATCACGCGTGAAATTGGTGAAGAAAACATTTTCCTTTTTGGAAACTTGGCTGAGTCAGTTGATGAAATAAGACATAAACATTTTGTTGACGGGGTTCATATCCCCAAGACTTTGCAAAAAGTGTTTGACGCTATTCTCAGTGGGCAATTTGGTAACCCGGATGATTTCAAACCTTTGATTGAGAGTATTAGAGATCATGGTGATAATTATCTTGTTTCGGATGATTTCGACTTGTATTTGGATGCGCAAAGAAAAGTTGAAAATGTGTTTGGTCACCATGGTGCTGATGCCGAGGATGAGGACCACTTGAAGAGATGGGTTAGGAAATCGGTTTGGAGTGTTGCCAATATGGGCTTCTTCTCTAGTGATCGATGCATTGATGAATACGCTGAGAATATCTGGAATATTGAACCATCCAATATTTAATTGGTTTGGCTTTGGCTTTGGCTTTGGCTTTTTGTTGATTTTTTGTTGTTACTTTCCTTGTTAGATAGAAGTACAAGAAATGTATAGTACCCAGTTTAGAGTTGAATATTAAGAGAAAGTTTACTTGTTTAGAAGATAAATGCTTTGAGAATGAGAGTATCCTTTCCATCGGCGCTCCGAGTTTGTGGCGTGTTTGACTATTGTCTTCTCCACATACTAAGTTTGTGTACGTGACTGCTGTGCGTGAACTGCAGATTATCCGTTGTGTTAACTTGGTTGTGTTTCTTGGGAATATTGGACCATTCTCTCTTGAAGGGAAGGACTACACTCGAGTAAACTTGAGAGCTCAAAACAGGTCAGTGTTGGTCTCTGCGAGTTGGAACTGGTGGGTATAGTTTGATGTCATGACGTAATGACGTAGTGATTAAATTTAGTTTTTAAAGCCATTCAATGGAAAATTTCATCCATCCATTTTTTGTGTAAGTATTAACTCCGTGTGACATTAAAGCAAAGGAAAAAATAAAAAAAAAAAAGAAATTTGCCGTGGGATCAATTTATGACAACTAAAAAGTGAAAAGCTTGGCGAATCTAACGTGACTGGAGAGAATATCCACAAAATGGTATTCTTGGGTAGCAATGTTTAGCTCTACTTGATTTACGTGCAACCTGAAGTTGAAGCTCGCAACTGGCAACCTGGTGAATCTATAGCTAATCGAGAAGCTTATATCGAGTTGTAAACTACAAATTTTGAGGTGACTTGAAAAGCTCTCCTGAGTTACATGAATGTCGCTTACCGGGAATACACAATGAGGCTGTAATTGATTTCTGGAGCTAAGGAGCCAGTAATATGCTAGCCAAGTGTAATTTGTGATACTCAGGCCGTGTCAAAGGACTATTTATAGAACAACTCAACTGATCTGTCTACGTGAGAAAAAACGCCATAAAGTGCTGCACCGTTAATTCCAACGAACACAAACAATAAAAACGTATTGCACCAACTGCCCATCTCCGAAGGATCGTGGCCAGAAGCTGCAGAAACCACTCTATAAACGACATACACCTCAAATCAAGCAATAGCACTCCGCAGACAAATATTTCTGCAAACAAATGTAACGTACCCGAACTCCGCACATCCTGTATATAAATAGCTTTATTGTTTTGTTACTTTGCACTAAATTCTTCTTCCCCACCTTTATTTCGAGAAAGCGCGGAATAAAGATAAACCCTGGTTGCAATTATAGATTGCACTCGTCGTTTGGCTGCATGAGAGCAGCTTGACCAGTTTATGGCTCTACTCTTCACCTACAATCCTAGCTTGAAACAAAGTGCGCATCCTTCCCCCCACATTAGCAAATTTGCTGCAACATTGGCTATTGTGCATGCATAAACTCAAAGTTGGAGGTTTGTAAAAAAATTTTCCTTCAAAGAACAATAACTGAGCTATTTTGTGTACATTGTTTTTATTACTGGAACGGCATATGTTGTGCAACAAACTATAAACAGAAACACGCTATTGATTCTGAAATCTGGAGGGAGTGGGGGGAGAGGGTTTCAGCTGGAGGGATAGTACTATATAAATAAGGGACAATTTTGCCAAACAGCTCTGAAATGAAATCTGTTGCTTCTTTTCCATGTTATCACCCACTATGGATTCCGACGAAGTTAAAGCAACAGTTTCTGAGAGCGACCAGCTCTCTGGGACATCCAAACAGTTTCAAAATGTCGATTTGAATGAATGCGAAGACCCTGAAAGAGTACATACATTTTTGGGAATGTCTGGACCAAAACTAAACTATGCCGTCTCAGTGTTTGCTGGTGTAGGTTTCTTGCTATTTGGTTATGATCAAGGTGTTTATGGAAGTTTATTGAGTCTTGACTCGTTTGAGAAAACGTTTCCCTCAATGAAAGCAAGTGTCAACTCAACGCTACAGGGGGCAGTTATTGCCGTTTATGAACTAGGCTGTGGGTTTGCTGCTTTGTCAACCGTTTATCTTGGTGACAGGTTGGGGAGAATCAAATGTATGTTTTTGGGATGTGTTATTGTTTTGATTGGAGCTGCCTTGCAAGCTTCGGCATTCACGGTGACGCATTTGGCAATTGCAAGAGTATTTTCTGGGTTTGGAACTGGTTACTTGACCTCCACTGTGCCTGTTTGGTCGTCGGAAATGAGTAAAGCCAAGTCGAGAGGTAAGTTGATTATGATGGAGGGTAGTTTGATCACTTTGGGAATTGCTATTTCGTATTGGATCGATTTTGGGTTTTACTTTGTTGATAGAGGTGGAAATGACAGCAAAGCCATTTCCTGGAGAATCCCCGTTGTGCTTCAAGTCATATTCCCAATCCTTTTGATTGTTTTTGTTTTCAAATTCCCAGAATCACCACGTTGGTTAATGGCCAAGGGAAGGGTTAGAGAAGCCAGGATTGTGTTTAGTGCATTGTACAACCTTCCTGAAGGAGATGAAAAGATAACTGATCAGTTGACTGAGATTCAAAGTGCTCTTGACTTGGAGAAATCTAATGATCAAGGCTTCAGTCTCAAAGCATTGACTACGCAAGGGGCAACCAGAAATTTCCATCGGTTGAGTTTGGCATGCTGGTCCCAGATTATGCAACAAATTTCGGGAATCAATTTGATCACATACTATGCTGGAACCATTTTCCAAAACTATCTTCACATGGAACCACTTCAATCGAGAATTCTTGCTGCTTGTAACGGTACTGAGTACTTTTTGGCGTCACTTTTTGGAATCTTGTTTATTGAAAGAGTTGGGAGAAGGAAATTGTTATTCTGGGGTGCTATTGGCCAGTCTCTTTCGATGGTAGCATTGACTGTTGCCGCATGGAAATCACAAGTGGCTTACGATACAGGCAAGAGCAGCACCTCGGCTGGTGTTGCCGCCACTGTGTTTTTGTTTGTTTTCAATTCCGTTTTCGGTATGACGTACCTTGGTGCAACATGGTTATACCCGCCTGAAATTTCGGCATTGCAATTGAGAGCTCCTACTGCTGCATTATCAACAGCAAGTAACTGGGCATTCAACTTTCTTATAGTTATGATTACCCCAGTTGCTTTTGAACACATCAAGTACTACACTTACACCATCTTTGCTGTAATCAATATTTTGATGGCACCAGCCATTTATTTTCTTTACCCTGAAACTGCAGGTCGTACATTGGAAGAGATGGATTATATTTTCAACCAATGTCCAGTTATGGAGCCATGGAAGGTTGTGCAAATTGAAAAGCGTACTCCAAAAAGAATCCATGGTACTGATTTGGAAAAGCCGACTACTGAACATATTGACGATGTGGATGCAGAAGATTTACTTGTAAAGTGAATGTGTATAAAATATTTGAATTTAAAGTTATTAGAGTTGAATTCAAGTGTAGAGTGGATCGTAGTATTTATTCACCTGCGCGTGTTTGCAAATTTGATGCGACAATATGTGTTTTTTTGCGCGTCACAACTTTTTTTTTATTTTTATTTTTTTTCGCTATTTTGATATGTTTTCCAGATATTTCCCCCATCTCCATCAGGGAATTAATTTGTGAGACCAATGCCAGATTTACTTCAATTGATCGTCAACCAGACGTCTCCAGATAACATTGTTCGAAAATCTTCAGAGCTAGAATTCAATGAGGTTGTGAAACAGAACCCATCCGAGACTACGTATTTAATACTAGAAGCATCACTAAACAATTCGATCTCTGTTGATATCCGACAATCTTGTTTACTTCACTTGAAAAGACTAGTGCCCAAGTTCTGGTCATTGGGGTTCCCTTCTTTCATTGGACCGCCAATTGATCAAGAGTTGAAGAAAGTTGTGAGAACTAAATTGTTGGAATTGGTTTTGGGGTCGGGAAATTCCAAACTCAGAAATGGGGCTGCTTACGCGATTGTGCAGATTGCATCGGTTGATTACCCTGACGAATGGCCGGACTTGATTAATCAATTGTATACAGCTGCTTCTGATTTGAGCAATGAGGATGCAATGTTGGGTGGATTGCAAGTGTTGACCGATTTGATCGATGATTTGATCACAGAAGAGCAATTTTGGAATGAGGGGGTGGGTCTTGGTATCAACACCCATTTGAACCAAATCTTGCAAAACTCGGGGGTAAACATCTCGGTAAAAAAACAAGCTTTAAAGTTGTATGAGAACGTTGTGGCAGTTTATGAGAGTCCTGAAGCGTTTGCCAATGCAGCTAGGAAGGAGACTGTTCTTCAACAGATTAACGAAACTTTACAAATTTTGTTGAACTTGATAAAATCAGACGGCACGAATTTGATTCAGTTGGACTTCAAAAGCAACTTATTCAAAGTACTTGCTTCAGTCGTGGGCCACTTCCACAAGCGGATTGCAATCGATTTGAAACGAAACTTGATGATAGCCACGGTTCAAAACTTGCATTTGTTAGCTCCGGTGTACAATGCTGTTGCGTTGAACACGTTTGATGCGCCCCAGCTGTCCGAGTTGGATGCACAAGAAACTCTCAATGCTTTGATTTACAACTTGTTCAACACTATAGCTAGTATTCAACACGATGTACTGATTTCCAGCGTGTCCCCCATTGAGGAATTTTACAATGATGCAGTTGTGTGCTCGGCATTGCCTAAGGAGAAATTGGAAGAGTATGATGAAGACATCAATCTGTATGTGAGTGATATTACTGGCCTATCCGTGGACATTATTGCTCGTGATGCAATACTAGACTTTTGGGGTGAATTGAATGAAACCGATGCCCGTGGGATTTGCAATTTGATTGTCGGACAGTTTTTCACTGATGAGAGATTACTAGAGGCCGAGCTTTACACATTGGAAGGCTTGTTGTCAAACGATGTGAAGCTACCAGAAGTTGAATTGAACAGGTTGCTTTCAATTATAACTTATAACAGCAAGATAGTTGCGTCTCGATGCATATTACTTTTGCCAAAGTACTTTGAAAATTTCATGGAAAAAGAGGCACGTAGGGTGTTTGCCGACATTATTTCGTTTGCCGAAAAGGGAGATGCGCTAATCCGGGTGTCTGCGCTTGTCAGCTGTGGGTATTTCCAGCAAGTGATTGAATTTTCGGCCTTGGACAACTCTCTTCAGTTAACCATATTTCAACTTGTTTACTCGTTGGTGGATGAGTGTGAGGAAGATGGACTCCCTGTCTTGTTGGAGGCTATAACACTGGCAATATCAATCAACCAATCAAATGCAGCAAAGTCACAAATTGTAGTTGGGGTTTCCGTCGTTGACTTGATTTTCAAAATTGCATTCAAGGACCCAGCCAATGTGCAGTTAATCTCTGATTCCTCAGACTGCTTAACTGAGCTATTACTAGGCATTGACACTCAAGACTACATCAATGCTTGTGAAAAATCGTTGCCTTTTATATTTGAAGTTATGGAGCAGAGCAATGGCGAATATACACCTCAGTTGTATTTGAGTTTGGAACATCTTGGTATAATTGTGAAATCAGCCCCTGGGGAATTGCCCGCCAAAATATTTGAATACGCGTATCCAATATTACAAAATGTCTTACTTAAATCATCAGACGACCAGGTACTCCAAAGTGGTGGTGAAGTGTTTGATGAATTGATCTGCAAAGCATCCGGTTTGTTCATCAACTACAAAGATCCATCTGGCGTTTCCGGACTTGAGTCAATGATGCAAATTGTCTCCAAGTTTTTATCTCCCCAGTTGTCCGATAGTGCTGCAAATAAATGTGGATTGATAGTGGCATCACTAGTGAGCGAATTTCAAGACTATTTATCTCCAGGGTTATTGATCCAAATCCTTGAAGCGACTGTCAATCGACTTGTAATTGCAAAAGAATCCGTCACAATTGAAAACTTGATTATGGTATTTTGCAAGCTCGTGTTAAAGTCTCCACAAGATACAATCAACTTTTTAAGCAGCATGGTGGTGAATGGCAAATCTGGATTAGAGGCGGTATTGCCCATCTGGTTTGATTCATACGAAGTTACTAGAGGATTTGATCAAATAAAGCAAAACTCACTAGCATTGGCGAGAATATTCACCTTGGGTGACCCGAGAATTTCCAATTTGTTGGTGAATGGTGAGATTATCCCATATGATGGAGACTTGATTATTACAAGATCCATGGCCAAATCGATGCCGGATAGATATACCCAAATCTCGGCAGCATTAAAAATTTTGAAGCTCTTGGTTGGAGAGTTGCAGTTCCAATGCCAACAACCAGGAGTTGGCGATTATGCACAAGCCCATGCAGTCGTAGAAGAAGAAATAGAAGAAGAAGAAGAAGACGAGGAACAAAAGGCAAATAACAATGATGTACATGCTGACGATGATGAGGATGGGTGGGAAGATATGGATGATATTGGAGTGCCCAACTTTGCCAAGTTGAAGGCGTACATTAACGATGATCACAAGGACAAGCCTGATGATGATAGTTTGAAGACCTTGTTGGTGGAATTTTTCAGAGAATGTACAAGCAAGAATCTTGGCAACTTCGGTCACTATTATGAAGAATTGAATGATAAAGAGAAGACGATTATAGGCGAGTGTCTAATCTTTTAGACAAGACTTTGTGTGTGTATAGATTTCCAGTGTTGTGTCGTATAACCTAAACACGACACTAATTATTTTTCTTTTTTTTTTTTTGGTTTTCTTTTTTTGTCATCGCATCTCCGACATCTCTCTCTCTCTCTCTCTCTCTCTCTCTTTTCACAATTCTAGACTCAAAAGATTGACCTTTACTCATTGTAAATAGGTTCATGAAAAGTCTACTGCGAGCCATGTCGTTCACCACTAAACTCCTCAAGGTTAAACCAGAGCTGATAATCTTCTCAAAAGATCAACTCCTACCTCGTATCAATGATAAGGAGACTGAAGAAAATCTTAAAATCGCAGCAAAGGAGTTGCAAACCACCGACAATGTGATTGGGTTTCCCACTGAAACAGTTTATGGTCTTGGTGGGTCGGCATTGTCTGACGAATCGGTGAAATCCATTTACAGAGCCAAGAATAGACCAGCAGATAACCCATTGATTGTTCACGTATCGTCACTTGCCCAGTTGCAAAAGAAGCTTCTACCTCCAGATTACAAAATACCACAAATTTACCAGAGATTGATAGATGAGTTTTGGCCCGGTCCATTGACTATTCTACTACCTGTGCATAAAGGTTCACCCATTTCCAAGTATGTCACCGCAAATCAGGATACTTTTGCCGTGAGGATGCCCCAGCATCCAGTTGCCAGGGCATTGATTGCAATCAGCGATTTGCCATTAGCTGCTCCCTCGGCCAATTCATCGACTAAACCGAGCCCTACAATGGCGCAACATGTAATGCACGACTTGCTGGGGAAAATACCGATTGTTTTGGACGGTGGGCTGAGTGATGTTGGAGTGGAATCAACTGTGGTAAATGGCCTTTGTTCACCACCAATGCTTCTTCGTCCTGGTGGAATCTCGGTAGAGGAGTTGAAAAGAGTTGGGGGAGAGGAGTGGGAACATGTGCAGATTGCCAAGCGGACAGCCGAAAGTAACGAGGCGGTGAAAACACCCGGAATGAAGTATAAGCATTATTCACCAAATGCAAAGGTTATATTATTCATCAATTGCGGCAATGGAGAGGAACTGATTGCTGAATATGTAAAGTCAAACCATATAGACTTGAACCAGACAAAAGTTGCATTACTAAAATCAAAACAGTTTAAGGATTTCAAAGGCATAGAAGTTGTTAAAGATTTAGGTAAAAGTGGAGAGGACATTTCGAGAAATTTATTCAAGTTATTGAGACAAGTGGATGAGGAAGACAAGGTGGATATTATCTTTGTGGAGGGTGTGGACGAAACAAACGAAGGGCTAGCAATCATGAACAGGTTGAACAAGGCTGCAGTCGAGGTGGTAGAGAAGTGAATAGACAGTGAGTATTGTGAGGAAACGACATTGCAAAATTGAAGTAATTTGCTTCTGGTTATCTGAAAGGGGAAATTTTTTTTGTAATGTACCGAGCGGAATTTATGGGGCGGGTCCAAAGATTGTATAACGCGAGAAACAGCGTAGAATGTGGCGAATATTGCTACGCCCAGTGGTCCATATCGATACACTTTGACGTTTTCACAGAGAGTAATGTTGATTTTCTATGTATGAAGGTAGCAAGAAACAGGGTAGGTATCATCCTTTGCTGTACTTTGTGAATAGATTGACTCTTCTTTACACTGAAAAATCTTTTGCTCTTCGTCATCATGATCTTCTTCTTCCTACAATTTTATTTTATTCCTTTTTTTATTTTTATTTTTTTAATTTATTTCTTCTCACTATGCCAAACAGACAAACAGACAGAAAAAAAAAGAAGAGAAAGAAAAAAAAAAAAAAAAAAAAACCTCAACGGGCATTAAAATAATCTTCCACGTCTAATTTTCCAAAACAGTTTCAATCTTTCCAATCTTTTGCAACACGCTTTCAACGATTTATCAATTAAACCAACAAACCAATCAATCAACCATCAGTCACATTCCCTACCCCAGAAACTTGGCTCTATTTTTTCCATTAACACACGAAAAACCTTTTGCGTCAATACACATTCCCATGAAAGTATGAGCAATCCCTTTGACATTGATCCAGAGCAAGTCAAGTTACCACACAAGGCTTATACGCCATCACTAAAATTTTGTTCCAAATCCGTTGAAGAAACGGCGACAGAGCTAGCCACTGATCTAAAGCTAGGGTTGAGCAGCAATCAAGATGTGTTGAATCGCAGATCGATATATGGGTCAAACGAATTGAATAGTGAGGATGACGACAGTTTAGTATGGAAGTTTATTTCATCGTTTTATCAAGATCCATTGATATTGTTGTTGATTGGGTCGGCAATTATTAGTTTCTGGATGGGTAATAGAGATGATGCCATTAGTATTACTTTGGCAATCACGATTGTCGTCACCGTGGGGTTTGTTCAAGAGTATAGATCTGAGAAATCTTTGGAGGCGTTGAATAAATTGGTGCCAGCTGAGGCCAAATTAACGAGAAATGGCAACACATCGCATGTTTTGGCATCAACTGTTGTTCCAGGAGATTTGGTCCATTTTTCACAAGGTGATAGAATACCAGCAGATATAAGATTAACCGAAGCTGTGTACTTGACTATCGACGAGAGTAACTTGACAGGAGAAAACAGACCAGTGAAAAAGACCACCGATGAAGTGACGATGAAGGAACCGCCTGTGAATGAGAGGACCGATATTGCGTTCATGGGCACTTTGGTCAGAGATGGACATGGAAGTGGTATAGTTGTTGGTGTAGGAGCCCAAACTGTATTTGGTACCGTTTTCGAAATGATGAGTGAAATTGAAAAACCAAAAACGCCGTTGCAACAAGCAATGGATAAATTAGGTAAAGAGTTGAGTATCTTTAGTTTTATTGTCATTGGGTTGATTTGTCTTATTGGAATTTTCCAAGGTAGGTCCTGGCTAGATATGTTTCAGATTTCAGTTTCCTTGGCCGTGGCGGCTATCCCTGAAGGTCTACCTATTATAGTCACAGTGACATTGGCGTTGGGAGTGTTGCGGATGGCAAAACAAAAAGCCATAGTAAAGAGATTACCCAGTGTTGAGACTTTGGGATCGGTTAATGTAATTTGTTCAGATAAAACAGGGACTTTGACTCAGAACCATATGACAGTGACCAAAATCTGGACTGCTGATTTCAAAGGCAGTTTCAACACTCCATTTCTCGTTGTTGAAAGGCTCGACGATAATGCCTTACACCACCAATTGACAGACAACATGAGAAAAGTTTTGGAGTGTGGTAACATATGTAACAATGCTCGATATTCCACTGAAAATGAGAAGTACGTGGGTAATCCTAGTGACATTGCTTTGGTTGAATGTTTGCCTCATTTCGGACTCGAGGATATACGAGGACAAAGGGAGAGGGTGTACGAGTTGCCCTTCTCTTCTTCAAAGAAATACATGGCTGTTTGCGTGCACAGTGGTGATATGGATAAATCAGAGACGTTGGCAAAGGGAGCTACTGAAAAGATTTTAGCGCACTGTAGTAAATACTACGACGAAAATGGTCAAGAAAAACCGCTAACCAGTGCGGTGCAGGACCTCATTCACGACAAATCCAAACTATTGGCTCATGATGGTTTGAGAGTTTTGGCATTTGCTCAAAACAACAAGAAGTTTCTCAATGAAAAGGATCAACACAGTGAGCCTGAGGAATTGATATTTTGTGGGTTGATTGGTATGAAGGACCCACCTAGACCCAATGTCGGCAAATCCATCTCGATGTTGATGAAAGGTGGTGTTCATGTTATCATGATTACTGGGGATTCTCCTTCGACTGCGGTGAACATTGCCAAACAAATTGGCATGCCCATCACTGGAGACCATTCAGTGATGACTGGAGACCAAATAGACCAGCTTAAAGAAGGTACATTGAGTGAAGCCATTCATAATGTGTCTGTTTTTGCAAGGACCACACCCGAACATAAGGTCAAGATTGTTAAGGCATTGCAGCGCAGGGGCGATATTGTTGCCATGACTGGAGATGGTGTAAACGATGCACCGGCGTTGAAATTGGCCGATATTGGTATTGCTATGGGTAAGAATGGGACTGATGTTGCCAAGGAGGCGGCAGATATGGTGTTGACTGATGATGATTTCAGTACTATATTGAGTGCCATTGAAGAAGGTAAAGGGATATTCAACAATATTCAAAATTTCATTACATTCCAATTGAGTACCAGTATTGCTGCCTTGACTCTTGTTGCATTGAGTACATTTTTTGGATTGCCTAATCCATTAAATGCCATGCAAATTCTCTGGATCAATATATTGATGGATGGACCACCAGCCCAATCCTTGGGAGTTGAGCCAGTTGACCATGAAGTTATGAATAAGCCTCCCAGAAAGCGTAATGACAAGATCCTCACCACTCATTTGATCAAGCGGGTACTACAATCAGCAGCCATCATCATTATTGGCACGTTGTACATTTTTGTCAAGGAGATGGAGGATGGGCAAATCACATCTAGGGACACCACAATGACCTTCACGTGCTTTGTGTTGTTTGACATGTTTAATGCGTTATCATGTCGTCATTATTCCAAATCGATATTCACCATGGGGTTGAGTAATCAAATGTTTAATTTTGCCGTGTTGGGATCATTGGCTGGGCAGCTATGTGCCGTTTACGTGCCGTTTTTCCAAGGCATTTTCCAAACCGAAGCATTGTCGTTGGGGGATATCGTGCATTTGTTGATGTTGACGAGCACGGTGTTTATTGCTGATGAAGTGAGAAAGTATTTCGTTAGGCGGAGGACAATAACTACTAATAATTACAATTATGGGGTATAGAGTTAGAGAGGCGAGGAGGTGAGGGAGAGAATGTAACAGTTGTTGGGTATATAAATAGTATAGAAAAAAAGAACGATACTTGACACTACTTGAATTGCATAACGATCGAATGTAACGATTTGTTGCCGCTGGTATCGTCTTGTTGCAAACGAGCTATGATATCCTCTGTAGTCCATTGCTTAGTTTCATAAGATTCAATCAGTTTGGCAAGGTTGAACAACCGTTGGTGCAAGGACGTGTACCTCTCAATCAACTTTTGATCGAGTTTAGGGATCTTTGAGTTTTGAATCAAGTACTCGGCCCCAGTATCGGGGAAAATGTTGACAATCAACCCGACAAGATCAAAGAGTGTATTCATTTGAGTATTGTGTTTCATGGCTAGTTCTGACAAGTTTACTGGATCACTGCAGAGTTGCTTTGTTTTGGCTCGAAGATGATACTTGATTGGATTGGTTTCGATATCGTGGCATAGTTTGTATAACCATTCAAATTGAAACTCTTTTGGGTCAATGGTGATTAATTTAGCGTATTTGAAATATACGCCAAGTTGATCCAATGATTTGTGAAGGAGGGCGTATTTGGAAGTGCCGCTGGGGAATCTATCGTATACGTTCATGCACAATTCTGGGTTTGGTTCGGGGAAGTTGGCGAAATGGGTTTGCAATTGTGGGGGGATATCGAGATTAGGGAGTTTCAATTTGTACAACACTCCCTTGATGTTGCCCCAATGAACGCAACTTTTCAAAGCCACCAACACGTCAAGTGAACTCAACGCTTCTTCACCAAAATACTCTTCAACGTATCGTTTCATATACTCTCCTTCCAACTTGGTTCCTATGTGATGATCAGTATGGAGGAAATTCAATTTTGAGCAAATTAGCAAATTGATACCCCAGTTTATATGTTGTTGTGTGATGGGATGCTGATTTATAAATGCATCTGCTTCGGATTGGACAACACGAGGGTCATATTTAGCATTTTTGAAATGAATAATACTCGAATTCTCTTCTTCATACCAATGATTAACTTCCAATTCGCGAGCTAGACCAAGAATCGTACAACAAAATTGCGGATACGTGGTGAGGATGTCTCCGATATTCATCAATATGGAGAATGCAGAATAGAGCGAGAGTTTCAAATCGAGATTTTCGGGACATATGACCAAATGCTTGTCTTCTTGTCGTATACGTTGAAATGAGTTATTGACGAATCGATATTTGCGACCTTTTTTGTTGTACTCGACTTTGGAAAGGTGGTCGATCTCGTCGAGTAGGTAGTCTGAGTAGTAGATGAGTGCATCTGATGTAGACACCGGTGCAGATATGTCGACTGCTGTTGCCGTTGCTGTTGCCGTTGCTGTTGCTGTCATTTGTCTTGTGTGTGTGGGGAGGGACGGGGACTGTAATCTTCTTGTTGTTGTTGTTGTTGTTGTTGTTGTTGTTGTTGTTGTTGTTGTCTGGTGAATTTTTTGATTTTGTTGGTTTACATTTTTCGCAATGTGATGTCGCGAGATTGACGACACTGTAGCATGAGACAGAGTAGTCCCAGAAGCATCTTGGCTCTACTAGTCGAGCACCGATCTTGATTCTAATAAGAAAAAGTGGATAGTGCTTTCTCTGCTGCAATTGGTGTTGCTTCACGTTGGCTTGTACGGTTTTCACACGGAACAATTTCAGTACCAATTTGATTGCAAAATATCAACCGTGACGAGAAATTCCGCCAAGTTAAAAAGAAGAGTAATTGAAAAGGATCAATATGATCCATAAGAACTAATTACGTAGAACAGTAGAGTTTGTTCTTTGAATTATAGAGCTCGAACCCTAGACAGTCAAATCTAGTCGAAATCCATGTCTGATTGAATCGAAAGAGTACATGCATCATTGACACAACCAATTTACATCAGCTTCCCTCGTGCCATTCAGTTACAAAGATAACCCAGCCAAGAAATCTGATGGAGACATAACAAAAATTGTGTCGGGAATTCAATTTGTTTTGTTGTTTTTGATTTTTTTTTATTTTATTTTATTTTTTTTTGATGCCGCATGGACAATTAAAGAGAATACAATGTGCGTCAAAAAATTTAGAGACGATATGGGAAATGACCCCTTGTGCATAAAATAAACAAATGAAACTCACAACCGAAATGCTTTATACACATCAGACAAAGGGAGAAGAAGGTCTAGGCTATGAGCAAATTTCGTTTTGTCTCGACTAAAATGCAGACATGAAATTTTGGTACCCTTTAGTCAGCGGTAATTTTTTCTTTTATTGTACGTTTAATTCTGTGTCCTTTTTTGACACCTGTCAAAAATTTTTTATCTAGCGTAAGACAACAATTATTTATTAGAGAGACAACAACGTAAAACTGTGGCATTCGTTTCCTAGCGATGAAACCCTTGAGTCCGATACACGAAGTTGTTAGAAGCCTATTGCTTTAATGGCCTTTGAGCGAAATCCGAGTTTTCTCAGATAGACTTCTAACAGCAAATACGTCTACAAAGAATAAACGTGAGTATACAGTGCCATTTTGTTGTGCTGGGTATTCACAACCAAGCAGGACATACATGCACCACTTCTTACTCCTCCTTTCAACAGTCCTTCGTTGCTCTCCTATTTTTCCTTTTTGCTTGCGTGCGTTATTTTTTTTTTCCCGCGTTCCGATGTGACCGGTTGGAGTTCGGACCGGCGTTATTAACAGAACCGGAGATAGAATCGCGAATCCTTTTTCTTTGTTGTTCTTCTTTTTGTTTGTGTTGCGCAAAGAGAATGGTGGTGCAATTCGTAGCATTAGTACACTCACACAGATATAGATGTTATTATATTTGTATTTGTTGGTTTACTGAAATTTCTTGGCAAAAGAGGTTTTGACAAGCAAGTGACTTTTCTAATCACAATAGCAGTGAAGGAAGAAGGAAGAAGGAAGAAGGAAGAAGGAAGAAGGAAGAAGGAAAAGGAAAGCTAGAGGTAAATTATCCGTCATTGCTACGTTAGTTATTATGTTCTAATCACAGTGAACTTGGATGCCACTTGGTAAAGTTTTGCAAACACCACAGAGCATGCGTATGTTTAGATATGTTTTGAAATTAGGAATGCGATTTGCAATAAACCGCCTTAGGCGAATCTAAAAAACGTGTGGAAAAAGTGTATCGTAAGTTTATGCAGATCTATTTTGATAAACAGTTGGCCACTTAATTTAATTTAATATTTTTTTTTTAACCATTTTTACTTTAATATTTTCTCTCTCTCTCTCTCTCTTTCTCTTTCTCTGTGGTTATGAGTTTTCCTTACATTGACCACCACTTTAAAAGTTTAGTTTAGGAGGTGTTATCAAACTGCTACGCCAACAATAGTGGAATTCTAAGCCTTTTTTGTCTAATGGTTACTGGATTTGGCGAAGCTTGTCAAATTAGAAAGTTAACAACAGTGGTACTAATGTGTCTACGGTGAACTGCTGCGTATGGTACTCTCTGATGACACTCTCTCCATACAATACCGTCAAGACAGAGAACCCAAGAGTGGTGTCACTTTCAAATCAAAAAAAAAAAAAATAAAGAAATGGCTTAATGGCCCCCTATTAACTAAAAGCATGCAAAAATATTTTCTTAATCCTTTACCAAAAACTTCTGGGTTGGAAGTAGGTACATTTGGTTTAAAACGGAATTGAACAAAGAATACAAAATAAAAAAAGACTTGGCACAGGAGGAGGAGAAGAGAGAGACAAAAAGAAAAAGAAAGTTGAGCTATGCGTGGATTATCTGCATGGGTGACTAGCAATCGTAACAAGCACCCTGTTGCCATGCAAGTTAACCCCTATCTTTATATCTCTCTCTCTCTCTCTCTTTCTCTATCACGCTACAGAATTTCATCTCACTAATGCCATATGTGAATTAACACACGACACAGCATTGAAGTATTATATCAATGGTTTGTAGTGTGTGCAAACCAAAAGAGCACAAAACAACGAGGAGAGAATAGAGCAAATGAAATGTGTAAGGATGAATTACACAAAGATGACAAAATTCAAATACCGAAGTGAGATCTTCTGTTACACAAAACTTCACAATAGACAGAGAAAAAAAAGAAAGAAGTAAAGAGGAAAAAACTGCAGGTAGAAATTTTCAGACACAGAATTAGTAAAACACAGCAGTTTCTGCAGACACGAATATTAGAGAATACAAAATCTGACACTTTTCTAATTTTTGTGTATTTAAAAAAGGGATGAATCTTTCACAGATTGTTAATTGTTGAGATATGGTTCATCTTCACGTACTGCAATCACGCATGCCAATACTTTGTAGCTTATAAGAGGCAATTGTAAGCTAAATTACCTCATTTATGTACAGCTGTCTTGATAACGTCTTGTTATGTTTTGTCATCGCCTGCACAATAGGGAATTTCATATTTGCTACAGTGTTGGCAGCGTCACCCTTCACCCTTTTTTTCTTTTTTTTAATCCAATACGGAATTGTGTGTTGAGAGGTCACTTTGTGAGTGTATATACTGAGTGCCGTCAGTGTGTACGGAAGTGTGCCCGTGTCTAAAACTAGAAGATTTGCTTGTTTATGTTTATGTTTATGTTTACCTTTACGCTTTAAGCTTCTATTAATAAAAGAAAAAAACAACAACAGTAGAGTTGTGTGAGTAGAGTGTGATTGACGTTTTGAAAAAGGATCGTTTACAAAAGTAATTTTCTCAACTCAACACAAAGTTTAATTTTCTTTTTTATTTATTTGTGAGTTTTGTAACCTACGGATATTAGACGGGGCTTATTTTCCTGTATTAGTAAGTACTTTAACCCGCAACCCGAAAAAACCGTGCTATTGTTTATTATCAATAACTTCTTGTCATTCGTCATTAGGTGTATGAAATTCAAACTGGTTAAAAAGGAAGAACAGCTGCTATAGAGATAGAGACTCTTCACCCTGCTTCTTAGTGGTGTTCAATTACCAAAGAGAGAGAGAGAAAAAGAAGTCTCTAGAGTCTTGAGGAGAGCCCATGCGCTATCTCATCTTGGAATTTGGGCGAAATATGTCTTTGCTGCATTTGGCTATATATATATTTTCCTTTGTGGTCATACCCTTGTGTAGGTATGTTTGCTGACACCAATACCATTGTCTCAACGTTTGACTTCTATTGCTATTTCAGTGTGTTAGCTTTAATGGATTAAAAAGTCCGAGAGAGGGATAACGTCACACATTTTCTAAAAGCCTCTCCTTCCCAATACGAACTCAATTACAGTCACCTACTTGAGATGTACGAGGCTTTGTCTCCTGAAACTACTTCTATTCTTCCGAGCATTTCGTGCATAAGGAGATTACAACAGGAGGAAAAACGACAATCATAACAAGTATCTGTACAAATGAAATTTTTGTATTATCACAAAACAAAATAAACAATACCTCTCTATTGTCGATCGTCACATTCTTTTGTTCACTGTCATATCAATCTTTCGTGGGTATCTGTGCCTCGTCGCCTTGAATTATTAGAACATGTGATACTCACTACATCGATGGCTTAAACTCAAACGTGTTGTCATTATTTTTCGGAGTCGGGTATCCGTTGATACCGATAGAAAGGGACACATACAAAGTCAGTTGGAAAGAGTTGACAGCAAACACACTCATGCTATCTACCTCTATAGATAATAGCTTCTTTGTAAAGGGTGTTGAGGGACTCCCTCTGGCAACTATCATCCCACCCCCCTTTTCTTTGTCGTTGCTTGTTCGTATATGCATTGTGTGTGCACATAGTGATCAAATCTGGATTGGTTTACGATCCAACAAAGAAAAAAAAAAAATAAAAATAAAAAGTATTCTTTTCTATTCTCTTTTACTCTTCTCTTCCCTTTGAGTGAAAACAGAGATGAAGAAAAACAAAGGAAACCAGAGACAATAGGAAATTCAGGAACAGACAGCAGAGTGTGTATTGCACAATTTCAGACACGACTGCTACTTGCAACACATACAGTACACACACAGCCACTCATAAGCACCAGGATTTTTAGTAATTTTTGGAAAGTGACAGATTACCTGGTTGTGCTTTAAAAGAGTTTCCCATTTCCTTCTTCTTTCTCTGCATGCTTTATATATGTCAATATTTTTGAAAGATCTAATTCAACGCACAAAAAAAAAAAACAAAAAAAAAAAAGAGGCAGCAAGAAAAATGCGATGAAGATGATGTCGAAGTTGCCGTTTTGAGCAATAACAATCTCATTAGTGGGAAATGGCACGATAAAAATTGGTACAACCTAAAATGTCTTTATCTTTGTATTTTCTTTTAATTCTGATATTTTAGTTTACGTTTTTGAATTGGAATGAGAGCATATTAACAATTACCCCATCCATTTTGTTTTTTGTTTTTTGTTCTTTTTTTGATCTCAATTCCAAACCATCTCAATCAGCCAACCTAAAATGCATGTAAAGAGAAACTCTAAAATTAATATGTATAATGTTTACAATTTTATTTTACCAAGAAATAAGAATTTTTTCTGTTTTAATATTTTTTTAATTTTTTTCTTTTTTTTTTCTGACTTCTCGTAATTGGGGTTAGCAGAGTTTTTGAAGGCATGACACAAATACTATAAACGGGCTTTGCGTATATGCACCTATCCGTAACCGGAGCTCGACATTAACATTGATTACGTAAGCGGAACCTATCCACATCACCACAAACAACAAGTGGGTTTGTACATGTGTATGTGTTACCGCAGCAAATGCCAAGATATTTTGACACAAGCCGTTAACTCCTGCTCAATTTGCAAAGGGTTTGTGGTTGTCATTTCAAAAATTTGACAAATTGACACTTGTGTCTTTTTGCCGATCTCTCCTTTTTGTTTTTTTGACTTGCCTTTTTCGGCCGGCGAAACGTGCAACCACGCCTTAGATTTTTTACCAATAGACGATGGGGATCAAATAAAGGGGGGAGAGAGGGTTGTTCGCAAAGACAGTCTTCTTAGCGGGACATTGAAAGGTGCAAGTTTGGGGACGTAAGCCCCTTTCGATTCCTCTATCCAGCCATTTCTTAATAGCTTTGGAGTTCATGTCAAAAGAACTACAGGATATCATCAGTCACAAAAAAATAAAAAGAAGAAACCAATACACACACCCACAGATGTTGTGCCGTTTCCAGTCAGATATTGTGCATCACTCCGCTTTGCGTTTGATGAAAATAGGACGCACATGACGTATGTATGGATATAACGCTGCATGTCAAAGTAAAAATATGGAAACTTTGGCGGAGGCTTGAACAATAATATGACAAGAAAAAATTTTTGGAAAGAAAACAAGGCGCAAGAAAATATTAGCATTATTGTTTTGTTGCTCTAGAGAAATAATGGGCGAGGTTGGGAGAGTGACTACTTTTGCTGGTATCTTGCACAACGTCATACCAAGCCATTTTCACGTCATGTCATGTCATGTCATGTCATGTCACATCACGTCAAGTCAAGCCAATTGATATCGTGCCATGTCATGTTGGGATTGATTCAAACTCTACACAAAGCAATGCCTGATTTTCTGTCTGAGGGAGGGGGGGCTTTACTTTGAAACTGGCATTTATATGGTGTCCTCCCCCCAAAAAAAGAAAAAAAAAATAAACCCCCACGCTCTGTTGGAGGACAAATGAACCGATATGACATCTATCCTTGGTATCCCATTCCTTCTCACTGTATATTATCGTATGCTGAAATTGGTCATGCCACTAGCAGAGAGATACGTAGATACTACCTTGTATGTTCCTTGCGCTCAAACTTTAGTTGACTATTTTTTGGGGGATATGTTGGAAGGAAGATCTCAGCAAAACTTTGTAACTCTTGAATGCCAATGAGATCTTTATAATAAGAGAATAGTGACGAGATATAATAAATTGAATAGAGATTCAGTGGTTGTGGAGATTACAGATTTGGATATTATTATTTGGGGCCCTAATAACAAAATGCTGCAAGATGTATTAATATCCTGTGCCTAACATGATACGATTTCGGTGCAGCGTGTGTTGCGTCTCAAACAAACCACTTTTTACTAGATACTCTGTAATCAGCAAAATACTAGAAAGGTAAACAAGATTGATACAGGATGAAGAGACAATAGCGACAGACTCATTAACAGATATTGTGTCTCGTTATACAATTCACTTTGTTATAAAAGACAAGTACGTAAATCAAAATTTAGATATAAAAATCCCAAAAGAAATATCACCAACAAGAAGCTAAAACACCTCTTGTATCCAACACTTTTTAGGGTTTTTGCTTCTGTTGAAAAAAGAACTGAAGTAATGAAATATCACAATTGACAAATACAAGCGACACCAAAACTGCCATACACTACACTCACAAACTCGCCAAAAAGAAAAAGAAAAAGAAAAAGAAAAAGGCAAAAACAATTGCAAACTCAATCAAATCAAATCAAACCAACTAGTTTCGACTTTCCACTTTAGATCTCAAATCATATGCATCATTCTCTTTTGCTCTTTCAAAGTCTTGATCTTGCGTCTTCTAGCATTGATAAACCAATTACTCAATTGTTGTTGATTCAATCCGGTGGCCATCATCAACTGATTCTTTTCAAATGAGTTTGGGTAAGGGTGATTCAAATGGTCATTGAGCCAGCGTAGTAATACATAAGTGATCTCCTTGGGTAAGTTGTTTCTTGTTCTTCTTTTGGAGTTGGGGTTGTTATTGTTGTCTCCATTGACCACGATTCTGGCATTGTTTGAGCTGTGGGGGTGGTTATTGTGTACTGAAGAAGAAGAAGAAGAAGAAGAAGAAGATGTTGCGGATGTGTAGAGTGGATGCTGGTGGTAGTGTGGGTAGTATTCGTGGGAGGGGAAGTGAGTTAGATGGTGGTGTGGAAGGTATGTTTGATCTTGGTTCACCGTAGGATGTGACGGTTGTTGTGGGTATGAGTGTGAGCGTATTATTGAAGGTAACTGCTGTGATTGTTGTAGTTGTTGTTGTTGCTGTTGTTGAGTTGGGTTGGTGGGATGAAAGTAGTGCAGTTGTTGGTTATGATATTGTACTGAAGATGGAGATGAAATTGATGATGAAGACGAAGTGGCATATCCCACATTGGGAGACTTGTGTATGGTGTCGTTACTGTTGCCATGCTTGAGGGCAGAGGAGGATGCTGAAGCAGCAATGTAGTGGTTGTAGTGTTGTTGATGAGATTGTGAAGCAGGTGGAGGTGTAGCTAAAAGATCACTAATTGGCGGTAAGCTGATCTTGTTGGTCAAAGATGGTAATTCTTTTGGTTGTGATTGTGGTTGTGTGGTACTGGTGGTGGTAGTTGCCGATATGGATGGTAAAGTAGAAGACCTACTGTGATGAATCAATTCTGTAAGTTGCATAGTGTAAAGTATATCTGTGTATCTGTATACCTGTTGTAGCAGTTGTGTATCTTTGCCAAACAATTTGAAAAGAAAACTCTCAAAAGACTTAAAAACACAGGTGAGACATGTTTTATGTGAGGTTTGGTTGTGGGATATTTGTTGAAGTATTTATATAATTTCAACCATTTACTGTATACATCATTTTCCATAGTTTAGTGGAGATTGTGAAATCCCGTAGAAGTACAGAGTGAGATAGTAAGAGAGCCAAGCCAAGCCAAGCCTACATAACTCTTTTAGCACTAGATACATACATACGTAATGTACATGTGTAATATACACAAATGCTGCATCGCAAACAATATACCCATACATACATAGCTACTATAAAGTACACAAGAAGAATTGGAAGAAGATTATTGTGTGTATTGTATTATGTATGTGTGTGTATTCTGTGTATGTACATATCAAGATTTTCCCCTAATTTACACAAACACACTACACTATACACATTACACAAGATACAACTACTCATTACTACTACTCTATATGCAGAAACAGCACATACAACAAACGTATCATAATTATTACTATTGCAATATGCAGACACAAGAAAAAAAAAAAGAGTCAGACACAGACAGACAGCAAACTTCAAAACGTTCCTTTGTTTTCTTTTTGAACGGCGTTTGATTCTTTAAAATTGTCTTTACAAAGGGAGAGAGAGAGAGACAGAGAGAGATAAAGACAGATAGACAGATAGGAATATGTGTGTGTAGTTGTAGACGTAAATTACCCCACTTTACCGATACACGTTGTTAGTTATTACTACTCTTGTATATTATAAGAAAACAATTGTGCTAGTCAATACTAGTATTAAGATATTATCAGCACAGATATATCAGCTCAGAACAGATCTCTTGATATATAGTGTATGTGTGTGTGTGTGTGTGTGTTTCTGTGTGTATCTTGTATCTGTGTGAAGAAAGAAAAAGGAAATGAAAAATCTGTCATTTCTGTAATTGTCAATTGGTAGCAGTAGTTATATTGTTATTATTGTTACTATTACAATCATATTAGTCATGGCAATAAACAATAGACATAATAATACATTGATGTCACCCTCTCATCTTTACTTTCCCCTTTTTTTTTCTCTTTGTTTTATTTTTAAGCTACTACTACGAGTACTACCATAAGCACTTATGCAGACACTAAAAAAAGCTGAGAAGTATGTGTATATAAAAAAAGAGGAATAAGAAAAAGAAATAAAAATTGAATAGAAAAAAAAAAACAAGTTTAAGTTGACCGACAGATACGACACACACTTCACCACTTCACACCAATTTTTTTTTTTTCTTAATAAAAAGAAAAATAAAAATAAAAATAAAAATAAAAAGGATTAAAAAGGTTTAAAAAATAAAAAGACTGATCAATAGACACACCCACACATACTTGTGTACTGCATATAAACAGATATCCCTAATGTTCTGTTTATGGTGTTTTACATTTTGTGTCACAGTATATTCTGTTTTCAAACCCCGGATTTTACACGGCGTTAGGCACTTATTTTTTTAATCTATCTCCTTGTTATTGTCTTTTGTTTGCTTGTTTGTTGCAAGAGAGTATCATAACCAAAACAACGGTTACCATTGCATGTTACAATTACTAATCACTTGAGTTGGGCAGTGTGTTACTATTCCCAGCAGCATTGAGTTTTCACCCGCACACATACTTTCCCTCTCTTTTCTTCCACAATCGCACTCACCAGTCTCCAGTCTCCACGTCAATTTAATTAAACTTTAAACTTTAAACTTTAAGCTTTAAGATTTTTGAGAATAGTGGAGGCTTAGTGAAACAAAACTGTCATGCACTTTGACTTTTCATTTTTCACTTTGAGTGGCCTGTTTTAGTCTTTTAAGTCATTTTAGTCTCAACTTTGTCTGCTCTGATTCTAATCTACTAATTTGTTGGAGGGCAATTATTTTGTTCTTTACTTTCTGAGTAACTGTCATGCAATCAGTACGTTAGAAGATCCTCAAGAGTATCTCCTCTCAAATATCTACATACAACAACTTACTAACCCACAAGTTTCTTTTTTTTTTTTTGTTTTTTTCTTGTTCTCTTGTTTGTAGATCCATTTTTCTTCACCATCCATTTCTTACGTTCATTTCTTGGTTGACATATAGTTCAATCTCTTCCGTATTGCTCTTCCTGGCGTACAAAAGTTCACGGATTCCTTCTCTCCTCTCAAACGTAAACCACCTCTTCAGAACAAAAGTGAGACTGTCGAGAGGGAAAGTCAGAAGTATAACATTTAAGTTTGTGGCGGGTTGGCGCGTATTGCATTCATTAATTGTATTGCGTCTCTTCGATCCCGCCTTTCTCTTATCTAAAAGATGGTGAAAGTGCATCGTCATTCATTTTCTTGTTTGTGAAATGGGGCTTCAGTTATAATTTGATGCAAATCTAAATTCACAAAACAAAATAAAATACAATAAAAATAAAAAGGGATCTACATACGTATACATATGCATGCTTAAGAAACGTTTGAGTGGTTTAACAATTAGAATTAAGCAATCAAATCAAATCAAACCAAATCAAATCAGTCAATCAATCACATCAATCAATCACATCAATACTATATCTCTTCTTTGTCTAACCTGACTGTAACTAACTACCAACAGCTTTAACGAAACAAATCTAAACTAAAACAATCATCACCTCTAACTTGTCGTAATTTTATTTTGCTCTTGTCATTCGCTTACATTGAGTCAGTCTCGGTACAATTGAAAAAAGAAAAAGGACTCCTGTTAGTACCTTCGCCGTCACAAACCTGCTCCCTATTCTTGGTGTAATCAATACCCCCGCCTGTGTCTCTTTTAGTTCTTTCCTCATTGTCACCACACCTCAAAGCCCTAGACACGCACACACACTACAACATAATACAAATGTGGAGTTTTAAAGGCAATGTGCAGACGCGGCTAAAGTTGTTTGACCGCCGCCCTTAGAGCACCCTCAGAGCAACAGAATGACACAATTTCACTGTTTATCACAGTAAAATGTTCACGAAAGACCTACGCAAAACAATTGTAAAAAAATGGAAAGAATAAGAGAGAGACGTATTTTAAATTTGCGAGATCTACATCCAGTTTTTAGTGTAGTTTCTTAATCCTTGGTTTTACTTTTACGAGAGAGAGAGAGAAAGACAGAGCGATCTCATCTTCAGATTATGCATATATTCTATTTGTTCTTCAGGGCGGGGGAAGGCTGAGAAGCGTAAATGGAGGCGGTTGTCGAAGTGCAAAAGTCACTTATCTGTACTCTTTGTTCATTTGCTTGTGTACTCCCATGTAAATTTTCATCATACGATGTCCACGGTTTTGTTCTCTCCCATGTTCAGGTTCTTCCTGGTCATTCAGCCATTGTCTTGTCTTTTTGAAAAGCACGGGTTAGGCAATATTTATTCTTTCTGGAATGAATATTTGAGCTGATTTTGTTTTCATTTGTGGCTCTTTTTTTTCTTCTGTGCCATCGTTTGCTGGGAGCGAAGAAAGAGCAAAAAGAAAGACAGGGTTTTGAGATGTTCTCAACCATCTGTTCACCCGTAGACTTGATCTCGATTCAAATTGCGATTATGTTTCTGTTTCTATTTCTGTTTGTTTTTTTTTTTTTTTTTTTTTTTTTTTTTTTTTTTTTTTTGGGGGGAGGGAGTGTTGGTTTTTAGTTACTGAGAGTAAAGAGAGGGGAGTGAGATCTACATAGGCGGTTAGTGAGAAAACGATGAGCAGATACGAACTGTATCCCCCTTCTTCTTTTCATTTGCACCGGCATTGCATATGTTTCACCTTGTCAAAAACGACCACACTTTTACACCAAGACAAAAGCGAGTTAGATTTTTGTATTGGAATCTGTCCAACAACTTTGTTGTCAGATAAGAAACGGCGTTGATTTGTTTCAAAGTCGGACACTGTATTCAATTAGCATAATGAAGTTAATCTTCGGGCAACTAGTTTGACTTGAGGAAAAACCACTTTGCATAAGACAGTAACAAAATTTCAACAAATCTAAAAATGAAACCTAAAGGCAGTCACGTAAAAGTAAATGCACTTTTCCTTGAATCTTCACTTCTCGTCTCTCGTAGCTTGAAACTCCCTCATTCATTCATTCATTACTCAGTAATTGAGTTTTGTGTAAGGATCTCTGCCTGTCTTCACTTTGCTTTGTGTCAGAGGGTTCTTCAAATATTGCCTTTTATAGCATTGGGAGATTAATCACATCTACAAACATCGCGCAACCCCAGAGATGTAAAAGCGGGAAGGGAATGCAAGTGACATGGACTGGATCTTACCAACTGCTCTTCTCCACACATTCATTCATATTCACATCCACGGACCCCGAAATACGTGGCACACAATGTATAGTTTTGTTTTTTGTTTTTTGTTTTGATTTTTTCTTTTTTTACGAAATGTTTGGGCAAATTTCCGGATTTACGCCTTAAGAAGAAATATCACATTGGGACTCTATTTATAGATTTGTTTTATAAACACCAAAAACCTCTCGTACTAGATATACGACACTGTCTCCAACACATTATGCAAAATACAACATGAAGTATAACATGAATTACAAACAAGACAAAAATTCAGTTGCTAAATTGCAAAGGTCTCGAGAGATGCAAAACAGAAATTCAACAGATCTGCCTCTCCACAACATTCAACAAATTGCTTTCTCAGTTTTTTTTTGTTTTTTTTGTGTTGGGGGTTGTGTTTGAGATGATCATCGCTAGTACAACTACCGCATCACACGCATCACACGTTTCACACGCCTCGCACAATCTCATATACTTCACCGATATTCTTACTTTATCCGTCAATAGTTGCAACTTGTCACATTTGCAAAAAAAAAGAAATAAAAAAGAACAAATTGCACTCCTCTTTTTGCCTCGATGCAACATCCTCAGGATTTAGTCTTTTTCTTTACACAATGTGCTAAAGTTGGCGAGATGACCGACATTTTTCACTCTTTTTTGCTTTCTTTTGCTGCTTGTTTCGTATTGTTGATGGAGGTTCGCCTTCGTATATTTTGAAGCCACCCAGGGTTACAATTACGCCTAACTTTGCAGTCGTAACATAGTTCATTCTCCTCTCTTCTCCTCTCTTCTCCTCTCTTACAACTTCTCATTGAGCAACCTCTCAAATTGCAATTTGTCCCATTTGATATACTTCAGACGATTCTTGGTGAAATCAGAATTACCATACTTATCATACAACTTGAAATACGCATTCAAAATCATCTTCTTCACTTCATTTCCAAGAAAACTTCGTAAGCTAGCATCACCAAAATCAAGCGCGCGATAATTGGCCAATGCTTCTTCAAATGATTCATTAAATTTCTTAAACAATTCCTTAACTTGCTCCCGTTCCTTGTTGGAGAGGTTGGTGGCTTGTCCGCCGCCTGTGCCTATGGATGTGTTTGGGTTTACATTGGAGCCAGCAGCAGCAGCAGCAGCAGTGGTGGCAGCGGCGGAGGTGGAGGAGGAGGAGTTGCCACCACCAGCTTGGGTCGCAATGAGGGTCATTCGTTCAATGATGATGTAGGAGGCATAGCTCCAGTCTTCAAGGAATAGCTTGAGGAACCTGTTTTTCAACTTGTTGATACGCTCTTGTCCATTGGATCCAAGGATATGGAATAACTCTTTTGATCGATTGATGATTTGCTCTGCAAAGTACAAGTTTCTCAAGAGTATAAAACCTTGACTTGATTTCTTAATGGCATGTTCACCATGGGGCTTCTTCAATCCGATTTCGATATTGATCATCACGCAATCAATGAGGTCGGCGAAATACGACGAGAGTAAAAAATCAGGCGATTTGTCGTCAAATGTGGTGTTTGTAATGATCGAGTTGAATACTCCAATGTATTGCAATGGAGGAGACTCCAGGATCCAATCGCCAGGTTTCCTAGTTTGGATCAATCGTAATAATGGCTGTTTAAACTCACACATTCTTCGAGCCAAGTTGATCGAGCTGGTGGATACTTGAACCGTTGTCACTTGATTGAATTGGGAAAGACCTTGGACTTGAGCTTCAATTGCCCGAATACAAACGGGGAAAATAGACGTACCAATGGCAATGAATTGATCAAGTATTTTACCAAATGATATGCTCTTGACAGTGTATCGATGACTTAATTGATAATCCATTCGAAGCAAATTATCAATGATTTCCAACAAGATTAAACAGTTGTCGGTGCTGGCTGATAGCGTTGTGCTCAATCGAGTCGCCAATGATTGCATCACTTGATTATATTCCCGTATGGCATATTCCAGAATGGGACCAATCAAGCCTGGTGGTAATGCACATTGTTTCAAAACCAGTACTTCCTCCTTCAATACGTTATCAACAGCATCTGTGAACTGATTATACCCTCGCAACCCTTTTTCAAAAGGTCCTTCAATGTTTGTTGGCTGTAGTTCATGTTCCACGATTTTCAACTGTTGAACGACTTTGGCACCACGTTTATCGACAAATTTATTGGCGATGTGTTGGTCTTTACCCTGTTGACCGAAATAATCGAAAATCACCTTCACTTCATGTTTCTTATTCATCATTTTACTAGTTTCCAAATTGAGCACACCATCAATGTAGCTCTGCACCTTCAATTCACTTCTCTCAATCACATTTTGGAAATTGTACAATATTCCCTTAAACTGCTTGAACCTAGGTTTGATACGACTGTACAATTCCTGTGACTGTTTCAATGTGTTGACATATTTGAGTAATCCAATCACTTCGATATTGTTATTCAATGCATTTTCAAAATTGTTGATTTGTGCAGCACTCTGACTCACTTCTGAAAGTAGACCGAGTCCGCCTTCTACTTCCCTCTTGGATGTGGTTAATTGATTGACTTGTGTAAGAACAGGTTTGATTGTGGTATGGGCTGCATATGTTTTCTTGGAGATTTTGGTGAGCGATTGGTTAATACTTTCAAAGAGGGCTTTGGATTTGATCAAGTTTTGGTTGAGGACAGCCACATCGGCCTCATCTACATCCACTTGGTATGCCATTGCGGTGAAAAGGGGGGGAGTGGAGCACTTTTTTGGTGTTGTTGCGATTGTCGAGTAGATACAGATTCTGGCAATCTGTTTTCCCCAAGACAGAAAACCTAAAAAAAAATAAAAAAAAAAAATAACAAAAAAAAAATGAAATCAGGGACTTAAACATTTCCAGTGAAGAGATATACATTTTGGTGTTGCTAACCACATATATTGTTACCAACACATGCGTGATACCAAGAAGGAAGTTGAACAACTTTGTCTCAAACTAGAAGAATCAACTAAACTCAAACGGAATGGAAAATGTATAAAGTTCACCAATACCGCTCACAACACAACTACACCCATAGATTCATGGAAATTTCTTGATTTCGATTATGGTAAGGATAAAGTACAACTACCGATCCAAGCCAGAGGACTATTCACAACAGATAACAACTCAATAGTTGTGCGTGGATACGACAAATTCTTCAATGTTGATGAAAAGAGTTTCACCAAGGAAGCGGAGTTGAAGAAATCAACAACTGGGCCCTATGATGTCACATTGAAAGAAAATGGATGTATAATTTTCATCAGCGGTTTGGCTAGTGGTGACATTCTTGTTTGTTCCAAACATTCAACCGGTGTGAGAGATGATAATACAAGAAATCATGCGCTTGAAGGTGAAGCCCACTTGCGTCAACAATTAGGTGAGGAGCGAGTTGGGGAATTGGCTCGTTATTTGCATAAACACAACTTGACTGCAGTGACAGAGTTGTGCGATGACGAGTTTGAAGAACATGTCTTGCCGTACCCCAAGGATAAATCGGGATTGTATCTACATGGACTAAATTACAACACAATCAAGTTTCAAACTGTGCCCATTAGCGACGTGGTGAAATTTGCCCAAGATTGGGGGTTCAAAACCATTGAGTACCTTCTGTTTGACAATGTCGATGAGCTTTTCCAATTTTTGCACAAATGTAGCGAGACAGGCACGTATAATGGTCGTGAAGTTGAAGGGTTTGTCATTCGCTGCAAAAGAAATGGCGAAGATTTCTTTTTCAAGTACAAGTTTGAGGAACCATATTTGCTATATCGTCAATTTCGTGAAGTTACTAGACAGATGTTGGGGGGAACTCCAGCACCGTCAATCAAAATCAAGAAAAACAAGTACATTACTAAAAAATATCTTGAGTTTGTTGAAAAGTTGTTTGCAGAGAAGCCGGATTTGAAAGAAAGTTTCAACCTCGGACATGGAATCATCCATGTTCGTCAATTGTTTTTGCAGGATTTACACGAGACAAATGGTATGAACTTGCTTTCTATTGATGCAAAACTCACTGAAGAAGTGAGGAAATTGAAGTTGGATAATGGGGGTGTTGATGAAGAGACAACGTTTCTTCTTGTGTCGATTTCGACGTTGGGTTGTGGCAAGACAACAGTGTTTAATACTCTACACTCATTGTTTCCCGATTGGATCCATATACAGAATGACAATGTTGGTAAGAATGCTAAAGTGAAAATTACAGATTTGGCGTTACAAGCATTGGATAATTACCCAGTGGTGATTTTTGATAGAAACAATTCCGAGTTCAGAGAGAGGAAACAAATATTCACCACTATTGCCGAAAAGAGACACTTGTACTTGGATGAAAGGAAGGAAATCAAGTATATTGGAATCAATTTTGTCAATGATATAAGTGAAGATGAGTTGTGGAGAATAACGTTTAACAGGGTCAAGGAAAGAGGCGACAATCATCAGCTGTTGAAAGCTGCATCGGATGAGGAGTTGACGACCAAAGTCATGAAAGGGTTTATGTCTCGATTCCAGCCAGTCGACACCAAACGTTTCCCTGATTCTCAATTTGATCATGTGATTAATCTCAAATTGAATGAAAATGATTCCTCTTTGGCAAATGTCAAGATCATTATTGATGAATTGTCACGAGAGTATCCTCAGTTGATCAAGAATAGACCAAGTGATGAAGAAATCGAAACCAAGTTTAAAAAAAGTTTGGAATACAAGCCAACGTTTACAAAGGATATGACCTCTTCAAACAAAAAAAAGGACCCCACATACTACGGAATTGCAATCCACCGTCAAAACATGTTAGATTCGCTCAATGAACTCGATAAAAATCCGGAGTACAACAAGTTGAAGGATGAGTGTTTGGTTCAAGAATCTTTCCATGTAACATTGGCCCACGTTGCCAGTGCCAGGGGTGCTGAAAGAAAAGCCAAGTGGAAAAAGATTAAAGCCACTTTTGGCAAAGGTGAAGGTAAACAAGGAGAAAAGGAGTATCTTGAATTCCATGCAAGGGTCAAACTCATTCAATTTGTAATCAATAGGGGCAAATTGGTCTGCATCAAGTGTGAAGTCGTGTCAATACACGACAACAAAAGCAATCAAGTGGTGGATATCGAAGCTATAAATAGACATATGCATGTGACCATTGGGTGTTTCCCACCGACGAAAGCAGTGGAGTCTAATGCCACCTTGGAGGAGTTGTACAGAGATGACGTGCATGATGTGAAACCAGACGGTGTTTACCAAGTCGCAGAAGATGTGATTGAAGTGAAGAATTTAGTCAATCCTGTTGAGTTGGGGGATCAGAAGGTGTTTGTGTATTATTAGGGCCATACTATAGAGTATAGTAGAGTAGTATAGTGTCGAAAGATTCTCATAAGATATTGCGACATTGCGGAAAATAAACAGTTTCTTATCAAACGCTACAACACACACCTACACACACACCTACACCTACACCTATACACCTACACACCCACACACACATCTACCGATCCGTTAGTTCTTTTTTTCACTCAATCATGTTTCAATCGATCAAGTCGTACATTGTTGGCTTGTGGCCCGGTCCGGTGTCGCCGGAGTTGAAAAAATCTGTCGAGTCAACTATCGAATCTAGCAAGATTTTAGTCTACTCAAAGACGTATTGTCCATACTGTACCGCCACTAAGGATTTATTGCACAAGTATGGAGTCGATTACAAGTTGATTGAGTTGAACACCACATCCGATGGTGGTAATGTTCAGCGTGCTTTGCAGGAAATTAGTGGACAAAGAACCGTGCCTAATATCTTCATCAATGGGAAGCATATTGGCGGAAACTCTGATTTACAAGCGTTGGAAAGTAGAGGTCAATTGAAAGATTTGCTTGCCAAAACATAAATCAATTATTAGATGTGTTTACGGTATAGTATTAGACAGATATCGAATATAAACACCTTTGGAACTTTTGCTTTACCTATGTCCTCCTCACCTTAGTGTATCCTTCAATGTTTCAACTGCCCAAAGATGAAACTTTACAAATATTTGATTGTCATCCGTAAGCTCAATCAACGACTTTGGTCGAGTCATTGATCTTCGTAAGTATCGTTCATTATCAACCATTGAACCACCGCTCAGTTTATGCAACTTGGCATTGGCTTGTGACACTCTTTGCTGTATCAAATCGATGAATTCAGTCATGTACAATGTCAAAATGTCCCAGTTTTGCAACAAGTCAGATTCAGAGTCGGAAACCATCATTAGGCTATATTTCCTCTCTTGTCCTCTTGCATTGATGTCGTATATTTTGAAAATTTTGTTCAAACAGTAGCCATAAATGGCATCACCGAAAAACATTGGCTTGACGATATCGGATACAGTCTCCACTGATAAGGATTTCATCATTAGTTTCTTTAATGCCGCATACCGTTTTTGCGAGCTTGGGTAAGCTGTTGAGATGAATGTTTTCGAGTCTGAGTTTGTAACGAGGTTGGCTGCGTGTTCGGGTAGTATCAACTGGCAAGATGCACAAACACCCTGATTTGATGTTGAAGTGTGGATGAAATCCTGCTTTTTATCGTCCGTTGTCACCTGTGTACAAACAATAATCTGTGGTCCATGTAGCTCACAGAAATGACTCAAGCATAGCATAAAGTTTGGCATTGAGTCATTAAAATGGTGGTTGGGTTCATGGAAGTGCTGATGGAGTTGACTACGTGTGACTGAGATCACTTTTCTCCCGATAAAAGAAAAGAAAAGAAAACAAAAAAAAAGAAATACGCAAGAAACAACACCTTGACTCGGTTTATCCTCTCTGACTGACATGTATGCATGACAACACAACAATGGCAGTGTATGTGATATGAGGATTTGACTAAGACATGCTTTTATCCACACAGTCTACTCTAGAAAGAGAGAGGCAGAGGGGGAGACAGATTGCCGCTAGTTCCCGGGGCCGAGACTGAGACTTAGACTTCGACACTGCTTCACTTTGTTGAGCCAGCAGCAACATGGGTTATCGTAGCTGTACATTCCCCCGGCAAGGGATAATTGGACTTGCTTTGGAAGTATTGAGAGGCATTGAGTTGTTACGTTCTGATTTTTGGTGGAGAGTTTGCGCAAGAAGAAATCCAGTTCTTGTGTGCAATGAATGGGCCATACCATGATTGTTTAATGCTTCTACGGGGTCCCTTTGTTTATACAGACTCAGTTTGCTAAGCGGTTCTGCACTATGCTTCTAGCTTTTGTTGGATATTTACTCCCAGTGACACTAATTTATTCAATGTTGAGAGGGGAAGTTATCTCCACTTATGGTAGTCGAGTCGATTTGCTTTAGAACTCTGTCGAGTTCATGTTGATTCAAGACGCTCAAGCTTGATTTATTGCGATGGCTACCTGTTGGTTCGGCTCACAAGGCACATTTAGTTGGCCAATTTGTCACCTTTATGTGTTCAACAATCAGCTCGACAATAGTTCCAAATGAGAAAGTCGGTACGGGAGAGAGAGAGAGAGAGAGAGAGAGAGAGAGAGAGAGATGAGTCCATACACCACAAGCATTCTACATGTTCTTGATATCTCCCCACACTGCTGGAGTCAAAATTGGCATTGCTTACTGACGTCGCGAGCGCATCACCATCGATACGTTCTCACTGAAAGTTTTACATCCACTCGCTACCTCACAAGTCTCAGCTATATCTTGCTACGTTTTCCATACGGCTACAGCTACATTGGTTACAATTATCAGAATCCGCTTGTTGGGTTTCAGTGCAAACACATTTTCTTTAGACTTGGACGCAGCGTTGCCCGTCTCCAAGCTACCCTCACATGTTAAGTAGTGAACTATGTATAATGTTTTGCAGCGGCATGTTTGCTGTGAATACACTTCTTACAGTATTCTAACAAGGATTTTGATTCTTTGAAATCTTTGAAGTTTTTTTTTATTTTTTTTTTTCTTCTTCCTTTCGTATCCACTTTTCTTTCCGTGGCCTTATCCAACATTGTTATCCAACATTGAAAACTATACGGGAATATCAATTAACTGGTGAATGCTTACAAAAAGGGCCTGAATGAAATCGAGGGAAAGAAGTCGGAGTAATTCCGCACCTGCAGTTAATGGAAGCTCAACGTCGCTGCTGGATTCAACAACATCTTCTAAGAACGGTATTAAGAAAACTGAAAACAAGAAACGCAAATCCACTAGTATGGGTGAAGAGAATGGGTCAGGCAAGAGGAAATCAACGCGTTTGTCAAAACTAGAGCAGAACAATACTCCTAAGCTTTCGGCGAGCCCGTTGTTGAAGGAGAATGGGAGAATAGAAGTTATTTCCGATAGCGAGGCATCACTGATTTCGTCCGGTCTGGATACCAAATTCACGGAGCCCGAACTCGCGCCACCAGCGCCAAGCTATACTGGCCTACCTTTGGAAGAGTTTCCTTCTGCCAAGATAAAGAAAGAGTCGCTTTGGCCCCAGAAGTTGAGGCGAGGCAAGGGAAAGGGAACTGCTGATTCCTCGCGAGAAGTTTCACAAGTTCCTGAAATTGATAAAGTCAAGGAGGAAAAATTGGAAGAACTCTATAGGTCACAATTGCAAACACCAATTACAAGAGACATCACCAACGAAAGCGAGATTAGAGAACCAGCATCACCGACTCCACGAGCGACGTCGAAAATCACGAAGCTCAAATTGACGGTACAAACACCCAAACAGCCAACCAACAAAAGATCCAATAGAAACACACCCAAAAGTGCACTCAAAAAATTAAAAATCACATCACCAAAGAAATCACCCAGTACAAAACTACTAGCCCCCAATACCAAAATCAAAAATGAATTGCATCTAGAGGAGGACACGCATAAGGATAATGATGATTTCTGTTTTGCGTGTGGGCGTCCAGGGATTTTCATTTGTTGTGAGTCTTGTCCAAAATCATTCCACTTTACCTGTTGCGATCCGCCAATGGAAGAACCTCCGGAGGACGATTGGTATTGTCATGAATGTTTTGCAAAGAGGCACCCACAATTGGTACCTAATTGGAAAGATATCGGTATATTTGGGAAACTATTGAATGAATTGGAGGTTAGAAACCCAAAGGAATTTCAACTTCCAAAGAACTTGAGAGAACAAACTTTTGTTGGTGTATATACAGGTGAAAATGGGGACTATGCTGATGCTACAGAAAAAGATGACCTACCTTCCAGCAAAAGAAATGGTCAACAACTTTCCGGATACAATAGAAATGAAGACTTGGAAATTGATAGTTTATACGACGAGCAAGGCAACCCGTACTTGTGCCACAAATGTGGAGAGTCCGGGCAAAATCACAGGACATTGATTAGATGTGACTATTGCCCGCTCATATACCACGTGGACTGTCTCCCGTATCCAATGTTTGGACCCAAAACAATTGGAGACAAGTGGAGATGTCCCAACCATGTTAAAGACTTGTTGCCGAGGGGTTTACCGGAATTGAGAGAGTTTAAAGAGACTGAAATTGTTGAAGGTTCATTGCATAGCAATTTCTTGAAAATGTTGGCAATGGAGAGCTTCGTGGTGAAGTTTGATAACGATGAGTATTTCAGAGACGGTTCGAAGCATCAGAGTTTGGATGAGGTCGAGGCTTATTCTGGGAATGGAAGTAAGTTGGATGTGCTAGCATCGTGGGGTGACGACATGGATGCAATACATCCCAATTATAAAACAGCATCTTGTTTCAAAACGAAGTCCACTCGCAAGGGAGTTTCGGCAAAAGTGTCTACTAACGTGGTGAGCATACCAAAGACAAGTAATTCGAGTTTGATAACGTATCGAATACCTGAGCGACTGATATTGATGGACTTTGTTCAAAAAGTCCAAAGCAAAGAGGACATCCTTGCACTGAATACCGAGTACGAACTTGCCAAGAGATTAGAAGAGAACCCCGAGGAGAAGGAGGTTGTTACTGGATTAAATTTAATAAAGGAGAGACAGAAGCAACTAAATTTGGATGCTTTACTTCAAGTGGTAAACACGGAAGAACAAAAAACTACAGAAACGCACAAATTAGCATCGGATGAGATTGACGAGTTGTTGAAAATTAAGAAGCTAATGGAGTTGAAAGGACAAGATGCTTTGCTCAGCTTTTTGAAAGCAAGTTAGGATAACGTGTATTTCTGTATGTACAAGGTCGTCAATGCATTTTATCTAACACTTTTATATTTTACTTTTTAGCTGGTTTGAGTGGGAGCTTTGGAATTTCTTCCTCGGTCAATTGTCTTGCATTCGTAAGTTTAATAAGCTCACTGAAAATCTGGTGCGGTGGTTTACTAGCACACTCAATCACCGAGTTATTCTCCTCTGTTTGACCATGGATTTGCAATTTTAATGGCAATTTAGGCAAATCCTCTTCGTTTTCAACAGTTACATTGGTCACAGTGAATTGAACGTCTGGATTGTGGTACCTCAACGTAGGTAATGACTCTTTCCAGAAATACCTGATGCCATGTGCTGGCTTGTACACAAACGGGCGTTGTTGGTATACAAACAACTCGAGTTCTTTGTATTTTGAAGCATCGAATTTATAACTGTTCTCTGGTTTGCCTCTTAGGTTGTTGATTTTTTTGATCTGTTTGAGAAGTTTGGGGTTGTACTTGTTCTTTGGTGTTATTAGCATTTGCATAGACATGTTTGCAAAGTGGTGGTGACGATGAGATGAGATGTGAAGTGATGTGAAGTGATGGGGGGGGGGGGGATCAAATCATGATGGAAGTTTTTGTTAGAAAATTTTTTTTTTTCTGCAAAGCTTTGGATTAGGTACAAAAGTGTAGAGAGGTGTTCAAGTAAAAGCAACCCCCGCGATTTGTGGATTCATATTGGTAATCGACTTAATAACCAACAGCTCCAATCGATTCGGAAACCTTGCTTTGTCTGGCTTGATGTAAAGTACTCTTGGGTAATCCCTATATAAAGGCTACCTCTTCTCTTCTTAAAAATCTGTGTTGCAAAAAAAAAAACATCCAACATGTTCTTTACCACGTACATACTTCTACGCCTTGTCTATTGGCTCAACTTCGTCTTTAGGAAGTTGTCGGACTTGATTTTTGGAACCGTTTTGGAACCTAAATTTGATATTGCGTTGGTCACAGGTGGCTGTTCAGGATTGGGGAAGGAATTTGTGTTGCAACTTGTCAGTAGAAAAGTGAAAGTAGTGGTGCTCGATATTACCAGTCCCAAAGATGAGGATAGGGTACAAGACGTAGCTTACTTCATCTGTGATGTAAGCAAACGAGAAAATGTTTTGGATGTTCAAAAGAAGGTCGAGCTGTTGGTGGGAACTGTGACAATTCTTATCAATAACGCTGCAATTGCGACTGGAAAACCATTGTTGGATCTATCGTTTCATGAAATTGAAAAGACGATCCAGACCAATCTCATGTCAAGCTTTTATACAATAAAATCTTATTTGCCGGGGATGATTCAAATGGGACGCGGATACATTGTTACAATCGCTTCAGTTTTGGGTTACATGTCACCGGCAAGATTAAGCGCATATGGTGCCTCAAAATCAGGACTTATAGCATTGCACGAGTCACTTACGCATGAGCTTGGCTCTCCAGTAATTGGATCCAATGGGATTAAAACGTTACTCGTGTGTCCAGGACAACTTAGCACTAAAATGTTTAAAGGAGTGCGAACCCCTACCCAAATATTTGCACCAGAATTGGATCCAAAATTTGTCGCGTCATATGTTGTACTGGCAATAGAGCAAGGTCGAAGAGGAGAAATCAAGTTGCCATTTTATGGCAAGTTTCTCCCCTTGTTCAGGGCTTTTCCTTGGCCGATAGTAGCATTGGCAAGAAAATTCTCAGGCATCGATAAGAGTATGGATGCATTCAAAGCAAAAGTATCAAGAGTTGCAAGTAGTGTGTCTTTGATCATTGCAATGTCAAGAAATGGCTCTACTGATAATTCTCCTACACTATTGAGGGGGTCGTTAACTGTGTCACCGCAAGCCTCAATTTCGTTAAACGTGGAGGAGGGTAAGCGAGAGAACCAAAAGTGATAATGTGATAGAACTTGTCTCTATATTCAGGTACATAAGAGTGCAATTTCATTTGCTTGATCTTTTATAATAAGTCCAGATTATCTTTATTATGACCTGTAATCTCCATTTATAGTCACATACTCATGGGACAAGTCACACGTCCAAAAATCAGCACTTTGGCCTCCACCGGTTCCCAAATCAATCTCGATTACAAGGTCCTCGCTTTCCAAAATTTTGGATGCCCTCTCTTCATCAACCTTCTCTGGCTCTCCATTGACAAGCAAGTTGAGGTCTTCACTACCATCTACAGGAACAAACTTGACACTTGTTTTGGAAGGGATGACTGAGTCACCACTAGACACTTGGGCATAGCCTATGGCACAAAGTATACGACCCCAATTGGCATCCTTTCCGTACATCGCAGTTTTGAAGAGGGATGAATTTGCCACACTCGAAGCAATTGATTTGGCATCGTCATACGATAAACTATCCTTGACCCTGATGGTGATGAATTTGGTTGCTCCCTCCCCATCTCGAACAACCAATTGAGCCAATTGCTGAGCAAAATCTGTAATCTCTTTTTGAATTGCCGAGAATCTCTCACCCTTTGAAGCGTCGAGGTCAATTAACTCCCCACCGGCAGCACCATTTGCAATAGCGACAATGGTGTCATTTGTAGACATGTCTCCATCTACGGTGATACTATTGAATGACCTATCAACTGAATATTTGAGAATCAGTTGTAATGCTGAAGGTGAAACGGGTGCATCAGTAACGAAAAAACCGAGTAAGGTTGCCATATTTGGGCAAATCATACCAGCCCCTTTACACAACCCGGCTAGTGTGTAAGTGTCATTACCAATGGTGAACTGTTTGCTAACAAGTTTGGGGAAGGTATCAGTAGTGCAGATGGCTGTTGCACAATTGACCCAATCTTGGTGAGTATTACCCAAGTGGTCCGATGCTAATTTAGGAATACCAGATAAGATCTTGTCGATGGGCAAATTATTTCCAATGACACCGGTAGACATTACCAAGGTAGAGCTAGGTCTGTTTCCAAGCATTGAGTCCGTCACCAATGACATGTCCTCAGCATCTCTCATTCCTTGAGTACCTGTGACAGCATTGGCATTACCACTGTTTACCACAATCGAATTGATTCCTGCACCTTTTGTCTCTTTAATGATACGTTGAGAGACTTGAACTGGTGCGGCTTTGAACTTGTTCTTGGTAAACACAGCAGCAGCAGATGCATCTTTTCCATGAGTGCTATGAAGTATTGCCAAGTCGAATGATTTCCCGTCCTTTTTGACACCGCAGTGTATTCCACCAACGATGTATCCTTTTGGGTATACACCACTCTTGGGAACAAACCTGTCGGCTTTGGATGATAAGAATCTGTATGGTATTCTCGATATTCTGTGCATGGTGCTTTGCTTAGTACATGAGTCAACGATAACTTTCTTAACCGCGATGAAATGAGTTGCCTAATTGAGAGGTTTTTTGAAAAAAAAAATTTCAATCCAATCAGAAGCACATCTTGCGATGAAATGAAACGATACCCAAAAAAAATGCTACTATGATACGAAACATAAGATCGAGACTTTTGTTTACCCGATATAGCCGTTTCCAGTTTTGCCAAAGAAGCGTTGCATCCATATCATATGAAACGAACAAGTCAATATTCGATCCAGAGAGATTCACTTTTCCTAATGACGATCAGAAGCAATGGGACCAATTAGTCAAGGAATACACGCGCCTACTTTTGAAAGAAGATGTACCAACTGCTATTAAGCACCTACAAGAGTTGGAGCATTGTAATGACTGGCAGAAAGACAAGGTACGACCGATGTTGGAACTTATTCAAGCCGGCCTCGATGTATATAACAAAAGCAACACAAGACACAGCTTCAAAGAGATCATTGACGTCATTCAAAGATATATTGCATTGCTTAGGCAGATGAAAAATGAGATGCATGAAGAATCATTGAAGCAGCATATTGACACGACCTTGAAGACTTTACTACATGCGTATTACATAGATCTGATACACGGCAAAAAGGGGATACTCATGCTTCCAATTCAAAAGACGTTTGACCAGATAGTGGATGAATTTGGCGTTGACTTGGTGCAGTTATCAAAGAGGTTAGCGGATGAACATTTGAGGAATAGTCTAATGGAGCTCAGACCAAAGACGAGCGACCTCGAATATCCAAAGAAAGTTAGTGACCCAAATATCATTGACGTACCTATTGAGCCATACTTGGATGACTCAGGCAACTTGCATTTCGAAAGTGCTTGTAGGTACATCACAGACAACAAGTTTCGGTGGAATGGAGAACCAATTGTTTCGTGCTACAAATTTTATGATGCGTTACCAACTGATCAAAAGAGTATATTTGTGCAAAGCTATCTTTCATTCAATAAATCAAAACAGTCAAATCTAGAGCAATACACTCACAAGTTGATTAAAAGTCCATCAAAATTCAATGCGATCTCAGAGAAAAGTGCGAAATTCATCGCATCTCAACATGAGTTGATTAAGACTTGGGTGGATTCTAGTTGTGAGAAGATTAAGCTGCTGATGATGGTGAAATCACCGGCTTCACACGAGGAGAAGGTTCTTTATCAGTTTCAGCAATTTATACAGGTGTTTCCCCTAATCTCGATTGTCGGTCATATAATTCATAAATTGATTTCGTCTGCATATAGGGGCCAAGTTGGAGTCTTGGAAGTATTGAATGATATGAGGCTGGTGTTTAGACGGGACATTATATTGATGAAAAGATCAGACAACAGAGCTCAGCTTTTCAAATTTATTTCCGATGACGAGTTTGACAAATTTTCGAGTATCTTGATCAGATCTGTTATTGAATCTTGCACCCTACCTAAAGAACTTGCAAATATCAATGAGAGTAAAGAAAGCAACACCAAGCTCAATTCACCATTCTATCTTGACACAATCTACACTTCCCCCACAAAATCTAAAGTTTTCATAAAGATTCACCCTGCACTTTCACAAAGCTTAACTGCAATCCCCATCGGCTCTGACTCCCATCATTTTCCATTATTGTGTCCACCCGAACCCTGGCTCGGTGTAAATAGAGGTGCGTATTTGGAACGAAGCACCCCGTTCTTGAGTGGGGTCGATAAGTTACAACAAACTATTTTGACCAATGCTCAACACCAAGGAAAGCTAGATTCCGCATTCAAATGTCTTGATCAAATGGGCAAAACTGCTTGGGCAATCAACCCGGAGATGTTACTGGTTTTCAACAAGGTGATTGATTTACCACAGGGGTTTCTAAACATACCCCCAAAAGTTGTCGACGAAGCAAATAAATCAAAGCAAGAAGTCATCGACTTGAAAGGGTTGAGACTGAATTTCGAAACTGTTAATATGTTGGCCAATGCATTTGGGCGTAATGGCGATATGTTGTACCATTGTTATGTATTTGATTTTAGGGGGAGAGTATATCCTTTATCGCCGTTGACGCATTATGGTGGAGACTTGACCCGGTCCTTGTTTCAATTCTGGTTTGGTCAGCCTTTGGGTCTCAATGGCTTGTACTGGGTGAAGTACCAACTTTTGTCGGTATTTGGGGGAAGCTGCATTGACTGTGAGGAGTTTTACAATCAAAATAGAGCAAACATTATTGATTCGGCTACGGATCCTTTGCAAAATCGATGGTGGATGAAAGCCGATGAACCATTTTCTGCCTTATCAGTTTGTATTGAATTGAAGAACATTTTGGAGTTTGTTGAACTGGGCAAGGGTTCGGTTGGGGAATATATGTGTCGATTACCAATTCATCAGGATGGATCATGTAATGGACTTCAGCATTACGCTGCACTAGCTGCGGATGAGCTTGGTGGGAAAGCAGTGAATTTAGTCCCTGTGGACTCAAAACAGGATGTCTATTCAACAGTGAGAGACATTGTTGAACGTAAGATCATCAATGATGTGACAAATGGAAAACTACTGGAGGTGCACCGAGACCATGCTAAATTCATATTACTGATTTTGGATCGGAACTTGATTAAACGGCCGGTCATGACTACTGTATATGGAGTCACTCTAGTTGGTGCAAGTCGACAAATTTTGGAAAATGTTGAGAAAATCGTTTCTGATCATGATGAAAATCCTTCCAAGCGTGGATTATATGATGAAGAGACCATTGACAGGCTACGTTCGTTCAATTTGAAATCAACAATGTACTTGGCAAGGAAGATTCTATCATCAATCGATGAACTATTCCACAACGCCAAACAAATGGAGCGGTGGTTAGTTCAAAACGTGAGACGCATTTTGACTGGTTATAACGTAAAGACCTTGGACTACCTCCAACTGAAACTGCATGCGTCTCTGTCGCTCACTTTTACATCGGCAGCAAAATCATTGGAGGATTGGTACAAGAGTGGCATAAGTTATATTCCAATAAGTTGGATATCTGCGTCTGGGTTCCCTGTTCTTCAAACTTATCGAAAGAAACAGCAACCGCATAGTGTTGCCGGTGCATTGGGTTCAATTATGCAACTGGCTCTGAGTAAGCATGCACCGATGGATCGACGTAAGCATGAGTTGGCAATTGCGCCAAACTTTATCCATTCTTTGGATGCTAGTCACATGTTTATGACGTGTGATGCCTGTGCTGGAGAGGAGGAGGGGGTCCGGGGTGATGATGGAGCTAGTAGAGGTCTGGTAGGTCTGGTGACATTTGCATCGATTCATGATTCGTATTGGACTCACGCAAGCCAAGTTGAAACGCTCTCGCAAATCTTGCGACAAACTTTTGTCAAACTACATTCATTTGATTATATGTCTCATGTTCGAGACGATTTTGTTAGCCAAGTTGAGCACTTGAATTTGTTCCAATTGGTTTATTTCAACAAGCTGGAGTGGCCGAATCTATACGATGACCTAAAGTCAATACGACTGGGGTATGAAGGAGAGTATGGTAAAATGAGCGAGGTGTTGAACCATGAATTGCGACAAGTCCATGAAATGAGACAAGATCATCCTATTTCTCAACTACTCAATCAACACAATCCGAAATTGTTCCACATAGTTGGAAACAATATATATAACTACAATCCGAATGTTGAGGATAGTGAACGGGTTCAGCTCGATAAGTCGTATCGCAAGCAGTTGGTTCCAGTTTTCGTTCCTTTACAAATACTAAATTTGCCTAAGAAGGGTACCTTAGATATTAGATACGTTTTGGAAAGTAAATACTTTTTCTCATAATAGAATGGAGCTTCTCATGTGTTATTGTTTGTTGATCATTTTCTCCAATTTGCCAAATATTTTGTCTCGATGTAGAGCCAATGGGTCATTGACATCTGACTTGAAAAACTGATTCCTTTTTACTGGGTAGTCTTCTTCATCTCCCCCGTCATCCTCGTCGTCGTCGTCATCATCATCTTCCTCATCGAACCCCATGAACCGTTCCACATCGCCGTAATCAAAATACTCCTCCCCATTCCATCCAATTCCATCATGCGGCACATATCCCTCATCTCCGTCCGCTACGTGTCCATCCTCATCTCCATCACCGCCACCACCTATGTTCAACTTATCAAACTCATCCTCAAAAGAGTTCAATTCTTGCAACCCTTCAGCATCTTCGTCACTGGGATAATCGTTCTGATAGAAACTTTCAGCATTGGAATCCTCATCATCTGTCAACACGCCCGGTTTTCTCAAGTCGTCTGCTTCTTGTTGTGTTGAGTCAAATATGTTTGAATCGTCATTATCTGATTCATCATCATTGAAGAAGCGAATGTATCCAATTTGAGCCAGGGGGTGATTGGCGGTGGTGAGTGGTTCCGCATCGGTTAGTTGATACACGTCGTAAACGTATTGATTATCTTCGTTGTCGTCGTCGTTGGGGGAGTTGTTGCTATTCCCGCCTTGCTCGTTTGAGTTGGTTGTGTTTTGAAAAGTGGATGTCCCATGCGGATTGGGTCCCGCGAAGGAAGGTTCTTCTTCATGAGCTGAGCCCGTACGGCCTCTTCTTTTCCTCTTTGCGTTTGAATTGTCATCTCCCTTGGATACTATATCTTCAATCATGTTGAACAATTGATCTGGTATTTTTGCATCCGCAGCATTCTCGTAATCGAGTGTGGATCGACGTCGAGTCTCGTCTGGTTGGATGATGAACCGTCGTTTGATCCCCGTCTTGTGTTGCTCTTGGCTCACCTCTTGCCCTGCTCCTTCATGTTGCCCAGAGGCGGCACTAGTAGTTGTTGCAGCTTCAGCCAATATTGTATGCAAGACTGATTCATCCAATTGCGCATCATCACCAAATTCAGTTTTCGCCAACTTGAACATGTAATTTAGTCGGTCATTATCAGTGGATATACCTGACTGACTCAATTTCTGTTGCTGTTGCTGATTCAGTGGTGTTTGACTACGTGGTGTTTCGATGGGAGAAGCTACGGGAGTTGACGGTTTTGATCGTTTAACAATGCGAGTATCTTCCAAGATTAAAGCTTGAAGTGGATCTTGGCCTCGTTTCCGCTTGATCCTGAGGATCCGTGGTGGCGGAGGCTGTGAAGTTGGTGTAGTGGGTGTTGCATCGTTGGCACTCATTGTTTGTCATCCGATAGCGGAATGAGGGGAGAAGTGGGTGACTGTAATTTTTTTTCTTGTCTTTTTTGGTTTTCGCAAGCGATGTATATGGACGACAGAACTGTGTACTGTAGATTTCACCTACTGGAATCTTGAGTCGCAGCAGTCAAGTGATTTACTCTATATCGTCTAATTATTTATACTGGTATGAATATTAAACAGAACTGCGGGGAACTGAGTAACTTCAGCAACCACATTACTTTCTACCCCAAAACTCATCAAGATTCCTCTAATCACGCCACATGGAAACCAAAGATACACTTTTGACTTTTTCAAAGTATCTGGATCCGTGGCAGTGCCAGTACCAGTGCCACCACTTGCAACCGCTTCAATGTTAGCACCACCTCTATTACCGCTAAACTGACTAATCAATCTGTAGTTATTATCAATCAAGACAAATGTACCTCGATGATTAGTTCGTAAATTGTCAATTTGTTTATTGTAAATGCATTTCCAAACGTCCCGACATATGAACTTCATTATATCCAATATATCAATAATCTTTGTGGACGAGTTTTGGTATAGTAATATCTCAGCTATCTTGAGGCCCAAGTTAAAGCCTAGTTGTTCAATTCTGATCGTGACGTCGTCGGTTTGGAGTAAAGACGTGTCTAGTATATTGACAGTGCCTGGAAAGTCATTGGTGATGGATGAAAGTTCCGTGTCAATTCGAGTTTGGCTGAAATGGGGATCGTTGTTGGTGATGTTGCTGCTGCTGTTGCTTGAAGGTTTGGATATTAGTGGTTGATCGGTTGATTTCGATGATAGTGCTTTTGATACGCGAATTGATGTGGGGACAATCTCTTGTAGAAGAAATTCAAAGCTTGAATAGCTTATTTGAGACTGAGGTACATCATCCGACATGGTAAAATTTGGGTGGAAAGTCGTTGATGATGTTAAAGTGTATTTTATGTTTGATGATGTTTTTTTTTTATTTTTTCGGTTTTTCTATGCAATCAATTGAGGATTTGATGCTGGAATGGACAGCTTGAGCAACAAAGGTACGACAACACTATGGCTTTGTCAGTGATGCGTGTATATTCGAATGGCTTTAAGGCTATGCTGGGGTCGGGGTCACATCAGACCAATAGGGCTAGCGCAGGAGCCTACAATTTGTCAATAAGAGCAGACTTGTGTAAAAAATGACGCCAAACCACCCACGAATCAAGAGAAGTCTTCATTATCGGTGTCTCAAACTCTTTCTACAGTGTGATTCAAATCCATCTGATAAGCACTCTTTGTTGATAGGTTGTTAGAATATGTGCTTCAAAGAAGGTCGTGTAGAGAGCACAATAGATTTGGAAATTGGTAATCGCACGTCTTTTCATACTGTAGTGCTGGATAAAAACACCATTATTGGGAAATACGCGCAGCACTCGGTTTTCAGTGAAAGTACACGCCCCGCAACACCGTCTTCACGTTAATTTTTATCTCAAACTTGATAATGTATATAGATGGACACACAAAAATATACAAAAAAACCCTAAATATGAAGTAAAAAAAAATAAACCACAAGACCAAAGCAGTTGAGGGAACACACATGTTTATAGCTTTAAAATGTTAAGAGGGAGATAGAAGCTTGCAAGGTTAAAAGTGGTTTAAAGAAGTTTAGTTTGGGGAAGTGGCCAAGCCAGCTTGCTTGCATTTCTCTCTTTCTCTTGATCATCCTTTTGTCGTGTGTTTCAACTTAAGCAAAGTGTAGAAAGTTCACATACTGCACAACAGTAATTTTTGTGTAGTACGATGAAACAGGTCAATAGGAAGAGACACAAGAATAACAACAACAACAACAACAACAACAAAAAATAACAACTACAGCCGATAAGGCCTAGGAAACAACAAATTTCAACTACGCAAGTAGCAAGTAAAGGAAACTGCATCTAGATAGAGTCTCCCGAAGGGTAGTGTGATCTATCAACTTTAGAGTATGACACTTTGTGTTTGGCAACCGTGTTTGTAAAATGCAGACTATATATGGTAGTGTACTTTTGTCTGAAAAGATGCATAGCTTATACTGCGTACGCGCTATGTTGTATTTTCTTTATTTTATTTTATTTTGTTATGTCTATTGTTTATTGGTTTTGTGGTGATATGATATGCATACTTAGTATGTGTGTATGGATGTAGTAAGTACAGATTTGGTAAATGGTACACGCAAATGCACTAACTTTTATATGTTATTTCTGTGCCAACGTACACGCACAAACAATAGACGAAGAAGCAGAAGTAGACACAAAGACTAAGAAGAGGGAGAGACAGAGACAGAGACAGAGACAGAAAAAAAAAAACCCCAAACCCAAACCAAATAGAGGGAAAGAAAAAATTGATAATCTTTGCAACACACACCATTATCACTTATTACACACGCAAGCACAGTCAATACAGTCACCAACATCACTATTACTACTGCTCCATATACTTTTCTTCGACAGAAAGACAAGAGAGATTTATAGTTATCGAAACAGTGAAGGAGAGAGCTAGAGAGCAAGAGAGCAAGAGAGACAACAGGTATCCCACATATAGGTTACCACGGGCAATTCAAAATTTCAGCATCTTCTGCTACTCATTGATCAGTCCCAGGACTGAACATATCTATTATCATATTGTTTTTGCTAACTCCATTCCAAGCCTACTTTTTCAAACGTACCACTTTAGGCACTCCAGATAACATAAAAAAGGATACTCTCTAGAAGAGCTTCAAAGAATATTCCGTTATCTAAAGGGTGTGCGTTGGACATCTACAACTTCAACAAAAGATTAGTATAATTGCATCAACTTATTAGAAGGGTAGTAACCCCTATTGGCACTCATCCGTATCTCGAGACAGCAGGACAAGGATTCTCATACACAACAATTTTCACTATCGACTCATTCGGCTATACAGTTTGCCTCTACCCCATTCTACGTTTTTGTTTCACCATTGTATTATTCCATAAATCGCATTAGCAAATATGTCGTCAGAGGCAATCAGTTACAACAGTAATTCAAACAACCAGAACGGTCAATTTAGTCATCTTGCATCATCTTTATCGGCATCATCATCAGCGTTTACACCGTCACAGGACACAACCAATCTACCCCCGGGATTGATTAATAAGTCGTCCTTTTATGGAAACCAGCAACAATACTCACTTTCGCAGCAGCAGCAGCAGCAACCTCAGCAGATACTGCTACTGCATTTGCATCCAGAGCACTTTAATCAACCACAATACCACCATCAGCAAACATCACAATCTCCACCTGGTTCCGGTATCTTAAAGTTGTCGAATCTACCTCGCGACCTCACAAGAAGAGAAGCCACGTTGATATTTGCTCTCGTCATTGATGAAGTGTTGAGCATTGATGTCAATGATTACCAAATATTTGCCTTGTTTAAAGACTATAATACTTGCGTCACAACTGGTAAATTATTGGATGGTCAACAAATATTTGGACACGAATATCCACCAATCAAAGTAGAGTTTGACCGTGGGTTGAACTCGATGGACTCGCCACACACATTAGCACAAACACAGTCTGCATTCAATGCCATGTCATTGTCTTCGTTGAACAACACATCCCCACCAAATAAGTTTAATAATATTGCAACTGCGGGGGAGGGAGCTATAGCACAAACACAGAGTGGTTCACTTATGGGCTCTATCAACTCGTCGTCCAATGTACAACCAATTGTACCATTTGATGTTTTGCAAAAACGACAGTCTGTGGGTACTCAGAGATCCAGATTTGCCTTTGGTGATCCATTTCAGAATGATCAGCAACAACAGCAGCAGCAGCAGCAGCAGCAACAGCAGCAGCAACAACATCAGCAACAACATCAGCAACAGCAGCAACAACATCAGCAACAGCAGCAACAACAACATTCCAATCCATCTCTGTTGCCGCAAAATTTCCAGCCTCAACAAAGACTTTCTGGCCCTCAAATGGGACTGTCGCCTGGACCTTTTCTGTCACAGTTGCATACACAATCACAGAACGGCCCCACGTTCAATTTCCAACCTCTGTCCGACGCACATCATAATGGATTGGCGTCGGCTTCAGCTAACGGATCTTCTGGATCAAGGTCGAGTACCGAAGTCACTGGTAAATCAATTCTATTGATGGAGTCACAAAATGACGCAAGAGATTACGACCAGTTGGTTAGAGATCCTTGGAGCTCTAATAATGGAAGCTTGTCGGCGGTACAGAGTCCTACTATGTACTCCAACCCCGATTGGAACCCATCCAGCGCAGTAGCCAATGGGAATGCATCAAATTTCACTCTACAGCAACCACCTGATCGTCGAAGAACATCATCGTCATTTTTCGGTCCACAAGTGCCACTGGATCAATTGCCATTATCATCACCACCACATCGTGTAACTGCACCACCCAATCAAACTCCTCCACATGGACCCACTGCTTCAGGCTTGAGATTAGCATTGCAACAATCAAATGGAAATAACCTGCGACCAGAGTACCAAGCAGGGAAAGGATCGCAACCATCCCTGTATGTTCAGCAACTGAAACCGCAGAGCGGTAGCAAAACCTCACCTGCAGCACTCGTGCATTCCAGTCCTTCAACAGCGCCAACTACATCATCTTCAACAAGCAAGTCGATCCCCACATCAAAGGAGATTCCCGAGCTTTCCCTTTTGGCTAGAGTTCCACCACCTGCAAACCCTGCTGATCAAAATCCTCCATGTAATACTTTGTATGTGGGTAATTTGCCTCCAGACGCAACAGAAGCTGAATTGCGTACTTTGTTTGCACCGCAAAAGGGATTCAGACGTTTATCGTTTAGGACAAAGAATAGCACAGTTTCGGGAGGCTCTTTGCCAGCAGCAGGTGCAAGTTCCAGTGGACATAATCATGGGCCCATGTGTTTTGTTGAATTTGAGGATGTTGCACATGCAACAAGAGCGTTGGCTGAATTATATGGACTGGCTTTGCCTAGACCACATGGAGGAAGCAACAGCAAAGGCGGAATTCGTTTATCGTTTTCAAAGAACCCTTTGGGAGTTAGAGGTCCTGGAAATGCGAGGAGAACTTCAACTAATCCATCGAGTAGTGTCTCTACACAAGACTCATCAAAGCAGCAGTCTTCTGGGGGTGGCTCTATCAATGGGAACGGCTATAATCACCAGAAATAATGGGCCACCACAGTTGACCTTTTTAGTTTTCATTTTGTTTTATTTTATTGTTTTACGGGGAAGAGAGGATTCTACCTTCTGTTATTAGTCATTTTTTATCATTCGGTTTTGTATAAATTGTGTATTATGTATTACGTTTGAGCGTCTCTATTTCATCAACTTGATCAAATCTTTGGAATTGGCATAAACCTGACTCAACCATTTACTTTCCAATAACTCTTCGGTGCTGATTCTCGCTGACGCTTGAGGATTCAAGAGTTTTAAAATGTACTCTCGAGAATCGTAGTGGAGACTCTTGAACAAGTGGATTGCGGAGTTGGAGCTAGATGGTGAGCCGGCACTTGAGGGGGGAGACGAAGCCAAGGAAGAGGTGGAGGAAGACTCGTTTGCGTGATGGTGCTGTGAGTGGAGGTTGAGTTGAGATAGGTTGATTTGGGAGTGGGAGTGGTTGGTGCTTCGGCTTTGACTTCGACTTTGGCTTCGGCTTCGGTTTCGGTTTGTGGCATTGTTGTTGCTGTGAGGTGATTGATGTTGGTGTTGGTTGGAGAGGGTGGATATTTGAGGCCGTTGGCTGGGGGAGGTATTGGCACCACTAGGGTTGGCACCACTTCCAAGCCGATTCAACTCCGTCAACAATGCTTTCATTTGGTTTGCACTGTGCGGATAGCTCTCAACATATTTAAGAAACACCACATTTTTCGGATCCTGTGAATTTGCCAAGCCCCACGGTGACTTCATCAAGTAGATGACGAAATAACATATCCCCAAACTCCACAAATCAACCAATTTCAAATTCTGATAATCGTGCGATGACACACAATACTGGTTGATACTGAATTCACCCAGTTGCAATTGCACCTCGATATCAAACAATTCAGGAGCTTTGAAACTGGGGGTACCGGAAATGAGAAAATGCGGAGTCTGTTTGAAACTTGCGGTGATGGCTTGTGGGTCACGAAGATTGAAACTGTATCCGAAATCACTAATCTTGAGCACGCCATCGTCATCAATCAAGATATTTTCCGGCTTCAAATCACGATGAACAATGTTGTGGTTGTGAAGGAACTGAACTCCACGGACGATTTGCTTGAATAGGGAGTCGCGCAAATTGCTGGAGATTTCAACTTGGAATCGCCTGGCTTTGGAAAGGAAATCGAGTAGGTCGCCACGGGGGTAGTACGGTAAGATTAGTGATACTTCATTCTCCAACTGGAAATGTTTCTGAGGCTGCTCCAGTTTCTGCTTTTCCTCTCGACTCCCACTCGAAATAGAAGCAAGATCCAATACCGGGATGATGTTGCGACAGGAGCTTACGGCTTTCACATTGGTATATTCCCTCCACACAAGATCTAGATACTGTTGGTGCTCTTCTTCCGGTTTCTGTTTGATGCGTTTCAAAACTACTGGTTTTGTGTGGTTGCAATCTGTACCCTTAAAGATTATCCCATTGGCCCCTTCGTAGATTGGCTTTGATGAGGTTTTGAAGTAGTCGCGGCCAATTATGGGGAGGGTGGAAAGATCTGGGAATGAGGATGGGTCCGGAGAAGGGTCTTGCTGCTGCTGCTGCTTCTGCTGCTGTGGTACATCTCTTGGGTCGTCTCTTTTCGTGGATAGCATATCTTGCTCAGTATCGATGCGTGAATTGAGGATTATATTTCTCCGAGTGTGAATTTAAAAATATGTAAGGATATTTTTTTATTTTGTTCGTGCGGAGGAGAGCTTGGACAGTACATAAACTGGAGTCCAACCATGTTTCAGGAGTGGTTTATCAAGTGAGCACAATACAATAATAGGCTTAAACTAAATAAAAACTACGAACCTAATATAAATTACGAAACTAATTAAACTACGAAACTAATTAGAATATTAAATCTCCTCGGGCTTTGCTCTCTTGACTCTGAAAAACCTAAACTTTGAGGCATCAGAACCATCATGTAAACCGTTTCCAGCAGAAGCATCACCAACACCATAACCAGCATTGGCATCATCAGCTTGAACATAATCACCACTTGATTTACCATAAGCATTACCGTTGTTAGCAGCATAAGCACCTTCATCATCAACACCTGATCCAGATCTTCTCCTGTTTCCTCTTTTGGTTCCAAAGGCTGCTAAGATACTGGTCACAAATGAAATCAATAAAGTAGCCACTGCTGCCCACAAAATTCCAAAAGCTTTTGCACCCAAGCTAGTATGATGACCGGCATTATTGAATGCTTTTCTGCCTTTCACGTGAGCAGCAGTAATCAATGCAGCAGCAGCAATGGTGAAGAGGAATGCAATGAATGTCAAAATCGATGTTAATGCACCTCCGATCAGCAAGCAAAAGTTGAGAGGGATAACAATGAGGGAAATAACGGTGAAGAACAACCCAACGAGGACAAATGCCCACCCGATCCTGCTCAAATAGTAGTAAGTATTTCTTGAGCTGATGAAAGATTGTGGTAACCCATCTTCAGTACCGAAATTGTCCTTTGGTGAGTAAGGATAAGCAGGCTTGGATTTCACACAGTTTGCATTGCGACCGTCTACAACATCACAGGTACGATAAAAAGTCCATCTTGTGGTTTGAAATGGGGCTCCTTGGATTCCTGAGGTGTCAGTTTCCGACCAGTAAAACTTTCCAAGAATTGATGAAGTTCCAGCACCGTTGATGACTGTTAAGATCAACAACAATGCGGAACCCAAAAGAAAGAATAATGGAATTATGGTTAACCCTCTCATTGTATGATAGGTGGTTGGAGTAAAATAACTAATTCAGTTGACTGGCACGGAATTGAATTCGGGTATGATATGACAATAACGCAATGATCTCAACTTGTTGGGAAATGCTGACTAGTGCAAAATTTTAACTAGTGAACCTGAGAACGAAACGAGAAGTTTGAGCGCAGGAGTCCTTAGGAGCAAGGGAGTACAATTCTACCAATTGAGTGGTTATTCGTGGAAAAGTTACGAAGCCTGAGTTATTTATAGTTTAAAAATGTTGAAGTCACATTTTGTCACTGCAATAGCAAAGTTATATATTGCTATTGTTCTCTATTTTTAAAAAAAATTTCTTTTTTCAATTGTTGTTAGAGATTTTGTTTACTTTTTGTACAAAACAGAGTAATCAACGTCAAAGAATTTCGTAATTACGGGGTCTAATCTTCAACAAGACCTCATCGAGTAGCTACGACTTCCAACGCCACACCACACCACACCACTACCCTCTCCTCTCCTCTCCTCTCCTCTCCTCTCCTCTCTTCTCCCTACCCTTCCCTCTGCACCCACTCTGACCAATAGGCTTACAACGAGTATTTGATGCAAGAATAAGTGTCAGGAAATGCTACCATTTAGATACTATAAATAAGCTTCTCCCCACCGGCTCCTTTGCATCCAATTGTCATGTAAGTTGCTTCGAGTTACGTTGACTAACATGTGCGGCAAAGAAGCCTACCTCTTTCTTATTGGCAGAAGAATCTGACTAGCATCTTCTATTAGCGCTCTATTGCAAAGAGAAATAACCGCCATTTTGTACTCTTTCCCCAGAGACCAGTTGTCGGAAGGCTCCCAATCAGCCTTCCTCCACTCTCTGACGTCTTGAGCATCTTACCAGTCTTGGTTCAGTCAAGCACATGTTTGCTATAGAGAGAAAGGTTTATCGTATGACGTAAGTTTAATATTTGCTACTTTCGGGTTTGTGTGACAAAAAAAAAAGCACATCATTCCCAATTAGGAAACACTATTGACTAATTAAGCAATCGTTGAGTACATGTGACCGTCTCAAGTTTATTCCATGCAGAAACTCCAAATTTTGAGTAAGAGCTGCAAACCATCAACGTGCAAAAAGAAACCTAAACTCAGAGCGCTACTGGTGCTGAATTTTTGAAAGAGAAGGCTATTCCTTTTTGGTATAAGACCTTATCAATTTTAGTTAGCCTATTTCGTGGTTCGTGAAGCTTAAAAGTAAAGAAAATTTTCTGTCAAAGAGTAAATATTTGAGTCTCATCTGAACGATTCTGCTTAGAGTAGGACAATGGGCTTGATTAATAGAGAGAAGCCAGTTCACTGCCAAGTAATATACGTATTGGGTAGCAATTGAAGAAGCAAACAGTGTCCAAGAAATGTATATCATGGCTACGTGCAGCCACGCAACAAGTTGCTTCAATATGCCTACATTGGAAAGTGTATTCAGCCAAGCAAACTCTTAGATCTACATTCCCAACACTTCCCTCTCTTCCATTTACTTCTAAGATCTCTGCACTCCCAAATACGAATGTGTCAATTTTGCTTTCATCTGTGTTCTTGTTCAGCCTTTCGATCCGAAAGACACCTTCAGCAATAGTTGTATTGACTTGGGCTCCACGATATAATTTGAAAGAACTTGTACTCTCTCAAGTTTTTGTTGCGGGAAAGCAGTGATATGGCGAAACTCGAGTCTTGGCAGGGGAACGAATAGGGTGAGACGTCACGAGTGTGTATGCAAGACAGTGATCCTTCTGGATGTGAGCTCTACACAATCATTATGATAGGGATTGATAAAATACCAAAGATAGATAGCTCAAGCGGTTCTTCTCTTTTCACCACCCTTTGAACACTCAATCTCAACATCAACAAATTGTCGTTCGTATTTGTGACGACCTACCACTCGTTAAAAAGAAGAGGTTGAGATACCGGACCTCACTTCGAATACTTTCTCGGTATGCTCACTTTTGAGGCAAAAAAAAAGAAAAAAAAAAGCTCAACCGACAAAGACGCAAGTATCCTGATGACATACAAGCTCTCAAGTCTGTTAGGACTTGGAAATTCAAACAGAAGGACTGGAAATTGGAAAGGTCTGGGTGTCCAAAGCGTTGCGTTGCAAGGGGTGCACCCACAGATACAGTAGCAAGTGACGGAGAATCAAATGGTGACGAGGATCACAAAGATAACTGAGAATGTCTGGGACAGGATTCCACGCAGTCCATTCAGTTGTTGAAACAGCACTCTTTCTACATACTTGAAATTCTAGATGTTCTTCAAATTAATTCTTGATAACAGAACTCTTATCTAGATCCACTGCAATACTCGGTATAGTCTTATCCGTGTTACAACAAAAATTCCTTAAACTTCACTTTTTCCAGTCCGTCCTGTTTTACAATTTTCCTTATTTTCATGGACCCCTTTTGTGTACGGGGTAAACCCTTTTTCGAAAGTCTCGTAAAAGTCTAAAATTTGTTATGCGGAGAGAACAGAAAAATACGAAAAGCGCAAAACATAACGACTGATGGCAAAACTCACTTTACACAAACTCTATTGTAGTTTCCTTGAGACATCTCAGTAAAAGAAACTACCTGTCTACTGCTTTATTATTCACTCCCCCCACCCCACTCCCACTGAAGAACAAATCAGTGCACTCTCCCACCTTTTCCTCCCCTCTTTACCGCTTTTTGTTCTCTGTGGCCACAAACATGGCAAACGAACGTATGTGCCGCCGAGACGAATTTCTAAGTAGCAATCGATTTGGAATAGTAGAGAATAATCAAAATCGGGCCGTAGTTAGCGTAATAGGGAATTGTAGAGGGAGTAGTTGGTTGTCTATTATTTTTTTCTTTTTCTCTTTTTTTGCAGCTCTTATACACAAAACGCAGAAACATCAAATTTCTCCTACGATTCGTTTCACCAATCTTCGACACGAATTTGATATCGGAGAGGATATAGATAAAGACGATAATTCACCTCATGTCGTGGTTTGACACCGCCAACATGCTCGATTTTCATGACGACTTACAGCAATTCCATCCCCACCATCATTCAAACTTCAATCATAACAGCAAACACGATACCAACAACAGCACCACCGAGACCGACAGCCACCGTCATCTCTCTCTGCATAGTCACACTTTAGAAAGTCCATCTAACCATGAACTTAGTTACTCACGCTTGTTGTTGTCGGATATTTTGAGTTACGACATCAATGCAGCTGTGGAGCAAGATCATCAACAAGCAAAAGCAATGTTTATGCATCGCTGCATGTCACAAGAAGATGAGCAAGAGCGACATCTGCAACTGCAACTGCAACTGCAACAACCCACCACCAAGCGAAACGATTTCATTGTTGATTACGACGGCGATGAACATGACTTGGACAATTTGGTAGACGGAGTGATTAGTCCCACCATATCTAATGCCAATTTAGTCTCTGAACAATCGTTTCTAACCGCAAGTTTGAATTCGACTCATGATGATTTAGTAAAGATCTTTCAAGAACAAATGGAAAAGAATGAGGTTAGAGATGCCCACTTTGAGCCATGCTATGAGGATAACTCGTCAAACACTGCATCACCTGAATCATGCTTGAATGGATATATGAAGTTTGTCATCAATTCGTCTCAAGTGCCACCATTTGATTACAACGAGGTTGCAAACAATGAAGATGATATGCTAAGTTTGCCAAGTGCAACCAGTCCCAATCAGGAATTGACTCACGAAGAAGTAATTCGGTTATTTGAAGAAACATGCAAGGAAATCGACGAATGGAAACTGACCTCGGATCTAAGTCGAGTTAGATTGCATCCAATAAGAACCATCAATGGACAATCAAGTGGATTCAACACTATAACCAATGCAAAATTCATTTCTCAAGACAAGGAGCTTTCTCCATTGGACGAAACTTTGAAAGCAAGTCCGAATTTCAAGCCTGTTGATAACAACGCATTTGAAAAGTCGCCATCTCCGCCTTTATTTGCCGATGACTCCTTTGATGAGCCCGATTATACCCACAACGTGTCAATCCCTGCATTTGTCAAAGACGTGGCTCTCAAAAGGTCATCTTCGCTTAGCTCGTTAAAATCAGACCAGTCTCATTTATCCTTTCACGCACAGTTAAACATTAGCTCAACATCAAGCTCCCCCTTGGAAAAGTCAAACAATTCATCTGGCATTTCAACTCCAGGGATCCGTCGCAACAAGTACAAGTTGACCAGCACTGGCAGTCAAAAGAGTCTCCAAAAGACAATGTTTAGAACCGGCTCCTCCGTGCCCAAGATTGACTTCAGCCAGATGTCAATTGAGTCTATTCCTGACATTGAATATTCCAAGCTGTTGGCATCAACATCTTCCAAAATTCCCAGCGTTTTCCATTGTTCCCAATTGATTGATAAATTGATTGCCCCTCTTTTCGGTACGGAAACTTGTCTGATCCAACGAACGTTGTACCTTCGCAACGACTTTGATAAAATTTTTGCCGAGCAAGGTCCACCGGAATACAATCTTTCCTTCAACACCAATTTCAAAAAGACCTCATATGAAGCTCAATTCATCTTGACAAAAGTTGACGACAAGCATGGCAAACCAGACAACACCACTCGGGCAGGACTTTGTCCCTATTGTGAATCAATAGAGTTTTTCGGATTGAAAAATTCCTCGTATGGGAACCATTTGGCATATAAACATGGCATCCTCACCAATGGGAAACCAGTGCCCGATCCAAAATTCCATGGCTTGTACCAATTCAAAAAGGGGGAATATGATGAACCTGAAAAGAAGAAACGCAAGACAAATGCCCACATGTTGGAACGGGAGGGTGTATTGTGTACTGATTGCTGGCAAATCTTGGAAGTCAATTGTACGTCACGATCATCAATTTTGGGCCATTATCTTCGTCATTATCGTGATTCTCATGTTGGATATAAGAAGGAAAATAAACTGGATGGAAATGAGATGGTAGATGAGGCGGTGGATGATCCTGTGGTGTTTGAGTTTATTTCTCAATGGGAGCTGTAATTGGGGTGGGCGTGGTGTTTGTTGCTAGTAATGTATAAGCAATTTAAACGTAAAATCGCCGCTGCATATTTTAGATCTATAGAAAAAAAAATGAATGTTGTAATAGTATTGTATGATGAAACCATTTTTTGTTTTCTGAAGCAATTTGAGGAAGAGCTTTTCGAGGTAGATCGAAATCCAAGTTGATATTCCTATGAGTAAGAGCTGTGGTTTCTAGACATAAAACTTGTTAGCTTAGTGTGAGTACCCGAGTGATCAGCCTTCAACTTATCATTTTCCGATAGCCGATTTTTTTGGTGTGAAAATTATGCAAAAAAGTTCGCAATACAATAAGAAGTTACACACATGAACTGGAAGCTCTCAATGACCGCGTAGAATAACACCGGACCCAACACAACTTAAAGCGTTCAAGATGAATAATACAAGCCTTTTTAAAAGATTGAGCGCAAAGTTGCATGCCTCATCACGAGACATTCACGTGACAAACTAACATGAGCCACATTTGTTTCACTAAGCAGATACAGCCGACGCACACATATCTAAGAGAATATCTACGTATGGCGTTTTGGAAATATATCGTTTGAAAGTGTGGCTCACTATCTCCTTCGGAAACCGCAAGTTTGATTAATGGAGAGGGAAGCTTGTGTTTTGTACAGGAGATCTGACAAATCGCTGCTTCCCCTTGAAAGAAGGTTGGGACAACGTTTTATCTACCTTCCCTTTGCTATACAATGCTCTAACCGACACAACCTTCTCCACTTCCCCCACCTACTACACTGAACCCTTTATCCAATGAAATGTTGTCCATTAACAATAACATTGTATTGCAAAGCCACAGTTTTCTTTTTTTTTTTTTCTATTTTGTCGTAATTTAATTTCAAAATTTTTGATAGACATATTTTATCCACAGTTTCAAAACCCCCAGTCAAAAATAATTTAAAATTGGATTAGGTGTACACAACTTGAGGCGGTGCAAAAGTGTGGAATGTACCTTTGTCTTGCACACTTTTAGTCCCACAAAAAAAGAAAGGGCGGCAGGGGGGCGGCGGAGGTATGTGAGAAAGCTGTCAAAATGCAAAACTCTTGGCAAAATCACAAAGCTTTAGTTGGTTAGGGAAGTTGCAAAGACTCACCGATCTGGTACCAACCGCACCTCTCCCCCACGTGAAAACCAATCAGTGCGTATTCTCTGATGCTATTTCCTTATCTACAAGTTTTGCACTGATAAAAGTTGGAAAATTTTACAATTAAAGTATTTTTTTTTTTTACTGATAACAATAACTGGTTTTGCAATTTTTTAATAACCTGCAGGATTGATTGTGCCGTAAGCGCATGATATGTTACTGACCAGATCTTATTGTTTGGTTTATAAATAGCTATCCAAATCCTAGATCTTCGCTTATGCTGTAAAACATCTCCACTAGCTTTATCATGTCTACTGAACCCAAGGTTAAATCAGCTTACGAAGTTTCTGCTCAAGCCTCTGACATTGAGTCTTTGAACTTCTCAGAGTTCTCCAAAGAAGACATTGAAGAGGCAAATGAAATCTTTCATCATGAAAATCGGCTCAGTTCAAAGTTGAATGCCAGACTTATCTCCATGATTGCGTTGGTTGCAGTTATTGGAACCGGTTTGTTTCTTTCTAGTGGTGGTACATTGCACACCACCGGGCCGGTCGGCATGCTTATCTCGTATGTCTTTGTAGGGACTGTTGTTGCTGCGTCTCAGATCTGTATTGCCGAAGTGTCATGTTTGTACCCTGCTACGTCCTCGTATGTTGCCCATGCTGAACATTTTGTGGATAAAGCATTGGGGTTCTCCATGGGTGTGATTGATATTTATTCCGCAGTCATTCCAAGCGAGCTTGCTGCTGTTTCCGTTATCATGACGTATTGGTCAGACATAAACCCGGCATTGTGGATTTCCATATTTGGTGTTGTCATTGTCGCCATCAACTGCTACAATGTGAAGTGGTACGGAGAAGTTGAGTTTGCATTTGGCGTGCTCAAGATTTTACTCTGTCTTGGATTGATCTTGGTTGGATTGATCATTGACTTGGGTGGAGTGCCAGGCCAACAAAGACTTGGGTTTCATTACTGGAAGCACCCGGGCCCATTTGCTGCCAAATATGCTACTGGATCGTTGGGCAAATTCTTGGGATTTTGGAAATCAGTCAATTCAGTGGTGTATGCGTTTGGTAGTATTCAATCAATCTCAATGTTAGCGGGAGAAACAGAGTACCCGAGAAGGGCAATCTACCGTGCTGCAAAAAGAGTGTTTTACAGAGTCTTTACATTGTACATCTTGATGGTGTTCATCTTATCCATGATTGTGCCTTACAGTGACCCAATCATTTCCAAACCAAGTGGAACTGCATCAGCATCCCCTTGGGTTAGAGCAATCTCGTTGGCAGGAATCCGAGTGTTGCCGCATATCATCAACGCAGTGGTGTTGACCTCAGCCTTATCAGCAGCCAACCTTGGTGTTATCAAAGCTAGTCGTACGTTGTACGCCTTGGCATCAAAGAGACAACTACCAAAGCTTTTCCTCAAGGTGAATAGGCATGGGTTGCCCTATATTGGCGTTGCTTTTGCGTCCTGCTTCCTCCCATTGGCATACCTAAGCGTGGACTCGTCATCAGCCACCGTTTTTTCCTGGTTCCAAAATATATCGTCCTCAGCAATTCTTTTCAATTGGATAGTGATTGCAGCCAATCACATTGCACTCCACCGGTCATTAAAAGAGCAAGGTTACACCAGGAAGGACTTGCCATACACCTTCATTGGCGGAAGATACGCAGGTTTCTACTCTCTTTTCTTTTCAACCATATTTTTGTTGACAGGTGGGTTCCCTGTTTTCATTCACGGATTCTGGGACTTTGCTACATTTTTTAGCGCATACTTTGTGATTCCTTTAGGATTGGTGTTGTATGTCGGTGCAAAGATCCTATTCAAGACAAGGTATATCAGACCAAGTGAGGCAAAGTTGAAGCCATTGTTTTACGACGTGCAGAATAGACCTGAACCTAGTTTTCCAAAGTTGAAAGGGTGGCGTTGGCTTACTGCATTGTGGGCATAAAGTAGTCGTGTATAGTGTTGAATCCGAACTTGAATCTGAATTTGAATTTGAATTTGATATTTTAGTTTTGCAATTAGAAAGTTGCAATCACAAAGATCATTGACGCAGGGAAGCTTATTTTCCAAAAAGGCGGATAACCGGTTAGAAAACTGTGGTTCAACATTGAACATCACCTGTAGATAGAGGTGTACTGAAAATGGCGGTGCATACCTGACCTTAGAATGGTCAGCTACATGCAGCATCTGACGGGTGCTTGTCATTACATTTGCCTCTAAAAGTAAGCCTCGCCGTTGCAATTTTGAAAAAGAAAAGAAAATACAATGGAGCCGTGTAGAATAGTCCCCTTTTTATTGTGGTTCATTTTTCAGCTTCCCAATTTCTTGGCGTTCATTATCTATTGATTTTGCAATTTAGAAATTTTCATTGAAATTGAGCGCCACGGTTTGGTTAGCAGAGATGTAATTGGATATATAAAGAGGGGGGACTGTCACTCCAGAGACTTTGCCATGGATTTATCTCCCCCCCACTACAACATGTCTCTTACACAGAAGGATCTGAAAGATCAAGCTTTGAAAGTTGAAGTAATTGCTGACGGTTCAGATGTGGAATCGTTGAATTTCAAATACTCCAAACAGGATATCGAAGAAGCTAGTGAGATCTTCCACTATGAGAATAAATTATCCTCCAAATTGAATGCTAGATTGATTGGTATGATTGCTTTGGTGGGTGTTTTCGGAACCGGGTTGTTTCTTTCCAGTGGAGGAACATTACATACAACTGGCCCCGTTGGTATGCTACTTGGATATGTGTTAGTTGGTACTGTTGTTGGTGCTTCGCAAATAAGTCAAACTGAGGTGGCTTGTTTATATCCGGCAACTTCGGCTTATGTGGCACATGCTGAACACTTTGTTGACAAGGCGTTGGGATTTGCAATTGGTATCGTCGGTACATACTCGGCAATTGTCCCCAGTGAACTTGCTGCCGTTTCGGTGATAATGACCTACTGGTCGGATATAAACCCTGCTTTATGGATATCCATCTTTGGCGTTGTCATCATTGCCACCAATTGCTACAATGTGAAATGGTATGGGGAGATTGAGTTCTTTTTTGGTATATTAAAGATTTTACTCTGTCTTGGATTGATCTTGGTTGGATTGATCATTGACTTGGGTGGAGTGCCAGGCCAACAAAGACTTGGGTTTCATTACTGGAAGCACCCGGGCCCATTTGCTGCCAAATATGCTACTGGATCCTTGGGCAAATTCTTGGGTTTTTGGAAAGCTGTCAGCTCAATTGTGTACGCCTTTGGAGGAGTTCAATCTATTGCAATGTTGGCGGGAGAAACAAAGTTTCCCAGAAGAGCTATACATCGTGCTGCAAAGAGAGTGTTCCTTAGAGTCTTGGTGCTTTACCTTGTGATGGTGTTTATTTTGACATTGATTGTACCTTACAATGATCCAGTGATTGCGCAACCAAGTGGAACTGCCTCTGGGTCGCCATGGGTGAGAGCTATATCACTTGCCGGTATCAAAGTTCTCCCACATATAATCAACGCTGTTGTCTTGACTTCTGCTTTGTCTGCCGCCAATTTGCTGATAATCAAAGGAAGCAGAACAATCTATGCCCTTGCTATCAAGAAACAGTTGCCAAAATTCTTTTTGAAAATCAACAAGCATGGATTGCCATATATTGCCGTGGGATTTTGCTCTTGCTTTATCCCATTGGCGTATTTGACAGTTAGCCAAACTTCGGCGAATGTGTTCTCATGGTTCCAAAACATCACCTCATCCGTGTTGTTGTGCGATTGGATTGTGATTTCAATCAACCATATTGCTCTCCACAGAGCAATGAGTGCACAAGGTTACACCAGAAAGGATTTGCCATACACATTCATTGGTGGTAAATATGCAGGGTGGTATTCGTTATTCTTTTCGGTGTTGTTCTTGTTGACTGGTGGTTTTCCTGTGTTCATTCATGGCTACTGGGAATTTGCCAACTTTTTCAGTGCATACTTTGTGATTGTGTTGGCTTTCGTATTTTTTGTTGGGGGAAAGATCTTTTTCAAGACGAAGTTCTTGAAGCCATCAGATGTTAGATTGAAGCCATTGTTTTACGATGTGGAACTCAGATCGGAGCCTCCTTTTAAGAAGTTGAAGGGATGGGAGTGGCTTACATTGTTATGGGGATAAAGAACTATTTAAGTTACTTAGTATCTAAGCGCTTACTTTTTTGGCACCATATCTCGAAACAGTTTTCCCATCTGGAATGCTAAACAAAACAGCTGGCTTTCCTTCCTCGTATGGAACATCAACTCTGTAGTAACCCTTTCTTTCAAATTGGATGATATCACCGGCATGCAACTTGGCAACATTCAAATCGGCAATGGCTTTGCTGTGGAACTCGGTTTCCGGGGTGATAAAGTCTTCAAAGTTGTCTTCCTCTTCCAACTTGTCCTTTGTGATCAAATGATCGAAATCAACCAAGTCAACATCAATCTTATCCTTGGTATCAGCCAACCAAGTCAATTTCTTGGATGTTTTACGGAAATCACCTTCCAAGTGCAAGTTGGCTTCGACAGACTTGACAATGTCACCTTCTTTGACGACTTTGGAAACGATGACGTTACCCCAGTCCATGAAGGTTACCTCCTCACCCTCTGATAAATCAGCATCGGCTTGGTCAATAAGTACTTGATCGGCAAAGATGACGGACTTGGTACCTACATCCGGGTTCTTTTTGTGTTTTGGTTTTGATTCAGAGTATGGCTCTGATGGCCCGTTGAGTAATTTGACTGGCACAGCATTCTCTGCCTCAACGGCAGTGAATCTTGGAGCAACAGGGTCAATGACTTTCTTGTTCAATGCCCAGATAACTGACCAATCCAAATTGATGATGTTCTTGGAAGGACCTTGGGCCATGATAAAGTTTCTCAACCCTTCAACAGTCATACCCCTTCTTCTCACACCTCTAACGGTTGGAAATCTTGGGTCATCCCAGTTGGAAACATAGTTTTTGTCAACAAACCACTGCAATTTTCTCTTTGACAACAAGGTTCTAACAAAATTGACTCTTCCGAAATCCCAAATAGCGACTGGACGCAAATTCAAAGCCTTTTGGATCCATTCGTATTGAGGGTTACGGTCTCTGTACTCATTAGTTCTCAATGAGTGGGTCACGCCCTCAATCGAATCAACAACAGGTACACAGAAATCGTAAATTGGGTACATTTTCCATTCAGTCCTTGTTCTATGGTGGGGGGTCAAGTTGCATCTGTAAATAACAGGATCCCTTAATGCCTTATTTAATGCTTTGTAGTCAATCTTGGCCCTCAAACAGTTCTTTAAACCTTCCTCAGTACCATTCTTCATCTCCACGGTGAAAATATGCAAGTTCTCTTCGATAGATCTCTCTCTTCTGGCTGATGCATCGCCAACCATTCTTTCTTCTCTCATTTTCTCAGATGGAGTATCATCACAATAAGCTTTCCCATCCTTGATCAATTTCACGGCCAACTCGTACATATCTTGGAAGTAATCAGACGAGTAAGTGATTCTGTCACCTTTAATTCCCAAAAGCTCCAAATCTTCAATGATTGAGTCCTGGAATTCGACTTTTTCCTTGGTGGGGTTGGTATCGTCGAATCTGATAATCAACTTACCCTTGTATGCATGGGCAAAATATTCATTCAAAATGGCTGCTTTGGCATGTCCAATGTGCAAGTATCCTGATGGTTCCGGTGGGAAACGAGTAACAACTTTTCCGATCTCTGCACCTGGTAAATCGATTTCAAAACTGGCCTTGTGGGTTTCCTTTTTACCACCGGCGGAGGTTTTTGCGGTTTTGGCCGCCTTTTTCAACTCATTCAAAGAGTTGGTGAGCAATTCGGCCGATTTATCGAATCTGTTGTCGCTTTGTGCCAAGAAATTGTACCATCTTGAGACATTGACGTAAGTTTCACTCTTGAGGACAGATCCCATAATAGGGTTGGCTCTCAACACACCCCACAAGGCAATGTCAGCTAAAGTGACTTGGTACCCAACAATGTAAGATCTAAAGTTCAAATGAGCATCAAGTTTCTCCAAGTCAGTGGCTAAATCTTTAAAATTTTTGGTGTAAAATTTCTCCAAAGCAAGCTTGATCCACTCTTGCGATTTCGATTTTTCCAAAAGAACTTGTGGGAAGGTTTGGGCTAAATAGTCCAAAGCGTCCAACTGATCAACAAATGTTTCACCACTAGGTGTTACCAATTTAATTGAGAACTCCTTGTCGATTGATTTTTCATCGACAAACTCAACAGGAATTGAAACTTCATTGTCACTGGAGTTGACAAAGAATACAGCAATCAAGGTTGGATACGGAATAGTAGCCGACTTTCCAGCCACGGTTAACTTAAAAGACATCTTGACTAGGTGGTTGATGGAGGATGAAAATTTTTTTGAAATCGATATTTTCTTTTCTTTTTATTTTTTTAGTAGTCTCTTTTGTACACGGAGCAGATCACCACACCCCATGTCATCCAATCAAGCTCGTGCAGGTTCACCAGTTCCTGAATTGAATAGACCAACTGCTAAACGGTCCCCCTCCATTTTGGTTACTGATGCTCGAAGTCATCAGGTAAAAGGAGCTAGGGCTCCATTCGCAGGTCACAATTTCAAAAAGCAACAGCAACAGCAACAGCAACAGCAACAGCAGCAACAACAACAGCAGCAACAACAACAGCAACAACATCAATCACCATACAGCTTTGAGCAGCTGCAACATCAAAATGCATTGCTGAAACGTTTAGCATTTAGGAACAAGTACACTGATATCTCTGTTGACAAGTTGCTAAGCAATTCCAGTGATATCCCATCGGGTCAGAGTCGACTCCCACCGAAACTCGGCCTTGGCAGAATTAGGAATAGTTCAGCATCGCCTCCGCCTCCGATCGTGGGTCCTTCGAACCCGGAATCGAGGAGAAATATAAGGAGCATTCCCAAACTATCGCAGTCGTTACCGTCAAGAACTTCAAAAACGTCACAAAAGTTGGTGTTGATACCTGATGAGCAAAGACTTAGTGGATCACCACCACCCAATGGTGAGGCCACAGAGCCAATTGATAGCAATTTGGAACTACAAGCTCAAATATCGCGATCAAGAGCAGAGCTAATGCCAAAGGAAAAACGTGCTAGAGAATTCAGTAGGATGACTGCGTACTTTATTTGCGAGGAATTTGATCTTCCAGCAGTTGCAAAGTTTCTAAGAAAGCACCACGAGGTCAAGCCAAGGTTGTATGACGAAGCATTGTATGTGCCGTATACATTGCCCTTGCTTCCGGGAACCGATGGGCTACGTGTCAAATCAAACAACTCCACCAAACTCCAAGCAAAGAATAAACACATGGAAAAGATGATCAACAAGTCGGAACAAACAGACCACCTTTATGAATACTACTCCGGAGTTGAGACTCCAGAGGATGCAAACAACTACTCAATGGATCCGGAGTTGGAAAATTTTGACAATAGCAGTCCCTTTGACCCAAGTGAGCCACAATTTTTTGCACCACCGTTGGACGTATCAGGAATCAGCGATGATGGCGATAGCGCCGATTCTAATAGTGACAAGAGTGGTAAAAGTCCAAAAAAGAGTAGGGCAAAGGAAACGCAGAGCTCGTCAACACATAGCCTGTCAGATGTTTCCAAACATCACGCCGAAATGTTTGTCTTTGCATACGGTGTTGTTGTGTTTTGGAATTTTTCCGAGGTTCACGAAAAGAATATTCTTGCAGATTTGGCGTTTGCCGAACAGGATCTTCTCATAAATCCAATCGACGAACAGGATATCGAAACCGAGGAATTCCACTTTGAATACGACAAGGAAATTCACAGGCCAAGAATATACAACGATATGATCACCTTACGTTCGAGTGACCACTTGATTAAGCTCACCATGTCTCATGCAATAGCGCAACTGACGAAATTGGGATTATTTGAGAGCAGAATGGTGAATATCTTGCACCTGATTAGTAAATTACCCAAAAAATTGGCATTAACGGGTAGATTAGGGTTGAAAAGAAATCAATTGTTGAAGAAATCAGGTAAGTTGTTCAAGCTACGTGTAGACGTGAACTTGTCAAGTTCGATATTGGATACTCCTGATTTTTTTTGGTCATTTGAGCCCGCTTTGCATCCATTGTACAATGCTGTGCGAGAGTACTTGGAAATCGACCAGAGAGTGCAAGTCTTGAACGACCGGTGCAAAGTGTTTTTGGAGTTTTCGGATATTGTCACCGACAGCATGAACGAGAAGAATACAAACCGCATTACCTGGATGTTGATCATTATCATTTTCCTCAGTCTTTTTGTTAGTGTATTCGAGTTTATATTGGAGGTTATATAGGTGACGAGGTGGTACTGAAGGGCAAGGCAACAAAAAAAAAAAAAATACAAATAAATAAAGTAAATGACAACAAAGATACTGATCATTACTCTCTTAGATTGTTGCAAAACACAATATTTCCCGAAATGTCTCTACCGTCAATACACGCAAAAGGGGGGCTCTCCCGCTACGAAGCAGTCAAACCTATTACATCTGGGAAAAAACGAGCGAATCGACCGGTGGAGTACATTTTAAAGACCATCGATGACAAAGTTCAAGCAGCAGTTGCACACCAAGAAGATCACGATGGAGACATCGAAATGGTTCCTATGGAAAACGAGCAGGAAGTGGATCTCATAACGTCATATGTGAACAAATCTCGTGACGCTGATTACTACGAAGACGAAGTGAACATGGACATAGAAGATGCACCCGATCTTACCCTAATTGATGGGAATATATCACTCTTGATTATCGATACGAATTTCTGCATCTCTCATTTAGCCATTTTAGATGACCTCAACCGATTGGCAAATGACTACGGACTCAAAATAATTATCCCCGTTTATGTGATACAAGAGTTGGATGGGTTGAAAAACTCAACCAAGTCCGAGAATGATCAGTCAAGTAGCGAGTCGGTCAAGAATCTTGCAAGGTGGGCAAATGATTGGATATACAATCAACTTGCCAGCAATCTGAGCACAGTAAAGGGACAAAAACTCAGTCAAAGAATAGATACACAATTGACCAAGGACGATGCAATTCTTGACTGCTGTCTATACTTTCAAAAATACCACCCACAACATTTGATTGTTCTCTTGTCAAATGATAAGAACCTCTGTACCAAAGCACTAATGCATGAAATACTAACTGTCAGCTTCCGACCGGGTATGGAGGCTTCATTGATTGCTCAAAAAGTCAAGAATGAGAGCTTGTCAAGATTTGGCCTTCGTGAGCCATTGTATAAACCTAATCAACCGTTACATAATGTGGCGCCCGAAATCAATAAGGTTGCAAGAGTGGTAAACAACACATCTGGGATACCACCGCTGTTGGTGATTTACAAAGAGATTCAGATTTTATTACTGAGTGTTTTACACCATTGCATGGTGGCAGAGTATCAAGATGATATCGACCTAATACGTGATTATAAAAAGGAAAACGTTGTGAGCTTACTTCAATGCAGCCAAATATTAATCCGGTTTTGGGTTTCAGTATTCCAGCAGTATTTTAGGGCCATGCCAGTGCGATTTGTACCATTTGAAGAAATAGGCGAAGGAAGAAAGCTGAAGAAAATTCCGGTATACGTTGATGAACCAACAGCTCAAAACGCGCTCAAATTTGTGGATTTCTGGTCTGCGGTATTAAAGGTACTATATCAAGGCGTAATGAGTGATGAACAAAATGAAGCATTAGATGTGTTTATAGTTAGATGGAAGGAATTAGCATTGCAAATATGACTAAAGTTGACCAATTTTTTTGCGTTTAGGAGACTCTTTAAGCGATAAGCTGTTGGTTCGAGAGCGCTTAGAAGGGCTAATTGGTGTGCTGGTGGGGGCTCTTTTGGCGAGGGATTTATTACTTGAAGGCAACTGTGATTCTCTTGCTGGAAAATTACACGCTATAGCATTTTCAAGATTAAGCTTGTTAGCGGCTTTTGCGTCCTGTTGTCGACTCTTCAAGTATTCCTCTTTGATCTCGTTTTCCCATTTCTGCTTATTGAAATTAGTGATGAGATGAATTACCTCCTTGTTGTTCTTTTTATACTGCTTGATCAACAGTTCACCATGTGCCTGCTTGAAATTTAGTTCCAAAAACCTGGAGTACGATTCCTTTGCCTCCAAGACATGTTTGAGCTGACCAATTTCATATCTCAAGTAGGAAATATTGGAAAACTGTTGGAAGTTCAATTTGGATAGAAATTGGATGACTGTCTCCGGTGGTTGGCCCTGTAGTTGAAATTTCCATGCAAAGTCTAGATCAACCTGGGCATGAACAAGCTCAGAGTTTTGCTTGAAGTTTACCTTGTTAGGAATGCCTTTCACCAATGTATCCAATATTAAACGCAATTTCTCATCAGTCAATCCGTCAATGCCCAATTCTCTTGCCCTTTTTGATAAATCCTCTCGATCCAACTCCTCCATCCAAACTTTATCAAAATTTGTGACATAAAACCCACATGTGAGCTGGCTGGAATCATAACCTAGACCATAGATGCAATCACTAGGTTGTAAGGAATCAATTCTGCGCAAATGCCATTGAGTGGGTAGATCATACATGTAAAAAACGTTTGTTTTTTGACGTAAACCGAAAAGCTTCAAATCAATTTTTTTTTTTTTTTTTTTATTTTTATTTTTGGCAAAGTATGTCTGATCAAGTTACCATTACCGACAAGCAAACACATCAGCTTGTCGATAGAGTCAAATCTCACTTCAGCTCCAATGACTCTAGATATCTCATATCCTTGGCCGGGGTCCCAGGCGCAGGAAAGACTACGTTTGCAAGTACGATGGCAGCACTGTTGACAAAAGAAGTTGCTCCAACCATCGTTCTATCCCAAGATGGATTTCACTTGTACAGATCCGAGTTGCAAGCTATGCCCAACGCGGAAGAGGCAATAAGACGCAGAGGAGCACCCTTCACCTTCAATTCAAAAGCATTTGTGGAGTTGGTGGCTCGATTGAAGAACAAACACAATACAGTGAAAGCGCCATCATTCGACCACAAACTTAAAGACCCCGTCGAGGACGACATTGAGATTAACTCGGCCATCGAGATTGTCATTATAGAGGGTAACTACACGTCGTTAAAAGATGCCGAGTGGAATGAAATCAGCACACTAGTCAACGATACCTGGTTTATCTCAACTCCTGAGTCGATTGTCAGGTCTCGTATAATAAAGCGTCACTTGGAGGCGGGGATAGCTCAAAATGAACAAGAGGCGATAGATCGAGCAGATGGCAGTGATTTACAAAACGCTAGATATATTATTGAAAACTCCAAAACAACAAATGTTCTTATACTTGCTGAATAAATCTATAAATTTCAAATCTACTTTGGCTCCACATTATACCTCATCTTTATACCCATGGCCGAGAGTTCACTGTCCAAATACTTCAAAACAAATGGAATAGCAACAGTAGTGGTGTTATCACCTCCAACAAATTTGACCCCATGTCCATCTTCCCAGATATCAGCATCTTCAGCATATCCATCATACTTATCCAACCTTATCGAACATCTTCTACACCTAACACTTGCCATTGATCCGATTCTGGGAACAGATGTTTGTGTGGTTAGTATCGATCCACACGATTTACATATCGAAGTTTGTGTATAATCTGAGCAATTCAACAATCTGTCTTGTAACAAAAATGCAGTACCGTGACCAATCAATGCATCTCTTTCCATCTCACCCACACGAATACCTCCTGATCTCTTTCTGCCTTTCACCGGTTGCATGGTTAACGAGTTTACTGGACCAGTGGATCTAACTTGGAACTTGTCGTTAACCATATGTCTCAATCTTTGGTAGTAAACGCATCCAATGTAAATATCGCATCTCAACTCTTCACCAGTGGCACCAGAGTACATTGGCTCATTACCATGGAAATTGTAACCGGCTTTCAACAATTGTTCTCCAAAGTAGTCGGCAGGTGTATCTGACTCACTAAACTTCCACGGAGTGGCATCTTGTGCAACACCATGCAATGCTCCAGCTTTACCTGCCAAAGACTCAACAAACATACCAATTGTCATACGCGAGGGGAAAGCGTGGGGGTTGATAATGACATCAGGTTGCATACCACTTTCGGAAAATGGCATGTCTATTTGCGGCCACTTTCTTGAACAAACACCCTTTTGTCCATGTCTTGAGGAGAACTTGTCACCAATAATCGGCTGCCTCGTGATTCTGTACTTTATGGTTACTTGCTGTCCTTCGTTATCACCCGCATCATCACCGAGTAACTTGACTTCCTCGATGTATGCAGGTTCAGATGAATGGTATGTTTTCACCTTGGTTTTCCCAAGTGTATCGTCGTAGTATGCGAGAATTGGGTCGCCTTCTTCCACCTTGACACCAATCAATGGGAACCCGTCATTGTCCAACTTGCTCTTCCAAGCCTCTGGCCACTCATCTTCACCAAATCCGAAATGTTGAGTAATTGGATCACCTCTTCTTCTCGATTGTGACAAGTCAATCTTTTCCACTTTGTAAACAGTACCATAACCGAATCCTCGCTCATCTGCAGATTTGTTAATAATCATGGCGTCATCCATATCATACCCAGTGTACGAAATGACAGCAACAACCGCATTCATACCGTTGGGGAAGTTGTCCATTCCGTAGTCGTCATACAAGTTGGCTTTAACAATTGGTGTTTGTCCAGTTTGCAAACGGTACAATTTGTTATCCGATCTGTGCACCAATGCAGTCCCTGGTGTACCCATAGTTTGCTTACCCATTTGACACTGGTACATGTTTCTTGGTGATTGGTTAAAGTCCGAAAAGGGAGTCAAGTTGGCCAAGATGGATAAAATGTTTGTTGGTGAAAACTCAACATGTGAGTGGATGTCATTTTCAATTTCCTCTGGGGTCACAGCAACGTTCATGTACACTTGCTCAAACGGACCCACAATGTCTTCCTTGTCCAAAGGCAAGTATTTGACTGGTCTCATCATTCTCGAATGTCCACCAAACAAGTACAAACCAGGGTACTGACCTTTACTAGATGGAGGGACATATCCAATTTCCAAGTCCAATGGCAAACCATGACTGCCTTCTACTTTCCAAAACCTCAAAGTGTCGGCAACGATTTTACCTTGTTCATGAGTTGTCCATCCAACAATCTTACCGTCTAATTGAACACAACACAAATCAGGTCCAGCGGCAAATGCATTTGCTGGGGACACACCAAGTTGAGCCAAAGCAGCAGGAACTTGGGAAACGTCAGATGCAGTGGTGGCAATGACACACTTGTGTGACAAATGATTCAACAAACCACATGGTGATCCATCGGGAGTATGAACAGGACATAGGAAACCCCAGGATTCAGGCAACAACTTACGAACGGTGGTTGTTTTCAACTCGGCAAAGAAAGAACCTCTATGCACCATTCTGAAATGTGAAATGAAACGATGGAAATTGATTTTTTCAGCAACAACAGTGTACCCTGAAACTTGTTGCAAATCCAACCCTGATTGTGAGACCAAATTACCAGTTGATAGGAAATATTGCAACTTTTGACCAATGTTTTCATTGATTCGAGAAAATACTCGCGTGATGTACTTGCGATCGGAGAAGTTGACCCCAACACCACGGTTGATATCTGATTGCACTTGAAGTTTAAAGCTTTGCAAGTATTCGTCAATTTTTTCTTTGATAATCATACCATACAAGAAACCTCCCAACAACACCTCTTGATGTTGAGTTGCATCTGGATTATCGGGAGCACAATCTCCTGCCACCAATGAATACAATTTACGAATCATGAACAACAACATACGGAATTTGTCTTTGTTGTTGGGTAAATGCACCAAAACAATTCTTTTCAACACTTCCTTTCCAACGTCAATATCAGAGACATCTGGAGTTGCACCAAAGACAACTCTGAATTTATCTCCCAAATACGCCAATGTCTCTTGTTGTGAATGCAAATTGTACGATTTGAAAGTTCTCAATAACAATTCCAAACGATCGGTTAAGAATGAGTTTCCAATATCATGACCAACAATCCCATCAAAGATTTCTCTGTCATTGGTTTCAACAAGAGCTTTCAAAATCATAACCACTGGAATCAAATACTCATTCTTCTTCCAAGAGAATCGGAAAGTGACATTTCCGTCATTGAGGTAATGCAACACATTGGTTTGTGATGTTTGGTCTGGTCTTACTGATCTAATCTGAATACCGAATTTGGTATACGAGGCACCTCTATTGCCAAACGATGGACGAATGATTGCCATAGGATGATTTCTTCTCTGCACAATCAACATACGGATCAATTTTTCAATACCATTGACAATAAAATAACCACCCAACTCGTCACTCTCCTCTTTTGCTTCAACGAGTTGGTTTGGAGACATTTTTTGCAAATGGCATCTATTCGATTTCAACATGATTGGAATTTGGCCTGCTTCTCTGATCTCACTTTGCTCTTCGCCGTCATTGACGCTCCACGTCACATTCAACATTAGTCTAGCTTTATAAGTGGTCATTCTTTCACGACACTCGCTAGGTAAAGTCCTTCTATTTATTGACAATTTATCCGTTGGTGGTACACTTGGCTTGGATATTGAGACAGAATCAACTCTAATGTTGAGCTTGTTGCCCAATCTATCAGTCTCTTTTGAGTCAAAAACGGTTTTCGATCCAATGTCCCTAACGGCCATGTTTAGCAAGCCGCCATCTTCGCCATCGGTCAATGCATCAAATGACCCAATGTGTGGAGCGACTGCATTTTGCAACAATGGGTATATTTCAGATTTATCTTTGGGAGGGTTTTGAAACCTCTTTTCTCGTTCTAGAGTACGAAACTTGGCCTGTGTCATGGAGTAGTTGTAAGAACTGGTGTTTGAAAAGGGCAAGACAAATTGAGTGTAATTTTTTTTTTTTTCCCATTTTTCATTTTTCATTTTTTCATCGAGATGACTTTTGAGGGACTTGGTTGCACAAAGTAAAAACACTTCCAGTAATTATGCTCACTCACTCACTCACTCACTTACTCACTTACTCACACGCTCTTCACTTTCAATCCAAGTCCATGGCTAACTCCAAGTATGAATACGTGAAGGCGTTTGAGAGAGAAAATTATCTACTACCGGAGACATATATTGTCATACGTGTTGATGGGAAGGGTTTCCACAAGTTCTCTCAGCACTACAACTTTGCAAAACCGAATGATTTACGGGCATTGGGGGTAATGAATAGAGCTGCGCAGAAGGTGATGGAGAGGTACAGTGATGTTTTAATGGCATATGGTGACTCCGATGAGTACAGTTTTTTGTTGCGACGGAAATGTGAGCTATACGAAAGAAGGGAGATGAAATTGTGTACCCTTTTCGCCAGTTTAATGTCCACGTATTACATGTTTTATTGGAATTTGGAATTCATTGACAAGCCTATTGAAGAGGATATGATACCGACATTTGACGCAAGAGCAGTGGTGTATCCCAACTTTCAAGTAGTGCGAGATTACTTTAGCTGGAGACAAGTTGATTGTCATATAAATAATCTCTACAATACTGCATTCTGGGAATTGGTTAAACTTGGTCTAACGCCACAAGAGTCTGAACAGAAACTAATGGGTACCGTGGCTTCTGACAAAAATGAGATACTTTTCAAGGAATGTGGCGTAAACTATAATAATGAGTTGGAGATTTTCAAAAAGGGGACTATATTGGTGAGGGAGCTAATAAACTATACTCGCAAGGGTGAACTTACTTCCAGACAGAAGCAAAGAGAGGACAAGAGTCGAAGGAAAGCAGAGATAAAACAATACCATGTAGATATTATCAATGATGACCCATGGTGGATGTCACGCCCTTGGTTGAGTGAATAGAAAAATGAGACATTAGACAAACAATTGACAACGCAATTTTTTTTTTTTTTTTTTTTTCACACTGTTCTTTACTCTGTTATCTCTGTAATCTTTTACTTACGACGCCCTCAAAACCATGTCATCATCAGAAGAAGAATTGATTGTATTGTTCCAAAAAGTTGGATTTGATGAGAAAAAGTCAAAGGATATCGCCAAGAACAAGAAAGTAGCTGGGTTGTTGGAATCCGTGTTGGCAAAGTCATCGGTTGACTCATACACCGATGAAAAAAAATTGACCTTGTTGCACCAATTGGCAGTATTGGAGAATAAACATGGAAAAGCGATTCCTCATGTGGAGTATTTGATTAATGGGATCAACAACGATGAGATAAAGACTAATTTGCAGATTTCTGAGGGGATCAAGTACTTGCAAGCTGAATCGTCACCTAAGCAAGATGCCTTTAACGAGGCAACTGGTGTTGGTGTAGAAATTGGAGAGCCGCAAGTGAAGGAAGAGATTGCGAAGTACCTTGATTCGATCAGTTCAAAGTTGGAATCTGAGAGGTACGCCATTTTGCCAAAAGTTTTGTCTGAGGTCAAAGCTCAACCATCTTTGAAATGGGCGCCACCCAATTTATTCAAGCCAGTTCTAGACGAGTTGTTTTTGGCCAGATTGGGACCAAAGGATGAAAGGGATGTGAAGAAAAAGGAAAAGAAGAAACCAGCTACTTCCGCCTCTGCTACTGCTGCTACTGCTGCTGCTGCTGCTGCTACCGCAACAACCAAGCAGGAACCAGAAAGATCCATGTTTTCTGAAGGATTCCTTGGCGATCTACACAAGCCTGGCGAGGAACCACAAAAGTATCCTGAATTATTAGAGGCCCATCGTGAATTCATCAAGGGCCAAGTGTATACCCGATTCCCACCTGAACCAAATGGATTTTTGCACATTGGACATTCAAAAGCCATTATGGTTAATTTTGGGTTTGCCCAATTCCACAAAGGCAAATGTTATTTACGTTTTGATGATACTAATCCTGAAGCTGAAGAGGCCAAGTATTTTGAATCCATTAAGGAGATGGTTGCATGGTTGGGTTACGAACCATGGAAGATTACCTATTCCTCCGACTACTTTGATGAGCTTTTTGAACTAGCAGTCAAGCTCATTAAGTTGGACAAAGCTTATATCTGTCACTGTACGCCTGAACAAGTTAAACTAGGACGTGGACAACGTGAGGATGGCTCTATGGGAGGTGAGCGATTTGCTTGTGAGCATCGATCACAATCAGTTGAGCATAATTTGGCAGAGTTTTTGGCAATGAAGGAAGGCAAATATGCCACTGGTGAGGCCACTTTACGTATGAAACAAGATTTGACTAGTCCTTCACCACAAATGTGGGACTTGGTGGCATATAGGGTATTGAACAAGCCACATCATCGTACTGGATCCAAGTGGAAAATATACCCCACTTATGACTTCACGCACTGTTTAGTTGATTCGTTTGAAAACATTACTCATTCCTTGTGTACTACTGAGTTTGTCTTGTCAAGAGAATCTTACGAATGGTTATGTGATGCTTTGCATGTGTATAGACCAGCCCAAAGAGAGTATGGAAGATTGAACATGACGGGAACCATTATGTCCAAGAGAAAAATTGCCAAGCTTGTCAATGAAGGGTATGTCAGAGGCTGGGACGATCCACGAATCTACACCTTGGAAGCCATCAAAAGAAGAGGTATCCCCCCTGGTGCTATATTGTCATTCATCAATACTTTGGGAGTAACGACATCTACGACAAATATCCAAACTACCCGGTTTGAGAGTGCTGTTCGCCAATTCCTCGATCAAACCACGCCTCGATTGTTTTTAGTTTTGAATCCAGTTGAAGTTCATATTGATAACTTGGATGACGATTTCGAGTTGGAAGTGGAAATCCCATACAAGCCTGGTAAAGATATCAATTCCTTGGGTAATAGGAAATTGAAGTTCACCAACCGGGTGTTTATTGACGGCGGAGATGTTCGCGATGAACCGGCCGACAAAGAATATTACCGTTTGGCACCAGGACAACCGGTTGGGTTGTTGAAAGTACCATTCAACATTATTTTCAAATCGATTGAAACTGTCAGTGGTAAAACCATTGTGCATGTTGACTACGACAAGGACCAAACTACAAAGAAGCCAAAGACTTATATCCAATGGGTCCCCGTTAACAATTGCAAACCAATCAAGGAAGTTCGTATCTACAACCAGTTATTCAACTCTGAGAACCCTGCTGCCCATCCTGATGGGTACCTCGCTGATATCAATCCTTCTAGTGAAGATGTCTTGACCAATGCTGTGATTGAATCAAATTTTGATGAGATTGTCGCCAAGTCGCCAATGAATTTGACTGTACCTGGTTCACAATTCAACATCAAGGAGGATAAGGGGAACCATACTATTCGATTCCAAGCCTTGAGAGAGGGGTACTTTTGTGTTGATAAGGACTCTAAAGATGATGCATTGGTGTTGAATAGAATTGTCACTTTGAAGGAAGACGCTAATAAGTAGATTAGATTGTATAAAAGATGAGATTTTGTCGTTTTACAATAGCACGTGCGTTTTCTCCACAACCACAAAATGGTTCGAACTACTTGCTCCCATATAGCAATTTACACTACCACATTACTGCAATGAAGTTGTTACACCTACACATTCATTCAGGACCAAACTGGATGCTACCACTTTAAAATAAACGGATATGATGATCTTGAAAGGCAAGTTGAGTTGGGCAATATCGTTTGTAAGAAACAAGTGAAGAGGGGTACTGAGTTTTTGTCATTCACTGGATGTAAAGTGTGTGAAGGTCGTGGACACTTTGCCGTGCTAAGAAAGTGAAAGTCGTGTTTGATGCTAGGGTAAGCGATTTGGAAGTCTAGCCAGTTACGTGCCAGTATTTAAAACAAGCTAAAGTGAAATAACTACGTAGTTGCTCAATGCCAGCTATTGTGTGCCTAGCACCACCCCAAATGGAAAGAGCAAGAAATACCAGACTCCTCTATCCACACCATTTGTTATTACACATTGCACTGTGGGTTTAAGTGATCAAAGTCGTACCTCTAGTTAAAACTAAATAGTGAGTCTACACCGTATAGTTCAAGTAAGGTTGTTATAATCTTCAATACGAACATTGTGATAGAAAATTAAACATGGTGTCAAAGAAAAAAAGAAAAAAGTTACACGTATCAACCACCCTAGTTTATTCTCGTCGTAATACTTTCTCAAAAGAGACAGGGTTACCCGCTAAGCTCTTGCCATAAAGTGAAATTATCTATTCCCAAATCAGACTCTATTCTGCAAATTTTGACAACCAAAGCAAGATGTTGAAATACACGCGCTTTGGGGGTGTAAATATTTAAGGGGAGAAGAAAATTTTTCACGCCGACGATAGGAGACGTCGGGTTTCTCTTTCTTCTTCTCTAGGGTCTTCACTAGAGAGTTCAGATACATAGAGACGTATAGCCTTTCGAATAGACGCAAGCAATTTAATTACACCCTATCAATCACTCGCGGATTGAAATTAAACACAAGATCTATTCATAAAAAAGAGGAAACCCAACAAATTAAATAAATAAATAAATAAATGGATAAAAAAGAAAAAAAAAAAAACATTGAGTTTGAGACATAAACGTTTGGCCAATTTTTTTTAATTTTTTAACAAATTGTACCTGAGTTAATTGATGAAATCTTGTTGCATTTTGTTATACGTATTTGAGGCGGGTTAGACACCTGGAATTACGAAAAAGGAAGTGGGGAATATTCTACTATTGGAGTTGAGTCAGTATAAACGTATATATATATATACATATATATATATATGTAGTTGTAGTCCTAGCAGTAGCAGGAGATATGCCTTACATGTAGGCATGGCGCAAATGTATGTACTATACATGGCGGGAAGGCAGTATAAGTAAGTATACGTAATGTGTCAGTGGGGTTTGTTGTTCTGCTTATTTAATGCAGGTTTGTTATCTTTCTCCTTATTTCTTTTGTGGTTATGGGTACAGGTAATCGATGATGAAAGGGTCAACCAAATATTATAAAACTTGAAAGTAGAGGGGCACACGAGAACAATCATTCTGAAGATGTCTCTCTGTTTATGTTGTCTTGTTCTTTCATAACGCTATGTATTCTGGAGTACGTGTGTTAGATGTAACTCTAGCAGGTGTGTAGTGTTGGACTATGGGTAGCTTATACTTTATGAAGAACGGTGTTTAGAGTCCGAGTGATATCGATGAACTCCGATTTGTTCTCGCTAATCTTTGTGTAAGTTTGTGTTTTGTGAAGGGGGGTGTTAAAAAAAAGTAAAAAAAATTAAAGCGAAAGATAATTAATATTTTCTTCTTCTCTTTCAATTTGCGAAAGGGGGTGGGGGGGTGTGGAAAACAAAGAAGATCGACAGAAAAAAAAAAAAAAAAATGAAGATTCTTTTTTTTGTGACGCGTCATAGTCATCGTGATCATCGAAAATACTTTTTTTTTTCTTCTCTTTGACAAACAAATACGTATATATATATATATACAGATAGATCTACTGAATGAAGACTATAAGCTACTTTGAAGTATGAGATACATAGATATAAAACTCTAGAGGAAGAAAAAAAAAAGTAGTTTTCTATACAAGGCAAAGAGAAGGAATTGAATATGTTTTTTGGTGTGTCGCTATAAGTCAAACTAATCTATTCTCAATTGGGAATAAATTATATTATTACGACGTACGATTATATAATACAAAAGTTTAAATTACACAAACCCACGAAAGTAGTCTAAATTGGATTAGTTTCATCTTCATTGGGGCGAACCTATTTCCCCTCCACCCCCATGGGGGGAGGGGAGGGGACAGAGATAAGTTGCACAGAAATATAATAGAGTCTTGTATCAATTTAAATATCTCGTTTTTATTCTCTTTGTGATTTGTGAACAAAATATCAAAGGTGAGGCGGGTGGGTAGGTGGGTGTTTAGTGGGGGGAATGGATTTGGTAGCGACAAATACAGTAAAGCTTGTTTGACATTGCGCTTAACTTAAGAGACCGATTTCCAATATTTTATTTTATTTTATTTTATTTTATTTTATTTTATTTTTTTCTATCTTTCGTATTGTTTCTCTCCACCCAACAGAAAAAAGAAAAGAAGAAAAAGTTTTGTTTAGCAGATCAGCTGATCTCAGTAATTTATATTAGTGATAGATAATACTTTCTACAACAGACAAAGAACCCTCACACATATACTTTCGAATCTTCGGCTATAGGTTTATATGGTTTATCTGGTAGTCAGAGCTTTCATACATTTTTTTATCCACAAAGGGTCCATTTTATTTTTTTTTTTGTTTTTTTTTGTTAGGATGTTAGGATAGAGCAGGTGGTGTTAAACGTCACCCAAATTTACAAGAACAACACACAGAAGAGAGAGAGAGAGAGAAGACGAGATTAGTGGAGTATAGATCTCCTGTTTTCCCAGAGTCAAATATTGTAAAAGTAAAGTGACGATAGATAGATAGTTGTAATAATTTAGTAGTTATGGATGGTTAATCTCCGCTGTGTGTAATATATATATATATATATACACACATATATCAAAGAGTAATTTGCGTTCTCGGAATTGGCACAAAGACCGAAAGAAAGATATAAAAAAAATTTTCACTGTAATAAATTTTAATCTCTCCATCGAATGGTTTAACTATTACAGGCTTTTATTGTTATTATTTAGACAACAATAAGAGATTAAGATTGCTATCTTCACTTTTCTTCTTCGATCTATGTGTGTGTGTGTGATATCTTCTTGATATGTTTTTGGGTAGAGTTGATTGTTGGGCTGATGGGTGTGTGTGTGTTTCTTTTTAATATATATGAGGGTACCAAAATACTGCAAGTGGAGAAGAGATTAAATAGAGTTTGATACGTTTTTATACTTTGGTATATGTAAGTTTACTTATCTCTCTTTATTTTTTTTTTAATATTAAATGTTAATATATATATATACTAAACTAATTTTTACACCCCCTCTTAGCTCTTTAGTAATTAACAAGAAACGTTTACAAACACGCACACACACAACGCACATAAACATAGACACACACAAAGAGAGAGAGAGACCACATATATATATTGTGCCAACAAATAACAACAAATAAGTGGAATGTGGGTACACGTATCAGCCACCTCTTCTTGTTATACCAACCCTAGAGAGACAACAGAGATACGTTTGATAATTGCTTACTTATGCTATGATGATCTTTGTTTATTTTTTGTTGTGTCAAAAAGGGTGATGAGGAGAAGAAAGTTTGACACTTTGCATACACATACACACACAGTTTAAGTATACGCCACAGTTACCCTACATGTATGTGTGTATGTGTGTATGTATATGCAACCCCCTGCTTAACCCCTTTTAGTCAACAAACTAATGACTGTGGAAGGTACGCACACATACACACACACACACACGCACACGCACACACACACTGATGATGGTTTGATTCTTTCTCAACATATATGTATTATGCATTGTACACATATATGCTCATGCACCAACTTCGGGACACACGGGTTCATCAATATGTGTATGTAGAATACCTAGATGCAGATGTATATTATCATCATTGTTGACATTGGACTGTGTGTGTTTGTCTATCAACACTATTCTGAAACTATTGAAAACCTCCTAAAGCCCCCTTTGAATCATCTGTAATGTATCTATAATGTATCTGTGTTGTATCTGTGTCTTGTGTTTGTTCTTCCTCCCCACCCCATCTTCCCCTCACTTTTTGCCCACACAATCAATTTAACACCCCCTATTGTTCTCTATTGTTAATTTGAGCTTTTGTATTTATTTTTTCGTTCTCTTCTGCTTTGTGTTTTGTGTTTGTGTTGGGTGAAAAGATTGATTTCTTTTTTTTTCTTTTTCTTCTTTTTCTTGGTACTCAGTCGTTTTGTGTAATATTGTGTGTTTTCTTAGTAATTTTATGAATGTCTCCTTTTTCAACCGCAGTATTATTAATAGTAAATCTACATACATATTATACATACATATATCATCTATAATCCACAATTTTATTTAAAAAGAATCTTGTAACAGAACTCTTTCACAACTGTTATACTCTCGAGGATTCTTTGAATAACATACACCCCTTTTTTTGGAAGGTTACCATCATATCATAACCCAGACCATATCTCATCCTACCCTTTGGTCTAGCCTTTTCCATTCCTACCCACTCACCCACCCATACTTTTCATCACACGTCTACCCACACCCTTGTGAAGAATTTTTACTGGCAAATACCAAGACCAGAAACACATCACATAACAACACAACACATCACAACCCATCACAACACACCCAACTAAGATCAACTTCTTTTACTCGTTGCTTTCTGGTTTGTCATCTTTATCTGCTGTTTTTTGTTTTTTTTTTTTTTCTTTTTCTTTTTCGTTTTTCTTCCTTGCTTTCGAAACACAATAGCAACAACCAAGTGACTGGAGAAGTTTCTACGCATATCACAAACTAAACACACCTATATTCGCACACATCCACACACATCAACACATATTTGCATAGCATGTCAACTATTGTAACTGTTGATTCATCACGCACTTACTCCATAAGTCCTCCTCCTCCTTCTTGCACCACATCATCGTCTCGATCTCCATCTCCTATATCTTCAACCTCCTCCACTTCGTCATCAACCTCATTTTACCAGACATCATCTGCTACATCATCAACTGATACTTCGGCAACCTCGTCAACTGATTCACTAGATACAGTCAAATCCTCAGCTTCTGTTTCAACCGTCAAATTGTTTCCATTTTCATCATCATCATCTCCACACGCATCAAAAGTGGTTGCATCTTCATCTTCGGATTCCATCACCATCCCAATACTGCGTACACCAACACCACCTCAAACAACAGAACCTTCACCTTCATTACTGCAGGATACATCAACACAGCCATCGCAACGGCAAACAAAGCCAAAGTTTAAACTTCCAAACTACTATGTACCACCAGCTAAACTAGTCCATCCTGCAGTTACTGTTGCCGTGTCTCCGCCATCACCCCCACCACAACAACCTCTTCCACAACCCAAATCATTGTTGCAGCTGGCTGCTTTCAACACCACTCCTTCTACAGCTAAACCACCACTATTGCGCAAGAAATCGGGTGAGTTGATCAAGTCTTCACTTAAACTACCTGCATTACTCCAACGTTCCATCTCATCTCCACATATTTCAACTGATGGCGAAGTTGGTGGTATTGTTTCGCCACGTAAACTGGTTAGATTTGCTTCAAGATTAATCAATGTTCGCATGTTTGATGGCTGTGATACACCTGCTTCTGTTTCAAGTGCTGGTTCACCTTTGGATTCACCCGATGAAGATGAAGAGGATTATTTCTATGCCAACAGGAACAGGGCCCCCAAGTTTGGTTCAGGTTTTGCCACTGATGCATTTGATTTATCAGCACCTGCTTATATCGACGATTTTGAATTTAGCAAGTTTACCAATAGGACAACAAACTTTGATTGGGACTTCAATGTTGCTCAGCCAAAGGAGGAAATTAAGCAGTATAGATTGACTTCACACAATATTCCATCTACTGGAAACCATTTGTACAGCACCACATCTCAGTCACCATCACCATCACCATCACCCGATTCATCAAAAGTCTGGATGACCTCAGCGTACTTGTTGAAAGTAAACAACAAGACATTTTTATGTGGATGGTTAAATGTCGTAAACATTGCATTTACAAAGGAGATCAATTTGAAGTTGACAATTGACAATTGGGCCACTAGTATTATAGTTGGTGGGATCACAAAGTACCAAAAGAGTCTTGATCCAAACTTGGATCAGTTTAAGTTTATGTTGGATCTCGAACTGTTTAATATTGTTGATGAAAAGACTATTGAATTGTGTCTTGAGTACCACACTAATGGTCAAACGTTTTGGGGTAATAATGGACAACAAAATTACAAATTTCACATTGAGAGAAAGGTCAATAGACAAGTTCCAGTGCAGCAGCAGCAGCAACAACAACTGCAACAACTGCAAATTCCACCACAGCAAAGACCCAGTCTGAGTCTGGGACTGAGACTGAAGGTTAAACTGAAGCTGGCCAACGCTCTCAATTCATCAGGATATGAAGAGATTTGTAACAAGTTGCTCAATCATAAATCCACATTGGCATTGAATTTCACAAACGATGAGTTTTCATTCAGACCAAGCTTGAAAAAGAGTTTTTCTACAAGTGATGTCACAAGTGCTACTGGTGATTCCAACTCTTTTGTTTCTGGAAAGTATTCAAATAGACAGCGCCAAAAACAAGGCGGTCATATGACTGGTGGAGCTGATAATGCAGGTTCTGGAATCAAGGATATGACGTATGCTGATATTTTACAAAAGTATTGTTTTGCAGGAACAACGCCAACAACAGCCACTACATCAACAGAAGATGCCACGACTAGTAATGCGACAAGTATGTCTGCTGCCGTAGCTAGTACACCTCGTAGTAGTGGTAGTGCTACTGCAATTTCAGCTGGATTGGTTGCTAGCGCGCCAGCTAGTGCACATTCGAGTCCAATGTTGGGATCACATTCACCAGTGAGCAATACTGTCACCACTACACATAATCCAACAAGCATCTTTATCTGAGCAAACTCTGATCATGGTTGTTCTTTGATTTATTCAGCATATTGTGGTTTGATTGAGCAGTATATTGTTCTTGTATATTTTCAATTCACAATTTCACACACACACTCATTTTCCTTTTTTGGAGGGGGTTCCCTTTTTTTCTGTTTATTTGACTTTTCTGTTTTTTGTTCATTACATAGTTATTTTTTCATCTAATAGATATATTCATAATCATCGTTAAGAGAGGGTATGTTGTAGAAGACGCGCGTGATTGTATATGTGTAGAGGGAGTGACTTGAACAAATCTTATTTTAACTTGCTTTATTTACTAAAGAGCAGATCTTACTGGGTGTTTCATTTTCTGGCCAAAACCGTAGGGGATTGCTGTAGTTCTTGGCTTTATGCGGTCGCTTTTATTCTGCTATGTAGATGATGAGGGATTGAGGTTTAGTGTAAAAGATTAAACACGTGCACAAAGCATATATATATAGTTTTTTTTTTTTTTTTTTTTTTTTTAAAATTCAAGGATTTTTTTTTTTTTTTTTTTTTTTTTTTTGATAAGATTCACTGAAATATTGGATTGCGTTGTGAAACCAACAACAACAAGAAACCCCACACACCAAGGCGTATCAAAGACAGAGCTTGCTGGTGTATAAAGTATCTACCAATTGCGAAATATAGAGTGAGATATGGGTAACGATGATGATCAAATTGCGTTGAGTCACAGAGATGGTGACAAAGATGTGCATACTGGGCAAAGGATGAAGAGTTTGCGGGATCAGCGAGAGATTGAATCAGATAGGAGCAAATGTGGCTCTGATGATCGATCTAGTGATGGGAATGGCGGCCGCAATGGGCAGGATGAGAATGTTGAAGGTAATGGGAGAAGCAGACGAAGGAGTGCACGAGGTACAGAAGGGAGTAGAGACAAGGGGGGAGGAAAGATCCAAGGAAATGGTTCCAAGCAGCGCCGTGGTGGAAGTCGAGGTAGAGACCTCAGTGCTCAAAACCAAGCACAAGGAGAGCAACGCTCACGACTCAGTATCACGCAATTTGAGAGACAAACTGCTTTGGAACAAGTTGCTCAATCGTATGAATCATTACTTCACCCAATACGAAATCTACATCGACAACACGATCCGTACAAGACAAATACCGACATGGTAGTAGATCAAATCATGCAAAACTACAACAACCAAAACCAAAGTGACATTCTCGCCAATCCTCGCCTAAGTAACAAATTCTACAAACGCAATTTCCAAACTCACATGCGCCACATGCTCAATCGAGAATTGATTTTATTCAGTATTGATATTGAGGCGTGGGAGATGCATAATCAAACGGTGACGGAGATTGGCATTGGGATATATGACCCGAGACGTAATTCGGCTTTTAGTGTGGTTCCCGAAATTACCAAGTTGCATATACGAGTGTTGGAGAATATGCATCGGGTCAATGGGAAATTTGTTGTTGATCACGCAGTGAATTTCGTGGGTGAGCCTACTTTGGTTATGAGTATGCGCGATCTGGTGGTTTTGATCCAGGCGTTGTTTGATTATTTCTTTGAGTATGTTGGTGGTGAAGATGAGGGCGTTGCTGGTGCTGGTGCTGGTGCTGGTGCTGGTGTTGGTGTTGGTGGAAATGGTGGGTTACTGACGTATTTGGTCGGACATGGTGTACCTGGAGATATCAAGTGGTTAAAGTCTATAGGAATCGAGTTTCCGCAAACGTACTCTGTGTTGGACACGTTGGAAATCCTCAAAATCACTCACGGGAAACAAAACTTGAGTTTGGCGAAAGCATTAGCTAAAGTTGACATACCGCATCCGTTTTTGCATAATGCTGGAAACGATGCATATTATACGTTGCTCCTCGCTTTGAGGTTGCTTGATCCTGGAGTTCGGTCTTTGTACAAGTTGGATTTGTGTGTTGATCGGAATCTGATGATGAGTGAAGAAGAAAGACGAGTTGCGAAGGAGGAGAAGCAGAAGGCGAAGTTGGCGAAACGGGCGTTGAGGGAGTTGAGAAAGTCGCTGAATGAGGTTGATGGGGCGGATGGACTGGTGTCGTTTGACAATGACAAGGTGAAAAATGGGAACGGGCACGGGCTGGGTGAGAGAGATAAGAAGAGAAAGGGGAGAAAGAAAGCGACGGGTCCACATAATGTTGCTCAGAGCGTACGGTGCTCTGCTTCGGATGCTGTATTGTATGTGTTTGGTGGAAAGTCATTGCCTGAGGAAAAAGAGGAAGAGGAGGACATTGATAAAAGTGGAAATAGTACGACGGAGGCGTGATATTATACCGAGTGACTTAAGTTAAGATTGGCAATTATAGAAGTCTATAGATTAGTAAAACTAGGCTAAATATCAATCAATGGCATTATCGTCGCATAAAATATCTGCATTATAAATACTCGTATCCAATTAATACACTATATCAACTTGCTTCATTTGAAGCTAAGCTTGCATCCATCGATTAATCTCATTGTGGCAGAAGACGTCTTTCTCCAAGGTTCCGGACCAAGATGCAGCTCACAAGTGTCGAAATTTTGCAACAAGCGAATCGTGATGTATGCCGCTTCAGTCAATGCCAAAGATTGACCAAGACAAGCACGAGGACCCACGCTGAATGGCATAAACGCGATACCACCATTACGTGGCAATTTTTCCCATCGTTGAGGAATAAACTCATTTGTGTCCTTGCCAAAGTACTTTTCATCTCGATTCCCGACCCATAGCGAATACACAATTCTTGTTCCCTTGGACACAAAAATAGGTGCATTTCCATCGGGCCCGCCACCACGTGGTAATGTAGTGTCCACTGATGCAGTCTTGGACTCGAATGGTACTGAAGGGTTGATTCGCAACGTTTCATTGATACACCACCTCAAGTAATTGCAATTTTGTATCGAGTCAAACGTGATGGATTCAACAGTGGGGAAATCGTGACGAACAATATCACGCAATTGAGCGTAAATTTGAGGGTGTTTGCTCAATTGAGCAAAAAGAAACGTCATTAGTCCACTAGTTGTGTTGCGACCAGCCAATATGATGCTCAATATCTGATTACGCAAATTGATGGGGTCTTTTGTTTCATGAGCCAATTGATAGAGGAAAATCGTGCCATCGTCGGATTTCTCCTGCAATTCACGAGTGTTCATAGCAAGGGCTTTTGCAATGTAGTAGCCGACAAATTTGTGTTGCACACGTATGGCATCTTGAAGTGCTTTTGGGTTGACCAAAAACATCAAATGACCCAAGATTGCTCTTGTCATCAAGTAGTTTGCCGACACGTCGAAGGCAATGCTGAATTGACGTTTCAATTCGGGGTCGATACCAGTTTGGGATGATTGGCCTAGTGCATCCTTTAATGAATCGCTGCTTTCACCTAGTAACAAATCAGTCGTAAAGTCCATAGTAAAGAATTGGAAAATGTCTTGCATATCGACAGCTTCACCTTGTTGTTGCTTGACTAATTCAACAACTCTAGCGGCAAATGGTTCCATTTTGGCAATTTGTTTTACATTTTCCTTGGTGAAGGAAGGACGCAACATGACGCGTGAATGTTTCCATTGTGCTCCTTCACTTGAGAATATGCCGTCACCAAGTAAGATACCAAATGCCTGTGGGCGGGGCCATATGTTCCATTCGTTGAAGTGGGCCAGTGACATCATATGGCGGAGATTTTCCGGCTCGGTTGTCATGATGAATGGTTTGAAGAGGGCCATGCCTTGGAAAGTTTTGGCTTGGGCTCGAGCAAATGCTAGTTCGAGGTTTTCAAACGTGGCGCCCTTTTCCATCATTTGTTTGCGAAAGATGATCTCGTATAATCCGATGGAGTCGAGCCAGTTGCGTGGTGGGATCCGTTTGACTGGTTTGCAACCTAGTTTCCTGGCACGGTTGTTGAGTTGAGCATTGTGGAGAAGTTTGTAGATGATGTAGGAGGCGATGATGATCAAGTATGGAATATAAGTCATTGTTGTGTATATGTATTGAAGACTATTTTATTGATAGAACTTCATCTGCAAAAGAACTATTTATAAAGTGATAATTGGCAGTAGAAAGTTAAGGGATATTCTATAAAATCAATTTATATATATATGGTTTAAAATGGGTTTTAGTTGTTTTGGCATGTGAGATTGAACTAAGACTTGGTGAGAAAAAAAGGGATTAAACTCCGAAAATAACAAAAAAAAAAAGATTTTATGGTTTAAGTTTACTCCGCATTTTTTCAATTTGATAATATATGTATTTAGATATATATATTAATACATATATCTATATAGTTGTAGTGTGTGAGTGGGGAAAGACAAAATTATATACAAGAAGAAATATATGTATACCAAAGTTTTGTTGTTGTTGTTGTTGTTCTTGTTCTTGTTCTTGTTCTTCTCTTATCTCCAGCAGTTCGAGAGAAACTGGCTTATCTCCGAAACCAAACCTAACAAAAGCAAACTAAAAGAAAAAGAAAAAGAAAAAAAGAAAAAGAAAAAGAAAAAAGTTCATCAAAACCACTTTACGTCATCTTTTTCTAGTCTTTAGCTCTTCAAATAAACTCTTGTATATGTATATATATCAAAGGAAGAGCTTGTGGAGCGGTATTTACAATACTTATCATGGGCAGAAGCGGCTCATCCTATTTCCACAATCAGCAATAGCATATATCTTAAAGAGGCAAAGTGTCTTTAAGCGCAAGTCAATCTCAATCTTGAGTCTTTTGATATAGGCAATGTTAACATGCTCTCAAGACTTGAGTGCAATACAACCATAATGATATGCATTATATACACACGTTATTTTCTGATACTGTATTTAATACACTCAACTTCTTGATATATGGTTGCGTTGAATAGTTCTTTAAACTACCATACCATATACGTCAACAATATCAACATATAAAAAACTGAAATTTGATTTCACATTATTTGATAAAACATTTTATTCAAAGTTTTCAAACAAATAAACTTAATTTTGCATACTAGCTATACAGTAGTCAAAAATAAGCTATTTTTTTAAGCTATTTCCAAGGTCTTATCTCACAAGCTAAAAGAGCAGCCAACTTTTATAATCCACTTTCAATTCACACGTTATACCTTATTTAAACTATATAAGAATCCCCATGCGGTTACAACATTTGGTAGCGTCATTTGCAGTCTTGATTCTCAAATACTTTTCTCTCTCTTACAAATGATTGAGTACCTATTGCAAATAGATACAGAATAAAATATACAATTCATGGACATAACTATATACACATCTACGACATTCACTTTCTTCCACGCTTATCATGTCTTTCTCTTTTCTTGATGTACCCGTAATCATCAACAGCCTTTCTATGTTGAGTCACTTCCAACCTCTTGTTTGCATCCCTGGCCGCTTTAATACTTCTTTCCTTTGACTCATCAACAAAGTTAGTCACCATTTCTTTCAACGACTTGGGCAGACTCGTGGTGCTCTCATTCAATTGATGAATGGTCAACTTCTTGGGCATACCCAACAACTGACGCAACGTATTGCTCTTGAAAATGGCACTTTGTATCAACGACAATACTGAGTTGATGGCAAAGTACAAAACAACAGCGGCGGAAAAGTTTTTGGTTATAAATATCGATATTATGGGCACAATCGTCATCACTTGTTTCATACTGTTTGCAATTGCATGTTGACCAGTCTCACCACCGATTCTAACGACGGCAATAACTGCAGCAGCTGCAATGGCTTGCAATCCCAAGTATGGGTCAACGTCACTCAAGTTGGTAAACCACGCAAGACCTTGATCCGTAAATCCCTCCACTGGATGGTTGGCCATTTTCCGAAGAGCTTGGAAAAAGCCATACGCCAATGGTAACTGAATAATTGGCGCCATTGAAGCCAAAGTCGAAACATTGTGCTCCTTCATCAATTTACGTCTTTTTTCCATCCCCTTCAATTGGTCCTGTGTGTCTCCCCCTTTTATCTGTTTCATAATGACATCCAATTGTGGTTTTATTTCGGACATTCTAGTGGCATTGGAACTGGCCTTGACGTAAAGTGGGAACAAAACAACCCTAATGGCAACTGTGAGTACTGCAATCGTACCCCACCAGGGTAATCCAGTGTACACATGAGTAAACTCCAATAGTTTTTCAATTATACTAGTTGGACCCCATCCCTGGGCCAAACCAATGGACTCTAAGTAGCCAATCTGGTCGGAGTGCAAGTTAGTGACTGTTTCTGCAACGTTGTTTTCGTCAGCAAACGAAACTAACTTATCCTTGATCTCGTGTGCGGTGCTGGAAGATGAGTTGTAACGTAAACTGGATGCAAATGTAGGCGTAGCAGCAGCAGCAGCAGCAGTAGCAGTAGCAGCTCTCAATGGAAACAGCGACCTTGCTGCTGTTAGTCTTAACTGGTTTCTTAGTATGGCCGCCCCAACTGGAACTCTACTTATTCCAACTTTGAACATGATGGGGTTGCACGGTGTGACTGTTGGATCTGGAGAAAAGGTGAAATTTTTTATTTTTTTTATTTTCTTTTTCTTCTTTTTTTTTTATTTTTTTTCTTCTTCAATTGTTCTCAGTTCTTTTGCACATCAGATGATATAGCCAGACCGAACGCGTTATGAGATAGCCACCAGCAGGGATAAGGTATTATGATATATGCGAAAGTTAGAATACGATCGAGTCTACGACATCTACGTCTACGTGGAGCCAGTGGCACACTTGTCAATGTGCAAAGGCTAGCCATACAGACTAGTACCAATTACTTGACAACCACCTTGGTTACTGAGTCCCTCTTCAAAACTGCACCCGCTTCCAAGATTTTTCAATTCCTCGTCAAGAATCATGCACAAATAGATCCTCAGATAAGTCTCATATTGACATACAACTTGCTTCGACAAAATAATCTCCAAGCGGCTGTTTCATTACAACATTTACTTTTAACTAATGAGCAATACCGAATACCAAATGAGCTATGGAATGTATTTCTTGATAAAGTGTGTTGCGAGTCGAGTTACTTTGGGGCAATGCTTATCTTTCATGAGTTGGTTGATAATCATTCGTTTTACGACGAAGTCAGTTTTGCAGTACAAGAAAACGATCAAGTACCATTCATCATCAATCCTACAACGTTAGTCTCCTTGGCTAAAATTTTTGCAAACAACAGTGATTCCAAACGATTGGAAGGTACATTGCGGTACTTCCGAAGGTTCCACTCCTATCTAGATGAACGCGATGCCTATAAATCTTTGCTTGTGCTCAACGTTGAAGTATATGCTCAAATGGGTGATTTCAATCAAGCATTGGCAAAATTCAAAAACTTGGCATTTTCATCGAGAAGTCTTTCGAGCAGCAACAACGCAACCAAAGTTTTGCCAACGGCGGCTCATCTGTTCAATCAATGGAGGCTGTCCAACCTCCAACTGAACCAATATCGAATTGATTTCATCCCTACATACCCATTAGATATCCATCAACAGTTGTTGGCACAGATATGTCAGAGTAGAGTGTTCAATCCAGTAGTGCAGTATAACGTCTATTCTCCATGGGCGCCCATTATCCAAACGCCAATTACATCATCCGACTTACCCCGTTTTCAAAAACTCCTAACTGATTATATTAAGCTCGAGGAATTGTACGACTACAATAAACTCATCCAGTTCATAAGGACAAGTCATCTCAATCTACACATTTTCATCGTTACGGCGTTATGTGATTTGGATAAGCACGAATTGGCGTATGCCGTGCTCAAATCATTCAATTCGTATGGCCAACTATTGTGTAAAAGTCCAGCATTTGTCACGTTACTCAAATCGACACAAAACAAACCTGAACTAGCCGTGTTGCAAACAGACATTATCAAATATTATCGTCTGTTGAACAAGGGGCATTTGAATTATCCCGTGGCGGCTTACGCATGAGCTTTTACAAATTCCTTGTATAAAGAAACCTACAATGGTGTCAACATGTTAAATAAACAGAAAATAAGTAATTGTTACATTAAAATAGCTCCTTCTCTCTCCCTCTCTCCCTCTCCCTCCCTCTCTTCCTCTCTCTCTACATATATACACTGTCCCTCAATTGTCCCGTCTTGGATCAGACATCTTGTGGATCTTGACATTATCACCTGTCAAATTACCAACAACCGCAATATCCTGCGGAGTGATAAAAATGTTTTGCGACTTTGAATACCTATCCAACTCATGAAGGAGCAACTTGATACTAATAGATCGATTCACCGAGTCCATATAAACATCAAATTCATCCAATCCTCTAATCCTTGAATTCATCGTTTGCCAAATGGCCAACAAGAGTGCAATTTGCGTATACGATTTCTCACCACCAGAGAGGGACTCAACAGTACGGTTCTTGTCATCAGTCTTGGTCTTGACTAATAAATCCAATGTTCCCTGCTCGAAATCCAACATTAGTTCCCCTCTAAATCCTCTGATCTCCATAGAATCTTCAAATGATCGTTTGGCTATCAGCACGGCGTGCTTGATAGTAACTTCAAAGAATGCGACACGCACAGCAATCTCTCGATCCATTCGCTGAATTAGGTCCTTCAATTCACCCTCCCTTGCCAATGCCACTTCTCGCTTCTTGTCGGCGGCTTCCATTGCCTTTAGCACTTCCTCCAAAGTCGTTCCTAAAGCTTGCTCTCCCTTCTTGATCTTTTCCTGAACCTCATCAAACTCTTCTCTTATAGTCTCTTGAGTATCACCTTCGGTAATGATGACTTCGTCTCGATTACATTTTTCTTGTGCAACTTGAGATTCTTGTTCTATCAATTCTTTAGCTCGTTGCATCTTAGTGTTTATCTTTTCAATAGATTGAATGAGTATTTGCTTCTTTTCCTGTAACTCAACAATCTCATCTCTTATCTTTTTGATATACTCTTGGTGAGTTTCTAATGCTGTTACCGCAATATGCAATTTGGAATTCTTGTCTTCAACATCTTCCTTGATACTCTTTCGAGATTGAGCGCTAGCATTGTATTTTTCATTGTCCTCCTCTAAACGTTCTTCAAGTGATTCATGGACACCTTCAAGTCGACTCACCTGGGCAGTGTCTTCTTCAATTCTCAATTGCAATTTCAAGATATTCGACTCATCAATCTCCTTGTCAATTTTGTCCTCAAATACAGCCTTTTTACGCCTCAAACTATCCACAAGGCGCCTCAATTCATTTTGTTCGCGATACAACTTTTCTCTCTCACTATCAACGTTCAGTTTGAGCCCTCTCAACTCTCGTTCCATGCTTTGTTGATTCTGAATTTCCATGTTGATCTCGTCCTTCAACTCACTTAATAGCTCTTCTTTGTTCTCCGTTCCAAATCTAGGAAGTTTCCCCAGGTAATATACAGGATCCAGTCTAAGGACACTCCCTTGACGACTTACTCTACTCCCCGAAGAGTTTCCAAACTGCGTCAAGGCTCCATAAACATTTGGCTCATAGCACATTTTTCTTGCTTCTTCAGCAGATCGAGCAATCACCAACTTTTCAATCGAACTGTTATCAATAAGTGCATACAACACTGCATCTTCACTGATGTTTAGCATGTCCAAAACCGTTGTGGCTTTTGCTTTCCCACTCTCATAATGATAACGTTCTGTTTTACGAACAATGATGTTATGGGACATATGGTGCTGTTTCAAAATCCTGTCCAATTGCGCTCTATCTCTTTCATCACGCACGATAAATGCATCCAAGCTCTTACTCAAAATTGCATCTAAAAGCGGTTTCCAATTTTGAAATTCCCTCTTAACAGTAATGTAGCTACCCAAGGGACCAATCGGTTTGGATTGCCACTGGCATCGGTCAATATCACGCATAACACCCTGAATTTTGCGTGCGTCCCATGGAGTGTATCTTGAAAACTGTTCCTTTTCCAACTCCGCTTGTCTAGAACGGAGTTCCCTTAAGTTACGACCAGACGCATCTCTAGCCAGTGTCAACTCTTCTAGCCTAGAATCAGGATTCGACTGCAATGCTTTCATTTTTTGTCTGCATACGGCCATATCCTCTTCGCTTTTTGCAAGTTGCTCATCAACTTCAGCCAATTGGTTTCGAATCTCTTCCTTTGATCCACCTTCTTGTTCCTCGATTTTCCTTCGTTCATTCTGGAGTTTGCTTTGGGTGTACTGAATATTCGTATTCAAGTTTTTTATTTCCCGCTCATTCTTTTTCATATCTTCTTTTATAATGTCAAGCTGAAACTTCAAAGTGCGTAGTTCCTCCTTAGCTTCTTCATAACGCTTCGTCGCAGACAGGAGATCGGCTTCAGCGGTTCTTACTTTTTCCCGGATAATTTCCTCTTGTGGCTGCTCCTTTATAATCTCCTGCTCATAATGCTGTATACGCTGCTTGAAAATTTCCACTTGTGACTCTTGATCGGCAACTTTCGCAACGTATTCCTCCATTTTGTTCTCCAATTGTTGAACATTGAACCAATGAACTTTTCCAGTTATTTTCTTCGCGAGCGCCCTGAAATGATCGTTCTTTCTATGAGCATTTTGCATTTGAGCAACCCGTTCGAATTCAGCCTGGCAAACTTCCGTATATTTCTCCGCATGCTTCAACCTACTTTTCACGTCAAGTAAGTTTCTTTTAATCTCATCGTAATTTTGATAAATATCAGTGATGTAAGCACCAGACATAAAGTATTCGAATTTGGTTTTTGCAGTCGCACTAGTCAAGAATTCACGTGCCTTATCTTGAGACAAGAAAGCCAATGGGTTGTCCACTGTAATATTGAACCTGAAGAGAATCTCATCCAATACTGCTTTCTTGTGTGAGACTGTCTTTCCACTCTCATTCTTTATCGCATATGTGTTGGCCCCAACTCTTTGTAGTTTTCTTTCGATTATGATTTTTTTACCAAACTCTTCCGGTTTGTAGGCTATAGGGCCCTCGTTCTTTAAAGTGATGCTGATACGGGATGTCAGTTTGCCATCTTTAATCAAGTCTCGTATCGAGCTTCCTCTGTTAGTATCATGAGCTTTAGCACCCAATCCAACTGAAATTCCTGTTAGAATAGCACTCTTACCTGACCCGTTTCTCCCAATAATGAAATTAATTTGAGGACCTAAGCTCAATTCAAATGAATCATGGCACATGAAATTTTTCAAACTTAAATGTTCGATAACCCCCCCTGGTGCTGGAGAGATCCCATCGTCGCCTGGGTATTCTTCTGTGTCTGACTCTTGTGAGTCGTACTCTTCATCTGAAGCCAGGACCGAGTCTTCTTTATTTTCATCCATAGGAACCTGGGTCATCATGGCACGTTTCTTGCGTGGTTGACTTACTGTTGAATTCAGGTGCTGGGAAGGGTTCTGATTGTCATCCTTTGTGCTTGTTAGTAAATTTTCTCAAGAGATTACATCCAAGGAATTTGACATACATTTGGAAGGTCATTGTGGTTAAACGTATTGTCACGGGGCCTCTTGATTGACGTAGCCAGCATCCTTGAGGAGGTGACGATGATGAAGCTGAAGATAACACGGGAATGGCACTTGTTTTTTTTTTTTTTTTTTTTTTTTTGGTGGGGGGGGGGGTTATATTTTTCCTTTGCAACGCGTCAACTAAACATTCAACAACATTGACATAAAAGATGCGCAATATGACTTAACCATTGGTTAGCTATTGAGTAAATGCGAACCGAAGAGTGCTGGAATTGGAGATTGGCCTTATATGCTACGTGCTATATATTGTGGTGTGGTCGAGTGTTGAGTGTACTACTTCAAACGGTGCTCAGAACGCGTCTGTCCTCGACTCAGTTTCTCTAACCAATACCATCTGCTCCGGTGAGTAACTACCAAGGGTCCTAGTATAGAATCACTATTCAATCATTCTTATTTCGAACGCATCATACCCAGCTAAGGGGAGAATCAATATAAGTATATATATATACGTTACTGTAAATCACGTGAAATATGTGCTACCATCTCACCTTCAACAATTTTTTTGTCAAATCATCATCATCAACAACAACAACGTTTGACTGTGATTCACACCAAGGTGATCAATCACTATAATAGAACGATGAGTACTGGCTCTAAACGAATCAAATTTGTATCCATATCGCTACCCATACTATACGGTAACCATGCGTACAAACTCACTCCAGAAATGCGGAAACCCACAACGCCACCTGACCATACGCACGAATGGACTGTCTTTTTCAAACCAGTCTTGGGAGATTTGGACTTGACGCCGTTGCTTAAAAAGGTTACCTTTAAACTACATGAAACGTATGAGAATCCAGTTCGTACAGTAGAACATCCGCCATATCAGGTCACAGAGACCGGGTGGGGTGAATTTGAAATAATAATCAAACTACATTTCCAACCAGGGGTAGACTTGGGCATTAATGAAAAGAATTTTCAAATCTTCCATGCGTTGAAATTACACCCTTACAACCCGCAGCAACCAAAGCGTGAAAATGGCGAAGTGCATTCAATTTTGTACGACGAGTTGGTGTTCAATGAACCTACTGAAAGGGTATTTGAAATCTTGACAAAAAAGCCAGTTAATCTTATACCGTATGAGTTGAGTGATCCAGACAAAAGGGACCAAGAATATATCAGACCCGATGAGATTGATGAGTTAAGTCGGTTGGATGTATATATCCAAAAAGTGAAGGAGGAGATAGAGAATCAAGCCGGACAGTATAAGGAGTTGGAACAGCAGAAACTAGCTTTGACTCAGTAGAACTATGTATGAAGAATACATTGTGAATTCACGTAGTGTTAAGTGTTCTAACTATTTGCTTAGCGGTTGACCTTTGTAACTGTAAAAATACAAAAAAGTGAAAATGGCGAACCTAAACGCTATGAACAAAAAAAAAAAAAAACATAAAAAAAAAACCCGCATTCAGCTCTCAGCTCATTACAACGCACCATTTGCAATTGATATACAATCTGACCTCCACTCCATATGCCAGAACTAATACTAAACATCCCTTTTCAAACACCACACCAGGCAAGTATAGCCAAGAACTCACTAAAACCGGATCCCGTTTTGAAAACAAGTGAGTTAAAAATAGATTTTGAAGTTGACGATAAAATTCTCCGATGTAAATTTTCCGGAATTAGTGATCGTGTCATAAGGGTATCGATTAGTAATGTGTTGGATAACCTCAAAACTGTGATTGAGTGCATTGACGAGTTTGAAGGCAAGAAGGATAATCTATGGGAGTTGGAAGACGTTCAAATGAACGGGTGAGTGAATGGTTTCAGCTAGAGCAGTTGGCAACTGGAAAACAAACCAACATAATTCAGTGTGGATTATGACTACAGCTCAGAGAAGTCCGGATTCAATCTAGACGACAACATTTACCTGCAGATAAGGAGGTGAGTAATAATTGAAATTTCAACTTGTTGATATGTGACTCGGATTCACTTTTTCAAAGTCATCCGATCTATGGGACAGCAGAGTTAACCTTCTTGTGTCGCCATTCATTGTAATTTAGACACTCTATCTTGTGTAGTTGAATCACATACCGTACCTTTGCCAAAGTGACGAAGGTAGCGCTTTCTTTGAGGACAAATGCACAATTCTCGCCTAATTCAATTCCCTGATTCCCTAGACCGAGGTGTAACACGATAAACTTCAATCAGTCAAAGCATGGGTTGGTTCAGTGGAAGTGGTGGCTCCGCACCTCCATCAAAGGTGTCTCTGGTATCAGAGTACAAACCAGAACCTAAGCAACAGCAGTATTTGGAAGATTTACCACCAAAATTCGAAGATTCTGATGGGTCATCTCCATCTCCATCTCAAGCAAAAGCAAAAGCACAGCATTCAACACAACCAACACAAGCGACGCTAGCCGATGCAGCTAAATCGATTCAACTTTCCGACTTCACGATAGATAGATTCATCAACATGCCATGTTTTAGAGAGGCTATGATTACTGGCTTTCAAGCGATGGGTGTTTTGGGGGTCATTACTTTCTTAATTCGAAAGGATTTGAACAAGTCGCTAAATTGGTCAGTAGGTGGGTTCTTTTTGGGAAATATGGTTGGGTGGGAACAGTGTAGGTCGTTGAGGAGGAGGTCGATGCAAATGGTGGAGAAGGCAAAACAGGACAGGGAGGAGAGGAATAGGAAAAAATGGCAAGAATTGCAAAAGAGTCAAGCGGAGAGTGACGATATGAAGAGGTTTAACGAGTTTAACAATAGAAAGTAGCTGGGGAGGGTATATCCTTTCTTTGTATATATATATAGTAAACAGTTATAGAGATTCTGCCTCAAAAGCTGAATTATCTGCTTGTCTGTGTCCAAGGCTTCCTATAGCAGGCACATAACTTCATTTTTACTTTGACTCTAGTCTATATCAAACAAACGACATCAGCTATATTGTGTGCATCATCTGCATTGTAACAGAATATGCACTTATTGCAAAATTAAATGTCTTGGTGAATTCCCCCACTCCCTACTCCCCACTCCCCACTTTTCGGCGTTGAAAAATTTCCCAGTGATTAAAAAAAAAAAAAAAACAAAAAAAACCACGGTCAAAATTTTCTTTCCTCTGCAGTTACCAACCAATTCTACAGAGCTGACATAATTTACAGGCAGCATCAGCTGGAAAGTTTGACATCATGGATAATCATAGAGCCACTATTGCATTCAAAACTTTGCGGTCGAACTTGGTGAATTTGCCTTCGAATTTAACCAATCTATTATTCACGGCCAATATTCAAGTACAAGATGTCATCATAGAGATTGTTTCCCCACCCGGAGCGGGTCTGCAACTGAAGGCATCAAAGAAGTCATCGTATGCAGGGTGGTCTGGGATGTCCTCTTCTACCTTGCAGAGCTTGGAAATAGACCCGATTTTTGCCCAGTCCTTGTCTATCCCTGATAAAGCATTGGTATACATTAATTTAAAGTTGGGCAACTACGAAGCGTCGAATATAAACTTGGAGCCCTTAACCAGTTCAGATTGGGAGGTTGTTGAGTTGAATGCACAATTGATCGAGGACAAGTTATTGAGTCAAACACGTTGTGTTGCATTGAATCAAATCTTGGTGGTTTATCCCAACGCCAGCACCTCAGCAAAATTGCTCGTGACTGACATTGGATCCACTGAACACAAGTACGCTAAGGTATCCCCGTATTGTGAAATTGCAATTGCTCCCAAAGTGAGAACGAAAAGCGAGGTGCCTGAAACGACTAGCGTTAGTAGCCGAAAGAGCTCATCAAAAAAGGAGAATTATAATGCATTGCCCCTGGTTTTGAAAAGAGGGATTAGTTTACCTCATAAATTATACAGGAATGTTGAGGATAGTGGGTACAAAGTATTTGTGAATCGCAGCGAGATACCGGACAATTTCGGGCCGTATGCTGCCGTGTCGATCCTTCCTGGTCCAAATGACTTGAAAAACACATTACTGCAAGACAATGACGTGAAGGAAAATAAAAGAATTGTAGCTGAGCTTGTGGACTATGATGGTGTTTCCAATAATGTAGGGTTGTCCCGGAACTTGGCCATTGCTTTGAATGCATTTGAACAAACAGGTAACATTGTTGTTTTAAAGCCAGCAGTTAGTGAATTGCTCAAACGTCCCACTACCTTTATCATACAACCGTACACAATCACCTCAAATAAAAAAAAGGAGGTGAATCAAACAAAAACAACCAAATTGACCAAACAATTAACCGAGGCATTGTATCCACAAATAGCAGCTGTGCCGGTTACCAATTTTATGAAAGTCCCTAGTATCGCTGGTGTATTACCATATGGCGGGGTTTTGAGATTTCGCAAAAATGAAAATTACAACGCTTGGATCAAACCTTATGATTTAGGTAGAAAAAAGCCTATCAAAATCGAACTTGGAGAAGATCTACTTCGCCCACAATCATTTATCCAGGAAATTGAACTCGAAGGCTCTGCTAAAGAAGCTGACAAGCCGATTGGTATTGACAAAGTTGTTTCGGATTTGGTTGATTCGTTTCTTGTGTCTTCAAACACAGGAACACTTGTATATGGTAATTCAGGAAGTGGGAAGACTTTGTTTCTCAAACAAGTTAGTAATATATTGAATCAGGAGCACGGATACTTTACCAAATTTGTCTCTTGTGAGACGCTCATGAACGAATCATTTCAAAACCTATCAAAAAACCACATTTTCAAATGGCTACAGCAATGTTCGTGGAACAAACCCTCATTATTGGTTCTTGACAATATAGATAAAATCATGAACATTGAAATGGAAAACATGGATGCTACAAAATCAAACCAAACTACGGAATACTTTATTTCGCAATTGACAAAATTGCATAATCAACCAAATTCAAATATTTCTATTCTTTGTTCGTCAACGTCAAAAGAAAGCTTGAATAAGCTTTTACTTGGTTCTCATTTGATTGAAAATTACCATCATGTGACTGCGCCTGATAAACCTTTGCGTTTCCAAATTATTGAAAAGTACTTAACCGAAGATTTAAAGTGTAAGTTGGATGTGGACTTAATGGACTTGGTTAGTGAAACCGAGGGCTACTTACCCAATGACTTGAAGATTCTTTGTCATCGAATTTACCATCAGTGCTTATCCAACCTGTCTAATGAAGATGAAGAAACAACCAACGTTGTTGAATCCAAGCACATAGATGACGCAATTAGCGGATTCACTCCTTCGAGTTTGCGTGGTGTCAAGCTCCAAAAATCGGGCACGAGCTGGTCCGATATTGGTGGGCTAACCGAAGCCAAAAGGATTCTTTTGGAAACACTTGAATGGCCAACTAAATATGCACCGATTTTTGCAAATTGTCCCTTGAGGCTTCGTTCAGGTATTTTGCTATATGGGTATCCCGGTTGTGGTAAAACATTGCTTGCTAGTGCAATTGCTGGACAATGTGGGTTAAATTTCATTTCCATCAAGGGGCCAGAGATTTTGAATAAGTATATTGGTGCTTCGGAGCAAAGTGTACGAGAATTGTTTGAGCGTGCACAAGCGGCAAAGCCATGTATATTGTTTTTTGATGAGTTTGATTCGATTGCTCCCAAAAGAGGGCATGACTCAACGGGTGTCACTGACCGTGTTGTTAATCAAATGTTGACTCAAATGGATGGTGCTGAAGGATTGGATGGAGTATATGTTCTTGCTGCTACTTCGAGGCCTGATTTAATTGATAGTGCATTGTTGAGACCAGGTAGATTGGATAAGAGTGTCATTTGCGACATGCCTAATTTCGAGGACAGGTTGGATATCTTGAGGAGCATAACCACGAAGATGGACTTGTCTGAGGACGTAAAGTTGGAGGAAATTGCAGACCAGACAGCCGGGTTCAGTGGTGCCGATATGCAGGGGTTGGGATACAATGCATACTTGAAAGCTGTTCATGTGAGACTAGAAGAATTAGAAGCCAAAGATAACGATGAGGAACAAGGTAAAGATGATGACGAAAACGCAGTGGAGTTTTTCAAAGTTGGTGATGCACCGAAATTGAAAAATCCCGAGAGGATCAAATTGTTGCATCAAATACAGCAATTTGTTGCAAATGAAAAGCAACTGGCTAGTGATCACTCCAAACAGTCTAAACTGTCTCGTGTCGAGCAGCCCAAAGTGCATATCACGCATGCAAATTTTGTCGAATCGCTCAAGGAGACAAAACCATCAATTTCCCACTCGGAAAAGACCAAATTGACCAAAATCTACTCCCAATTTATTGATAGTAGAGATGGTAACATGCCAGATGGAAGTGCAAGCAATGAGGTTGGTGGAAGAACTACATTAATGTAAAACGCTAAAATATAAATACCATACAGAATTGAATGATTCTTATACATCGCTTAATCTAGTATAGTTGGGGTCATCTTCTTGACCAAGTTTACTATTGGACTCTTGACTTTCCTCTTCAATGATGATAAAATTGTCATAACTCTTTTCATGGCTAATCCAAGGAAACAATCTCAAATACGACCAAAACCCAATACCCAAGCCCAATAAACTGCCAAGTAAGACATCAACAAAATGGTGTCTATAGTCCCTGGTCCTGCTCAAAGCAATATACGCAGCCATCAAGAAAGGTGCGGCGCCAATCAAGGTCCTCCAGCTCCCAACTTTGGTGTTTGGGGCCTGTAGCTGGCCAAGTAAAAACAACGCCAAAAAGCTCAATCCTGCAAAGCTTAGTGACGAATGTCCCGACGGGGTGGTTCTAAACCCATCTTCCAACCGTCCCAAGTTGTCTGTCGTACACACTTCAATAGACACAAGTGTATTAATGGGTGTTGATGGATCTGGGATGCATCTGGCCAAGAAATCAGGACGAAGACGACCAATCCAGTTCTTCAAGACATCAGTAACTACCGATGTAATTAATACACTCAAACACAATCCAATCACGGCAACGTAGGTATTGTACAATTTGTATTGTGGTGTCGTGAGTAGCAAGGATACGACTATCACGATTGCCAATGGGATCCATGTCGAGTACACAAACAATGCAGTACCTCCCACAGTTTCAACCTCAGCAAATGGATGTGATATGGTTAGATCATTGATGAAAAATTGTCTGTGGAATGGCTTGATGTTGTATAATACGATGTACAAGATGATTAGAATAACAATTAGAATCAAGTCGGTGATTCTCCATTTCAAAATGGTTGGTGATACGAATCCCAAGTTTATACGGTTGAACCGTTTGTTGGGGTTGCGGAGGTTGTTCAAGATATCTTCAAGTGACATGAGAAATAATTTGTACTGTTGTTGTCTGTGTGATTTGTCGAACAAACCAGTCTGGATAAAGTTGAATGATATGTATTTACTTCAAGACAAGAGAAATTCCTTGAGCCACATCAAAGAAAAGAAAAACGCAACCCGTTGAGGTTATCAAAACTTCTAACACTGCATATGAGTGTACAGTGTACAAAATAACCCTCTAAATATCAAGCCAGTGTCTCCTGTTGAGAAGCACTTCAATACTTATGCATTCTTCCATGATCTAAGGGCTCTTATAATCTCAACCTAAACCAAGGGCTAAAGTATGTATTTCACGTGACCTTTTTCTGGCGCGTAATTCTGGAAAAACCAACATCTTCCTCCTCTATGACAAAATTTCAATCGCATCAGACGTGTCGCTTTCGCTCAATCAACAGCCCCCTCCCCCACTCCTCCTCCATATTTATAATGACCACCACCTCATACGAAGAAGAGAAGCTTCACCATACACCATGGGTTGAAAAATACAGACCCAAGAACCTTAACGACATTGCATCACAGGAACATGCCGTAAAAGTCTTGGAAAAACAAGTGTCAACGGGGAACTTGCCCCATATGTTATTCTATGGACCTCCAGGAACCGGTAAAACATCAACCATCTTGGCATTGGCTAAGCAGCTATACGGACCTCGTTTGTACAAGTCCAGAGTATTGGAATTGAACGCGAGTGACGAACGAGGTATATCTATTGTCCGTCAAAAGATCAAAAACTTTGCCAAATTGACCGTTAGTAACCCAACACCGGAAGATTTGGCCAATTACCCATGCCCACCTTACAAAATCATCATTTTGGACGAGGCTGACTCCATGACGAATGATGCGCAAAGTGCATTGAGAAGAACCATGGAGACGTATGCCAATATTACCCGATTTGCATTGGTTTGTAACTACATTACGCGAATTATTGACCCATTGGCTTCAAGATGCTCGAAATTTAGATTTAAGTTGCTCAATAATGAAAATTCATTGAATCGGTTAAAGTACATTGCCAGTGAGGAAGATTTGAATTTGGATAGACTGCAAGGTGAGGATGAGGTGTTGAATGAAGTGTTGAAGATTAGTAATGGGGATTTGAGAAAAGCAATCACGTATTTACAAAGTGCGTCCAAGTTGAGCACAAGCTTACAATTGGAAAACGGTGAGGATGCTGATGGTCAAGCAAGTGGGTTAATCACCAAGCAATCAATTAGAGAGACTGCTGGTGTCTTGCCTGATGCATTGATTAGCCAATTGGTTACTACGATAAGGTCAAAAGATGACACGAAATTGGTCAATTTAGTCAATGATGTGATATTGAGTGGGTGGAGTGCGCAACAATTAATTGACCAATTACATGAAGTTTTGGTGATGGATGATTCGATAAACTCCTTGGTCAAGAATCAAATTGCATTGATATTATTTGACACTGATAAGAAGTTGAATTATGGAACTGATGAACATATCCAATTACTCAACTTGGTTCTACAAGTATCAAAGGTTATATAGATGAAGTCAGAGAAGTTTTGAAAATGAAGGCATTTTTGAAATTGATACGTACATTTGTAAATTACACAGTCATCATTGCGATCTCTCTCTCAAACGATGCTACAGTTTATCCAGATGTAACTGTTGTTGTTGATTTGGGTTAGGGCCCTGCAGCACTCGGTGCGGTTGGTGTTGCTGTTGTGGCTGTTGTTGAAATCCTGGTGGTGGTGGTGGTGGAGGCATTTGCGGTGATCCACCTTGAGTGCCCAAGTATTGCGGGGGTATGAACCTTGCATTGTGGTTGTTCATAAACTCTGGCGGTATTTGAGATTGACGAAATCCAGGTGGTGGAGGTGGACCTTGACCTTGTCCAAAGTTTGAACCTGGAGGTGGCGGTGGCATTGGAGGCATGAATCCATGAGGGAACATACCAGGCGGAGGCACTGGCATACGGTTTCCTGGTTGCTGCAGTTGTTGTCCCGGTTGTCCATAAGGGAACATAAATCTGGGGTGCTGTTGTTGTTGCTGTTGTTGCTGTTGTTGCTGTTGTTGCTGTTGCAGAGGCAGTTGGGTAGAAAAAGTCCCCTTATCTTCTCCACTTTGATCTACTTGTTGACTAGGTTTCTGTTGCTGTTCGCGTGATTGGGGATGTGGGAGGGGTGGTTGCAATCCGGGTGGGAAATTACCCATTTGCTGTGGTGGTCCTCTCATCCAAGGTGGAAATTGGCCACCGGGTGGTATCAACCCTGGTGGAAACTGACCTGGATGGAGGGGGTGCTGTTGCTGTTGCTGTGGGTGCTGTGGGTGCTGTGGTTGAGGACCACCCAGGAGGCTGCGTTCACCATCACTTCCAACGGACACCTTCCTATTTGATAGGCCTGGGATAGCTCCAGAATCTGATGGGCTTGATTTTCTCTCGCCGATGGTAGAACTTGGTGCTCGATCAACCACTGGACTAGACGCTGCCGAAGAAGGTGATGCTTCAGCATTCTCTTTCTTTTTCAACAATGAGCGGAAAAAGCTATCGTTAGAAGATAAGTGCGGTATTGCTGGCTGTTGTGGCTGTTGTGGTTGTTGTGGCTGCTGCTGTGACTGCTGCTGTGACTGCTGCTGCTGCTGTTGTTGTTGCTGCACTGGGTTCCCGTTAGTTGGATGAGTTGGAGGTTGTCCCAGTGGTGATGACCACGACGACGGTTGTCTTTGTAATTGTGGCAATCCGGTCTCACTTGCATTCAACAGTGGGGGCTCCGACGTATACTGAGGGGTTTGAGGACCACTTCTTTGCCCACTAAAAAATTTGGAGAGCCCTGGAGGAGGCATCGTTGTCAGTGTTGGCGGCTTTTGCTGTACTGGCTCTGCATCTGCTTGTTTGGGGGGTTGAGTGATAGGTTGCTGGAAAAAAGATGAAAAACGAGACGAGCGGTGATTGGCATTATTTGAGGACGTGTTGGCTTGGTTTGACTCTTCTAGTGTTGCAGAAGTGACTACATTCTCTTCAGTGGTTGACTCTCTATGTGTAGGTTTAATGAAAGAAAAGAAATTATCAACTTCATTACCAGCATTCTTGGCTGCGCTTTCGTCATCTGCCTTTTGCTGCTGTTCAATTTCTTCATCGACTACTTCACCTCTTCTTCTCTTTTCTTCCAACTTCATTTGATACTTCCACTTTTCAAAATCCTCCACTGTTTGTCCCATGTTCATCATTGACATGTGAGCCAAGTCATCATCAACCCCACCAATACTGCCACGGCCAGATTTACCTATTTTACCATCCCCAAGTATTTCAGCATCCCATTCAGGTTCCAACTCATCTGGTCCTTCGCCTAACAATTGTGAGATTTTTTCACTTGAAAGCGAATCCAAATCTTCTGCTTTGGCGAATCCGTGACGACCCCCGCGACGAGTAAATGGATCCAGTTTAGAATTTTCGCCATAGTGAGAAGAAGTTTTGCCTCTTTCCCAAGTCTCATTTTGATGCTTTTTGAATTTCTTGGCCTTGTATGTGCCGCCATTTTCTGAATTCAGATTGTTGTTCAAATGTCTTGGATATGGTTCACGGTAAGCTTTCAATCTCCAAAACGACAACTCTGGTAACAATTCCTTGACATGTGGCACTTCATCAACTTCAATTCTTAACTCAAGTAATTGGTTGATGGGGTATATATTTGCTGCCCCTTGCTTGGAAGTCGGTATAAAGTTTAAAATCTCTTCCCACTCGCGTGCTTCTGCATTTGGATCATCACCTTCGTGCTCAGCAACATCAGTTGTAGGTTCTGGTGTTGATTCCTTTGCTGCGTGGGCCATGGCACTATCCAACAACCTACTCAATGCATTTCCTGGTTCCAAATTATGAAGTGATGAATGCGACGATTTTCGTTCATTCTGCGGTTGACGCAGCAGCGGTTTAATCTTGTTGGAGGTCATGGACGCAGATACATCTTTCTCAAGTGTAACAATTGACGGGTCCACAAATTGCGGGTTAGATTGATTTGAAGACATTGCAAATGTTATGAAATATGAGGTTGATGCAAAATGGGCAACGGGAGAGAGTCACTCTATGATGATTGATTTGCTAGACAATTGACTTCTTTCTCGATGGTGAAGGAATGAGTAATTCTAGGTCTTATAATATGAGCAGATGTATACAGCGGATCTTCTCTCTAAGAATATATGCAGCCTTCTTCTTATGTCTGATTGATGATAGTTGATGTTGTAGATGATGATGACACTTTACCAACTGGCTCTCTCACTGGAAAGGAAGAGAAAAAAAATTTCTTTGTGCATTTACACTACCCCTTCTACAAAATCTGTACATCCTCTCTTTTACACACAACATATATACATATATACCCACTAAATTGATGTATTTAAACTGTCACAACGTCTAATAAAGGAATCGTAGTAATACAGAACTGTATAAAGAACTATAAATAAAGCATCTTCTAGCACCTCAATTGTTCAAATATGGTAAATTCAACTTCATAATCTCACGACACATGATAAACCAATCAATCTCACGCAAGTAATGAGTACCGTCATGATACCTCGCTAATGAGGACTCCATTTCCCCTCGACTACCAAAATTGTCCTCCTCTTTTCCATTCTTCAATCTTGCCTGTTTTAGTTCTTGCTCCCACTTAAACAACTCATACATAAATCTCAAATTCGGTTGAATGATAATGTTTAATCTCCTAACTCTCACATAAAGATACGCCATTGGTAAACTCACTTGGAACCTTTTGACAATCTCAGCTATGACAACAGTCGCACTCCGACTCACGCCGACTCGACAATGCACCAATATTTTGGTATTTCCTTGTGTCTTGACGTATTCTTCATTGATAAAGTCCAAGATCTTGGGTAACTGTTGCGATAATTCGTCAATCCCGTCATCTTCTAAATTATTCACCTTCATTATTGTATCTATTGTTGTGTTCCAGTGCAACTTCAGATTGTGACGATGACGATGGTGGTGTCTTTGTTTTGGAAGGATGTTGATAATCTCAATATCCTCATTGTCCTGATCAACTATTGTATCATTGTACTTGCGGAATTTGTATCCGTTCAACCATGGAAGACTCTCACCTACAGAAATAACTTTTTTGATACCCAACTTGTTGAGCAACGGTAAGCACAGCGCATGTTTCAAGGACCCGAGGTATAGATACGGGAGAATCTTGGATGGAATTGAGCCTTCAACTTCCTTGACCCAATCAATTGCAAATTTCTTCATCTCCGCATCTTCATCCTCTTCATCCTCTTCATCCTCTTCTTCTCCTTCCTCAGAACTACTTGACGAGTCGCCTTCACTCAATGAAGAATCATCATCATCATCTTCTTCTTCTTCTTCTTCTTCATCAGAGTTGAAAATATACCCGAGCTTGGCATTGGAATTCTTTTTAGGCACACCCAACAAGATCTCATTGATTTCAGCCGACGATATTTCCTCCATCTCGCCCCAATTCATCACACCACCTTGTTGCTTAACGAGGGGGCTATATTTCCTCAACAACGGCTCCAATTTGCGCAAAATAACAACATCACTATTGAAGATATAAAAAGGCCGTTCGTAAAAACAATGCAACTGAAGCATCACTTCGTCCAAGGGCAAGTTCAAGGCATACATCATATAACACAACACAAGCAATGACGATTCGGTATACCCATCAGAGCAATAAATCAATGTGCCCAATCCTCTAGGTGACATTGACGACGAGTACAAGTAGATTAGTTTGCAGGTATTGACAATCAGTCGAAGATTGTCACGTTTGCAGTCGCCGATCCCAATGGATCCCAGTGGTGGAAACAGTAGTTGGTGGTGTTCGTCAGTATCCTGACTTTCGTGCGAGGATATCGTGTATCGAAACAATAGTTCACCAAGTTCACCCAAATCTGGGAATGAAGCGTCCGAGTGACAATGGAGAAACAATTTGTAATTGGACTTTGGACGTGGTAATAGGTTGATGTAATCTTGAGACAGTTTACAATTGGATTGAGACATGATTGAATTGGCTGGACTGCTGTATGGGGTAACTGGTTTAGAGGATTTTCGTGTTTCCAGTGTCGTTACACTTTTCTTTTGCTGTAGATAGTGAATCATGATTTGATGATCCCAAAAGTTACCCACATACACATTTTGACAAATCTTTGTTGCGGTTGACATCAACGTCGTTTCAACTTTTTCTCGTAGTTGGAAATTGTTATCCCATAAAAGCAAAGGATCTTTTAGTTGATAATGTAAATTTGTCGATGAAAGTTTGGAAAAATGGAAAAAAGACCGTAGTGGAGCATTCAATGAAGTAGTACTTGTTTGCTCATACGCATTGCCCAAATGTTCATCTAGTATGTAAACTTTCCTTTCGGGTACAGTTATCCCCGAAGACTGTTCCTCATCCCTTTGTGCTAGCCAAAGGACCCTAGCAATGGATTGCAACACCCCGGAATCTGACCCATAAACAACAAAATCGGAACATGTAGACAACTTGGCAACTTGTATTTGGAAGTTCCGTAAAGAGATCCCACGATCGGGATCCAAGTTTAAGAAGAAAGGAACCACATTGAGCTTGATACAATCAGCAGTCAACAAGTCAATCATTTCCTCTTCCTCAATATAACTCAATTGTTCACCTTTCAATAATGTTTCATGGTCCACACTTTTCCAAATCAATGCAATTATATCTCTAATTTCCAGTTTGGAGACATCAATCTTTTGCAAAACCTCAAATAACCGAACCGTGTTGTGCAACTCCACGGGACAAGTTCCATCAGTGACACACATCAAGAAACTGGAACTTTGCGGTTTTGCAGTCTTGTAGTCCATGAATACATTGTTCATCCCAAGACCCAATTTCTGTTGTTGTTGCTGTTGCTGGTGCAAAAAGAACGATCGTTGCGCGAAATTATCATCATGGAGTCCATGAAGCCAAGGAAACATCTCATTTGTGGGCGGTAGTTCTGAATTAAAATATTTGTCAAACATTTGCCGAAGCTGTACCAATGTCAAGTGTTCAAATTTGAAATTGTCCGCCAAGGTCTTAACCTCTTCAGGGTGTCCCATTGTTAATTTGGTCGTTTTGAACCCGATTCCATCGCACACATCGCATGGATTTGCATCACCTTCAAGAGAAGCTGGTTCGTTTTGGCAAGCACAATAGTTCAATGGGGGGACAGATCCATCTTTAGGTTCAGTTTGGTGCTGGTGATGTTTGCGCTCGTAATGGAGATGGTGATGGTGGTGGCAAGTATCATCATCTGTCTCATGATCGGGGAACGAAACGTTGAAACTTCTAAGCCGAGCCCTGAATCTGTCTCTTTCGTACAATAGATCATTTGAAGACGACGATGATCTCTTGCACGACTTGTGTGGATTCATGCTTGTGCATGATGAAGTAGCAGTTAGGAGGGATTTTTCAATAGTCAGCACTACCTGTGTTGGTGATGTTGTTTCTTCATTTGATGATGTTATCAATAGTCCTGGTATGGACACTGACGACGCGATCGTAGTTGGTGGTCTGCTATTTTCGCTGGTGATACTACTTGTGTCCAAGATGGACCTGACTTCGTAATTATGCAGTGACTGCTGCTGTTGTGGTGGTTGTTGTTGTGGTGGTTGTTGTGGTGGTGGTTGTGGTTGTTGAGTTGATGGAGCAGCGATGCTAGATGAAGACGATGAGGATGATGATAGCATTGGTGTATGGTTGTGGTGATGGTGACAATGCGCTGGATCGTGGAATGTAGTGTGTATATCTATAGATCTTGAAGATTGGTCCACTTCTAGCTCAGTAATATTGCGACTCATTGACTAACTCACCGTATAATAGCTGTAAAAGGTTTGATAGTGATCATAGATTGAATAACGATTTTTCACAAGAAAACTTTTATGAAAGGATTCGTCTGTATTGTGCTAGCGATACTGGTCCTTCCCACTATAAAATCAAGAGCCTTTTTTGTTTTGTGTTTGTAACACCTACCAGTTAGTTGCAATGTTGAAGTTGAAGTTGTAGTTAAAGTTGCAAAGGAACTGGAGGTTAGTTTTGAAAAAGTTTCAAACTGTGGAGATTGGGGGAGGAGGGGGGATAAGCTGAGGGGTGATGCCAAAGGTTCAATTGTGTCTGTTGAAGTAACAATTGAAGCGAGCTAATTTAGCAACGTGGGTGGATCCTGGTATGTAAAATGTAGTGCTGTGTGACACTCGACACTGTATGTGTATATGTGTGTGTTTGTGCGTATATATATATATATATATATATTAACCTCTTGGTGATTGTAAGTAAAGAATGCTCTTTTTTATCTCCTTTACTTTGATTCTTATCTTCTTCGCTAATTGGGAAAATAAAAATAAAAAAAAAAAATTTTCTTCTTCTTTCTCTGTCTCCGTAAACCACACTTTTTCAAACTCTCATATAACCCATACGTAGTAACTTATAACCACTTTAAGCTTATATGGATCTCTTAGTTCTTACTTCTTCAACTTGGTAGTCTCAACCTCATTTAAGTTTATCACATCCTATCTTCTGTAGCCTATCTATAGACACTATCCTACTAATTTCAAGCGCTAGAAAAAATCACAGGCATAGCTGCTCTATTATCAACATTATTAGTATTATTAATATTATATGATTATTCTATACTCTTTGAGTTACGAAGCAAGTTTAGCATGATAGTTACAGATGAGGTAATACCACCTCGTATTGCAAAGTTTTCCACAACCATGGTTTCCTCTTTGCTCAATTATTCAACCACACACTCTGGTGGGTCGGATCATGGATATAGCACACCCATTTTCAACAGTTAGGCAAGGCCTAAAGAGGAGAGTAGCGATTGCAAGTATCAAAGAAGCTTGATCCGGACGGTTCGAGTTGGGACTATTATTGAGGGCAGGAAGGGGCGGTACTCTCACACTTGGTATCCAAGACGTGTTCACTCACGTTATGATTGACAACTCCAATGTCCACACCCTTCTCACATGCACTTTGACACTCAACTTCGCAGCATCGCCATCGTCCATCTCCTTTATATCGGCAATATCAACATTTATCGTAATCCACCCATGTGACCACCAACATTTTCTTGCTGGTTTACGCCAAAACAAAAGCAATTTCGTCTGGTTTGGATCTGGCCTGCTGCTACTGCTTTGTCTCTTCAGCGAAAGTGACCGTGATGCTGCTCTTGACGCACTGCTTGCCAATTGTGCCAATCTTGATCTTGGTCGTGATCGGGAACGTTCGTTGCCATTGCCGTTGCTTGCACTGGCGTTCGATGCTACTGGTGTGATGGATGGTGAATCCGGTGGTGTTTCTGAGGGTGTTTGTTGTAATTCTCTTTCTGTTTCCCTCTCTCTTTCTCTTTCTCTTTCTCTTTCCTTCTCCTTCTCCGATTTTAATCTGACTAAAGATAAGGATGAAATGACACATTTTCCAGGCTCTAAACTCCTCGACCCCCATTTATCCCTTGTGTCAAATCCTGAGCTACACAACATATCAAAAAGATGTTGTTCAGCTGCTCCTAAACCTTTACCATTATTTCCATCCTGTTTCTCATTGGCATCTTGCACAACATTGCCATCTTCACCAAGTAATATCGGATCATCGCCATTGAACTTGTAACCCAATCCTGAAAAGATCAATTTGTTCTTGAGCAATTCAACACTCACCCCCTTCTTCAATTGCCTCATCTCCTCCCTATTCAAACCGGCAATGGGGGGAATCACATAGAAATCCAAATCCTCCCTCAATACAATTATGGCTGGATTCGTTTGAAGGATATTTTCTTGTTGACGTTGTTGATGGGCTCTTGCACCAGAGCCAGCACCAGTACCGGGCCCACTAACTTGAGGACTCAATTGCAAACCCAGTGGAGTCGACATGGCCACTAGATCCCTTTGCGCTTTGCGAAACACTTCAATGATATATTGGAAACACTCAGGGTCGAAATTGACATAAACAACATCTTCCTCAGTCAAGTTACTTATAATTTGTCCGTTAACATCAAGAAAAACACCATTGGGGAAAAGACAAAGCAAGATGCTTTCGGGTAAACTCATCAATTCATCTCTAGTGATGGTGAATTCGGTTCCCCTGAGGTTTAAATGGATAAGTGAGTTGAAGTCTACATCTTCGTTGGAATTGCTGGAATTGTTGTTGGTGTTGTTGGTGTTGGAGTTGGCAGTTGCTAGTTGGGGAGGTGAGTCTGGCCTCACCTGTGTTATTATATCTTCTTGTGACATGGGTTTGAAGCTCTATTATCGATTATGTTACAGATAGGGAAGGCTTGTATCAGGAAGAGAAAGTGGCCGGCACTTTGGTTTTCGATGTTTGTGGAGTTGTTTATGATTATGCAAAACTTGTGTACTGGTTGTTATTGTTCTTGTAGATAAGGTTCACAAAGCAGCGACTCAGTTATGCTTGACGCGTGTGTCTTGGTTGTTAAATGAGTATGAATTAAGTTTTGGATGCTAGAACGATACGATACCAAATCCGTTGTCTTTATTTTTTCTTTTTTTGCTTATTGCTTGTGTTTGTATAACTCAATACTTTATTTTTATTCAAACTGTCGTGGTACGTAACTGAGCTATAGATACATATAAGCTGTTTCAGTTTGATGTGAAGGTTGATTTCAATGCTTATATATATATATATATGTATATATATATGGGCTCCTGGTTGAAGTTGATAGTTGAGAGTATGTTGGTTGTTGTTGATAGAAAGAAGACGAAGACGAAGAAAAATAAAATACAAATTATTTGAACCAATCTACACGACTTCTCAATGGCATCTCTTCTAGCTTTGTCTATCGCAAGAGATCAGTATCTGTTTGCAGTTACCGCCTACTGAGTCTTTCCTTTCCACTATCTAGAGGAACGAGAAGCTGAGGTACTGACTGCAAGCTATGACGACAAATTGTCTGTCTAATCAGAATAAGTCTTGCGCTTGCTCACTTTCCGCAATGGAACCAACAACCAAACATGCACATGACAATGATTCTGATGATGTTTGGGCTGAAGACGATGAAGACAACATAGAGCAGCACGACAATGACACCAGCAAGAAATTAGCATACAACGACATAGTACGACAACACCGCAAACAAGGGTATGTGGACGGTATAACTGCACATCGAGAAGATCAACTACAGCGTGGTTTCGATGATGCATTCCCACAAGGTGCAAAGTTGGGTATTGAAGTTGGGAAAATCTTGGCTCGTTTGAAATGCAAGCTGGGTGCTCCAAAGAGAGAAAAAGAAAAAGAGGTCAATAGTGGTGGTGTTGTTGATGATGAAAAACTTAAGTGTGCTATTAACGAACTATCGATATCCAAAGTGTTAGATCGACAATACTTTGATGAAGATTTACAACCACTACAAACCCACGACTTGATTGAAAAATGGAGACATCAAGGCTAGAGTGTCTGTAATTGCTTGTATATCAATTGTTTGACTCAACAATCATCTACTCAATGGCATATCATTTATCAACTCTGCACTCAAATTTTCCGACAACCCAGTCAATTTCTCCTGAAACTTGTGTCTGCCTCTGCACCACTCGACCCACACTTCACTTACCAAGTACTGGGTCTCTTGAAACATAACATACTCTTTGAAACAACACTGCTTGATCAACCAATCTCGATTCAATTGCTGGAAAATCTCTTGTTTATCATTTATGATTGATTGTCGCAACTTGTTAATCTCAACTTCTTTACCATTTGTTGGCCCCGCTGTCACTTTTTTGAAATTCAATTCATTCTCCTTGATGCGTTTGTTCAATGTATCAATTTGGTTCCCTGATAAGTTCTTGCTTCTTTCAAACAACTCAAGAAGTGAGTACAAATAGTCCATATAGTTTTTCAACTTTTCCAATATCGTCGTGTTGATGGTATAACTGTCGTCGACTATAACTTGTGACGACTTGGTATAATACTCTCCAATCGAAGTCAATCCGGCATTTATCGCCTCAACATCATTATTCTGCAACATGGCAGTTGCTGATGAAGAAGAGTTGTCGTCTTGTGGGTACACCGTAGTATCCAATTTCCTAAACTGGTTTAAAATCTCAACAAATTTTTGATTATCATAACTCATTTGTTGTTGTCTCTTTTCATGTCGTTCAACAAGAATAACCAATTTGGTCCATTTCTCAATCAACCCACGAATATTTTGTTCGGCAAGAGCCCAATTACGTAAAAACTCCTCACTTATGGCTGGCCATATAATATTGATGAATTCAGTTTGGATTTTCTGACCCTTGAATTCAATCGAGTAGTCAATCTTGGCTTGTTTTTTCCAAGTGGCCAAGTCAGAGGGCACGGTGAGGAACGATTGGACTATGGGTTCCTGTCTGAAAACTGGATGTTTAACCAATTGGTTCAAGAACCTGTGCAAGCCACGACGACGACGTTGTAAAAATTGCGAATCTGGAGAAGCTCCTACTGCAGTCAATTAGTATTCATGTTTGGAAATAAAAGTAATGGAAATGGAATTGGAAATGGAGAAGGTGTGATTGGAAAACATGTTCTCCATAACTCACTTAATACATACCCGTGAACTTTTTTGGTGGTAGACCCGGAATCACCCTAAACGGGTACTTTTGTAACAAGTACTCCAACAACCTAGACAGACAGTTCAGTTAGTAATAAGACACAATACTTCCCCTCCCCCTCCCCTGCCCTATTTCGGAACAAATTTCCACATACCATGCAAAGTCAGAGTACCTCCTGACTACCTTCTTATGTCCTCCCAAAAGGCCCAGTGCGCCTGGTCCCAACGCCAAGTTGTGAGTGATTGTGTAGTTTATATGCTTGAACAAGAGACCTTCCTTTTCAGGCAGCTCCCTAATCTTGACTGGAGTCTCATCAAGAATCAACGGTTTAAACTCATCTCTGATATCCTCAATGTATTTCTCAATATACGATGTATTCTGAGGATTGATTTCATCTCTGTCGTTACTGCTATCCTCCTCGTCACCAAGCATTTGATGTTGCGAGTCAGAATGGTCAGTTAGTATAGGGTCAACTTTACCCCTCTGATTCCAATCATCAACTTCATTATCCTCGGTTCGTGAAGTGTTGGCCATGGCCCTAAGCGGATCATTAATGACACCACTGTCGCCATCACCACCATTGTCATCGTTATCGCCTACTTCCTTGGCAACCAATTTGAGAAACAGTTGTGGCAACTCGGGCAAGTTTTGCAATTTGAACTGTAAAGTAACGAAATCTCCCGAGCCGGGCACATCAATTTCCAATGCAACCAATCCCAAGATTTGATAGAAATTTTGCGCCAACGTCACGGGAACCAAATTGTTGTCATATACAATATCCAAGATCTTCAGTTTTTGGTAACTTGTTAAATACTGCAAATCAATCAATTTGTCAAATACATAATACTCGAAATCGTTAATGGTGGTGATCTTGTTGAGGAGATGCGAGCGAAGCGATTCATAGCTCGCTGGCACATTTGAGATTGACACTGTGTTTGTTGATTGATGCCGTTGCTCTGCTCTGGGTTGATTGAGTAATTGCGACGAGGTGAGGTATGTGGATTGGTATGGCGTTGGTGATAGCGAAGGGATGGGGCTCGTGACAACTGGTTTGTCGTCGTTCCAGCCGGCTGTTGAAGACCATGGGTCTTCTTCTTCGCCAGTGTTAAATATGCTGCTACTCATAACTTTGTAATGCAATTGATAAATTTATCGTCGTAGATGCTATTGCCGTTGCCGTTGTTGTTGTTGTTGATTTTGCTGATCGCGATTGTTTTTGCGGAGTTGCTACCAAATATATTCTCTCAAATTCAGCTACATTGGCTACACTGGCTACACTTTACAAAAAGAAAAAGGAATGCAGCTACATCATTCAATTTATTATACTACAATCTACTCAACTTCCTCTTTGCTTCCTCCTTAACATCGTCTTGATCACTGTCACTCAACTCGGTTAAAATCTTAACACATATACTCTTTGCTGGTGGCCGGTACATGCACAAAAACTGCAAGGCCAAAAATCCGATGCTTGATCTAGCAGGGTCAAAGCAGAGCGACTTGATCTTTTGCAACATTTCTTCATTCAACATTGGCAAATCACTAAGCAATCTAAGGAAAATCCGCTTGTCATTGGGTTCCAAGTAATTGATCATGGAATCAAGGACTTTATTGGCCCATTTATTGTATACCGGGGTCGACACTTGACATGCCAAGACTTTCGTCCCTTCATTCGCGTTATCACCCAGTTTGTCTCTCTGTTGCTGCTGTTGTTTCCTATTTTGTTGAAAACTTTGTTCACTAAACCATTCCTCATTCAACCATTCAATAACAACATCAACTCTGTCGTGTATATTCTCAATAAAGTATTTAAAGAGGGCATCTCGAATCATTGTGCCCATGTCCTCCTTGTTCTGATCGTCAGGGGCTTTATCTTCAACTCCATCCTCTTCGGCAACTGTTCTCATGCCCCGAGTTGCCAACCTGGTTAAAAGTAAGACCCACGTATCCTTATTGAATGATTTGATGGCAACATCGGTCAAACTTTTGTTAATAGAGTCAGACTGATCTTGTGTGGACTCTAGTTTCTTGACTCCATTAGACGTATTGTTTGCTTTTGCAAGCTTGAAGAAATTGTCAATGATTATAGAGATGTGGGTTTTCTTCTCATTAAATGATAATTCTCTTGGTGGCGCTAGAGAGAAAGATGGATCTTCTCTTTCTTCGTCATCATCGTCTTCAGCTTCATTGTATCCAAACTCTCCATCGTGTTGATTTTCCTGTTTGATCTCAGTGGGGAACTCACTTTTAACTGTAACGATGCCAGTATTGGCTCCGTTTGTACTGCCGTACAGTAAACCTACTCTCTCTTGCTTTACCTTGATTGGCTGTTGACTCAATGCACTCTTGTATCTCTCACTAACAATTTCAAGAGCTTTTGTCAATCTTGTGACCGAAGCCTTTTGCAATGCATTAATCACCAATCTGGCACAACTTTGGGGTGGAACTGTACTAAAATCAAACCCATTTAGCTGATCAGCAGGATCATTTAGAGTATACAAATGCTTATAATCCAAAACTTTCATCCTCTTACTTGGGTTATGGAATCCTTCAAAAGGTCTTTTCTTGATACTCTTGTCTTCAATAGAGAGGACATGTTTCTTTCTCAAATCGATTCCTCTTTCAGTGAGGACTTTGAGTTGAGCTTCGAGGGCCTGTTTCATACTGACCGGAATCAACGAGTTCTTCTTTGCATAACCAAGGAAAATTCTAATATTTCGATCAACATATTTCCTAGCCAACTTGAACTCATCAACTGATTGATAGTTGGATTGTTTCTTTTTGTTACTGTCATACTCATTTACCGCTTTAAGCAAAGGGGCCACCAATTGCGGTTTCTTCTTCAAGATTATGATGCAATGATTCAAAGTGGCAGTGACCAATGGGGGTATAATGATATCCAAGTAGAAAACTTTTAAAACCAAGTTGGTAAACAATGCACTGGACTCGTATTCCATGTTTTCATATTTAATCAATGTGTGATTTGGAGGAACATCATTTAAGGAGTATCCCCTTTTTGAAACTGGCTCGCCAATTATTGTAGTTTTGGATTGATAATCAATCACAGTCATCAAGAATTTGAGAAGCTCAAGTTTAGTACCAATGTTTCTCACCAAGTCATATTCGCTATTATCTGATGGACTTAGAGGGTAATTTGACTGGAATTTGTTGACCAATGAGTTTTTCAATTCGGTTAATTTACTCCAAAGTAGATTACATCCATCGTTTTCACTAATGTACTGGAACGACAATTTGTAAACAATCAATGAGATATCAATCAACTTGCAAAAAGTTTCAACGTCGTGTCCATCCTTCACTACGTTGTCCTGTTGTTTCTGTTGTTGCTGTTGTTTCTGTTGCTGCTCTTGTTGTTGTTGCTGTTGTTGCTGTTGTTGGACGGTTATAGGTATATTCATAAGAATAGTCAATGTGTCAAGAGAGTTGATAGCAAGATCTACTTTGTCGACATTTCTTATCTGGTAGACATTCTTGATAAAAGTCTCGTAGATGAGTTCGATCCCCCAGTTTTTGATGGCGTAGGATTGGTTCTTGTTGATGATGGGTAGTATTTGTTTGTAAACTTTGACAAAAGTTTCTGGTTGTGTGATTCCCAATTGTTTGGCCTGGTTTAGCTGACTGATAATCAACTCTGTGGTTGCAGGATTTACGACTGACATCAGAGTATGGTCACTTCTTGGGGCGGGAGGAAAGACGGGCTAGGAGGGGAACGTTGGGATATAGAAAATGAAATAAAAGAAAAAAATAACAAAAAAATTAAACAGAGATGATGATACCTCAACCTCCGAAAAGAAGTAAGAACTGACTGGAGTGGACTGTTGTAGGATTGATTGGAACGGCAACAGAGTTTTCTGATTAATAGCTGAAGAAGAAGCAGAAGAAGCTGGAAGTGAAGAATGTTGATTGATGAAAAAAAAAAAAAAAAAAAGAAAAAAGATTTGAATGTGGTAGCGCTATGATTAACTAAAGAAGTAACTAAGAGTGAGTTGATGTATCTTGTATAGTGATGTCAAAGTAAGTATTGAGGCAGTTGTTGGAAAGCGTATGTGAACGGTCAATAAATAGGAATTCAGCATAATCTTCCCACTCCTTTTACTTTCTTGAATATATGTCTTTATTCAATTTGAAACTTTGCATCAAATTTCAGACAAAAAGTTGTATCACTTCAATCAGGTTAATAGTTCGTTCATGATTTTTACAAACATATGCTTTCTCAAGATATCTTTACTAGTGGTACGCAATCAAACAAAACACAGGAAGCGACCAAAGCGGTAGCACAGGTATATGTATCAAAAGCAACATGTTTCATCATTCAGTTTAAATACGGCGCTACCACAATAACGGTTTTGCTTTTGCAGGTATTGGTTTCAGAGTTGAAACACAAGTCATCTGGTACTACATTTGAAACGAATCGTCATCTCAATCTTACCACAACTGCTTTCTAACAACTGAGCATTCCTCTATTACCAGGTAAAGCGTTCCCAAGTGTATATCTTGTGCTGCAAAAAGGCTTAATCAATTAGCCACATCTCGCCTTTGACTTTTGAATTACGCGCCAGTTTGATCTCGTCTAATTTTCTTTTTTTTTTTCTAATTTTTCAAAACTGCGCCTGATCTAACAAGTGTTCCAAAGATCCGGCTAGCATTTTTTAACCAGCCACCTATTATACTACACTTTGCATTAGTTTAACACCCATGAATCAAACTGTTTTGAATACTGTCTAACGTTTTCACCCGATTATTTTTTTTTACTGTACTTACAGCTCATTCACTTGCACATGCACGACACATCACTCAAAGATCACTTGGATGCCGAGAGAGCTATCAAGAAGAATGAGTTGAACACTTCCACCTTTGATGTGGTTCGTGTTGACGATTTTTACAATCACAACTGCTCAACTATGTTTTGGTATTTTTATATGTGGATTCTCGTGTTTTTAGCATTTATTTTATTGGCAGTTGATATCTACTCATGTCTCAATATTCTTGTATTTCACAGATGGGCAACTGCTGACTACAAACCATATGCTTATTCGGTAGCCAAGTGGATCTTCACTGGCTGTATCATATTTGAATTTGTCTTGTTGATTTATTGTTGGATTTGGGCAATTCACATTTATCGCACCAAAAATATTGCCATGGTATACTTGAACTCCATTTGCAAGAAACTTTACTCAATAAAGTCGTTTTCGTACTTTTGCTTGATGAATAGCATAGATGAAGGGAAATTTTATGACTTGTGCTGCTTCAATACCTATTATGAAATACAAAATGCACCACAGATTCTTATTGCAGACACACCGAGACAAGTCATCAACATTCTCACGCTAAGGTACTACGCCACTGGCGGAGAACTAAACAACGATATACTAAGTAATATCAGAAGCATTGCAAAGACAAATTTACGTCTTTCCATAATCTTGAGCTTCATGTGCTTGTCGGTTTTCATTTACGCCATTTTCTTTATCAAATTCACCTTTGGCATGCTACTGTACATTCCATTGAAGTTTTCATTGAGCAGTGATGGTTTCAAGAGTTTCAAAAGTTATTGCAGCTACTTGGTCAGTAAATCGGTATCAGATGCTGTTAACAAGCATCACAGACCAAAGAAGGAATTGAGAGAAGAGGGATTACTTTCCGAAGCTGCAATTTCAGAGCTTCCTCAAATTGATAATGACTACCCATCTGATTACAAAGGATATACTAGAGTGTACTATGGAAGGTCGGATTCAGAAGAAAGCATACCCATGAAGCATTTAAACTATAACGGAGGAAGATTGTATGGTGAGTTGAAGCCAGATTTGCACCAACAGCCATCATTTGACCAGTTGCAGCAATCAGAGCAAATGTTTTCCACGTTGAACAGCGCCAACAATACGCCCTTCAGCAAGAGACTAAGCACGCTACGAGACAAGAACAAAAACAAAATATTTCAACAGCCTCAAGTTGCTAAAAGTGCTAGTAGTCTCATAGATTTGCAACCACAGCCACGATACGAAAGTCTTGGAAGAGGTGGAGGGGAAACACAAACAAGCACAATCTCAGGTGGTCTTCCAAACTACAAGCAAAGACTGAGATCCGACAATAAACTGCTACTGGGAAACGATTTGCTTTACAATACGCAGAGAATGCCTAGCTATCCAACAAGGTCTTACACTGCTGACAACTCATACGATCCTGGCATTACCAACGAAATGAATTCACAAATAGACTTGATCACCTCAGATCCAATTCGCGACCACTTCAATGCGGAACCACACCCCAAAGCAACAACAATTCCGTTGCCTTTAGACACACAACTCACCGAATCACAACAAATGCATATATCTCATCAAAGGAGACCAATTGAGAGGTCTCATACAGAGGACTCTCAAGATCCATTTTCCGATACAGGCGACGACAAGTTTGTCTTTGAACAGCCAGCCGCTCCAGAAGCCGAAGCTGAACACAGCTCGCCAAAATCACTGAATTCAGGTACAGTAGATGATATATTGGACTCTTACGAGTCAAACAACTCGGCTCCGTACCCTGTAAGAGGCGTCTCAAAGTACTTTGAATAGAAAACGAACAATCCGCTTATATATACACGACATGCATTAAACGACAAGACACACAACTAATTTATATACAAGAGCCAAACCCAAACATCTCTTTGTTAACATTTCAAGCCTATGCTTTCCCGTCGTATTCACTTTGCAACTTCCTCAACTCTTCATCGCTGATTGGTGGGATTGGGATATCACCAAAATCGTCCTCTGTCATCTTGTGGAACGTGTAAAAGTACACACCCAATGGTATCGCACCTACTATGAAAAACGCTATTGTGTTTCTCCAAAAGAATGGTTGTCTGACCCTATATAGAGCCGGTGTTATTTGATGAGTGACAGGGTCTCTATAACGATCGTGACCTTTTCTAGAATACAAGACTTAAGTTAGTATTATCAAGACTCCAAGTAGATTCAGTGTTGTTGTAACATACGGTGCCCCAACGATCTTACCCATAGTTCTGAGTGTTGCGTGCATTTGTCGAGATCTGTCCTTCTGACTGCTTTTTTAGCTCTACGGTTGACGTAAATTTTACTTTATTTTTTTTTGTAGTGTTCGATTGAATGTGCTGATTAGGTAGCGCTGTCTACTGTTCGAGTCGAGTCTATTGCAAAATCTTCTCTATACACAAGCATTACGCTTAATAATGATTCAACCTCCAAAGAGTCACTTTTCCTGCTTCGTTACCAACAGCCAAGATCTCATTATTGGGGGAAAATACAACACTAGTGACTTTGCCCAAGGGGGTACCACTGGTGGGCCAATTGTTATATACAGAACCCGAGGGTAAATGCACCAACTTGAATGCGTCTCTTTTCCCTCTTGAAGCAATAGCTAAAAGCTGTCCATCTGGGTTGAACACAAGTGATGAAACTGATGTAACTAAATTCTCCACCGTCTTGAACGGTTTTGGCAGTGTGGTGGCATTGAGATTTTGTCGGTCGTAAAGATTAACAACACCAGTATTAGAACCGATGGCGAGCCATCTACTACTATTTCTTCCACCCAATTTGATCTTGGTTATTCCTATACCCCCGTCATCGGACCACTTGCGAAAAATTTTTGTCTCCGATTTGGATGACAACTTTCCCTTCAATTCAAATTCCCATACTTCACCCGCTGAATTGACAACAACAACAAACGATTCATCAAATGCAAAGTCAAAGTCCACCACAGTTCCTTCAACTTTGAACCCCTTGATCCATTGTCCAGTAGTTCCATTCACCAAATTGAACCATCCAGAATTCCCAATCAATCCAATAAACGAGCCCGCGGGACTAATCTTGAAACTTTCAAATGATTTTTGCACTTGTTCATGTCCATACATACGGCTGATTTTCTCAACTTCGCCCGTATTCAAATTGATCTTGTTCATGTACTTTCTTCTTCCGGCGGCGTATACTATATTGCAATTTGCTTGTGGCAAAAACTGCGACTGCATAATGGGGCAGTTTTTCAAAAAGTAGGATGTGATAAAGTTGTTGGTTTTGCCGTCAATTTGGTAGAGTCTTATCGTTTTGTCAAATCCTGCTGTGAGTAGGATCGGATGTGTAGGGTGGAATGAAATGGCCTGGATCGCACCTTTTGACAATTTCTGATAATTAGCATCCTTCAATCTCGTTACGGAGATACGTGATGGCGATATCAATTTCAACTGCTTTGTAATGACAAATCGATGGGTTGATGATAATAGTTTTGACAAGGCAGCTGTTTCTTTTCCACTTTGTTGGTTATTGCTACCTTCTGCATCCTCATCCTCCTCCTCATCATCATCATCATTGTCATCAATTATTATATCATCATCAGAGCTGTTCGCTTCCTGTTCTTGACCTTGCTGGTCAGCCCACGCTGGACGGGGATATATTTTTTCAAATTGCGATCGTAGCCTAAACATGTATGTCTTCCCATTTATAAGATCATCTTCTGGAGTCTTTCTCAATTTTTTCAAACGATCAGACGAAGTGAGAGATACATTTAGTCTCTCATCGTCACTATCAACCCAGGCATCATCTTGATCACCCAATTCTTCTTCGGAGTAGTCATCATCACTTTCTGAGCTGGCATCTTCATCCATACGATCGCTGGCGTCCTCACCGTCTTGCACTCCTTCATCAATGTAGAACAAATCCTCATCTTGCACATCGTCCAAATTGTCGCTGTCACTCGCTTCCTCATCAATCTCCTCAACTACTTCCTCTTCATCATCGAAATCAAACAAGTTGTCCACTTTCCTCAAGTTATTTTCTAACCCGGCAAGGTCTCCAAACACCATTTTCTCCAAAATGATTTCCTCTTCATCTTTTGGAGGTACTTCGACGGTATCACCATCTCTGTTCTTTGGCATGGTTTGTGGTTTTGGTTCAAAGCTCTGAAGGCTTGTTAGAGTACTATTTTGANAAAAAAAAAAAAAAAAAAGAAAAAAAAAATAAAAACAGAATAAAAAATGCAGACAAAAATGAGAGCTTCGCGAGATGACTTCGCTACCAACTTCATCAGATCAACGGTCAATACAATATACAAACGGATCAATCTCTACAAAAACTCCCATCAAGCCTCACTTTCACCTTACATTACAGTCCCTATTTACTTCCCTTCATTTGATTGACAAAAGTGACAAAATACTTTTTAAAATCCTTAATGTCCAAATTGATCAAATTTGTGCAGAAATCACCAAGTAAATCTTGACTCAACCCCATATTGATCAAATAAGTTGAGAGAAACTTGATAAAGCTTTCTCCCTTCTTTTGCTGGTACGTTTTGAGCAACATGGCGATATCCTGAGCAATCAATCTATACTGCGCATCACCCAAAACAAATTCTTGTCTTTGGAAAGGTAATTCAAACGACAATTGAACCACTTTTTCCATCAAAAACTCATCTACGCCTTCAATAGCAGGAAGCGATTGGCCGTATAAATCCTTCTCATCAGTGATTTTGCCCCCATCGCCAAAAACATTGACTAGGTTAATGAGTTGCACAATTGCCAATTTCGAAGCACCGGTATCTGACAAATCATAGGAATATTCAAACAACTTGGACACAATAGTGGGGAATTCATTTTTATTAGTTTCCGTCACCAATAAACTCGACAAGTGGTTAGTGATGATTGAGTTTAAGAAATTGAGTAGTGACTTCTTGAGAAAGTTTTTATCTCTGATTATATCTGGTCGTAAATTTTCATCCTCTGTAACTTGTTGCTCCAATGTTTGAAACACCTTGGAAAATAACGGTGTAAAGAAGTTGTTGAGCAATTGATAAATATTATCATCGGATTTGTATGTGTGTCCAATTTGTCCCAAAAAGCTCATGAAATCGCTAATCTCACTGATTTTCAAATTGGGCGCTGACCAAATTACTGTAATCAATTTGGTTAAATGGCCGCAAATGACAGAACTGCTCAATAAGGGAACAAATCGGGCAAATGCGAATCGCGATGCATCTCTAATCGTTTCAAACTTGGAAAAATTCTCCAATGTGATCAAAACAACTTGTGCGGCATTATTGACTTTTTCGACAACCTCTGGTGGGTATTTGAGATTTGCCTCGTAGTCGTATCCTCGCACAACAGTTCCCAATGCCATCAACGAATGATGTGCTTGTAGGACTACAATGAGTTCCTTGTCTTGTATTGAAATGCATTTTTCCAAATCGTTAAAGATTGGTTGGAAAACAGACTCAATGAGTTTGACCTTGACTGGAGTATACTCTTGAGGGATAAGGGAAATGATTAACCCGATTGTTTCGAAAAGATATTGTTGATTGTTAAAATTTCCATTTTCAACAACATCGTCGTCTTCATCTCGAGTGGGGAGTTCAGCTTTGATAACGAGTAAAGGTTTCAACTTCATCACAACTTGTTCAATCATTTGTTCATTGTCCAATTTAGGTTTTGTGAGTTTCATAAATCTGAAAAACAAATACCAGCTTCTTAATCGGACTTTTTCATTTTCATTAAACAACCCTAAAGGTGATGTGAAAATTTCCAAGATTCGAAGCACCAAATCACGCCTGTTCTCATGTGAGTTCAAAAAACTATAATGCTTCACCACCAACTCAAAAAAGCTCGACTGAATATGTGGATGATTGACTTCTAGAATGAAGGAAGAATCAATCAATTTGACCAAAAATTGTTGAAAAATCATGTAGGGCTTACTTTCGCTGACCTTGTTTTTTGGAACATTGATCAAGTTCATCTTTAAGCTCTCTGAAAAATTGCTCAATTCGAACAACCCCAACTCCAACTTATTCCACGACTTGTCGCCTTCGAAAAGCGACTCATTGATGACAACTGGGATAGCTTCTATGTACAAATCAGGAGCGAGTCCGGCTATTTGATCTTGGAAAAGTTTTAGCCTGGCTCTAAACTCTGTAAACTGTCTTTCGCTATCGTCATCTTCATCGTCATCCTCATCATCCGCGTCATATTTCATTTTCAATATGATTTTGTTCAAGAGCGTGGACAATAGCTCAACTGAGTACAATGAAGCACTCTTTTTACAAGCACTCAAAAACATTTGAATAAAGGGGAAAACATTTTGTGAAACATCGTCGTATTCGTGACTCAAAAAAGTAAGGATTATTGGCCACAACGTGTACAAGTGTTCATTAACTTGGTTAATCAAGGTAGGTTCGTTTCCCAAAACGTACAACAACTCTTCCCCTATTTGGTTTGCCAACTTCGCTACATGTTCTTCAAATTCAACATCATCTGCTAATTGTATGGATGATATGATATTTGTCAAGTTGAGTAACGAAATCAACTCTAGCTTATCCTCTGGTGGCATTTTCTTGGATAGTATTTGGATCAAAGCCGTACATGTCGTGTTTCTCTCTTGATTACGAGTGAGGTAGCCGACAACGGTGTTTATACACTGTGGAGTCACAAATAAAGCAATGTCCATCCAATCCACATACAGACCAATGATGATCAATGTGTTTTCTAAAATCTCTTCAGAATTCCCACCATTTGCCAAAATTTTGAACCAACTTGCCACCAAATCATTCATGCTCTTGTCCCTTATCGCATCTTTAATCACTGCGTTTCTTTCTGTCCATTCTTGAGTGCGGGCAATGTACTTGTCACCTATCTCGGAGTGAATATTGATTAAAATTCTCGTATAATAATCGAGTGCCAACTGATTACCCGACAGGATCAAGTCTAGCAAGTCGTTGATATAGTTCGGGTGAATGTCTATATACACCAGTGTAAATGTCTTGGCGTGTATTTGGGCGAACTTGTTTCTCAAATACGTTGGGTCCTTGATGTCATTTGAAATAAACGCAGTCAATGTTTTCAACACTATTTGACAAAGTTGATGGCACTCTTCACGGGTCAAGTTACCTACATTTTCCTCAATAACTTGGTAAAGAAAAAATTTTAGATCGCTGTTGATTTCTGATGTAGTTGACTTGGAGATCAAGTCTAAAGCTGTGTTGTAACCATCTTTTGTTGCCTTGACTTCATTGAGAAATTCGTACGCTTGTAGTTGAAGCTTTTGATCAGATGTTCCACTCAACGCTATTTGGATAGCATTAATGATTTGGGCTTCCATGTGATGATGGGGGGGTTATTTTAAGCAAGCTCTAGGTATACGAATGCAGTAATTAAACCTCAAAAGTCAAAATGCAAAATTTCAATGTGTTTTTCTTTTTTTTTTTTCGTCTCTCTTTTTTTATTTTTTTGGTGACGACAGTGGAAGAGATGTTGGTGATGATACAATGATCTTGAGGAGGTGTATAGTGATTGGTGATGTAAGTACGTGAATAATCCCCAAATTATATGTGACTTGATAAATGAATGCTACTTGGGGTGGGTGGTGGAGGGTGAAGATCAAATGAACCTTTGGTTGTAAAAAAAGAAACAGAGAGAAATCCAGTTGTAATGGTTCAGTTACTGCTGTAGAACAAGAAGAAGAAAAAAAAAATTGAAAAATTATTTCGCACTCACACGACCTTAAAAACCTGTCTACGTAATCTTTCTATATTATCTACAGAGTAACAACAACAACAACAACAACAACAACAATAACTTTACTCCAAAACAGCATACTTTTTCAAATGGTCTGGAATAGCATCAAACAACCCTTTCTCTTTCAACCAAGACTTTGAGAAAATTCTGTCACTGTATTTGTGCGCAGAATCAGCCAAAATTGTCACCACGTTACTTCCTTCTGGTAATGTTTTAGCAACTTCAACAGCTGCAACAACATTCAATGCACCAGTGCCTCCCAAGTACAATCCTTCCTCATCCAACAACCTATAGAGCATGGCAATTGAATCCTCATCGGGGATCTTGACGGCATCATCGACAATTTCTATATCTGGTTTCAAATTATCAGTCACTCTACCTTGACCAATACCCTCGGTGAAAGATGATCCGCCTCTCTCCATTTCTTTTCCATTGGACTTGATGTAAGAGTAAAGGACTGATCCTGGTGGATCTGCGAGAATACACTTGGTTTTGCCTTCGCTTATTGTTTTCAAATATCTAGATGTCCCAGCAAACGTGCCTCCAGTACCAGTAGAGCATGTAAATGCGTCAACTTTTCCATCCAATTGGGCCCATATTTCTGGTCCCGTAGTTTCAATGTGAGCTTGTCTATTGGCAACATTGTCGAATTGGTTGGTCCAAACGGCATTGTCCAAACTCTCAGCATGTCTCTTGGCTTGATGGTTGTAATTTTGTGGATCAGTGAATGCAACTGCTGGGACCGGATACACTTCGGCACCCAACAATCTCAAAGTCTCAATTTTGTTCTTTGATTGGGTGTTGGGCATGTAAATGACACACTTGTAGCCCCTTGCTCGACAAACATGTGCTAACCCGATACCAGTGTTACCGGCAGTTCCTTCAACAACAGTCCCACCTGGCTTGATGAGTCCTTTTTCTTCTGCATCCTTGATCACATAGAGTGCAGCTCGATCTTTAATAGATCCTCCAGGGTTCATAAACTCTGCTTTGGCGTAAATGTTTCTTCCAACGGTATCGGATATCCTTGGCAATCTCAATAATGGAGTGTTTCCAATGGCTCCTGGAAACCCAGTTTCACTAACCAATGGAACAAAGGGTAATTTTACTTCGCTATTCATTGATATTGAGATACACCTTTTAGATATTCTTGAAAACATGATTTAAGTGCAAAGGGTTTGTGTGGGGGGGGGGGGATTGAAAAAAGAAGCTCAACTAATAAATCTTTTCTTTTTTTTTTTTTTTTTTTTCTTTTGCTCACATGGATTCGGCGAAAAAGTTCTTTTGCCGACGCTCACGTGATATGAAGCAAAGATGCAAAGACACCCGAGATATGGGAGGTGACACTGATGAAAGGGGAGCGTTGGTGTGTCAATCATTGAGCTAGGCAAACTTGTACGAGAATGATTTCCAGCTACTGTAGTCCAGTCAGTTTTCTGTGTGCGTGTAGAAACAAGAGTATCTTTCAGAAAGATGAGGATTAGAGAACGGTTTGCAATAGAGCAGCCCTTATGCCAGTACTACCAAATTTGATTTCCTCTTATTGACGTCCATAGGCAGACATGAAGGACAAAACTTGCATATATGGCCGATTTTGCAAATATTATACGAACTGCATAGCCTCTCACTTGGATTAATCTTGTCCACCTTGCATAACAACAGAAAACTTTTATACCTTTCTTAGATATTGTTTTAGTAGTGAATTATGTGCAAATTATCCGCTTTTCCCTTGCACACCAGCGACAGGGTAAGCTCTGTACCCAGTAAAAGTCTTAAAGAAGAGAGAAGAGAGTAATGTGAGACAACATCATACAAACTTGAATCAAACTATTTGCGATGTAGCATTTGCGGGGCTTTTGCAATGCAAGAATCATTGCTTTAGGATGTTGCGCAGGAGGCGAGTGACGAACAAAAAAAAATAAAAATAAGATCTGCGAGTTGGATAGTTTTGTTTGTTTGAAAAGTGGATCTCCCATCGGAAAAAGGGGTCTTGTCTTGCATCAGTCACATCAGTACTACATCCAAGCTATGGATAAGCAAACATCAGGAAACCAAGTGGCCAACTCTTCTGCTTTGCTAACGCTTTATCATCCTTCGTGGTACTCTAGAAAATCCCTGCATGAGAAAAGCAACACAAAAGCCATAAGCTCCATAAAAATTTTTCTCCGAAATTTTTTCCGAAGATCTGCCATTACAAGCACAGTTTGCTAATAATATTTCCAACTGACAGATGCCCTCGTATCTGCACAGCCCCTATAGCTCGCACCGTTCGCATTGTCACTACTTGAAAACCGCAAACAAAGAATCCGTGGTTCTTTCTTAATTAGGTTTTTCTCGGGGGAAAAAGAAATAAGCTGTCTCCCGTTTATAACCTAGATTACGAGTCGAAGAATAGGCTAGTGATGAATTAGTGATACACGTCTCTCGTAGTGACAAAGGCGAATTTTTAGTGCTCCCCCCCCCCGGAAGATAGAATATGCGGATAGCTTTTACTAAAATAGAATACCAAGCACAAAAATGGAAGAGGTCGACGCTAAACACTTTTTTGATTCTTTTTTTTCTTGATTTCTTTTTTTTTTTTAATTTTTTTCAAAGTGAAATTTTGCCAATGGAAATCCGTTTTCTCCAAAGAATATATCAATTTACGAATTATAAAGAGCAGGTTTTGGTCAAGATACTACTAATGGCATGCAGGTGTCGTAAAATCTCGAGGCAGAGTGGTACGTGAGATGCAAAGTCAAAAGTTCTTGGCATAGTCATGGGTCGCACGCTCCATTTTTAATCGTATCACATTACCTGAAATTGGTGTATTTTGTTGTGAAGATGTATACCCTTTGTTGGAGGTTTTTTTACGCGTAGAATAAAAGTTGTAATGATTTTTATTTCAACGGTTAGAAGTCCTGGAAGTTTAACCTGCAAACGTTTCCATTTCTTGAAGCATCAATTCTAATTTTGGGAAAGATTTGCCAAGTTCCGGCATTGTTGTTTCGAGCAAGTCCCAAATCTCAAATTTACACTTCTCCAAATACCTATACTACAGAAAACTGGAAACGTGGTTTGGCTGTTAAACACCAGGGGCCACTTGTCCTCTATCTTGAGAACTGTGGTGGAGCGAAAAAACGAAATGTTTACTAAATATAGATTTCCTATTGTCAAATTTCACAATCTCAAACCTGCCACCAGCGCCAAATTCGTAAAAGTGCTTTTGTACGTTGGAAAAGAAGTCCCGTAGCACAGTTTACCCGCTATCACCACAAAAGAATTGTCTCTACTTCGTTTATTGTTTCTCTAAACTGGGAAATTATATATATGTATATATATATTATAGCAATGGTTATGATATTCAGAGACCACAAAACGGCAAGCAAACTCACTGTACACAACACATAAAAAGGGAGATATCAACGAGGGAAGAAAAAGGGTTGGTTATGAGTCTCTGAGGGAACAGTAACTCTAAATTCGTAACCACTTGGACTAGTCTCTTCTTTTTCTATTCTCTTCCTTTTTGGTCAATTCGAAACCCAAGATTAGTGGTTATATTTTGGAATTTGTTCAAGCCATTTTAACCGGATTCGGATAGTAGACTGTGCAATAGTGTAATCATATGATTATTTTGGTTTTTTGTGCAGAACGCTCACTGTAAGTAGAGATCTTTATGTATAATGGCACCCTCATTACAAATACGAGAACTCCCCAAGTGTTGAAGGAAAGGGGAGCTCGTTATTGAGACATCTTTATGATGAATATACTGTAGCGCTTCCGGAGAAAAAGAGGGTCAATGCCAACAAAAATGGTTTTGTGTGTTCAATTCATGCATTGGTTATGAACCCCTTCTCCCATGGAAGATTTGTTATACCCGAGTTGAAAAAGACGGATATATCCGTCGATCCACTTTTATCAGCAGCCAGTAGTCCAGTGGGTATTCACATTGAACACTCTTATTCTTGATCTTGCACTTTTGTAGAATGTCACATCGAGATGTGCGTTCCCTGTTGCAGGTAGGGCTATAAGAAAACAATAAGAAAGTTTCAACCTGGTCGATCCCCCTTCGGAAAAGCTCAACAAGGAGATAAAAGCTACTCTTTTTTTTTATATCCATTCATACTTCCCTTCAAACTGTAGGGCCCAAAAAAATAATAATAAAAAAACAGGAAATCAACACCATACAGTTGATATGAAACGTTTGACTGCAAGGGTTGCTTTATTTAGTACCATAGATAAAAAAGCAGAGCATAGCAAGTATAAGCAAAACGAGACTTTGCAAGTCTATAAATAAAGTAATTATTGGCATCCCTGCAGGGTGCTTTCCAGCTATCTTTGCTACACAAAACGCATCTTGCTTGTAGCTCCACAATGCGGGTATTGTTATTCAGATTAGTTACTCTACGGCATCACCTGGCAACGTCTTCTAACAACTCCGTGGAGGAGGAGAATAAGAAGGTAATCATTAATTAAGCGCTTATGCATTTGGCTCCTAGTTTCTTTTTTTTTGGGAAAATTTAGCGATACTTCGGAAGTCATTTGTATTATCCCCGCTCCATTTTTCTATAACGCCACACACGTGTAGGTCGAATGAGTCGTTTGCTCTATTGTTGATTCGTGGTGACTTGTTTTAGCCTTGGAAGAGTTGCGGTTGTAAACTTGCCTGAATTGCGATGGTTTTAGAGACTGGGCAGATGGATACTGTTTTCACAGTCTGGTTCGCTCGAAACACAGGAAAAAGAAACTTATAACCAGAGAAAAAAAAGGGAAAGCTAGGAACGGCAAAGAGAGGCTTTTCTATTACATGATAGCCGCTGGTAATAATGGGTATGGGGTATTCTTTAGCACTTTAGGTATTTCCGTTTTAACTAGATAATTATGCCGAGTGGGGGCAATGTTGAATATGGTTTTACTCGAGCTAGAGCTACATGTCCTTTTCTGAATAATTTAGCCCTTGATGCCTCGAAAGGTTCAGAAATGCTGCTAATCGGAGTCAAAACTATTGAAAAAGTAAGCAAAGTATCTTTACTGCTACGGACTCTGCCGAACTGCCGCCCATTGTTCTAGTGATTTTTCTTGTTTACTATGCTTGATAGAACTAAGAGCTCACACTTTTGTTGGGCTTCAGGTGAGCGTTTATACAATGGGGATTATGATATGGATGTACAACGGGTTAAACCCTCTTCACCCTCACTAAGCTCTGTCTTTTCTTCAATTGAAATACAGATTGCAAAAAAGAAAAAAAGACTGCCAGGGCTCACAACCATTGACATAATCATATTTGCATGCATATCAATGCATGCAAGAGACGCGTTTCCCCTTTTCGAGAAAGGTGCGTCATCTGTCGACCTATATCATTGCTAAAAATGTATCAATTAGATGAATTGTGGGAGGAATCACGTACATCTAAAGTGTTTCTCTCGAACGTGGGCTTTAAGTGAAAATCAAGATTGAGCTTCTTTTATAATGGAATTGTAATGACACATACCACCTCATTCCTGAGGCGTTTGCATGTGTAGACACTGTCACAGAACTCAATTTTGTGTGCTACAATGTGATACATAGCACTACTTCTTTGAAGTAGAAATACTACACACAATTTACAAGCCTGGTATCCATTTAGAAAAAGAATAAAAAAAGAAAAAAACGCCCGATGCGTATTTGGAAGACTAGGGAAATGACACAAGATTACACCAACCTTTTCCGGCACTTGCTTCTATTGGTACAGAGCTAAACAAGAACGGAAGTTTCGAATGAAGCTTCAAATTTACGGTTATGAGCCCTGTGATTAAAAAGTGGTTACAAGAACAGAAAAATGAAAAGAAATTGCATCCTCTTTTTTCTTTTTCTTTTTTTTTTTTATATTTTTCTCAGCTCATGAGTTAACACACATTGCATACTTCACAACAGTCTAGACTCAACTCGAGGGATTTTGAATTGGATGTTAGGTAAGCTATGGTGACAGACTGCGAGAGAGAAGTATAACATACTAGTTTTTCTTGCAGAAGGTCGACACATATTGGGGAGAAGGAGTTTCTCTTTTTGCATCTTTGCTAATGGACTGCTTGAGCTCTCAATCATGTATACATTGTTCGGTGGCTCCAGCTGAAACTGGACACTTCACCTGAGCGTGGAGTTGAGAAACCTACTCTAAGGCACTTTCTTATAGGGCACTTTGGGGCAATTGAAAAGAGTTCGTAAATCTCTATAGTTAGAGCAAAATGTGAGTACAAAATAATAAATCTGCAACAACAGGTTTTTTTCCAAAAGCCAGTTTATGAAAGTCGTATCCAAGTACTGTGTCGATGGAACAAACGTCAAAAACCACTAGCTCATTTCTTACATCTTGATTCACGAATATCACCTTATACAAGAAAAAAAGAATGTCTTTGAGACTGAGTTCTAGGTCTTTATTGGACTATGTTTCTTCATTTGGCTACGCTTCAATAACATTTGATGGTGGCTGAGACCGAGCTTCCGAGGCTCGGTAGAGGTGTATTCGTAACCATATCGAAGTTGTCTCCATATGCCTTTTGCGGTTTTAGATTTTGCAGCTCCCCCTTTTTTTTTTCTTTTTTTATTCCTAGTGTTGCCAAGTGGTGTCAGTTGGTAACTAGTCAACGCAAAAATCATGGGGATCGCCAATATTGCGTCGTGTAGCTGATTACGACTAGAGACTCGTCCATGATTATGTCACCAAGCAATGCATATGCTCAAAGAATTAGAAAGAAATCAATAATCAATAATTTTTTATTTTTAGCGTGTGGCGCTTCTCCACAGGTAAATTGCTATATCTTATGCGCTTAACTTTCAAGAGTGGAGGGTGGGACGGTCGACTAAGAGGTTGCTTCGTCTGCACTTCTTGTACTTTCTGATCCCAGTCAAGTCTAGACCAAAAGGAAGGAGAGTAGGAGAGAAAAGAAATTCTGAGACAAGTTGGAGCAGCTCATTCGACATAATAAGCGCATTACTTTGCCTCAATTGAACGGGCCCTTGTGTAACATCGACAACAAACGTGTTTTACTACAGAATGAAGAAACAAACTTCTTTGTTACTTTAAGGGATACAAATGGTCAGATAAAGGGTCGATGAACGCCACGCTAAAATAAACGTAGGGCTTATCAAAAAGTCTGTTCTTCTTCATTGACCAAGGATCAACAGCAGTGTTTTTATTTTTCTTTGTTCCGCCCTCCCCTCCCTCTTGTCTCATGTATCGTTGTGGTTATGAACTTTTTTTTTTTTTTACATCAACTTCTTATCTGCATGATTACACTGGAAGTTGTGCACACTGTGACTGAAGGAAAAGCAGAGAGAAGAATGTCTCATTTTCCTTCCACATCATGCATACAGAGTGGAAATAAAAAAAACAAAAAAACAAAAAAGGAGCAGAAAAGAAAAGGCAGGAACGGAAAAACCGAGTACTCTGTTATTTATGCATAAACGGGTCCTCATGTCGCAAGACAAGATGCAGTACCTCTATAAAGTTGGTGCTGCACATTTGCACGGAAGCAAAGAAGAGGCAAGAATAGCCCAAAGTGGCTTTGCTTTGGTGTGCAGACACTAGTAAATAGCTAATTAGAAATGTTCTGAGCTTGATTTTAATGAACCCCTGCATGAAGCTGTAATTTGCTGATTACCCATCAAGCATCTCAATACCCAAGCAACTAGATTGTAAATCAAGTGCATCCGTAGGAAGTAAGTAGCTGTCTAATGCTTCTTGTTTGGGTTTTACTTTGCGACTATTGGTGGTGCTTGCCAAATACATTAAAAAAAAAAAGGCGACGCTTTGCATCACGCAGAGTCTAATAACTCCGTTATAAAGAGTTGAGGTTACGAAGGCCAGTTTTAGAAGCATGTGCCCTCTTGTGTTGTTTACCTGAATAGGGGTTGCAGCAGGAGAACAATACAAGAAAATAAATAGCTTAGGACGTGACGTATTGCCACCCGTGCAATGCCTTCAATCTCATTAGGGAGCTCAGGTCGTATATTGCAACAAAGGCGGGCGTAAAAGAATAACAATTTGCAATCCAAGAAATGAGATAATTTACGATGTCAATGGAGTTGAAGATCTATCTGCAACGTTGCAAGATCTGAATATTATAACTCAGATGTAAGGCCGACAAGACAGCCTCATGCAGATATAAAGTACATAGTATCAAAAAAATCATGATTCATGATCAACGCACCAGGGCATAGAAGTATAGATCAACTACACCTTCTTGTTCGATATATTTTGCTCAATTTGTAAAACTCCTCCATTAAGCTTACTGAGTGGATGTAAAGGTCGTGTCAACTGACCTAAAACGCGGATAAATTTAAAAACCAATCAAATGGGCGTATAAAAAACACAAACAATGAGCAGGACTAATCTTTGCAAAGACAGCACTATTCCAGAGACTAATCAGCGGTTCAACCCTTAGCCTAGTTTTAGTTCAACCGAAATGTATTCATTTCCCCAATTAGGGATCCTGAAACAAGAGAAGATGTGGGTCTAAAATCGATTGTGTTTTTTTTTTTCCTTTTTTTTTTTTTATTTTTTTTTTCTTTTGTTGGTTCAAGCGTGTACATAGTGTGTGTTGTTCTTTTACCCTTTCTCGGTTTTCTTTTTTCTTTTGTTTTTATTCTTTTTCGTTTTTTTTTTCTTTTTTAAACTATGTCGCCAGTAGTTCTGGATCCTTTGTTGTTATTCACAAAACTCAATTCAGCTTTCAGATGGAGGTGATTGAATGAGAGTTTAACAGTGTCACGTTTAAGTCAAAGTTTCAATGCTTCAATAGGTCTGCAAGTGCAAGAGGACGTCGGTTTGGAGAGCAGCATGAAGTATAACAAATTGTCTGATCTGATTAGTACTGTATACACTCCTCCCATACCCTTGGAACAGATCTTTAAACCTCCTTGTGATCTCCTATTGTACTGTGCATCAAAATTCTGACAGGGTGAGGATCTCTTGTTTTGCGAACGTTTTACTATGGCACGTGTAAAATCGCTCTTTGTTTCTTCTATGCTATTGTTTTATGTAAACTGTGCCCCCTTTTAAGTGGCGCTTGAGAGGAAAACTTTGTTTCAAGTGAAGGCGACAAGATAAAGACATTGATGGAACCATTGTAATCCCTTAGTATTGTAATTCAAGCCAATTATCAAAATGTATAGAAGTGCATTGTTTTCGCACGTATGACTCTGGTTTAGCCGTTTGTGTAAAGGAGAATACAATTTCTCACTCAGAGTCCAAATAAAAGTCAAGCTTTACAATCTCAATGCATGGCGTGTTAAAAATAATATTGCATCTTTTAGATTCTTCGTGGCGTCGATGGATTTATGCACAAACACCTAATTGTGGTTAAGTTATTTTCTTCAATTTTTTTTTTTGTAACCTTTCGTTTTGTAACCTTTTATAGCTCTGTATTGTATCATAATATTAGTATCGATTTTCTTGAATTCGGCGCTTAGCTTTGTGAATAATTTTATTTATTATATATTTGAAAGATGCGGGTTACATATGTCTAAAACTGTAATTCTACGTATAATGTATTATCCAGTGTTTAGTGTTACAAACAATTGTAATTTCTTTTTTACCTTTTTCTCAGCTGCAATATTGTATAGTAGTCTCATCGGCACAGGTTATGATTAGTACTATTATTCTAAGATATTATAAATGATTCTTTATAAGTGCATGGAAGCAATATTGCATCTATATCCACACTCACACAAAAACAGACGTGGAAGTTCTTTTTTGGTTTCCTTTTGCCATTTTATATAAATACAACTTGCAATTTCCTTACAAGACGTCTTCTAACAGAGGCTCCTCCTACAATTCAACTTAGAGTGAACATTTATTACTACGTCAACCACAACAAAGGTTTTTACCTTCCTTAGCTAGCCACAGCTCGGACACTGAGAGAAAAAGAGAAGAGTATCTGATACTCAGGAGACAGAGCAACAACAACGACAATCTCAAACACAAATCTACGCAGACCGAAAATAGTAGATCACACTAGCTACAATACAAGCTTACAACAGAGACAAGCATTTATACAACACCCTTGTCACGAGTCAACAGCCACCTTATCTACCAGTGCTACCAATTGCATCATTGTTAGTAGCGCATAACACAATAAAAACCCTGTGAACCCCTCTCCCCAAAATTAATTATCAGCCCCTACAAAATAAAGAGAGCTAAAAATTAGCCCTTTTCGCTGACCTCCTTCAACCCCCCCTCACATATCCATACAGGACAAATAAATTAGTTTTGGCGGGAGGAGAAATAACCAGAGGCAACAGACCAACATCATAAAGTGGTCACATTCACCTGCAGAAGCAGCTCACAAAGCTTTGGCAAACAATTAGCTGCAGATCGCTGTGGAACTGAAATTTCAATTTAGTGCCACCTCTTTATTTTGTTCATTCTAGAGGTAAAGAGGGTTGTGATTTGAACCATTTCCTTTTGACATATATAACACATCCTACATTAAAACAAACGTACAAGACGATACAAGATACTACAGGACTAGAGTAGCAGTGTGCTAAATATAACTTGCAGGAATTTAAGGGACAGATCATTCACAAACGCACACAAACACACACACACACACAGAGAGAGATATATATAAGGACTGGAATTTTACAAATGATGATGCTGGATCAAGGAAATTTCACCCTAGTCTCCACAAATCGAAACCACAGGAACACAACAGCCAATAGTAGCAGTATGCTATTGCCCCACACAACTACCCCTTATTATGATATAGCAGAACCAAAAAGTAATGCATTGCCCTCATTCAGCGAGTTGCTAACGTCCATTCCACTACCTACAAGCTTTAAACCAAGAAGCGATAGCAATGTGTCTGCATCCTCGGTGAACACATCGAACTCAGGTTCTTGTGTAGGATTATCTACTATGCCAGCTCCACAACTACTACATCAAGTACCCCAACAGCAACACCAGCAACAACACCAGCAACAACACCAGCAACAACACCAGCAACAACACCAGCAACAGACACAACACCAGCAACAGTCACAACAGCAACAACAGACACAGGCGTATCGACCTTCACCTCATTCATACTACAGCCAACCGTCCATACACCACAGACTACCCACACCGCCACCACCTTATCACCAACTACAAACTCCTAAACAACAGTATCAGTATCAGTACCAAGTAGTTGGCTCAAATAGAACAGCTTTTATTGCTCCACAACCTATACCCTCAAACTGTTCATCCAACGTTGACCCCTTGACTCCAGTGTCGGCTTCAGCGGACAAAAAAGTACGGTCATCATCTGTTAGCGATATCCCCATCACACCTGTCATTGCCAATTTCCCAGAATCCTCGTCCTACAATCAGTATCAGCAAACAAATATACACCACGTATCGACAGCCGCATCAACGTCAACATCCGCACCAACAAGTACATGCTCATCGGGTACGTCTCCAGTAATGCAGAACCACCCAAATAAAGATTCACGCAGAAAGCACGTTTGCAAACTATGCTCAAGATCATTTACAACCAGTGGCCACTTGGCTAGGCACAATCGCATCCATACAGGTGAGCGTAAACACAAATGCCCTTGGCCCACATGTGATGCAAGGTTTGCCAGACAAGATAACTGCATGCAACACTACAAGACTCATACGAATGGCAAAAACAAGAGATCGAGGAAATACGTCGTGCAAGGTGAATACGATGGCGCTTCGATTGCTGGTGTTGTAGGAATGGGAATGAGAGTGGGAGTAGGAGTAGGGGTAGGGGTAGGGTTGGTACCAAGAATGGACGATGTGTCTATTCCAAATGGAAATCAGCATTTAGCTGGGGTTTCGCAATTGACAAGGTATGAATGAGAGAACCATGAAGATGATATTGTTCTGGAACCCAGGTTGTTCCTGGTTGACGTTTATGCAAAAGGGTGCCTCTACTTTTTATTGGTACCGTTGAGTTTGGGGCGGGTCTCTTTTTTTTTTTTTTTTCTTTAGTTTCGGTTCTTTTTACTTCTTGCTATTATATTAGTTACTTTTACATCACAAATATATGGTCTTCTTTACGGATTTTTTGGTATAGACTTGGACCCAAACTTTGGGAGAGCTTATACCACCGGCTGCGAAAAGAGAAAAAGTGATTGAGGATCAAAGAATCGTTAAGAGCTAGCTCTCAGAAGTAACAATGCCGATAGAACTGAAGCCTCCTAAAAGTCGATTGTCTTTGATTCACCCCCTATTTCCCCTTCACTCCTCCCCATATACAAAAGGATATCAATGGCGTGATCATCTGAGCTTTTCTCACTCTTGGTTTTTTCTGCTCTTTCTCTCGGTGTTTGTTTGTTTTTTTTTTCTTCCAACGCTAAAGTATTATTTTCTGGTTTCTTTGAATTACACATAATTTTTGGTCACCTTTGCATCAAGTTGCATCTGATTACGAAGAAACATTTGGAAGTAAAGAGAAAAAGGGAAAAGGGGGAGAGGCGAAGTAAAAGAGAGGGGGACAGAAAGGTTGCACAAAGTAGCTATATGGAATAGGAAAGACTTTTGCCCACACGACCTATTCGACATGATAACTAGCCAACACGCGTCTGCTTATTGTTTCTACGTCAACAGTTACACATCACGTACAATGACATGACCCACCCAAACACGTGCCTCTGCGCTCCAAGTTAAAGTTTTGGACCACTTCTTGTTTTTTTTTTATTGTATATTTTTATTTTTTGTACTGGTTACATTCTCTTGCTCGTATTTGCAAAATCTGCTCAAGACAACCAAGCAAAAGTGATGAAGGAACCGAATGTCTTGTCTTAATATTACTCATACGTGCTTGCACTCCCCTCACGCACAAGCCTCATCCACAAGTCATACTTCATCATCGTCCATCATCATAATTAATAAGAGAATTTGCACTTAATTGTCCATATTTACATCTCGTCTCTTTTAAAATATTATCAGACTTGGATAGCTCGGAAGATGATGCAATTAAACTTTTTAGTTGCACAAACTCCGGGTTGACCTCCAAAGTTAAATATTAAAGTTCAAAGAAACTGTAAAATTCTCTTTTGCCTTTTTGTCAATTATTTCTTACTCAATTTTGATGTTCACTACAACGGGGATTGATGATTGTTTGATTGTTGTTGTTGTTGTTGTTGTTGTTGTGTATTGTAACTATCACGAATTATTATTTACGATTATTACCATTGTTATTATTTATCCATTGCGCTTTCTTTGGGCAGTTTAGATTCGTTTATTATAAACCAGTATATTAGGTTTAGTAGTCATGAATTAGTAAGTACTTTTTTTGTCAAGTTCAGTTTAAGGAGCTTGCCGGTTTTTTGGTGGTAGTGAGATAGCAAAGTTGTGTTGGAGGTGCGATATTGTGGCTCCGCTATCAAACTTTCCAAAGGTATATCGAATTTGCTCTCCATTGTAATAGACAAAGGAACCAGCTGCTCCTGAAACCCTCTCTCTAGAAACAGAAAGCTTAAAGCAATCTTCATCTTTGTAGTTGCTGCATCTTGCATACATCTGATTAGGGGCGTAAAACAAGGTTACATACATACATCTCAGAAACAAGAAAGAATAGAGCAAAAAGTAGCGCCCAATATCTTCCCCTTCTGAGAAGTGAGGAGAGTTTTTGTCGTAGGTTGTCGGCGTCATGTTAAGGACACTAAAAAAATTGTCTCTTCAAGTGCAATCACCTTGTACGACTTACCACGTCACAGCGCATCGGCATGCATAGGTTACAGAGTCGAAAGCAAGGGACGACTGCAAAGCCACACTTTATTTATCAAAACCCGCCCTGGAAGAAATCCAAAGGGCAATTCTCCGCGGTGACAAGTCTACGGTGTTTCCCTAATTTCAAAAGATCTAGAAAACGTCTGCTTCTACATCTGCGTCTGGCCAACGTTTGCAATTTTTTCCTCTTTTGGAACTTGGTCCGACTTGTTTTTACACCCAAAGCTGTTGTTGCATAAAGAAAGCTTAATTATTGAGAAACGACTTCACCACAACACCAACGCGAATGCCAACTAAGGGTGACGCTATCTACCCCAAACGCGCGTTCCTCAGTACATGTTTTGAAAGTTTAATATTCTGTATTGTGTAATTGTTTCAACTCCATTCGTAGTTGTTGTCCTGAAAAAACTTTAATTGTTGCATGAACCAGTCAAGAACCCACAAAAATCGAAAAGCAAAGTGCGTTATAAACTTTAACTTTATTCAACCCACCCAGCCACTCTTTGTAGCGTGTTTACTGGTTCCTCCAAAAGACATTTAACATGTTTACGATACGACGCGGATCGTCGATTTTGAGGGTGCAGTGGTCAAGATTGCTCTTTGTGGAAAGCAATTGTACCCATGCATAAGGGTGGAGAGTAGTAGATATCTGTTGTGGATTCCATGGTATTCTACACATAGTCATCATCATCATTACAGTTTCATAGTGAACGTTCAAAATCAAAACAATTTGCGTTGTTTTAAACTGAAATTACTAATTTCTGGTTCATTAGTAACAACATGAAAACAAATTATCCCAACGTAGGGGGCATATAATAATTGAGGAGACTTTCCAAGAATCCCTATCACTAAAATCTTTTCGTTTTCTCTTTGTTTTCTTTTTGTTTTGTTTAGTTTTGGAAAATACCATTTTTAGTTATAAAGTGTCAAGAAACCTGCACCGTAAACCTTAAATCGCGTGTTTTAAAGTTTGATATTTTTGGTTCCGAGAAGTTGATTGCTCTTGTCTTGTGCACGTGTATTTAATCCGGATTTTCCTAGAAAAAAAAAGGCAATTTCAAAGTTGAGCCTGGATGGGGTGATGTTGGTTAAATGAAACAGGCTCTGGAACTATCTAGCTTGTAATGGCTGAGCAACCACAGTGTAAAGTGTCAAAGTTGCATTTTGTGAAACCCCCCCGGCCCCCTCCCCCTCCATTGCCAATTTTTTTATATACTTTTGAGACTGCATGAACCTTAAACCAAGCTGACTTGAATGTTACATCAGGGATATATCATCGCAAAACAAACGTACGCTACGAAACATTTGCAAATTAGAGGGTTGAACTTATTTCTTAAAAAAATACACCTTTGGAATTGAAAGGGCTCTTGCCATTTTCTGCATGCTACTTGCAAACAAGAAGAAATATGACACAAATGAGTAGATTACATTAAAGAGGATATTCAATGGAAATGGAATATAGACAATATAGCTTGTATTGTTTGGAAGTAACGCCTGTTTTCTATATTTTGCATGGTTAGGAGTCCGTTTACTAGAAGAAACCCAGCAAAAACAAACCAGAAAAACAAACCAGAAAAACAAAATTTCAATCAGGTAAAACCCCCACCAAGTTATGCGCCCTTGCCAACACTATGTTCTATTATGTGGCGCTTAACTGTGCAATGGTTAGGGTTACCCGGATTGGTTTTGATGCCAGACTCCCGCCCAAAGAATGTGTGAAAATTGGAAAGATTTTCAGAATCACCACGCATAAGCACCTATTGTCCATTTCGAAGCAACAAAAGATGGCATTGTAATCAGTACGCACAAAGTTGAAATTGGCATTGATGTGATGCAAGATGACAGGGATCCTCAAAACAGGTGCATAACAAAGGACTACATCATGTCTGGCGTCCTTTGATTGCAACGCCAAGACTTTAACATTGTAACACTTTTGTTGTGCACGCGGAGGTAAGAGCGGACATAACTTTTTGTGCATGTGACAGGCTTAAAGAAAGGGTCTCCTGCATGTCACCTTCACTTTGATGCATGGAAACACTAAATTGGCCCTTTTCTCTGTGCGCATTTCATGCTGTGGTTTCCGACTCTCCTCCCCGTCGCTCCCTCACCCCCTAGTCTTCACAGAGTAGCCCCTGTTACACAAACAGTCATAGGCAGCAATAAGTACTGCAGACCACACTCAAAACAACACATCTCTCGGTCACATGTCTAACATTACTTAGTGTTCCTAGAATAGCCCTATACACAGTCTATGAGCCTACTTCATTCGTCGTACACATTTTCGTAAAAGTGCGTCCCATTCAACTCATTGTCAATATTGTAAACGAATCCATTGATCAACACCTTTTTCAAATCATTTTTGCTGTCAAAATCTTCGTAGTCACCACCATCTTTCAAAAACCGCAACTCTTGTTCATCAAATCGAGCCTCGGCGTTTCCTCGATGTAAGTTCAAAATCTCTTGTATAATGTCATTTACATAATGGCCAATTGCCCTTGGAAGTTTGGCAAACAAGTTTTCATTGAGTTCGCAAATCGTGGCGCCTTCTTCGTCAGGTATATCCTCTTCGTCGTACTCACCTTGGTCGATTGTAAGCTTGTCGAGGCATCTAAATTTTTTCGAGTTTTCAATCAGGTGGAAATCCCATGTACACTTCCAGATTGGGAATGACAATTGGTCCATCTGTGTCAACAAGGAAGATGCTGGGATAAAACGTCTGTTCAAGTTTGAAGCAACGGCAGCGAGCAAGTGCGATGCATTCATGTCCTTATACCGATAACTTTTCTCATCGTAGTACTTGTGTTGAAATAGGAAATGATCCACTTTGTTCAAGTACACTTCACAGTATTGACATTTGCATCCGTTCCAAATAACCGTATTCATGTACTGCTCGTAACATGTGAAGGTGTGAAACAAGTTTGGCAAGTCAAGAATAAAATGCGATGTCGACTTGCTAGATTTTGACAAAAGTTTCGGCAAGATTGTCGTATATAGCTCATAACGTCGATGGTAATTACCTTCAAATCCGTCTGGAAAATTGCCCAACTTCGGTACGCTGTGTTTGATTGCCAAGTAACGTAGAGTTTCAATATAGTTGCTTATGAAATTGAATAAAATTAAATCGTATGATTCGTTTATGTCGTGGGTTGGAAATGTGGATCCTTGCAATATCGAAAGCTTGCGTAATTTGGGCAATTGCAGTGGCACAGAGTCAAAGCAATCAAAGATGTAGTCCTCGACACTATCAACTTGTGGAAAGGGACATACAATCTCCAAATATTTGATATTGTTCCATTGAATTGAATTGATTAAATTGATGTTCTCATTTAAATCCGAGGGGTGCAAAACGAGTCGAAACTTTTCCAAGTTTGTAAATTGCATTCCAGATGGACGCATGGTGGCTTTGACCTGTCTCCAGTACATCTCCCACTCAAATGGTAAGATCAACTCCTTCAACTTGTGAGCAAAGCTGTGCAAACTATCAATACTGCAATTGCCGCCCACAAGTAACCTCTCAACGCCGTCACCAATATCATTCGCATTATCGGCAACTACTGTCTTCAACTTCAAATGAGATAGCTTAACTCTTGATCTGATTGCGTCATTGTCAATATAGAAAACATCCAATTGATTGAACAAATTCGCTAGGCTCTGCACCGCAGTAATCACCTCATCAGTAAAATCATTACCCAAAATATGCACCTCCTTCACATACCCCACGAGCTCAACATTGATTTGAAGAGCTTGGATCAACACTAATATCCTCGCGTGAATCATCTTCATATTCAACTCTCGTTTGAGACTATTTGCAAACCCATAAATCACCAGGCGTGAACTATCCTGGAAATCAACTTCTCGCCGATGATCAGATTTGGTCTCTTTCAATCGCAATGGTGCATATTGCGAAATGACTATTTTGGAATACAATTGAACAAGACAAGGATGATAAAATTCATAATTTGTGGTTGCTAGGTTTATGAGCGATTGCTGAGGCAAAAACCTTAATATGTTTTGTAATACCTTGGGAGGTAGGGTAACGAGCAGCAACGGCGTTGGTGGATCTGCCATCGTTTGATTATATACTGATGTTATCTAATAATAAGCAGTTAACCATGAAAAAATTAAATAAATCAATAAATAAATCAAAAAGAAAATAAAAAAATAGTGTTTTATGTTTTCTACCAACGGTTTACCCAACAGATTTTCTGCTTACACAAAGACGATCATGTGACACATACCACTACCACGAGTCCAGGGGGTAATCTGACGATTAGTCCATCAGATCAGATTGTATTTGTTTTCTGACATAGTTGCACCCTTCGGTATGTCAACACTTAGTGCTATACGTATTGACCTTATTCTTCACTGAATGCCACATTTGTGTGGATAGCCATGGCATGAGTAGAGGAGAAGACTGTACCACCTTTCGAAATCAGTTCAAGGCAAGCAATTGCCCCCGCTGGCATTTCACTAACGTACAAGCACTTCATAGTGTTTTAGTTGTATCCACGTCATACTTTATACTTTATTCCTTATTTTCAGAGCCTAGTAACAACTTACACGGAAAAACGGAGGTAACGAATTCAATGCGTACAGAATCTTTATTTCTAAAAATAGTTAAATCCGTACTGTATTTAGCATCGGGTTTCACATTCAATAGGTTTTCGATGACACTTTCAAGAGCAACTTTAGTAGTAATTATTGGGAACTATTAATAGTGTATTGCGTGAAGCACGTCAACGTGTGACCAAGGTTAGTTAGAAACAGGGCATAAAGTTGTTGTTAGTATTTTTTTTGTGGACAAATATTTCGGAGTACGTTGCCCGGTTTCCTAAATTTTAGCTTTCCTTGCTAATCAACATGTTTTTGTCTTTACTAATGATTTACATGCGACACCCTGGGACTCAGCTAATTGATGACGCTTTCCTATCAATTACGTCGTTAAATCCGTTGGGAAGAAAGCTGTGAACAACTCAATAGGGAGAGTGCATTAGGTATTGGGTAAAATTACATACCTCGAAGACACTGAGCTTAAGAGAGTAGTACCGTTGCACCGTCAAAGCATCACCTTCCTCTATGCTATTGTTGCGTATACCAGATCAAGGTTCAAACCATTGCAGGAACTGACGGATTTATCTCCACAATCCCGATTTTGTGTCTCATGCGCACGGCTTTTATGAGTGTGTGCGGGGCGTTAGGGATATACAGAGAGAAAGAGAAGCATAATTAGTAATCACTTTCTCGTGTTAAAGCAAGGGAATAGCAAATTGTAAAATCCCCGAACATTTAGCCCTTAGCGCCGTATTTCAAGCATCCTTTTGGTCATTTCACTCCTCTATTAAAATATACCCGCTTCTTTACCCTGGTAGTATAATAATAATCGCATTTGTCAAGAATAATATTCAACACGCTTATTATGAATTGAATGCTTCGAGGAAAAAAAAATTCACCAACATTAAGCCAGAGCTACAAGAGGGTATTTAGCTGGATTATAGGGAGCTATGAGCATGCAACAAGTGCCTGCGGCTCAATCATCTGTTCCACGTGAAGATGAACAGCATCACCACGACACCCACGACACCCACGACCCCACTTCGTTGCAAAGTTCCACACAATCGGATTCTTCTTCTCATTTCAACACATCTTCAGACGAAAAGATTGACAAACGAGAACCACCTTACTACGGCCCTGATCGTACAGTACAGGAAGCCGATATCGAACGCCAACCATCTGTATACAGCTACACAAGGGACGGAGACGAACTAACAAGACTTGAATTGGATGCTCAGTTGTCGCGGGAACTTTCACGAAGAATAACAAACACGGGTTCCTTTCTAGTACAGGATTATGCCAACAGCAACACTACTGCTCGTCTCAAGATGGGAGAGAATATACCATTCCCGCCAAAGTTACCCGACAGGAATGCGTATTGTGTCGCATTCAACGGCATTGACGACCCTTTGCATCCTCACAACCTCCCCCTTTACAAGAAAATGTTGTTTAGTATCTCTGTTGCATTGGCTGCATTATCATTTTCAATGGGTTCAGCAATGTTTTCTCAAGCTACTCAAGACATAATGGCCATTTTCCATGTTGGGGAGGCGGTGGTTGCCCTAGGTACTTCGTTATTTGTGTTTGGATTTGCTGCTGGACCGGTGTTACATGGGCCCATGTCTGAATTGTTTGGTAGGAAACCAGTTATGGTGATCTCGTGTTTTTGTTATGTTTGTTTCCTGTTTGCTACCGCCACGGCAAAAGATTTGCAAACAATTATGATTTGTCGCTTTTTTGCTGGGTTTACTGGCAGTGCACCATTTGTGGTTGCCCCTGCGGTGGTGGTGGATATGTTTAGAGCAAGGGTGAGAGGGCTGGCAATGTCGGTGTTTTCGTGTGCATTATTCGGTGGGCCAATGGTTGCGCCTATCTTGGGAGGGTTTATTGTCAAGAACAAGAGTTTAGGGTGGAGATGGACTTCGTATATGTCGGGGATAATTGGGTGTGTGGCGTTGGTGATGAACACGTTTGTTTTGGAGGAGACGCATCATCCGGTGTTGTTGGTTCGGAAAGCAGAGTTGTTGAGAAGGCACACTGGTAATTGGGGGATATTTGCCCCTCATGAGGAGGTTTCACTAAGTTTAAAAGAGATTGTGAGGAATAATATAATGAGACCTTTAAAGTTGCTCTTTTCTGAGCCGATTATATTCTTGGTTAGTATTTACAATGCATTCATCTACGGTATGCTTTATGCTTTATTGACCATCATACCTACCATTTTCACAGGGCGATACCACTGGTCACAGGGGGTTGGTGAGCTTCCCTACGTATCAATGCTACTTGGAGTGTTTCTTGGAGGGGGAATAATCATCTATTCGGAAATCTTGTTAAACAGGAAAATGGATGCTACCGGAGAACAACCGGCTCCAGAGGCAAGATTACCGCCAGTTATGATTGGTGGTGTTTCTTTTGTTGTGGGGATATTTTGGCTTGGATGGACAGGTGATTATGCCGAGCACGTGCATTGGATTGTGCCCGTCATTGGTGCATTTTTTGTAGGTAATGGGTTGATGTTGATTTTCCTACCGACCATGAATTACATCATTGAGTGTTACTTGTACATTGCCGCCTCAGCGTTAGCTGGAAATACGTTTCTCCGATCATCGTTTGGCGGCGCATTCCCATTGTTTAGTCCACAAATGTTCAACAATTTGACAATTAAGTGGGCGGCAACATTGTTGGGATGTTTGGGGTTGGTGATGCTTCCTTTACCATTTGTGTTTTACAAGTATGGTGCTGCGGCAAGACAAAGGTCGAAAAATGCAATGAGTTAGATGATTACAGATTAGATAGAGTAGATTTATTACGATGCAATCGTTTTTATGTTATGCTCAGCACATATGTAGTTGTGGTCCATCGGAGATGTTGTTTTTATTCCCGAACTCGGGTACAAAATGCACCATCTAAAAATGCAGAAAATTTCTTTTTTTTTTGTTTTCTTTTTTGTTTTTTGTATTGTATTGTATGTTATTGTATTGTTTTCTTTGCTTTAATTCCGGGCGGTGTTATTCTTTTCCAAATTGGGTATTCCCGAGATTATTCATACGACGTTGTGAAATATTAAGGGATGGGAAGTATTGACGAATTGTAACTGGTGACAGGAATTGCTAGGGCGAGGTCTCTTTTTTAACAAAACGGCTTTAGCTTTATCCAATCTACGTCATTGTTGCGTATATTCCCTGCACAAGGAACTCGCGTTATAATCTTTTTAAATCATTGTGAATTGGGAGATCCAACTTACACGTGTTGAAGCAGTTTCCTTGATAGATTTTCCCCAACATCTGTAATCTTTGCGTAGTTGGTGAAATGTTTGTTGTATAAGACTGCGGTTACTCGCGTAAAACTACTAAGCGAACGTAAAGTAATGCGTCTGCTATATCCGACGATGACGTGGTTGATCAAACAAAAGAAAGAGAAAAAAAATAAAAAAAATAAAAAAATAAAAAAAAAAAACTGATCAGTGACCGGATTTATTCATTCTGTGTTAACTTCAATTCTAATTAATAGGTAGTGAAGTTGACGATAGAGAAGAAGGTTATAATATAGGTTGAACGATTGTATAAAGAACTTGTTTTTTCACTTTGCTAGAGACAAAGTCTTCTTGATTAGAGCCGAAAACGTTATTTTGTTCCTTTTTTTTTTTTTTAAATCCGATATCTAAAATCTTAAAATCTGTGTTGTATATATATGTATACATATGTATATGTATAATGTCTTACATACAGTGACAAAATGTTCTACCAATAACTACTTGTATTAGCATTACATCTTTGTGCTGTTATATGTTATATGTTATATGTTGTTGTTGTTGTTGTTGTTGTTGTTATTTGTAAGCCACAAATACTCATTTAACATAAAATTTTTTTTTTTTTTTTGTCTCTCTATGTATAGAGAAAGAGCAATGCAATCTATAAATATCCTTTGTAATCTCATCTTTCAATCTTTATTGACATGTAAAACCTTTCCTTTACTATTTATTTCCATTTCCTTCTTCTCAATTACACCTTTGTCAATTCATAACCACGAAACATCGTCTTTCATCTTGACTACACTATAATACTCTGATTTCAGTTATATTAGACGCTTAACAAAACCAATACATATTCTACACGCTATTATCAAGATGCCTGTTGTTCCTGTATCGTTAAATGATACAGCTCCTAATGAAAATAGCACACTCCCCCACGGCCAAGATCATGATATAGAGCCAACGGTTGATAATCACTCACCATATCCAGAGAGACATTTAGACTCAACCGGATCTCATGTATCTTCCATCAAAAGCAGTGATGAAAACGACGACGACACTCCAGAGCTCAAACCTTTCCAGGGCCAAGATTTAGAAAAAGGCCAGCAATTACAAGACCAAGACGTTTCTGATTACGACTACCCTAGAGAGGGTGATGAATTATCGAGACTTGAAACCAATGCCCAACTATCACGAGAACTTTCGAGAAGAATAACAAATACTGGGTCCTTCTTGACACGCGACTATGCAGACACTACTCATTTAAGCATGGGTGAAAACATTCCCTTCCCACCAATGCTACCTGATAGAAACCCATACTGTGTTGCATTCAATGGATTAAGCGACTCATATCATCCTCACAACTATCCACTTTGGAAAAAACTCCTATACAGTGCCTCAGTGGCAACTGCTGCGTTGTCCATGTCGATGGGATCGGCTATGTTTTCCCAGGGCTCGGAAGAATTGAGAGAAATCTACCACATTGGTACTTCGGTTGCTGCATTGGCCACATCGTTGTTTGTGTTTGGTTTTGCTGCTGGTCCTGTTATTTATGGGCCCATGTCTGAATTGTTTGGTAGAAAACCAGTGTTGGTGATTTCATCTCTTGGTTATGTGTGCTTCCAGTTTGGTGTAGCCACTGCCAAGGACTTGCAGACGATTATGTTGTGTCGATTCTTTGCCGGGTTCGTTGGTAGTGCATCTTTGGTGGTTGCGCCAGCAGTAATGGTTGATTTGTTCAAGGCAAGAGTCAGGGGTTCTGCCATCTCCGTATTTGCATGTGTCTTGTTTGGTGGGCCCATGTTGGCACCAATCTTGGGTGGATTTATTGTCAAAAACAGCAGTTTAGGATATCGTTGGACATCATACATTTCGGCTCTTATTGGATGTTTGGCTTTGTTTATGAATACGTTCTTGTTACAAGAGACCCACCACCCAGTGTTGTTGGCAAGAAAAGCAGAGTTGTTGAGACGTAAAACTGGTAACTGGGGGATTTTCGCTCCACACGAAGAGGTCAGTTTGAATTTGAGTGAAATTTTCAGAAACAATATTTTGAGGCCATTAAAGTTATTATTTACCGAGCCAATTGTTTTTCTTGTCAGTATCTACAATGCATTTATCTACGGTATGCTTTATGCATTCTTGACTGTTATCCCATTGGTATTTACTGGCCGTTACCATTGGTCTCAAGGTGTAGGTGAATTACCCTACTTGTCTATGTTGCTTGGTGTCTTTTCTGGTGGACTAACCATTGTATACTTTGAAATGAGATTGAACAAAAAGGTTGACCAAGGTTTGAAACCAACACCAGAAAACAGGCTACCACCAATTATGATTGGAGGATTTACATTTGTTATTGGTATCTTTTGGCTTGGTTGGACTGGTGATTATGCCGAACACGTGCATTGGATTGTTCCCGTGATTGCCGCATTTTTCGTGGGTAATGGATTGATGTTGATCTTTTTGCCAACAATGAACTACATTATCGATTGTTATTTATACGTTGCTGCTTCAGCGTTGGCAGGTAACACTTTCCTCAGATCCGCGTTTGGTGCCGCATTTCCTCTTTTCACCACGCAAATGTTTAATAACTTGACAATTAAGTGGGCGGCAACATTGTTGGGATGTTTGGGGGTGTTGATGATTCCCGTTCCATTCTTGTTTTACAAGTATGGTGCTTGGGTTAGAAGCAAATCCAAATTTGCCATGAAGTGAGTGAGTGAGTGAGTGAGCTTGATTGAGGAGGTTGTGTTGGATAGAGTTTTTTAAAGTACATAGTTGTTATAGAAATGCCCCAGAGTTAATTTATAGACCCTTTTTCTCTGCAAAGTGCAGCAGCCAGTGCGTAACATGACAGTGAACTTGGCTCTGAGGAGTTTGTTCCACTGGCAGCATAAAAAAATAGTTGACTACAGTAGGCTCAAACATGGGTCATCTCTGATCTTGCGAAAGCTCAGCGTCCTCTTACATTCTAGCTGAAAGTGCATTCAACTTCAGCGTGCCGACCTGGAGAGCTAAAATCAATGCTTCGGTGCCCCACAGTCTACAGAGTAGTAGCGAGTGACTCAACCCTCAAAATTTTGAGAACAAGCGTAAAAAAGATTAGCAAGTTTAGAAGTGGTACATATCTTTACATCCCAAAAACATTACACAAACTCCTCTAATTTCAGTCCCCACTCTTGTTTACCTCCGATTGCGACTCAAGCCTCCATTCCTTTATCTAGAGTGATAACTCCGATGAGTAACCCCAATTGAAATCCCTTGAAGCTCACGGTATTTTCTATGGGAGCCCACAAACCATACCGAATTTTTGAATCTAACTTCAATACCTACTTCTAGACTATAGGAGGCTCCTTCTTATCCTCTGTCTCTGAATTTCTGAGAGGCCACTCATTTGGTGGAATAAAGTTCAATCGAATGATGATACACAAACCCGGTGATGTAACATGTAAAAAAATTCGGTACGAATATACAACGCCGTGAATTGTATGCCGATTTATTCCCGTAATACAAAAGTGGAGGGGTTAGCTGTTTTAATGCAACAGCAATACTTGCTCTATAAAAAGGTTGGAATGTTCCACTTAAATTAGTCTTGATACATAGATATGTTTTCTTAACTTTCCGTCTATAGCGCCAAGGTTGCCAGCACCACGACGTTCCAAATTTTGACAATATCGCAATGTGTACACAACACATACCTTCAGCCACGGGGAGCTCTCTTTCGAATTCAGAAGAGGAAACAAAACAAGTGCCAGACCCACCAATTCAAAAATTTGTTGGGCAAGGTCTAGAAACTCACAACGCAAGCAACAGGATTGGGCGAGACTACCCCGACCTAGACGAAGATTACAATTTTGAAGGGGATATCGCTTTATCAAGAAAGGCATCACGACAAGCGATCGATTATGACAACTTGATCCGTCAAGCCACAAACAGTTCTAAGCCTTTGCCTCCAATGGGATGTGGTAGACCGTACCCAAGACATTTAGGAACAAGAGACCCTTACGTTGTGCAATTTGATGGAGACAACGACCCGGGACATCCCAAAAACTGGAGACTCAAAACAAAAATCTTTTATACTGCTACTGTAGGTTTGAGCGCATTTTGCGTCAGTATTGGCTCGGCATTGTTTGCTGAAGCTTCTAAGGAGTTGATGCGAGTTTACCACATTGGCTGGACAGTTGCCACTTTGGGGACATCTTTATTTGTCTTTGGCTTTGCCGCAGGACCGGTACTTTATGGTCCATTGTCGGAATTGTTTGGAAGAAAAATCATTTTGATACCTAGTTCTTTGGGATATACATTGTTTTGTTTTGCTGTGGCTACCGCTAAGGACATACAGACAATTATGCTCTGTCGGTTCTTTGCAGGGTTCATTGGGGCGGCTCCGTTGGTTGTTGCCCCTGCCGTAATGGCTGATATGTTTGGTGCAAGAACAAGAGGAACTGCCATTACGTTGTTTGCAATGGTTTTGTTTGGGGGTCCCATGCTTGCACCTATTCTTGGTGGATTCACTGTAAAGAATACGTCTTTGGGGTGGAGGTGGACTTCGTACTTTTGTGGTATTGTTGGTGCATTATCTTTTGTGATGAACATATTTTGCTTGGAGGAGACTCACCATCCCATTATTCTTGCAAGAAGGGCTGAAGAGTTGAGAAGAAGAACCGGGAACTGGGCGATATATGCGCCACATGATGAAGTGACATTGAGTATTGGCGAGATTGCCGAAAATAACGTTACACGTCCATTGAAGATGTTATTTACAGAGCCCATTTTGTTTTTGGTTACATTGTACAATGCATTCATTTATGGCATGTTGTATTTGTTCTTGACGGCAGTGCCGATTATCTTCACAGGAAAGTATGGCTGGTCACAAGGTGTTGGGCAGTTGCCTTACATATCAATGCTCTTGGGTACACTCCTGGGTGGAATCATTGTAATTATGTTTGAAAGGCGGTACAATACGGTTATGGACAGGAACAATGGGAAAGCCATCCCAGAGGAGAGATTACCTCCAATGATGATTGGTGGGGTTACATTCACTGGTGGTATGTTTTGGCTTGGCTGGAGTGGCGCATTTGGAAACAAAGTTCATTGGATGGTACCCACCATTGGAGCTTTCTTTGTTGGTAATGGGCTAATGTTGATTTTCTTGCCATGCTTCAACTACATCATTGATTGCTATTTGTTATACGCGGCATCTGCACTAGCTGGAAACACTTTCCTTAGGTCTGCATTTGGTGCCGCTTTCCCACTATTTGCCCGACAGATGTTTGTCAATTTAAAGATTCAATGGGCTAGTACATTGTTGGGGTGTTTGGGTGCCATTATGATCCCGGTGCCGATTTTGTTTTATTTATATGGAAAGAGGATTAGAGCCAGCTCAAAGTATGCGTTTGTGTTGGAGTAGGCAGGTATGTAAGGTACATAGGACCATATTAATATCTCAGTGTAACAAGATGCAAATTTTGCAATCATTTGTCCTGCATCATCATGCGAGCACAAACAAATCGACACTCTAAAATTTTTCAGCTCGATCAAATACACCTTTCCCCAGGTTGGAGTCACTTCCATGCAATTACGACCATTCACAACCACCTCATTCCGACTAGCTAAACCCGCTGCCCCGGTAATCAAATATTTGGGTCGACCAACAAATAACCTATCTGCAGGGCTCGTGGGATTGGCAAACGTTGGGAAATCCACATTTTTTCAAGCCATCACAAAATCTACATTGGGAAACCCAGCCAATTACCCATATGCCACAATCGAGCCGGAGAAGTCTATAGTTCAAGTACCATCTGATAAATTGGATCATTATCAGCGAATATACAACTCGCAAAAGAAGGTGCCCACGAATCTAACAATATGGGATATTGCTGGATTAACAAGAAATTCCAGCTCGGGTGCTGGGTTGGGTAACAAGTTCCTCAACGACATTCGTCAAGTTGATGGGATATTGCAAATTGTTCGAGGCTTTGTCGATGACGAGATCATACACATTGAGGACAACAAAGTCGACCCTGTTCGAGATTTAGTTATTGTCAATGACGAATTGATTTTGAAGGATTTGGAATTTATCGAGGCTGTGATGGAAAAGAGTTTAAAGAATTTGAAGAAACCAAATCAAGCACATGAGGCCAAGAATTTGGAAATATTGGAAAAATTGAGTGATGGCTTGTACAATGGGGTCAAGGTGATTAATGGCACTTGGACCGATGAAGAGATTGACTACATCAATGGATTGAACTTACTAACTGCAAAACCAACGGTGTTTCTATTGAATGTATCAAAGAGTGATTACTTGTCGGGGAATAATCAGTTTCGAAACAAGGTGCAGGACTGGATTGATGCACACTCCGGAAAGGACAAGTTAATCATGTTTAGTGCTGAATACGAACATGCGCTAGAAGAGAACGAGCACCTGATTATTCCAACAGTCATACAAGAGATGCGCGATTCGCTTAATTTGATCTCGTTTTACACTTGTGGTGATATTGAGGCTCGACAATGGTCCATCAGGAGAGGAAGCTTAGCCCCCGATGCAGCTGGATTGATCCACACTGACTTGCAAAAGACTTTCATCAATTCAATCGTTTACAAATGGGACGATTTGGCACAGTTGGAAGTATTTGATGAAGGAAAATTGAAGCTGACGGGGAAGCAATATAGAAATGGGAAAAAATACAAAGTGGAGGACGGTGATGTTCTTGTTATAAAAGCAGGGAGTGGGAAAGCTAGATAAAAAATTACCCCTTGTACATAGAGATCAATAAAGACCATAATCTTGGTCAATCAAGGTACGTTCGAACTTCTTTGACACCTCTTGCAATTTCAACAACAAACCAGCAGCAAGACTCTTTATTTTGTTGTCAATGATTTCTTCCCATGTCAGAGTTAACCAATTGTAGATCAACATTATCTCATTGTTAAAGTTTAGTACCAAAAACTCGGCATCAATGAGCTCTAAAATAAGTAATACCCCAGTTATAATTGACTCGACAATTTTGAGTTCCTCCACCTTTCGAATTATAGTACACGACAACAACAAAAACTCTTTAATCATGTCCTTGAGTTGAGTTGATGAAGGGTACGCAACTTGGAGAAGTAAGCTCAAGGTTTTGATGTAATGAGCAATGAATATTGGTGAGTAGTGACCTATATCGATAGACCCAGACTCGTACCATACATTAAGCAATGGGAAATAAAAGTTTGTTCCTATAAGTTTGTAAAAATTGGGTATAATTGGTTTTTCACTGTGTTGGACCTCCTTCCTAGTGAGCGATCGTGATACGCGTACCAATTTGCCTTTTCCTATGATTTGATCTTGAGCTTCATTAGATGCGTCATGCATAAGTGAGTCTTGAAGTTCATTTTCAATTTCATCCATATACTTTGCTCCCCCAACGTACTTGTCATGTAGTTCCGGAGGGAGTTGTTTAGTTGGGAATGCTTGTTTCGTAAATGAGTTTGTAATTATTGAATCTTTGATACCACGTAATTCGCGTGCCGCCAAAGATGTAGCGGATAAAATAAACATACGCTGTTGAAGTGAATAATCTCCAGTCAACAACAACTCAAACATGTAAAAAGTAACACTTGGGTTGGTGACTATAACACTAACGATATTGACCAACTTTAAGTCATCAAAGTCGGCGTCACTGTAAAAGTTGTCCAACGCAATGAGGTTTGATAACAAGTCCTGTGAGTAAAATTCCACCTCATTGCCGTGCCGGGATTTTTGTCGCAAAAGTGTTGGACCTTTCAACAAAGCTACCCTTCTCATGTCGTAAGCCTGCGGGTTCTTTGTGTCCGTTGTGATGTATGATATCAAATCCTTTATGTAGATGGGATCTGGTACCTTGACTTGAGGGGGTAGTGAAGAGTCATTATCAGAATCGTCTTCCATGGGGGTATCTTCAACGCTGGTGTTTTGTCTCTCAACTGGTCCGAGAGCCGCTAATCCAAGATTGCTCTCATTCAACGCCTTCCAAGCGTCTTCATAGCTCATCTCTTGAAGCTGAATGGAAGGAGTCAATAGCTCTGCATACCCAACCTCTACAGATTTGAAGATCTTGTTTTCACCACTCAACTCACAAATTCTATCCGCTAGAATCATTCCTAGCGATCTGACGTTTTCCGAGAATGATTGAAGATGATTACTGACACCCTCTAGGCACGTTTTGTTCTTTGTCAAGTCAAAACTAGAGGAGTTGACTAATTGAAGTAGTAAAAAAGTCCTCGCCTCTTGTATCGTTATAGGTTCATTCTTTATGTGCGTTGGGTCTGCCCATTTGTGCAACTGATTCAACATTGTTTCTTTATCTTTCTTGAGAACTGCGATTAATTGTATGAGGGGTTTGCTTGATCTTAACACGACACTTTCAATGATGTTGTCGTCAATGTATTTGTTGCTGAATTTCAAGATGTTGCAAAGGGGGACGATGTTGTTGTCATTTACAATCTGCACCACGTACCCTAGTAGTAGCTTTCTGACATATTCCTTTCTTTGAAACTCCTTCAATCGAAAGAAAGTCTCTTGAAAGTGCTTCCAGTTGTCCAAGTTGAAAAAGACTTTGAAAAATTGTGTAGAGGAGTCCGTGCTGAGGATTGACTGCACAAAAATGTCTGGTTGTAAGTTTCGTTGATACAAATCAGAAATCCCCTTTGATAGATATGTCGAATACGATTGTGATGACCTCAAGAACTCATTGCTGATATCCCACCCATTCAATATGCTAGCTTCATTCACAATTGCCAATAACTTTCCTTTGAATACAAGCTTGTCAACCTCCCTCAACTCGAGGGGTTTTTTATTGTGGATTATGTTGACAAAGAGTTGGTTATCCACGCACGATTGAAGAAGATCAAAGTACACTTTATCTGCACTTGGTAATGCTACTCTACCAAGGAGATTACCAAGCCCAATCAACGTCTGAAACTTGCATCTCAATTTTGCTTTAGTGCCTTCCGATAAAGACGCGTAGATCTGAGGAACAGTATAATCTAGCAAACAGCTAATCAATGGGAACAGTGTGTGCTCATATTTGTCCAATATTTGCTCCAATTGGGAAACACTAGGGTAGTTTTTCAAAAGTTCAACCTCGTTGCTCATCTCTTCATAGAGTTTGCCCTTCTCAAGAACACCAAAAGAAAAAGAAAAAAAAAACTGATTAAAGGTTTCGCAACAAAGGGTGAGTGGTTCAGGAAGATTCATATATCTGCAACCAACTGAATACTCTCCGCGCCGTCCCCCCTCCCCCCCCCCTCACCTTACTCGTCTACTATGAATAGAATGATGGTGTCTGCTCAGCGATTCAAAGTAACAAAGCAAAAAAGAACAAGCTCTTTCAAGAACGCAGTGGCTTTATCCCTTTATGATAAGGCTCGAGTGTTTCCAAAACTTAAACAACTGTGGCCAGCCCCTTCAACCGATATTAAGAGCGTGTTTGAAAAAGGGGCAAATCTATCTCTTGAAGATTATTTTGCTAGCTCTCATTTCAAGTTTAGAGAGGGCCTGGAAAAGCTGTCAATGAGTACGTTGAAAAATGCAATTTCCCTAATACACCCCAGAAATAGACCAGTTGTTGCCGTTGATTGCGAAGCTTATGAACATGGCCATCATAATATAACTGAGATTGGAATCGCAGTCCTCAAGCCTTCCCCAGCCCTACTACCACAGATTGAAGCAACGCACATAATTATCGATGAACATCTCCATAAACGGAATTCGAAATATGTACCTGATAACAAAGATAAGTTTTTACACGGAAAGTCCTATATAATGAAAGAAAAGGATGCCATAGCGGTGTTGAAAAAAGTGCTTATGAAGTATCTCGCCCCGGATGGGATTTTGGTTGGCCATTCAATAAGCTCTGAAATTAAATACTTCAAGAGCTTGGGAATCGAGTTGCCGAGCGTAGTGAAAAAATTGGACACGTTGAAGCTACACCAAGTTGGTAGAAGTAACGGTGGTTCATTAGGTGGATGTCTCAAACTTTTGGGATTACCTTGCAGATACTTACACAACGCTGGGAACGACGCATACTATACGCTATTGGTCGCTTTGTCTTATTGTGATCCAATCGTCCGAATTGAGAAAAACTTGGATGTTTACCAGTCTAGTGAGTTTACTGGGAAGTATCCGAACGAGGGTCCTGACGTTGTCGAAGTTGATGATATATCGTTGTTAGATTTGTAAAGAGTGTATGTATGTATTTTGTGTACGAATGGGGATAGGACGCGCGTATCTCTCTCTCTCTCTCTTTCGAAGAAAACCGTCGGAAAAACTTTAAAATTAGATCTACAGATAACGCTTCATATCTCAAGCTAACCATTTGCAATGCCAGAAGAATACGACGACGAGTCAAGCTCGCTTTTGAATAGAAGGGTATCTCGCTCTTTTCTTGACACTCCTCTTGGCTCTTTTAAAGGCCCCAATTCTTTACACAACTTTGCAAGCTCATTCACAAGAGCCCAATTTTTTGCAGCTTCAAAGATCGACAATGCTATACACAAGGAAAGATCTTTTTTCGTTAAGGAGCCCACTGGAGATGGAGCCGAGGATGAAACGTTTGACCCGGAGTTGATGATACCATCATATCGTGGAGAGAGACTTAGCTCAGTGGTTCACGATTTGCATCGAAATGTATTCATGAACGACATGGATTCTGCCCTTTCGCCCAACAACGACGTTTTCTACCATGATGATGTAATGGATGCCATTAACCACTCAAGGTCGCGCCAGGGCTCTGAGTTATTTGGAAGTGGAATACCAATGGGGCGGAAGGTACTTCCTCAACCCTCATTTTCAAGTTTGAGAAGCTCAATATCAATGGCGACAACTGCGAGTCACATGACTTTGAAAAAGGTGGAGGACGTCGATGGTAATGTGATCACTGTGTTGGCAGGGCAGTCGACAGTCCCACAAACAGTGTTCAATTCTGTCAATGTGTTGATTGGTGTGGGATTGCTTGCATTGCCCGTTGGGATTATGAAAGCAGGATGGGTGTTTGGCGTCCCCATTTTGATTGCATGTGGTATTGCTACATTTTGGACTGCAACTTTGCTCTCTAAGGCAATGGAGACGGATGCAACCATCATGACATATGCCGACTTGGGATACGCAGCTTATGGTTCGGCGGCAAAGCTTGTCATTTCACTACTTTTCTCCATAGACTTGGTAGGTGCTGGTGTTTCTTTGATTGTGTTATTTAGTGATTCATTCGTGGGGGTACTAAGTGACGATCCAACCACTACCAAAATTATAACATTTTTCATTTTGACGCCATTCACCTTCATCCCCCTTCCCATTTTGTCCATTTTCTCATTACTTGGTATTTTGTCGACCATTACTATTACATTGTTGGTTATTGCGTGCGGGCTACTCAAACAAACATCACCCGGCTCATTGGTCGAGGTCATGCCAACAAACCTTTGGCCAGAAAATTATGTCAACTTACTACTTGCAATTGGAATTTTAATGGCTCCATTTGGCGGACATGCAATATTTCCCAACTTGAGAAGTGACATGAGAAATCCAAAACATTTCACAAAGTCGCTTTGGTACACCTACCTTGTTACATTGATCACCGATTGTCTGATGGGTGTCTTTGGGTTTTTGATGTTTGGTGCCTCCTGTAGCAATGAGGTCACCAACACCCTTTTAGAAACAGTTGGTTATCCAAGTTGGGTCTATCCGTTGATTAAACTGTTGATCTGCATAATTCCATTGGCAAAAACTCCCCTCAATGCAAAGCCAATAATTTCCACATTAGATGTGTTGTTTGGTGTCAACACAAGAACAGATTCAAAAGTCAGAGCTGCAATTAACAAATTTAACAAATTTGTTGTCAGAATCGGCGTCAACGCTATTTTTGTCTTTTTGGCGATTGTGTTTCCAGAGTTTGAAAAGATTATTGGCATATTGGGTGCCTCAATATGCTTCATCATTTGCATTATTTTACCGTGTCTCTTCTATGTCAAGTTATGTGGAGACAATCTTACTACGATGGACCGGGGTGTTCTTTACTTGGTTGTTATAGCCTCGGTCGTATTAGGGTCGTTGGCTACTTGGGCAGTTGTTACAAACTAAGGAATAATCATTCAGGAAGTCTCTGTAAAAGGTTTGCTTTCTTTCCACTGATTACAAGGTATGCATACTTATATATTTAGATTAGTACATAAAACATGTCATTAAATACTTTCAAACTGCAATGACTACCTTAACAAGGCCAAACGTTAGAATGGCAATAACAGGTAGTTATGGCAAACAAGATTGCTCCAACAAATGACGAGAACAAATCCCATCTCATCAAAGGTAAACGAGCCTAGTCTTATCAGTGACGTCCAATAGTACACAGTTGTGTAGTAATTCCGATTTTGTGTAGTAAGACCTATACGAAGACGGCATATCGCAGATGCAAGTTTTCGTGTTGAGAACTAACAAGACATGCCATACTTGGGAGCATTTCAATATCGAAGCGTCGGGTTTATAGTACTATAATCAAGGTTGGTATATTGCCTAAATTTATTTACTGTCAAGTTTACGAAATTTAGGATAAAAATTATGCGAAAAAAAATTAGATTGCAAATTAGTCGTTTTCAAGCTTTTTTCTGTGACACTTTTTCCTATTTCAATGCATACTTCGATTTGCTTCTGATATAAGCGCCATACTTGTAGAATATGAATGGCACTGGAATCATCAAGGCCGCCAAGCAACCGATTAATGTAGCCGCCCATTTGATCGTCAAGTTGGTAAACATTTGCTGATCAAATAATGGGAAAGCAGCACCAAAGGAAGCTCTCATGAAAGTGTTTGCGGCCAAGATGGATGCTGGTACGTGTACATAGCAATCGATTAGGTAATTCAATGTTGGCAAGAAAATCAAAATCAATCCAATTCCAACAAAGCAAGCACCAATCACGGGAACAATCCAATGGATATGCTCAGGATAGTCGCCAGTCCATCCGAGCCAAAAGATACCAATCACAAAAATAAACCCACCAACCATCACCGGCGGCAATCGACAAGACTCCGGATTCCAAGCTGCATCTGTTGTATCCAACTTGTTGTTGTACCATCTTTCAAACATGATTATCCCAAAACCGGCAATGGCAACCCCAATCATCATAGAAATGTATGGTAATTCTGCCACACCTTGCGACCAATGGAATCTTCCCTCAAATATGAGTGGTATAACTGTCAAGAAGGAGTAAAGCATTCCGTAGATGAATGCATTGTAAAGACACATGAGAAGCACAATTGGCTCCAAAAAAAGTAACTCCCATGGTCTCAAAAGACTGTTTCTTGCAATTTCCTTCAAACTAAGACTAAGCTCCTCGTAGGGCGCAAATATACCCCAGTTACCTGATTTTCTTCTCAACTCTTCTGCTCTTTTAGCGAGAATAATGGGGTGGTGGGTCTCTTCTAAGCAAAACACATTGAGAATTAATGCAACGCAGCCAATGATTGCAGAAAAATACGAGTTCCATCTCCATCCCAAGGCACTATTCTTTGTTGTGAAACCACCTAGGATAGGGCCCAACATAGGTGCACCAAAAATGGTACCGACAAAGATGTTCACAGCAACACTTCTGGGTCTATCTTCCAACAAGTCAACCATAATTGCAGGCGCAAGTGGGAATGGGCCACTTCCAATGAAACCAGCAAAAAATCTACACAACATGATGGTTTGCAAATCCTTGGCTGCAGCAACTCCAAACAAAAACGCTGAATACCCAAGAGCTGAAAACACCATGATTGGCTTTCTGCCGTACAATTCAGACAACGGGCCATAGACAATCGGTCCTATAGCAAAACCCATGACATAAAGTGAAGTGGCCAAAGCAGCAACAGTCTCACCGACATGGTAAGTCTCCATAACGTCCTTGTTACCTTGCGAAAAGTAGGCAGATCCCAATGACACGTACATGGCGGAAAACCCAGCAGTGAAGCAATACAAAAACTTTTTCGAAGCTGGGTAGTTTCTAGGACTGTATGGATCATCTGGTCCTGTGAATGTAACACAATACGCATCCTTATCTGGGAGTGGTGGCGGGAAAGGTCTCTTGTCACCCCAAGCACGAGCGACATCCTCATCGTATGCTCCTTGCACCGACTCCGGCATGTTCAACATTTTTCTTGTCAACTCGCGAGACAATGCTGGATTGCTCTCAATTCTGGATAACCTGTCGCCTTGATTATGTGCTATGATATCATTGTAGTTGTGAAGTGGACCCAACTCAATGTCATTTTCAGTGTACGGTTTGGGATTGTCTGGGTCTCCTTTTTCACTTGAAATGGATGATGCAGACGAATAGTCTTTACCATTTGTGGCTTGTCCGTGTGATTTTTCAGGAACTGAATGTGTGTGGTTTTGTGTTTCTCCGAACGTAGACTCTGTCCCAGTTTCTGAGGGACGCTTTATCTTATCAGATGCCTGGTTGTGGTCGTTTGACATGCTTGATTGTTGGTGATTAGTGTTTTGAAGTTGTTCATCTTGGTGTGGAAAATTGAGGGCATTATATAGTGTTGAACAGGTATTATTCAAAGATGGATCACCTCTCGTTTTTTAACGGTCATGAGCGTTAAAAGCGAAACCATGGTTGGAGGAGGTGACATCGTCATTTATGCACATTGTGTTATATGGTGTACCCCTCACACGGGTTAACACCTCTTTTGCACCATACAGCTCGCCGAAGTTTTTCAACTGAGGATATCCCATACTGACCAAGGGGGTAGCACTAGCACGCTACTTAAGATATGCAACAGCAAATGCAGTTAGTATACAATCCATTCATCTCCTGGCCGGTACCAATTTGATAGGAAGTGCGTCTGACATGAAGAGGTGGTTGCCTATGTGTGTTTTTGTGTGTTTTTGTGTGTGTGTGTGTGGATTTTGTCAAGATTACGGCTTTGTGTGATTGTGCCTTTCCACAAAAAATATTTTCGGCGTTAAGTTTTTATCTCGAGATTCCCTTGTGAATAAGACTGCAATGTTGTATGACACACCACGAAGACGCGTTCCAAATCACAAAAGAAATAGGCCCTGCAGGAGTATATCATACAGCCAAGTCCTTGCATGTGACGCATTGATCTACCAAGTTTGGAAATTGATCCTAAACCCAGATTATAGTGTGGGCCGTTTTCGGAACGCACCAAAAAACACAGTTGTCTTCGTTTCTGCCACCACCTTCGCCTTGACGTAATCTTACCTTCCCTTTTTGAGATCTATCTCCATCTTATGTGATATGGGAACTTCCTATTCATCTCAGTGATTCTATCTCCAAAATTGTTCAACGGGTCTTAAATATAAGCACACCAAGTTGGGAGGGGATACAATGTTTAGCAGGTTTTGAAGGTTATTGAATAACTGTGCTTTAGACTACTCACCAGTGCAATACCTCAAATGGGACAAATTGACGCGAGCCAGGATAGTGTAGTGCTTTTGGTGCGATGTTGAAACTTGATCTGGTGGATTGCAGAGTTTGTATAACGCGCATTTATCAGCGGAATCATTACCCAATTAGGCAACTGATTACTCATTACATTCCGCTGTCGCTAATTGCAAAAGATAATCGAGTCTTGTCAATGAGTCAGATTACACTCTGTGATATATCTACAAACAAGACCTCTACACGTTAACCTTCCAAGCTTAGCCCACTTCTTTTCTTTTATCATTTTTTTTTTCCATCCAATAGGCACAGCCTCCCAGTTCAAATAATGTACATTCCAAAAAAATATCAGGAGGAGGAGTGGGATCAGGTTGAGTATCTCATAAAGAAATACCCCTTAGCCACCATTATCACCACAACAGACGACAATGAGATCATAGCGAACCATATACCGTTATACTTGAAGGTGGATGCATTCGGTGAGAGGAAATTGATTGCACATATCGCCAAAGCCAACCATCAGATACCATCATTAACATCCAACGGCAACGTATTGGTTATCTTCCAGTCGACAAACTCATACATTACCCCCAATTATTACCCTACTAAAGGCGAGACCCACAAGGTAGTTCCAACTTGGGATTTCGCCAGTGCACACATTCACGGATCTTCCAAGATTATTGACGACTTCCAATTTGTTCGAGACCAACTCAACGCCTTGACTAACCAAGAAGAAGGAAAGAAGGACCAAAATGCAACAAAGTGGCAAGTCAACGAAGCACCGGAAAATTATCTAAACATTATGCAAAAGGCAATAACGGGACTAGAGATTAAAATAGATTCATTTCAATGCAAGTACAAGTTTGAGCAAGGTGCAAAGAAACCAGATGTTTCTGGAGTGATCAAAGGATTAGCCAATGATGGCAAACAAGAGATGTCAGATTTGACCATCGATGCAAATCAAAGAGCAGATGAGAGAAAAGCAAAGCCACAGAAGGTTGATTAGAATAAATAGCAAGGGAGATGCTCCCCAAATAATATATTTTCACCATAGACACACACACACACAGGTACACACAGGCACACACAGGCATACACAGATACACACAGGCACACACATGCATACACAGTACATCTGTCTCCATTATTTCTCTATTTTAATACGGGTTGAATCTTGCAGCACCACGTCCCCTACCTCTGAACCCAGCTCTACCTCCTCTTCCACCTCTTCCTCTAAATCCACCCCTTCCACGAGCTCTAAACCCCCCTCTGGCCGCATTCACACCAGGTATGTTTGTCCTCTTGGGTAACACCTTCAACTGTCTGTCTCTGAATGTCGATCCATCCAACTTTTCCACAGCCCTGTTCATCTCGTCCACAGTGCTAAATTCCAAATACGCAAAACCTTTAGGTTGTCCCGTGACTTTATTTGTCATTATTGTCACTCTATTGACGACACCAACTGGAGAAAAGTGTTGTTGTAGTTCCAAGGGTGTGGTTGGGTAATCGACGTTACCAATGTACACGGACCTCGCGTCGGAGTCTCTTCGTTCGGCATCTAATTGATTGGCCAGTGATGGAGCGCTTGAAGATTCGTGTGATGAGTCCACTGTGTTTGTGATGTCTGGGTTGGTATATGTGTTTGGGTCCCCTTGTGCATCAAGATCAGACATTTCATCTTGTAATCGTCTCTTTTCTTGCTCCAATTGTTCGATTGTCGGCTCTGATGGTTGGGTTTGGTATTGCGGCACAGATTGCGACTGTGGGAATGATTGTATATTGCCTGGCTGTTGCTCATGGGGTACGTTGTCGGACATGATTGGAGCAAACTCTTCTTCTGGGTGATGTATCAGGTCGTGGCTTTTTGTCGTTACAAATATTTTTTTTTTTTTTTCTTCTTACGTTTGTTGAATTTTGTTGCTACCTGATTACGACAACCTATACACTTTTACTCTATGCTAAAACTGTGATACTCCAGGCAAGTTTCTATCTCTGGTCAAGTTACTCTTAACATTGCCAATGTCACGAGGAAGTGCAACCGGTGGCTCATTTTCTTTGTTGTGATCACCAGCTGACCCATAATGCCTAATCTTTCGCTTCTTTTTGGGAAACAATCGATCAGTTTCTGACCGCATCACTTCAACATCAGTCTCATACCCCCTGTCGTACGGCATGTAATCGTCGTCGTCAGTGAGAACACTCATAAACCCAGCATCAGCTCGAGGAAGACCATCGTCAGCATGACTTGACTTACGATGGGGATTTCCTCGTTTACTCATAAATAGAACGAGTCCAATCATAACACCGCCAAAAATGATCAATCCTAATATGATTCCAAGTCCAAGACTAACTATTCCCAAATGGATATGGAGAAAGTTATCTGATCGCTTAAACCATTGCAAGTTTAATGGCTTGTCGATCAAAAATACACACGATCGATTGGATGTGTCTTCTTGACGTGTGCATCCATGAGAAATCAACTTCACTTCTTGGTTCTTATTGTAGGAATAATCAGACACAATTTCCGTGTCATTCAATTTATACAATTGAAGCATAGGCTGACCCTTTTTCAGCTTGCAAACAAGCCCACCACGAGTCAAATTTGTTCGAATGATTTCGTTGACGTTTTGTCCCATTGCACAATCTACCAACTTGTGGGTCTCATTGTTTGGTATTAGATGAAATTGTAGAAACTTGTGTAGATTGGCAAACGATTTTGTAATGTTGAACTCCTTTAATGAGTCCGCCTGTGGAATGAGTAAAGAGTAAGGGTTCTTTTGCGTTAGGGACTTTTTAATATCTGGAAACACATCGAGTAAACGAGAAATGGAAAAGTCAGGCAACAGTGCATCAAAGGTGGTGGCAATCAACTCATTTATAGGGATGTAGAACTCGCGTGGGAGTATAACCTTATTCACCACGTGTATCACACCTTGATTAAATAATACGTCTGAGTTCAAAGGCAAGTCAAACACATTATACTTTGCAACCTCAAGCCGATTAAATTCGTTAGAGCTACTCAAGCTCTTGACATGAACAGGATCATCATCAATGTCCTTAAAAATACTTGAGCCTTCAAAGTCACTATAGATTGTCTTTTGTAGAATCATTCCTCGAATGATGGTTTTGAATACATTTGGATTAGCCTCAAGGTAGTCCAACACGAGACCAAGCTCGTTCCATATCCCCTCTTCTTTCTTGCTATCTGCCATTCCACAAGGTAAAAAAATGGTGTAGCCTTCTTCATTGTCCTTCAATGACAAAACATTAAAGTCGTTGAAATATTTTAAAGTACGCACACATCCACTGCGATCGATATCTAATCCACCCGAAGGCGGTAGAGCCCCATTTGACATCAAGTCACCCAATGAGTGCTTAAGATTGAGTGGGGCGGAAACCTCATCTTTGGTGATGAAAATTTGACTGCTATTGAGTATTGAAATTGCTTCTCCAACCTCGACTCCACCATCAATAAAGTACTGGGGCACGCCATGTTCACTTTCCTTCTTCGACACCTTCATTTTGTAGCATCCGCCTAGTTTTTTTTTGGAGCATAATCTAGTATTTGCAAGAATATGCAAAGTGTCATTGAAGTCCAAGACGTCATCAATGAAGCGATACATAAGTTCCTGCTTGGAGCTGAAGGACATTGACTTGATCTCCTCGTCGCTTACATCATCACGCAGATCAACGTCAACAAGAATAGTTTGGTTAGCAAATAAACCATCTATGTAGCTTTCCAACAGTCTGAACTTTAACTCCTTGACGACTTTTGAGTAGTGGTGTGCAAATAATGCTTTTCTTGCAATCATTGCTGCTGTAGGGATTTTCAACAGCTTAAGAAATCCATCACCTGTTTCAAACACTTGTAGTATTCCATCAGCAAGAGCTATGGATTGGTTAGTGGAGAAATGTACAATGGTGGTGTTTCCGTGATCATTATGAAATGTGTATTTTAGTCCCGCTAAAGAAGTGACTTTTTTATCTGTCCCATTGACTCCATCGATGTATTCCTCAAACATGAGATGCCGGAGTAGTTGGAATATGTCTGAGTTTATCTCATATTCTGCTTCCTCGGTAGTATCAAACTCAGGACTAGCTGTGTTGGCCAAGTAATATTTCAATTGAAGTGTGTCTAAAGAATTGCTGATGACGTCGTTGCTAGGTAGCACCACTGTCTTCACATTAGCGAGAAACTCTGAGCATGACTTTGGAAGCTGATTATGTTTCTTCTTCTTCTTCTTCTTCTTCTTTTTGAAAGTGTCGTATTCATCTGGAAACAACAGAAGAAACAATTGACGTACAATTGATATCCTGTCATCATCCGAGTTAAGCAAAGCCTCACACATTGTGCTTTTTACAGGTAGTAGTTTATCAATGGCTTGAATGTATGACTTTTGACGACCGGCATATATATCTGCTTCGACTATCGTGGCAGAGTCATCAACAACATACTCATCATTTTCATATCCAATTTTAATAGGATACGGCTTATTATTCGTCTTGTTGTACAACGTGTCGTATATCACCTCTCCTTCCCCAGTCAAGTTGCCAATAGACACGTCTTGATTTATGATGTAGCGAAGCAATCCCTCATCTTCCCATGGTGCATTGCTCATTGAGCCAACAAATGCCAGATTCACAGGCGCTAGTAATGTCACATTTTGCATAAGATTCAATTGCGGTATGATGCCATTGCGTTGTAGCGTTCGTAGAAAGTATGAAAATTGCGGTTCTGCTGATAAAATATCGACTATGTAAGACGGCGTTGGTTCAATTTCGTCTGATGTTGTTGTTGGTCTAGCATATGAGGATGCAAGGTGGATCAGAACGAGCAAGCAAAACAACGAAAAGTTTTGCATCCCCAGTCGTAGATTAGATAGCATATTGTGCTGATAGGACGCTCTCTAGGTTTCACTAAATCGTGGTCATTATGAATAGTGTTGATTTTCGCGCTAATAATTATTTGGCGGTAGCGCTCGTTTATTTTTAGTGCACAAGTCATTAGTGTCATCATAGACGACTACCAGAGCCATCGAAGGGTGATTTAAAAGACAAGTATTTTTCTTTCTGGCAACTGATGCAGCTAGGTGATTGAAATGAAAAGGGCGTTGTGTTGAATGAAGGAGGGGAATAGGATATGATCACGATGATGGAAGTTAACAATATGGACCATAATCTGATGCATTTCTACTCAACATATCTCATTCCTTCCTGTTGTCTCTTACATTCGGAGGAGCAGACTAAGCTCCGGTGCAACAGTAAACAAACCTATTAACAAGGCTTTCTATATGTCTCCACTGACTGCAAAAACTGTTGTCAATCTAAACAAGGTGAGGATGCAGTCAGGTGACTTGAGACAGCTATATGCAGTCCCGCGTTGAGCAAATTTATCTTCTCTGTCTCTCTGTCTGTGTATATCCTATCAGTGAGCAAATTTATTGTATGAGCACATTATCAACTTCCCAATTAGGTAATCAGATGAGCAAATACACTCAATCAACTACTACACGATGCGTAGACCATTGACGACCGGAATCTTGGCCGAAGCTCTTGCACATTAGTCCGTCCCAGATCATTCCAGTCTAGTCCAGTCCCGTCCTTTCCCGTGCAAGTATTTTCTCTTTACCACTCTTCCCCCCCCCTGCCCCGTGAGCAAATTAATTCCATCCCAAACCAACCCTCAACTACAGCAACATCTTTGTGGATTGTGTACACATACATACACATACCACTACTATTACTACTACTATTACTACTGGCTGCAGGATTACATACATATAAGAAGCACCTTCCGAGCTCATTCCATATATCACTCTACTCAAGCAGTAAAGCAGAACTTTCACCAGTCACCAATAGCTGCAACAATATCACCATTATTCGTCTGAGTGACATCACTACATCATGTTTAGCAAACGAGGTGTTGAATATCAAGGGATGGACTGTTTGGACGAGTCCAACGCAATGTATATGAAGTACATGAACATGCTGCAGGCTGAAATACCATGGGCTTCACAAACAAAATACGCTGAGTATACCGTCTACTTTGGTGTTGTAATCATATTCGTTGCGTTGTTAAAACAAGTGTACTATAGAATTAGAGACTCCACTTACAACCCACATTCAAATTCTTCCAACCCCTTCACTTCCTTTGTTGATGTGCTAGTGTCGTATTGTCGATACGTTGGATACAAGCAAACACCACGGTATTTGCAATTCTTTGCCTCGTTCCCCAAATCAGTTGGATCAAGCTTGTTTATGGCGTTGTCTACCTTATACTTGGCTTGCTACTGCTTTGTGCCGCATTACTGGTATCGGGGTTGTGCAGGGTTCGGGTCGCCTCCATTGGCAGTCAGAGCTGGGTTGATGTCTACGGCATTGGTGCCATTTATTTATGTTCTTGCTGGGAAATCGAATGCAATCACACTACTCACTGGGATCAGTTATGAAAAGTTGAATGTGTTTCATCAGTATGTCGGTGTAGCTGGATTTGTCTTGGGGGTTGTACATACAATTCCATTCATTTACCAACAATTGCAAGAAGCGGGTGCTAGTGCAGTACACAAGAGTTTTGTCACTGATTTGTATTACATTAGCGGAATCCCCACATTGATACTCATGGGTTTGTTATGCACCTTGTCCAAAGCGTGGATACGCAAACACTGTTATGAATTGTTTTTACACTTGCATTGGATCATGGGCATTGCATTCTTTGCATGTTTGATTTGGCATATCCAATTTGCATTGGGCGCTCAAAACTACATGTGGGGTGCATTGGCATTTTGGGGCTCACAATTGATTTATAGAATCCTTGTCAAGACGTGTTTTAAGCCTAGCTCAATGTTTTTGAAGCTGAGAGTGGCCCATTTGACAAAACTTGATGAGGGAACTTATGAGATACAAATTGAGAATGTTAAGGGGTATACTTGGACACCGGGTCAACACGTTTTCCTTAGATTCAAAGGATGGAGGCTTTTGGATAGTCACCCATTTTCAGTCTCGACGACTACTGAACAAGGTGCTGGAATGAAGTTTATCGTTGTGCCCAAAAGTGGATTGACAAAGCACCACTTCAGAGAGTTGGATCGTCAAATTGAGCTTAATAAGCAAGTATATATTGATGGACCATATGGAGGCACGTTCCGCGACGTGAGCAAATTCGACAAGCTTGTGTTGGTTGCGTCAGGTAGCGGTGTAACTGCAACAATTCCATTCTTGCTGTATATTGCCCAGTTGCATCAACTGAAATCGCCATTGATGGATAATTTGAAATGTGTCAATTTTATCTGGGTGGTTAGATACCAAAAGAATATCAAATGGATTGAGGATGAGTTGATTAGGTGTCAAAATATCTTGGGTCGCAAACTTCAGTTGGATATCAGAGTGTGTGATTACCTTTTGGAAATGAAACCGGTGGGTCTTGAAAAGAAGAAGAATGTTGTTGATGATGATGACGATGATGATGACGAAAAACACATTGAGTCGGAACAAGATGGTGCAAGCACCAATTTACCAATTACTTATGGCAAGCCTGATGTGCGTGCCATCTTGACTTCATTAACCAGTAGTTTTGCCAAGAGGAATATTGTCGTTTGTTCGGGAAGTCATTCGATGCAGCGTCAAGTATCGCAGACTGTGTCTGATCTTCAACCGTTGGTGTTCAATAATGATTTAAGGAATACAAATGTTGAAGAGATATATTTACATACCGAGTGTTTTGGGTGGTGAGTTAGTCCTAGCGAATACTTATTACATGTATATAAGAAGTAATTTTAAATGTATAACCTATTTATTCGGACATTGGTAAACCCACTCATTCAAATTCAACAGTTTTAAGATGCTCGAAAACCCCTTGGTGTTTTTGAAGGAACAATACTTTTTATACGTTTTTGAAGGCCAATGAAATTTACTCCGTTTGGATTCAAATCTGGTCTTTAATTTTGACTTCACCTTTGGTGGATACTCTACATGAAACACTAGTTTCTTAGCATGGATGAATGGCTGATACTTCTTGCACTCTTTGTACTGGCCACACTGTTCCTGCACTGCGAAATCGACATACGGTAACACTGCTTCCACAATACCGCCACCATTCTTCAATCCAATAGCCAAATCATACTTTTTGGCAATATCAGACAACTTTTTAATGTACGCGATGGAATCGGATTGTGTCAAATTGAGCCCGGATTTGTTATCGTATGCATCGATATTGTCCGGGTCTACTGCATCACATCCTTTACTGTTGGCCAACAGTATTCGCAGTTTCATAATCTCGAGAACCCGCGGTGATGTGATATTGATCCACCGTTCCCCCTTCCAATCGTGCAAGTTGTTTCCTAAATCAGCTTGAGAGAAATTGGCAGCGTCGGGCCGCCAATCCTCATATGTTCCTGCTGAAAAGTAACATATGACAACCTTGCTTTGGGAATGGAGGTTGTTGATGAGTTGGGTTGAGCTGTCAAATAGGTCGATGTCGTAGACTTTGGTGTGTTTGTTGATTTTTGTGGGTGGGTTGTCCAAGATGTAGTCCCATGGGTCGCCTAGTTTGACATTCCATTCCGCGAGGGTAGTTGAACACAAGTAGCTCAAGATAATGAAAAGCCATGCAGTGAAACAAGTTGAGTAGTGGCTCAGGGACATTGCTAAGCGACTGAGCGTGTAATTATGAAATAAAGTATTACAGGTTTTAGTTGGGACAGTCGAACCTCATCTATATTTATGTAGTTTCCAAAATATGCAATATACGGCGTTAACGATTGCATGCACGGCGGTATAAAATAGATCACTGATTTTGTAGGTGCTGCTGCTCCACATTCTACAATAGTTTGATTGTATTCTTAGGTACAGTGTGTACGTTGTCACCTAACAACTAAACCATTCATGTCACTCATTTGGAGAAGTGGGAATGGCACATTGAGTGGCATTCGCTGAGGTTCCTAGTTGACCGCAAAAGTGATGATTCTTTGTATACTGAGCCCCCACCTCCTTCTATACAGTGTCGTGGAAATTAAGTGTCCTGAAAGTAGAATCTCAGACACAGACTGCTTCTTCCAAACTTTTTTTGTCGAACACATTCAACCGAGCTGCTTTTAGCACAAGGTTTATTATACAACTGCATCTGCCATAAACAACACATTTTACCAGTATGGCAGTCCCAGACTTACTTCTAGATCCGCAATTGAAGTACTGGGTCCTATTACCCATTTCTCTTGCAATGGTCCTAGTAGGATTACTTCGATCCAACATCACATACTTGATGCAACCACAACAAAAACTTGAACCTTACAAGAAAGTTAGACAAGCGTATGTACATGCATTGCTACCGTCAATTGTTATACAATACTAACCATATTTCCTTCACTAGACAATTCCTTTTCCAAGCACGTGCTTTCAGAGAGAATAATCATGTATTAACCAAGAAGGAATTTGAACAATTCAAAGCATACTTTATTGAAACATTGTCTACAAACGAGTTTTACGCCGAAGATCCTAAAAAGGAGGAGCCAGTAAACCCATTCGACCCGAACTCTAACGAGGCCATTATGCAAATGGCAAAGGGTAACTTACTCAACTACATCCCACAAACATTGATTATGGGATGGGTCAACTACTTCTTTGCTGGATTTGTCATTATGAAACTACCATTCCCACTTACCGATGGGTTCAAAAGCATGTTGCAGAACGGAGTCATGACTCCCAATTTGAATGTGCGTTATGTGTCCTCCATTTCGTGGTATTTTGTCAATTTGTTCGGATTGAGACCTGTGTATTCTATCCTTATGGGGTCTTCTGAAGCGGATGAAATTATGAAACAAACATCACAGCAGCAGCAGCAACAACCGCCAATGCCGAACATTGGTGGACCGGGTGGACCTAAAGTTGATAAGGTGTTTGCTGCTGAGGCGGAGAATATTCAGATTTTGGATCATGAGTCTGTTTATGATGGTATTGTAAAGAGGTTTATTGAAGGGTATAGTCGATAACTGTGCATGTATGTAGATGTGTAGAGCTAGCGTGTTGAAATATGGATTGTTAACGCAGTCGACCACTGCTTTGTATTCGATCAGTTGCGAAAACTGCGCTGAGAAAGAGAGAGAGAGAAAAAGACGGAAGAAAATTCGTCTCTTCTTCGGATCATCTCTTTAGATACAATCGCCATCACTATATATATATATATATCAGCATGTCCAGTGCCACTCAAACCACAGACTCCTCTGCAGATGCTAAACCCAAGCCAGTCATATTCTGCATTGGTATGGCTGGTTCAGGTAAAACCACATTCATGCAGAGATTGAACTCTCACATCCACTCAAAGAAACAAATTCCATATGTCATCAATTTGGATCCCGCGGTGCTCAAAGTCCCATTTGGTGCCAATATCGACATAAGGGACTCAATAAAGTATAAAAAAGTGATGGAGGAATACAACTTGGGTCCAAATGGTGCCATTGTAACCTCGTTGAACTTATTCTCCACCAAGATTGATCAAGTCATCAAGTTGGTTGATAAGAAGCAAGATAAGATATCCAATGTGATTATTGATACACCTGGACAAATCGAATGTTTCATATGGAGTGCTAGTGGGTCAATCATAACTGAAGCTTTCGCGTCATCGTACCCTACTGTAATTGCTTATATTGTTGATACTCCAAGAACAACCAGTCCTACTACGTTCATGTCAAATATGCTTTACGCCTGTTCCATATTGTACAAGACCAAACTCCCCATGATTGTGGTGTTCAACAAGACCGATGTACAAAGCTGTGACTTTGCCAAGGAATGGATGAGCGATTTTGAGAATTTCCAAATGGCGGTGCAAAAGGATCAACAACAGAACGAAGAGCAAGGCAGTGGATACATGAGCAGTTTGGTGAATTCAATGTCGCTAATGTTGGAAGAGTTTTATTCTAATCTAGACGTGGTCGGAGTGAGTTCATACACTGGTCAGGGGTTTGATGAGTTTATGAATGCTGTGGATAATAAAGTTGATGAGTATAATGAGTTCTACAAGGCCGAAAGAGAACGGATATTGAAAAAGAAGGAAGAGGATGAGAAAAAGAGACAAACGAAATCTTTGAATAAATTGATGAAGGATATGGATATGAAGGATAAGAAGAAGAAGAAGAAGAAGGACGGCCAGGATGGCGAAGTTTTATCCGACTTTGATGATGATGAGGATGTGGATGAGGAACTACAAGGAGAAGTATTGCCTGATGAGGAAGAAGAAGATGGGGACCAGTTGGGTAACCCATCACGGGAATATACTTTTGCCGAAGACCGTCAATCGGAGTTGGATGCAACTAAGGATGCTGACTTGCAAGCTAGATATCAACAAGCAATGGAAGCTAGAGGAAAGCCAGTGTCGTCGCAAACTGCAGAAAACATTGCTAATTACATCAATAGAACTCAATAGCGGGGATAGGGAGTGGCTCGAGGTCTATAATGGTGCATGTATTTCTTTTTACACACCTCTAAACACATCGTCTACTTTGAATGGTTGTGCTTTCCATTCTTCTTTGAATATCAAATGTGGTTTCTTTTCCGCCAAGTGTAAAATGGTCTTTCCAAATTCGGAATTACACCACGCAAACCAAGATCTGGTGTATGAAGCACCATGTTTTGAATTTACATTGACACTTTCGTGCATGAGACCGGATCCGGCAGTATTGTTCATGATCAAGTGTAGACTATTGATAATTTCCTCATCGTCGTCAGTAGTTCTCATTCTCATCAACAATGACATCGGCCAAGCGTTCTTGATACCAATGTGCGGTCCACCAATACCTTCGAAATGGAACCCCTTCAAGTAGTAAGGATTGCCCTCCTTTGTCAAGATCATTTTTCTCGTGTTTTGATACACTTGGTCGGTCTTGTCGGTGTATCCTAAATCGGGAATGGATAAAAGGGATGGGATGTTTGCATCATCCATGAATGTAGCACTACCATATCCGTCAACTTCATAAGCATACACTTTACCATAGATGGGATGGTTTACAATACCAAACTTTTCGATTCCTGAAGTCAAACCCTTGATGAAATAATCAGTCTTTTTGATAAACACCTCGATTTCGGCATTCATTCGATTAGACAAAACTTCCTCATTAAGGAAATTTTTCCGAAGATTAATCAATTCAGTCAACATGTGTATATTACCAGGAATGAAAAATTGCAAAATTGTAGCATCATCGCTAGGTCTAAACGCGCTTCTTATCAACCCCGTACCGAAATTGACGGGGTTCCCCACGCCTCCCAATGGTAAAGTCTCTGATCCTATGTTGGTATCTCTTTGGAAAGAGTAGTAGAATGGCAATGCCTGTCCTGAGGCTTCATCAAACGAAGGTTCGCTCTCTCTTCTCAATACAATCAAGAGCTTTTCATATGCCATGAACCAATAATCATTGAGGAACGAGGTGTCACCGCCGGAGTTCTGGTAATATTCATTAGTCAATGTCAAAAATGAAGCTAGCGAGTCAATTTCATACTTGCATTCGAATACTTGTCTCCAATCAGGTCTAGGGTACACGTTGTCAAATGCCGTATTGCCAGGCTTGACTTTTGAAGTCGGTGGCGGGTGGAACGCGTTGCAATATGGGGAGTTGTTGACGTAGTAAGCTTGTGTATTGATAGCTCCAAGAATCAACTGTCTGAGCTTGTCATCGTGTCTAACTAAAGGCTGGTACACCGATAATTGGCGTGCTGCATCTCTGAGCCACTCGGCATGAATGTCACCCGTTACGATAAACGATTGTGGAAGAAATGGCTTTCTGAGCGGATTCTGCTTACCCCCATCATTATTCACCTTGTGCCATAGTATAGTAGTGTCTAATGTATTGGGCAAACAATTCTCCACCAATCTTGCCAAATCAGAATCGGCTATCCTAGTTTTCAACTCGTCTATCACTGACTCGACCGCTTGGGATACAAACGTCCGGCACTTCGGAGCTGGGCGCATGTATGGGTAATGTTGCACACCTTTGGAATATGGTGCATGACGATGTTGGGAATAAGTGACGTAATCGGGACATTGCTTGATTTTGCTATCCATTTGTTGAAGAATTGATTGATCGATATCCCTAGTATCGAGATGAGATGCCAGTGGACTATGTCCAGCTAGTTTGGCTGCCTTGTTTTCTTGGGCTGCTTGTAAATAGTTGATTTCGTCAACTGGGCTGGTTAGTTTGTCATTGGGCGTGGTGGTGGACTTGTGACGGGTGAATAACGAACATAGGATAAGTAGCGATATTAGAGCTACCAATAGCTTAATGTAATTGTGGATTCTCGATTGAGGAATCATGCTGTTGGCTAGTGGAGAGAGAGATACTGTTGTTGTAGTGTGTGTGTGTGTGTGTGGGGCGGTTTCCAATTGATGTTGATTTTGAATTTTTCGTCCGCTTATCATACATCAATTACTATTAACAACAGCTTTGACTACAACTATTGATTGTATACATTCAATACATTGCACTGTTACTTTATTTGCTCTTGGTTAGATAGAGTGCATTGGTCGCCTCATTATAAGTGGTGTTGGTCAACCCATTTGAAGCCAATGTTTGTATGACGCCATTCAACCCGTGTGAGCCGGTCTCCTCCGGCTTCGCTAGCTTCGCTAGCCTCAAAATTTCCTCATAGCTGGAAGCATGATGAAGATCCACGGTGGTGGCAAGCGTTTGCAATAATGACCTAACTGCTGGGTCATGAAGGGCCAATCTAGCACCCACAATTTCCAATTCAGTGGTTGTCCATAACGACTCAAATGAGGATACATCTGCATCTAAGTTGAGTAAGTTGAGTAAATAGAACCTGTTGAATATTAACGTGTACGGAAAGTTGTCAATGATGTTTGAAGAGAACGTGCTCTTTTTTGTAATTTGCATTGTTTCATCTATAGCTGTATTGAGAGCGAAGTCATCCTTAGAAACTTCATGCAGATCCAGTCTTGTCAATATGCAAACATTCTGCTCTTGCTTCAACATTATAGCCAATTTGTCATCAACTTTCTCTACCTCGTTCCAAGGTTGAGATTTCACCAATTGCTCAAAGTTTTGGCCCTTTCTTCTCATGAATGTGTCGCTCTTTAAAGCTAACGAGAATGTATCAGGGTGGGTCAATTTTGTCAATTCAAACGGTGGCAATCTCTGCCCCTTATTCTTTTCATTTTCTGTCAGTACTCTCTTCCTCATCTCAAAATAGGGCTGGTTCCATTGGTCCATTGATGTTTGGGAAAGCAAGTCACATTTTTGTTTGAATATGATCATGATTGGGGCACCCATCAACCTTTGCAAATAAAACTTGAAACTGTTCTGATGCAGCTTATGCATCAGGAGCGACGTCAGTGGGTCAAAGTAAGCACTAATGGTAGACTCTATATCGGCATTGTAAACACTGGTACTCTTTTCAACTACGGGCAAACCAGGTAGTACTCCCTTCGTTTTCTTAAACTTGGACTGGTCCTTAAATAAATACTTTGTTTCCTTGAGCTCATTGGGACCAAATTGTATGGGATCTTGAAACAACCGTCGTTCTCTATTTCTATCAACCTTAAAGTCGAGACCTTTTCTTGCGTTTTTATTTAGCAATGACCATCGCTTATTTCGTAGACTCAGATCAGATGTATTATGGAGAAAGGATTCGACTTCCTCTGCATACAATGAGTTTTGTTTACGAGAAATGATGTTGTAAAGATCGATCAATCGTCGTACTGCAGTTGGAACTTTAGTGGTGGACATAAAAGAAAGACAGATGTAATTGTTGAAAATTCACGTGTGAGGGTGTGGGTGTGTTGACTTATCAGTCATTGATTAGTTCGGCAAAATGCAACCAATTGTCAGGACCACGGTGATTTTGCTTGCTGTACGATTGTGATGAGAAAGAGAGATGGGGGGGGGGGGCGATCAAGCGCCAGAAAAAAAAAAAAAAAAAAAAAAAATTGCGAATAATGTCATTCCGCATTTAAAAAGCGGTGTACTACTTTTCTGTCCCTGAAATTTTCCACACTTGCTACACCATCTCTGTTTTTTCTTCACTAGTTTCACCACTTATTAAACACCTAGCAAGAATAAGATGCTTTCCAGGTCAATTCGTTTATGTGCAAGAAGAATTCCCAAAAGACAATTTCCAATTGTCGCCCGTTCACTTGTTTCCGTGCCAAGAGTTGCTGTTATTTCCCCCACAAGGGTCTTTGCGGCAAACTACAGCTCTTCCACTCAGCCCGATGCCAATGGAAAAGGGGAGTTGTTGATTGAGTTCACCTGTAACGTGTGTGATGAAAGGTCTGCTCACAACATGTCCAAGCAAGCTTACGAGCATGGTACTGTGTTGATTCAATGTCCCAAATGCAAAAGCAGACACTTGATTGCTGACCATTTGGGATTTATCAGAGATGAAAATTTTAATCTTAAAGACTACATTGAAAGTCAAGGAGATAAAATTAAGGAGCAGGTATTGGAATTTGAAAAGATTCCACCAAACTTGGCACATTCTTCGGGACAAACTGCTGAGGAAGATACTCCAAAGCAAGAGAAGATTTTGGATCTTGAAACACCAGATAACGAGGTGATTAAAAACAAGAAGGAGTAGTCTATTTAGTTAGTCAAATTGCTATTATTTATTTTAAAAACATCTGTAAAGTGTCCTTCACTCCTGGGGACACACTTCCACACCCCACCAATCTCTTCTTCTTCATTGATAGATTGCAAAAAAAAACAAAAAAAGAAAAAAAAAAAAAAAAGGACGGAGCCGAGCAAAGAAAAAAAAAAAATTTTGCCGATACCAAACTGCTGCAGAATTCGAAAGTTTTCCATAAGAACATTTCTTGCCCTTATAAGCTAAAGGTATATTAGTTGCTACTATTTAGCACTACAAACTGACTAGTCTCGTTACTTGCCCTGAATTCCCACCACCACAGACCTTCCCACCATGCTTCTCAGGACAACACATGCAATCAAACCTCAATCACACATCTCGCGCATAATTGGGATCCGATTCAACTCTTCCTTGAAAGGTGATGCTCAGAAAGAAGTCAAAGGTATAAAGGAGCAATATGACAAGGCGAAAGATGCAGCAACCGAAAAGGCAAACGTGTTGAAGAAATCCGCTCAAGAATCACCAAAAGCATTGGAAAAACAATTTGCACAAGAGAAATCCATCAATGCTGAAGTGTTGAACAAGTATAAAAAACAATTGGAGCAAAAAGCAAAAGAGTTGGGCATCAATGACTTGAACCAGCTTAAGGAAAAGTTTAAAGACAAAATTGAGAAAACAAAGATTGAACTAGGCGCAGAAGATCCATTGAAGCAGATTTTAGAATGGGAAAAGCAGCAAAAGGAGAAAAGCACCGATGGTAGTGTCATCAATGTCCGCAAGATAGATGAGAAGAAAGAAAAGCTTCCATTCAAGGTGCTTAATGATTTTATAGATGTCGACAAGGCCAGAGGGTTGCCAGTAGATGATATAAAGATGATTTGGAAACACAGATTTCTAAATAAGGAAAGAGCTTTGCATGCAACGTTAGATAAAAGGCAATTCGCCGACATTTACGCAAACGCTTATAGGTTTCCCAACTTTGTCTTGCCATTGCCCAAGCCACACAATGATGGATACGAACTTGAATTTGTGCAATGGGCATTTGTCGGCCCAAACACCATACATTGCATGTTTACCACGTTAGCTGAGTACAAGTTAAATAAGGAATTTGCCAGACCTCATACAACACTTATATTCCATCAAGAGTTCAGCCAAGATAAAGATCTCGTATTGATGAATGGAGTGAGTGAAAAGGAAGGAGGCTTATCGATGGATGAGGCTCAGTTACTTGCTGTCAACTTGCAAAGATTCTACAGTGGAAAGTTCCCGCAAATGACCAAGTTGTTGAAGGAATTCAACGATGGAAGTACCAGCTTCAATGTCGATGAGTTGATAAAAGAGGCTACATCTGTATAAGGATACCAAGCAAAGCTGTACATACATTGATATTTTTCTTTTCCTTTTTCTTTTTCTTTTTTTTTTGCTTATTTTTTTCCTCTTCCTCGACCCCGTCTGCCTCCCCTAGTCGCTCTTGTTTTCGGCGGTTCGGGATAGTATTCGTCTTCACTAGTGAGTATTTCATTTTCATCCTCGGCATACGTATCTGGATGCAGAACAGATCTAGCGTGAGGTGATCTTGATGTGGGGGCATCATGCAATTCACTATCAGAGTCACTGGAATCCAACACAATCTCGTTGCTTTTCGATGCAGTTTTACTTTTGCCCTTTGTCGTTGAGCTCTTTGCTGTTGCATTCTCGGCTTCTAAGTTCAATTGAGCATACGTTCCTTCTTTCAACTGTAGTAGAATTTGTTTGAAAGCGTTTCTGGTGTGTTTCTCATCCTCAATCCCGAGAAACTCTTGATCATCAATATCCACACTGAGTAGCATTTTGGTCTCCTTTTTAATCTCGGAATTGATGTACTGATTAAGGCTGTATTTGTCATCATTCTCCACATACTTCTTCACTGCTTCATTTATTCCGGCTTCTGGAATCAATGTCAATTGCGTTTGCTTTAAAAAATCGCTCACAATATCCTGAAGAGCCAATTCTGTTGTGCTCTTTTCGCCTAAACTTTCATCAACCATTTCATCACTAAATTTGGTCTTCTTTCGCAAGATATCCGGCGCTTGTTGAGATTTCTTTTTGTAAAATTGAACAACATCATTCACATTGGCAATTCTCCCCACAAATTGATTGGAAAATCTCCGCACATTTTCGATTTCGTATCCTCCACTGTACTCTACTCTAAGACGAATTAGCGGTAATGGAATTTGTAAATCATCATGACCTTGTTTAGCACCATTGGAGGCACTCATTTCTGGGTGACTTTGCAAGTAAGAGTTTTTTGCTACTTCAATAGCTTTCTCAACTTCACTTGTCAAAAAGGCAATGACGTCTGCTTTGCTTGCAACACCAGCAACCAAATCGGTCTTCAGAAGCACAATCTCTCTCAACACAAAGGGCCTTACAGTTTTCAACTCAATCGGCTCCAAAGAATAATCACGGCCCTTTATGCTTATTATAAACACCTTTTTATCGGGTACTTCGCCCTCAGATAGGGATGTTGCAATCGACGATCCTGCTTGCAACACATCAAACGATGTTTCTGGATTGTGCAGAGGATACGGTATACATTCATGTTCGTGACCCCAAAGTACAAAGTCGAGAAAATGAGGCAAGAAATTCTCCGGTATGCATGACGTAAAAGTGTGCATTGCGTGGTTCTGATGTATGACAAAGAAATTGAACCACTTGTTTGTGTCAATTCCCGGTCTCTCGAACTTGACTTTCGCGTCTCGAAAGAGCCGATGTAGCCGTTCGTCCCTGACATTCGACATACCATACAATGCGAGTTTAGTGTCTCCCTTTTCAAAAAGTATAGGCTTCACAGTAATCGATTCCGAGTCTTTAACTTTCCCGAAATAGTTAACTAGACCCGAGACAGCCAAGACATCAAGAGCCAGAAGCAAGCCATCACCGGTGGCATCATCATGGTTACCACTAATAGCAAACACCGGTATCGATATGTTCAAGTTCGGATCCTCATAATTGACCTCATCTACTCCGTTAAACATTGTTGTTGAAGGGTCACTCAACAACTCCAACTGACAAGCTTTACTTCCCATGCAATTGGCCCTCAATGATTTCATAACGTAATACATTGACTTCTTGGTCGGCTTGTTGATATGAAATAAATCACCTCCTTGTACCAACATATCTACATCCTTGTCCTTTGCAATTCGCGTAATCTCATCAAACGTCTTCCATCCGTCATCACCTCTTATGGGATCATTTTCAAAGCACCCAACATGGTTGTCTGTAGTTAAAAGGATTCTAATTGTATCCGGTCCATTGTCAATATGGTCAACCAAGGGCATTTGCTAGAAAAGTCCTAATCGGTTTCTGCGCAATGGAATAGGGAAAGCACTAAAGTATCTTACATAAAAAAATAAAAAAAAACGCGATTTCTCTCTCTTCTTATCATCATCATCATCATCATAATACAACGATAGCTGATCATTTATTTACAACCGAAACTGCCAACTTATGAAAGAGGTATCTATATCACTGGAATTGGAAAGTAGGCAGCAGGACGAATTGAATAGCATTGAGTCAATATATGGCGACATCTTCAAAGACATCACACCAAAGGAGCTAATATGGAATAAGAAGCCCAACCCTCATTTCCAGGTGTTTCTTTCATCATCGGAGAATACTGACAATCCAACAGTGTCGATCACTTTAGACATAGAGTTCACGCCTACATATCCATTGTCATCACCAAAAGTCAAGTTCCTCAACCCGCAAAATCTACTAAGGGCCCACGTAGCTCGATTAAAGCAAAAGTCCGAAGAGCTAATCAAGGAGTACAAACATGAGGAAGTTTCATTCGCCATTATATCAGAACTGAAGTTTATCTTAGATGACATTCAGGCTGTTACGATGAAAGTGCTATCTTTAGAAGAGGAGAGGGAGGAAAGACTCCGAAACGAACGCAAGGCGTTGGAAGAACTTGAAGCGAAACAGCAACAGGAGCTAGAGTCTGCCTCTTTAAAAAGAAGCGCAGAGCTCAGTAAACAGATACAGCAAATCAAGACTGAATTGGACGAAGAAGTTGAGGAGGAGGAGGAGGAGGAGGAAGTTGAGGTGGCACCAATACCCAATGATAAGGATAATTATTTCATATTCGATAACGAGTTGGAAGATTATTTGCCTCACACCAGACGAAGGTATCGGTTCAAAGCAGTTCAAGGGTTTATTAGATATACCAAGAGAAGTTTGTTCAGCTCAATTGGTAAACAATTCATTGTAAAACCCTATGTGAGTGATCATATTAGAGCCGAAGCGGACAAACAGGGCCATGAACTCAATTATCTCCTAACTGAAATTGATCTCAACAACCAGTATTGGCAACAAGATGCAGGCAAGAGTGAAGTTCAAGACTTGGAAAAAGAGTTGCAATCTTGTGTCAACTTGAATAATCCCCACATTGTCAAATTGATTGGATTTCAAATAGATAAGCAAAATGGATGGAAAGTCCGCTTACTAACAGAGTTTTCTTTTGTTTCGGAGTCGTTGTTTGAAATAATGCCATCAAAGGGGCATCTCAGTTTAGCAATAGCGAGAATATGGCTCATGGACTTGATCCCTGTCTTGGAACAATTGCACAATTCTGGTCTTATTCATAAGCAAATCAACCCATTCACAATCTTTCTACTTGAGCAAGATCGTGCAATTCAAGGCAATGCATTCACAGATTCATCCACTGCCAATTCTTTTGGCAATGAAAATGGGAGAATAATAAAGTTGGCACACCCTTCCTATGGCTATAGACTCTTAAGGATGGTGGAGACGCATCCAAATGCTGGAAGCGATAAATTTCGTAAAGATAGAAACAGAAACCCAGACTCATGGACCCCTCCTGAAGTCAAGCAAACGGGAATTTATAACCAAAAGTCAGATGTCTGGGACTTGGGTGTACTAGTCCTACGACTTGTGATTGGAAAAGATGCCTTGGTAAAAGAGTTCCCCACCCCAGATGAATTCTTTAAAAAGTTTTTCGAAAAAGCAAAGTTTGACGGTGGTGAATACGGTGAGCAGATCTATGACTTGTTGACAAAGTTGTTGCAACCAAAGTATTCGAAAAGACCTACACTTTTGGAACTAAATGCGGTGAAGTTTTTGCGAGATGGGCCTGTTTTGAAAAAGCAAAGTAATTATGGATTTCTGGGAACGGACAATGTCGCAAATAACAGAGTGACAAGATACGACTCGGTCCGAGTACCCGGTGATGTTCGCGGCTCTCAAGTTTACAACAGTTCGGGGGTCTCCCTTGGTCTGGAATCTAGAGGCAACAGTCGGTACGAAAGAGATTTTGAAGAAATTGGTAGACTTGGTAAAGGAGGTTTTGGTGATGTAGTGAAAGCCAGAAACCGGATGGAGGGTACTTTCTACGCAATAAAAAAGATCAAGCACAGAGCAAACAAACTTGATTCGTTGTTGAGTGAGGTTTTATCTTTGGCTCGGCTAAACCATCAGTACATTGTGAGGTATTATGGAACTTGGGTTGAGGAGTTGGGTGAAAATACCAAAGCCCAAGACGAAGGCAAAATTGTGCCCGTGCCCATTTCTGAAGTAGATTCCGGATCCAGTGATGAGGTGTCTGAGACTGAAGATGAATCTGATTTGAGCTACATTAATCGATCATCATCATTATTGGCGCATCGCACTAGCTCATTTCAAGTGGATTACATATCAAACTCATTCGATCCCAGAATTGACTTTGACGATGGCTCTTTACAACCACATAGTAATACTTCGGAAGATGTTTTTGAATTTGCGCACTCGACTGAGGCAGAGTCCATAAGCCAGGAAAGTGCCAGCATTTCTAGCGAGCGGGGTCATTGGCCGCAAGGGGCGAGCACGGTTTCAACTGAGAAAAAAGCGACTCAAACCGTGTATCCCAGATCAATCCTCTACATACAGATGGAGTTTTGTGAAAATAATACATTGTTGAACCTTATAGAACAAGGACTTCCCAATAATCCTAATGAATACTGGAGACTATTTCGACAGTTGTTGGAGGCAGTTTCATACATTCACAGCGAAGGTTTTATCCATAGGGACTTGAAACCCATGAACATTTTCATTGACAAATCTAACAATATAAAGGTTGGAGATTTTGGGTTGGCAAAGAATTCGCAGTTCTTATCAGCGGTCCCTATCACTGAACAAATATCCGAAAAAGTTGATGCTGTAACCAGTAAGAATGGTGACTTATCAACTGTGGTGGGGACCGTTTTCTATACTGCACCAGAGGTGTCCTCAGGGCATTACGATGAAAAAGTTGACTTGTTTTCATTGGGTGTGATATTCTTTGAAATGTGCTATTCCTTATCAACGGGTATGGAAAGGGCTTTAACTCTCAATAAGTTGAGACAGCGTGAATACCCTGAGAATTGGAAAAGCGGACAGGAAAAACAAATTGTTCATCAGTTACTAGATCCAAATCCAAAAGCGAGGCCTGGAGCTACTGAGCTTTTACAGAGTGGCCAATTGCCAGTCGAGCATCAGGATCAGGTGATCCGAGAGGCTTTGAAGTCTTTGGCTGATCCGGCGTCGCCGTGGCAGCAACAAGTGCGAGAAGCATTATTCAATCAGCAGTATTCATTGGCGAAGGATTTGTTATTTGACAGTAACAGAGAGACCACAAGTAGCTCAGCCAGTGACTATCTTTTATTCAACAAAATCGTGCAAGAGATAACGAATCTTTTCCACAGGCATGGTGCCGTTGAAAATCAAAACATTAATTTGATATTGCCTCGCGTGCCAACTCAACCAAAGAACCAAGTGTATGAATTTCTTGATAGGGGCGGTTCAGTAGTAACTCTACCTTACGACTTGGTAGTACCTGTTGCACGATTTGTTAGCAAAAACGAGGTCAACGTACCCAAATTCTATCGTCATGATTTCGTTTATCGGCCTAGTTTGCGAGGGATAGGAATGCCTGAAAAGTACAGTGCAATGAATTTCAATATTAGTAGTAACTCAGATCGAGAAGTTGTTGCCAATGATGCTGAGTGTTTGAAAATTGCTGACGAAGTGTTGCATTTGGCACCCCAAATCCCTGCTCGCAAAATCATTTTCATCAATCATTACGATATTCTTGATGCTGTTGTGTCCTTTGTGTTTGGAAACACCAAATTGGATGAACAAGTCAAATGGGGGGTCTTTGCAGTTTTATCGCAATTGGGAATTGATAAATCGGTTGATGATGTCAAAAAGTACCTTCGGGAGGAGTTTCAAGTACCACGCACTGTTATTGAGGATCTTTTACTGAACTTTAATTTCACTTGCTCTTTGCACGAAGCTAGGCAGAAGTTGCAAAAATTAATGATTGATTCTACACAGTTGATGAAAGTGGAGAAGTCATTTGCCTTTCTATCCAAGGTCCAAGGAATCCTCAATCAGTTTGGGAAGAAGTCGGAGATTTTATTCAATCCGTTGTACAATTACGATAACCGGTACTATCGCCATGGAATAATGTTTCAAGCCGTCTTTAAAGGTGACAAGTCGAAAAGGTATAGCCGTCTCATCACTGGAGGCAGATTCGATGCTTTGGTTAGGTCCTTCACTGACGTCTCCGTCACTGGTTCCCATTCATTCAAACCTAACAAGTTGCATTGTGTGGGCTTCACGTTGTCGACATCGTTTTTGTTTGCATTGATGAAAAGTATCATATCACGAAAGTTTGTCAAAAATGATTTCACAAAATGGAAAGGAAGTCGTTGCGATGTCTTGGTGAGCTCCACGCAACAAGAGTTTGTTGATTTGTGTGGATACGAAATCTTGGGCAAATTGTGGCTGAATGGTATCAGTGCCGATCTTGTTGCCGCTAGATCTCTAGATGACTTGCTACATGAGGCCTCAGTGATTGGTGCTTCCTGGATAGTGTTGGTAAGACAGGGTCAACAACTTGCAAGAAAAGCGAGAAAGTCCTCAAACTTCAAGCCGCTCAAGGTGAAGAATGTGGTTTCGGGTAAGGATGTCGATTTAGACAGCTACGACGAGTTAGTTCATTACTTGAGGGAAGAGCTAGGAAGTAATGAGGATGAGATCGAAGAAGAGGCCACTTCGGAAGCCAAACAATCTGATTTTGATACTCTGCCCATTGAGCAATTGGATGCAATCGATTTGAATCAAAAAATCATAGTGGTTAATAACGAAGCGCCACGTGGTAGAAAGAATAACAAGAGGGAGAAATGGGAAGTAGAGACAAATGCTAAAACAGTGGGCTCTCAGGTTGTGCAAAAGTTAGCTCAGGGTCCCGTACTTACTTTCGACATTCGAGACGAAGTCGTTGATATGATTGGCATAACTTCAATTCATCAACAAGAAGAATGGGTAAGAAAAGTACTCTTTAGCTCAAACAATTTACCAAAGAGTTTTGCCATGAACATCTACAGTAGTTTGGTCAAAGAAGCTTCCAAAGGACACAGCTGGTGCATTTTAGTTGCATCAAGAACGTCCCATTCGGCAATAGTTGATTTGAGAAGGTGATAATGAAGTAAGGTTCGTTAGTCTATATAAGTTACTAGTTTTTTTCCATATTGCAAAGATTCGATTCGCTCCTTATTTGCAACCTTCCAGTCCCAGTACTCTTGCAATCTCAATTTTCCGTAATCGGCATAATCAAAATCAATATTTGAAAGCTCGCTTTGAATCATGGCCCAAATGCCCCAATAGAACCCTGGTAGCCCGTAGAACATCGATACTTCATTGATCAAAGAGTCAATCTCGGTTGACTTGGTGCTGTATGTGCTGAGATAACTTTCACACCATTTGACGATAACAGGGTTGGAAGTGGAAGGGTTGGGGATGGCATTTCGGTTGCAGTCGAAACCTTGCCACTCAGCCAAATGGTTGGCAATGTCAAATGCCCTGGGTGCAGGAAGCATATACTCATAGTCAATAAACTTTATTGGATTTTGTTGAACTGGCGGTAGTGGTTGTTTGGTTGAAACTTGGGAGTTGTAATTGTCCGGTACAATTACATTACCCGATAACAAATCACAATGACAAGATACAATCGGTGAATTCACCGCTTCAAGTACAGCTTTCAACCAGTGAAATTCCTTCTTGATCACTTCTTTCAAATTTCCCTCGTTCACATCCTCTTTCAAATTGTGTTGGAATGAGGAAATCAACTCGGCATTGACTGGGACAATTTCAATCCAGTCATCGATCAATTCCCAAATGTTGGAAATGAATCGCTTCTTTTGAGCTTGTCTCTTTTTGCTCGTGGAATTTCTTCTTGAACCTACCCTCAATGTTCGTATTTTATCAATCCCTTCCTCGATCAACTTGTAATTTAACGACTTGTGCCAGTTTCCCAATTGTTGCGCAATTAGAGGAAACAAGACCTCGTTACTCAACTCCTCTGGCTTCAATGATCTTCCCGAAAGGTACCCATAGATGAGTCCATTTTTGAATCTCGCATAAACAAAAGGGGCTAAATCGATAGAGTTGAGGATCAAATGCGAAATAAACTCTCTGTGCCTGTCAATGATCAAATTTGTACCATGCCCATACACCCTGATCAAAACAGTCATCTCGTTGTTGTAGGTACATGAAAGAAGCATATTGGTTATGCCTCCAGTAAGTTGTTTGAGTTCGAGCTTGTTGGTGTCTTTCCATTCCGGGAAGACTCTCATTATCAACCGCTTCAACTGAGTAAAGTCGGTTTCAAGGTTTTCAGCAAGATTGACAACATATTTGGGAAAGTATAAGCATGTCTTTTTGGACACGTGGTTGTCCACCCCCACCGGACTAGGCGATGGCGACCTTGACGTTGGTGAGGGCTCAGTGTCTAGTGAAGAGCCCGCTGAAGGAGACAATAAGTTGTGGCCGTTTGATAAAGTCTGATTCGCATTTGTGTCTGTTTCTGCGTCTGAGACAGACGGATTGTTTAAAGAATAAAGGAAATTCTTATTCTTCAAGTATAGCTTATCTGGCAAATAATCAGCATCATACTTCAATAAAGGCGTGTTTCGAAAAGTATCTGATATCTTATTTCCATCTTCTTCGTCGGAATCCTCACCAATAGGTCTAAAATGCACCTTTTGTTCAGAGATGAAGCAATATGCAGCAGGGTGGAATTCATCTGTTAGGGTCTGACTATCTTGATTATCGTTGAGTCTGGTCTTTGAGCTTGGGAATTTAGACTCAGGAATCGCTTCTCTGCCATTTGCAAGAGGATCATTCTCGACAGCACTCATTTTGATAACTGATCGATCTGGTATTCGAAATTGAGTTTGAGCAAAGTAATTTCCCCTGGGTTTCCGGAATTCACGTATTGAAAGCAATTCTAATTGGTTTGTGTATTTTTTTTGAGACTGGGTGTACACCAATTGCGTTGTCAATGGAAAAATAAGCCCTTCCACCGAGAAAGTAAAGATAGTGTTTGAAGGTATCAATTGTTTGGTTATCAGAGCCTCAATTTTGATAACTGTTGATTTCACTGCGTATTGGCCATAATACTTTTTTTTTTTTTTTTGTTTTTCCTTTTCTGTCTTTTTGTGGGACAAAGTGGGGAGAGTTGAACAAAGGACAAGAAAGAGAAGTCATATATTGTAGACTATATAATGACAACTCTCGACTCTCTATTCTTGTCTCCAGTTTGTAGAGGGCTCTCAGGTGAGTGAGCTGATATGAACAGTGACTTTTTACCCTTTTTGATGCAGCTCATTTTGGAAATCTTGAAGCCTGATGAATGCTTCAACGCTTTAACGAGGTCAATCCGCCCCTAAAAAGATATGTCGAAAGGTCGATAACAGACATAGTCTCTCTTCCATCCTATCTATTCTCACACATAAATGAGTTCAGAGTTGTCAGCTTTATGTCGTTTGCAATCTAGCGCCACATTTTTTTTTTTTTCCCACAAATTGTTGCAAAATTGAATCAATATCAACTTTTGTACTGATGCCCATTAAAACAAAATCACAGATGCTTTCAGTTTCAACTCAAATGCAGTGGTCAAGAGAAGAGTCTAAAGTGTCTGATCTTTGTAAGTAAGAGTGAGGAAGAGTCATCGTGCCCAAATAGGTGAGATCACTTGGTAGCGACAGGACGCGTATATCAATCATTTTTCTGAGTTAACAGTCCAAATCCAATCCAATCCACACGGGAGAGGTGAAGCCATAGAATGTATGGAGACCAAGCCAATAAGCTCGTAGCAGATGCAAAGAGGTTTTCAAATTTGCCCAGTGTCCCTATATATCAAGCTGAGTTAGTCAAAGACATAGTAAAGGAGATTAATGATTTGAACCGAGATGCCGAATACTTGTCAACAGTTGGAGACAACCTCAGAGATAACCAGGACGAGGGAAGCCCTACCCAGAAGGAAGAAGACTACAAGATTAACCAATGTCAGACGTTTGTGACCCATTTATCTATGAGGAGGAATAAGCGATGCCTATTAGCATACGAAAAGTTACGAAGTGATAAGCTCATTGAATTTGCGTGGTTGAACATCGATCCAGCAGAGTCAGTGGACCAGTCTGCCTCATCAACAACTGGCACATCATCCTCGAGCACGGCGTCTTTGCCAAACAGTAGGGCCCTTCTTCCACAATCGAAAACCATCCCCAATTACACTACACAACTCGATTTGAATAACTTGAACCATTTTGAGCAAGATTTCTACAAAAACTATCAAAATCTAATAACTAATTACAAACTGAAGTTTGGTGAATATTTGGACTTGACGGGTGATTTGGAGCCACCAACCGATATTTTCATTGATGTGAGATGTTTGAAAGATGGTGGGGATGTCACGACTGAATATGGATCATTCAACTTGATCAAAGACTCACAGTTTTATGTCAGGAAAAGTGACGTTGAAAGGTTGATTCAACAAGGATATTTAGAAGAATTATAGGGCGTGTTTTAATCTGTCATGTCAATGTCTTGATTTTGTAGATCTTCCTCTCCAACCTCGGGTAATTCTCTACTAGGAAGGTCATTTTCCTCTTTCGAGGTCTGTGTATCCTTCAAATCCTCATTAGCATTGTCTTTGGAAGTCTCAGAGTCACCCTCCCCTAGATGTAGCAATCCCGACAATTCTCTCAATTCTGCATTCAACTTTAGCTTCCCCAACTCCCCGTTCTTTTGATCAACATTGATTGGAAGTATCATAATCCCATCCTTGTTCTTATTATATACCCCAATGTTATCATCCAAATGCTTCACCTCCTTCCGTAGGTCTATGGCCACTTTACTCAATGTGTCGAAAATTTGTTTGGTTCCATTGATGAATTGATCTTTATCTTTATTGGTGTATGTTTCAAAAAATGAAGAAAAGTTTTCAAGGAGAGATACAATCTTGAAATCTATTTCTGACAAAGCATCTAATCTTTCTTGGATGTAGTTTTCAGGTTTGTTTGAGGTGGACATGGTTTTTGGTATTCATAGAGTTGAGCTAAACAACGACGAGGTGAATATAATTTTTTCCCCTCCTAAAAAAGAAGAAGAAGAAGAAGAAGAAGAAGGAATAGTCCCCTCTATCCTACTTGTCCAGAGTCCAATGCCCATAGACCTAGGGCTTTCGCGTGTTGCGAGACTATTGTCGCACTTCAACAACCCTCATTTGAAGTACAAGTCGATACACGTCGCTGGTACAAATGGAAAAGGATCTACGTTAGCCTATATATCATCAATTTTGACACAACATCGACTACGCAATGGAAAGTTTACATCTCCCCATATGGTTGAATTGAATGACTGCATAACAATAGACAATAAGACGTACCTGCGGTCCCAATTTGATTTGGTTAATGAGAGTGTTTTAAGAGTGGATAAAGAGTTGCAACTAAAATGCACCGAGTTTGAGATATTGACCGTAACTGCATTTAAAATATTTGAATTGGAAAAGGTTGAGATGGCGTTGATTGAAGTAGGGGTTGGAGGGAGATTGGATGCGACAAATGTGTTGGAACAATTTAAAGGCGAAGGTGGTGTGGTGGCTACGGGAATTACAAAAATCGGAATGGATCACGAGGGCTTGTTAGGGGATACAATTGAACAAATTGCACTCGAAAAAGCAGGTATTTTGAAGCCGGGTATTCCTTGCTTTGCCGATGGACTGAATCAAGAGTCAGTGTTGAATGTAATCAGAGACAAAGCCAAGTCTCTCGATTGTGAGCTTGAGATTGTAAATCCCGATAGAACTGACGTGGAATTGCTACAGTTCAGCCCATTACTTGGAGAGTATCAACTAAACAACCTTGCAGTTGCTCTTCGTATTATTAATTCGCTTCGGAAACACTACACATTCACAAGAGATCAAATTATTGCGGGAATTAAAAACACATACTGGCCGGGAAGGTTGGAATCTATCCAAGTCCCTGGCTTGGGAGAGGTACTAATAGATGGTGCACACAACGAAGATGCAGCAGTAGCGCTTGGAAAGTACTTGAGGTCGGCATTTCCAAACGGAAACATAACATTTATTGTGGGAATCACGAAAGGAAAAAAGTTGAACAACTTGCTAAAGCATATTCTTCGGAAGAATGATACTGTGATACCAGCATTGTTTTACCAGCCAGAACAGATGCCGTGGATAAAGTGCGAACTGGTGGAAAACATTGCTGACGTAGCAAAATCTTACTGTCAGGTGAAAATTGTATCCGAATATGCGTACGTCAGTGATGTATTTGATTATTTAAAGGAGAACAAATGTGACAAGTCACCAGTGGTTGTTTGTGGAAGTTTGTACTTGTATGCTGACACCGTCAGATAGTTTGATATCCGTTTCTTTTCAGTAAATTGGTAGCACGTAAAATTCATTGTGCAGACGTGTCTCATTTTGAATTGATTGACATCTCTCTCTCTCTCTCTCTCTTACATCAATCAACGTAAACTCTGAAGAAATGGCACTTTCGACTTTGGAGAAGAAAAGGCAGGAAAATATCAGAAGGAATAAAGAGCTATTGTCGAAATTAGACCTCGATGCTATTTCCAGCGGTATTTCTCGTGACATTGAAAAGTCAAATTCTCCTCAACCTATCAGAAAGAGAAAAGTTGTAAAGCCAAAAGCCGAAGCAAAGAGAAAAGAGGTTGAGCCATCAAGAAGGTCACGGCGCCTTGCTGGTATCCAATCAGAACTAGAGAACCCCGAGGAGGCAGCAAGGGTACGAGAGGAAGAGGAAGAAAAGGAACGCCGAAAGAGAGAATATGAAGCATTGAAGAGAACCAAACTTTTTGGAGATTTCCATTTGATCGATTTGATTACCGATCGTAAAAGTGGCGACATGTTGTTTGAAGATAAAGTGAGGAGTAATAAGCACCAAGATGAAGAGAAAAAGGTTGACAAGGATGTGCTCACGCAAGAAAATGGAACATTGCAATTGCTCCAATCACTTGGAGGCAAGTTCTCTGCTGGTGACTTTTACGAGCAGATCAAGCAAACCGGCGTGAATGAAGACGCTTCGATTGCGTCCAAAAGAAAAGAGTTCGATTCGAAACGTATTTTCCAGAGATTTGATCCCTTGGATGTCAAGTTGGCTCATTATAGAATTACTGCCATGATGTTTCACCCTGCCACCACGGATCGTGTAATTGCCGCTGGTGACACCAACGGTAACTTGGGAATTTGGGCGCCAGACGCTTCAGGTTCAGAAGATCCTACAACTACAATTATACGCCCACATGGAAAGAATGTTTCCAAAGTATTAACCCCTGCAAACGAGTTGCATAAATTGTACTCGGCGTCCTACGATGGCAGCGTTAGGTCACTTGATTTGAACAAATTGTCAACGTCAGAAGCCATTTATTTGAGTGATGAAGGCTCCTCTTTGGGCGTCAGCGACCTCAACCTAACGCGCAATGACCCCAGTTTAATGTTCATGACCACACTTGATGGTTTATTCTGCAAACACGATATCCGAACGAAACCAAAAGGTAGTATCGAGTACCTTCGATTGCATGATAAGAAAATTGGTGGTTTCGCTATTAATCCAAACAATTCCTACCAAATCGCTACAGCTTCGTTGGATAGAACACTCCGAATCTGGGATTTGAGAAAGATTGGACAGCTGGTGTATTCTGAATTTGACGACTGGAAAAGTCCTCACATGTACGGCAACTACAACTCTCGCTTATCTGTGTCCTGTATTGATTGGAACGTTGACAACCATTTGGTGTGTAATGGTTACGATGATCAGATATGCATATTTAACTACAACGAAGATCCTAAAATCACCAGCTGGAAGTCCGACTACATGCCCGATTACAAGGCTATCAAAAGGGAAAACTCCGAAGAGATCACTTTACCAAACAATCTCCATCCTGTAAACAAAATCAGACACAACTGCCAAACAGGACGTTGGGTCTCAATATTGAAATCCAGATGGCAAGAAAATCCACAAGATGGCATGCAAAAGTTTATAATTGCAAACATGAATCGTGGCATGGACGTTTACGACCAAAAGGGAAATATATTGGCCCATTTGAACGACCAAATTGGTGCTGTTCCCGCCGTTTGCACCTTACATCCTACGCAAAACTGGGCCGTTGGAGGAAGTGCCAGTGGAAAAATCTACTTGATAGAGTAACAACGCTAAACCTGAAAATGTATATACTATCATAATAGATACTTCCCTTTCCGTAAAATCTCTATATTACAAAAAAAAAAAACGCAAGATGTTCCCAACTTTTGCTTAAGCAGATGGGGTCATAACTTGCCAGACTCTGATGAGGTTATCAGTGTAACCAGCAAACAAGTTTTGACCATCAGCTGACCAAGCCAATGAGATGGCTTCTGGGTCCTTGGCGTTAGCACCAATAGCAAATTCTGGTTTCAATTCATCCAACAAGGATCTTTCTTGCAACTTAAAGATCTTGATACCGGTGGTGGTGGCAGCAGCCAACCAGTATCTGTTTGGTGAGAAAGCCAAAGCGTGAACTTCAGCCTTGGCGTCCAAGGTGTACAAAGTCTTGTTTGAGTTCAAGTCCCACAAGATGATGACACCATCCTTACCGGCAGAAGCACACAATGATCCATCTGGAGACAAAGTGATACATGAAATGTAACCGGTGTGACCAATGAAGTCAGCGTTGGTGGAGTAGTCGGTCAAATCCCATGACTATAGAGTTTGTTAGTATAACTTTTTGAAAAGTGTTGACCCAGATTTCAATCAGAGATCTTGGTGATAAAGATATGTCTCATTCGATGCTAGTGCAACGTCTGAAGTAGCAAATATAGGATAATCATCACTTGAAATTGGTCGGAAAAGGAAAAAAAAAAAAAAGAAAACATACCTTAACAGTCTTATCCCATGAAGCGGAGATAACCAATGAGTTGTTGCCGGAAGGTGAGATTCTTACAGCTGAGACCCAGTCGTTGTGACCAGTCAAAGTAGCCATACATTCACCAATGGTGTTCCAAACCTTAACGGTCTTGTCTCTTGAAGCAGAGACAATTTGTCTGGAGTTCTTGGCAATTGAGACAGACAAGACATCACCCTTGTGACCAACAAATCTAGTGGTTTTACCAGATTCCAAGTCCCACAATCTCAAGGTTTTGTCCCAAGAAGCAGACAAAGCATAAGCACCATCAGCACTGATAGTGACGTCTTGAACAATGTGCGAGTGACCCTTGAATGACTTTTGTGGGACACCGTATTGGTTGTCGTCACCACCGGTCAATTTCCATTTGATCAAGGTCTTGTCTCTTGAACCAGACAATAACAAGTCTGGGTGGACTGGGGTGGTGGCCAATGAAGTGACCCATCCATTGTGACCTTCTAAGGTACCTCTCAAAACTAAAACTTCTTGATCAGACATTATAAGTGTAGAAAATGTGTTGCTGTTGCTGTTGAACAAAGTAGAAAGGGGGATATTGAAAAGTGAAAAGTGAAAAGTGAAAAGTGAAAAAAAAAAAAAAAAAAATTTTTGGACTGGAGTTTACTCTGAGGGTTGGATGAGAAAAAAATTTTCTCTTGGTAGTGCACTGGCCAATTTTATTAATTAGCCTAAAAGTTCTCATGTCTCCAGCGTAAACTTCAGGCCAGAACGAGATGCGCATAAAAGGGGATGTGATTGCAAGAGGAAAGGTATGAGGTGCGTACACAAAAGATAAAAAAACAACAACTCTTATGCAAAATAGCCTACCATGTCTGGACACCTTTTAAATGACTATCGATGGAGGGGTGGGGGGGGGGTCTACTTTCGTGTAATTTCCACACAGAGTGTACCTTTTGTTGTGAAGTGGTAGCAGCTTTTCGCATCCGTTGCAGGTACGGCGCTTAATTGCGCTTCGCGGAGTTTGACACTGTGTTAAAACAACAACGTGTCGAACGACAACATACAATTTCAATCCCAGTCATACGTTATGCCAAAAATCACGGTAATATCTGGTGGAACTGCCACCAATGAATTAACACCCTTGTTCTCCAACTTATCGAAAAGTAATAAGACGTCGTATATATTGCCAATCTCAGACAATGGAGGCTCCACGTCGGAATTGATTCGTGTTATCGGTGGGCCAGCAATAGGTGACATTCGGTCTAGGTTGACAAGGTTGATCCCACCACATCAAGACAACATCAAGCATTTACTCACATTTAGATTATCACTGGATCCTCAAATTGCCAAGCGTCAATGGAACGAAATTGTCGAAGGCACTCACGAGTTGTGGGCACCAATAAGCTCGAGCACAAAGGAAATCTTTCGAAGCTTTTTTGTACATCTCCACGTTGAGCTATTGAAAAGATCAAGAATTCACCACTCAACGAACCGACAATTTAGGTATGAGTTGGCAAGCGTGGGCAATATGTTTCTAACAGGTGTCCGTTTATTCATTGGGTCATTGGATTCCTCCATCGAACTTTTCTGCAAATTGACTGATATATCTTCCAACATTCAAGTCTTGCCATGCATAAACACAAACTTCACCTACCACATAAGTGCCTTGTTGGAAAATGGCTTGATCATAACTGGCCAGTCGCAGATATCACATCCATCAACGTCGCAAGAATATCCACCTCCCATACACAAAACTCGGCCACCCACCCCGTCAGATGATGCAGTAAGAACAAACTACTTCTCGGGTGCGGATATTCCCATCAATGAAGTAGAGATAAGTAAGCAGCAGCAACAACAACAACAACATCATCATCATCATCATCATCGTAGTCGAAGCTTGAGCATAGAGTCAAGCGTGTCAACATTCTCTGATTCCGAAGAAGAAGAATCGGGAAATGTTCCACAATATACCCACCCGGAGTTGAAAAAGTCACAATTGCATTTCAACAAACTGGAGTCCATCGAACCTTTGCTTTCGCCAATAAAACGGATATTCTACGTTTCACCTTACGGGGAAGAGATATGTCCTACAGCAAATAATAGAGTCACTTCAACCATTGGCAGTAGCGATACGCTAATTTTCTCCATTGGATCGTTAATGACGAGTATTGTGCCTGTGTTGGTGTTGAAAGGAGTGGGCAAAGCAATCACCACTGGCAAATGCAAAAATAAAATATTGCTATTGAACGGATGTCTTGACCGGGAAACGTTTGGAATGACCGCGTTCGATTTCATAAGGGTTATTGTTGAATCCACCGAGTACTCCTTGAGAAACCAAAACTTGTGCTCGGGTCAACTCTCTTGGAATAAAGTGGTTACACACTTGATATATATGTCAGACCTGAAAATTGAAGTTGATGTTGATTTGTTGAATTCCCGCGGAGTCCAGTGCATTGAGGTGCCACGAATTGACAGCACTGACTACTTTGACCTACAGCACTTGGAACTAGCTCTAGCAGACATTATATAGAGCATTTCTGTAAAAATAAGCAATGCAAGTTTCCCACAAAAACTTTTGGTAGCGTTGATAAACTTTCTGTACTCTTTGTTACACTCCCTTAGCACACATGTCTTTCGATATCAATTGGGATAATTTGAAGAACGATCCCGGCATTAGCAATTCCATCAAGGAGTTCCTTCATGATCAACTTCAGAATATAACCTTACCGTCTTATATTTCCAATTTACAAGTTGTGGAGTTTAGTTTAGGAGATATACCACCGGAAGTTATCATACGACACATTGGCGATCCATTTCCAGATTTCTATGCATCTGAAGACGATGACCCAAAAGGAGATACTGAATCTTCTTTTTTGGGTAATGAGCATGAAAAGAATGATGAAGATGACGATGATGATGAGGAGGAGGAGGAGGACGACGACGACGATGACGAAGACGACGATGACGATGATGACGATGACGAAGAAGGTAATGAATATCCCAACGACAAACTATCAACCATATCAGAGGGTATCTCATTTTTAGACACTTCAGAAGAGCACCCCTCGAAACTACATCACTCTAAAGAGCTGCACGGCTCAATACCTGCTCGTCCACCCATCCTCGCGTCCAAGGAGTCCTTTCAATCAGTCTTGCACCCGTATGGAGTGAGTGGAATTCTTGGCTCAGTGAATGCAACTGCTAGTGGCACTGGCACAGAAACGCCTACACATATACTAAACCCCAACAATTTGTCATCCAAAGTTGTTCCCAAAATATTAAGCAAGTCAGATGCCAAAACTTCTAAGACCAGTGTAAACGATATTCAATTCATTGTGGAGATTAACTACAAGGGAGATATGCACATTGATTTGTTGGTAACTTTGCTTGTAAACTATCCATCGCCAAAGTTTATCTCATTACCCATCAAGCTTCATGTTACTGATTTGGTAGTTCATTCCATTGCTACTATTGCCCACCTCAACAACTCAATCTTTATATCATTTTTATGTGACGTGAATGACGATTTTGATGTCACTGGTCCTGCATCAAATGCATCCACCCCGGGAGGAAACATTGTCGATTATTACTTTCATGACCCACACAGTAAAGAGCGTATTGATGTTATAAAAAAAATTAGAATAGAGAGTGAGATTGGTGAAGTTGAAAATAATGTGTTGAGGAATGTCGGCAAGGTTGAGAAGTTCCTAATGGAGCAGATACGTGGAATATTGAGAGAGGAGATTGCGTGGCCTAGCTGGATATGTATAGACATGGATGAAGATGGGGATGCTGAGAGCTTATAGATTGGTTTCAATAGCATAAAATTTGTCGCGTCAAAAAAAAAAAAAAAAAAAAAAAAAAAAAAAAAAAAAAAAAAGTAGGAAAAAAAACAAAAAGG